CTTTCCTCTTTACGGTGACGAATTTCGAATTGTGACGCCATATTGGGCAGATGTTGATTTATGGGAAGGTGGAGAAGTATTCTACCGAGTGAGCAGCACAAATGCTAAGCTTCTTCAACAAGCCTCCGATGACGTTACGAGCGTCTACTCGGATCTAAAAGGATTTCAAGCCAAATGGATACTAGTTGCGACGTGGTACAATGACGTGGTACAATGTGCCCTTTTACGGTGCTTATGACAGCTTCATCGAAATAGTAAGAGAAATGTTATTCAAGTAAAGCTTTAAACTTTGTTTTTTGTTGTTGTTGTAAACAACTGCCTTTGACGATTCGCAGCGGTTTGGGTGTATTGGACAACCCTCACCGCTTGACGGCGTTTTTTAACCTTTAAACCATATGGGTGTGATCGAGCAACTTCATTTGCGAGCTATGCTGTTTCAATCGAAGACGAATCTAAGCAATTTGCTTTTGCTCATCTTTTTTTCAAGTTCCTCTCCGGTAGTGGCCCGTAATCTAAAAAAGCTCAAGTACTGTTTAACGTTGTGAATTTTGGCAATTTGTTTGCTTATTTTTGTCAGAGAAACACTTTCCAGGCGGTTCTTGTCACCAATGGTGTACAGTCTGTTGCAATCTTCAATTATAACAAAATTTCTTGGACTTCGGCCTCGTCAGCCGGCGGAGATGATTGGGGACTAGGAGGATCGCCTGCGCAGGTATATTGCCTTAGTGATAAATATGGAGGGTCTCCTTTACTTTTTACCTGAAGCGTGATGGTCAATTTTTTTATCTCGTGAATCCTGATTTAAATTTTCTTTATTCGTGAATCGTGTTTAAAGATGATGAGGTCTTTTCATGTCCACGTGAATAAATCTTTTTATTTAGAAGTGACCCGTGATGCGTGGAGCATTTTGTTTTGCATGATTAATTTTTTGGCTATTTCATCACGGTTTTGAAAATGTACTTCCTGCTCTCGAATGGCTGTGGTTAGGTAATGACAAAACGTGGACTTCATAAAACAGAACTTTAATGGTTCTTGAACAAATAAATTAATGTATCACAAAAAATTACTCAAAGGATTATCCGAGAAAATCTAAGAAATAATCCACTTTACATAAAAAAAAGGACTTATTTCAGGTTCAAAGAGGTGGGATAAATCTACAAAAAAATTAACTTTTTTTTTTCATTTTATGTGTAAAGAAAAAATCGAAGGTATTGATTTTTATGGAGTTTTTCCGGTTCTCGAAGCCAAGATCACTTACAGCACCTGTTTTGAGCAGACAGATCTGAGGAAAGAAACGCAATTGTATTCAGTCGGCATGGACACCCCATAGAAAAATTAATTCGAATTCCGATATGCTAACTTAAGTAAGTTTTACATTTCAAATTCTTGGATGATTCCTTCTAACCTGCGAATAAATTGCCTCCCAATTAGCCGTTCATATTTTGCAATTTTTCCCTACAAAACCTCAACTGATTTACAGGGTTGGTGTTCGTCGTTAAATACGGTGGCATCTTGATGAAATGAGTCTTCACTAATCAGAAGTGAATCTAATTATATGTCACTTATGATAATTTTTGCAATTTGTCGCGGAAAGAAAAGAAAAATAATACTAAAACTACATTACTCAGGGTGTAGATAAGCAGAGAGCATATTATATTGAATATCTAATTTTTAAACTTACAGCTTTTCGAAACGGGCTTCAGTCATATTTCTTACCAGAGACAAATTTTTTTTGTATACGAAGATGGCAAATGGTATGAGCAGGAAGCTCAAGTCTTTTTCCTAATTAGAAACACTTCCCCTAAGAGCACAGGTCCATCAACCCTTTAACCTTTAAGAGTGATAAGCATCCAATTTCTCCCTACAATATTTCCCCAGAGTCAATCATTAAGGTCACGGGAATAAAGGAAATGATCATCAATTAAAAAAAGGTACTGATTACTGACAGAATTCTCCTTTCCTACACCTTAGGAAATGTATGAAGATCAGTATAGAGAATATGCATACTGATGTTAGGGTGTAACGGGTAAAGTTCAAGGCTTAACAGGTAGAATGTGACAACATCTTTGTTTAGCATAGTTTCTCCATGTTTCAAAGTTGCTTTTTTTCGATCGTACTAAACAGGCAGGCTTCAACGCTGGTGACGGCACAACATATTTTAACATGCCGGAATCAAACAAAGATGCGATTATCAATATCACTTCCACTTCAAATATAGGAAGTCCTGGACGATGGATGTTCCGTTTAGAGAGCGCAAACATTGTCGCACCTGGCTGCGACAAGAATGGTAAGAAAATCCGCATAAATGACATGCATCTAAAACTTACTACATAAATTTAAAACGTCATTAGTTTTTAAATAAGCTGAGTCTGAATTGCCCGAGATATCCCAATTTTTTCATCTGTCATGATCTACCCACACATCATCGAAATTGTGAACGATCGTGAACGCTAAGGGAGAAATATGTAATTCGTTGCTGAGGGCGGTAAGTAATGACATCTTACGGAAACAAAGATAATTTCATCAAGTCGTGTATGACGCTAATGGTAGATGTTTTCAAATTGTACTTTTCGTAGGATCTGGTAATCTTGTTATATCTCCAACTTCTGTAAAGATGCTTGGTGGCGATAAAATTTTTATCGCTGGACCTTGCTTTGAATCATCAAATATCATCGTTTGTGAATTTTCTGGAGGGAAACTGATCAATGGAAGCTACATCAGCAGCACACTAGCATCTTGCACAGTTCCCATTCTCAGTGTGGCAGGCAGGCTGACTGTTAGAATGTCAGTCGATAACGGACGTAGTTTCGATTATCAAGGAAATGTAACATCAGGTAAACTAACCTTTTGATGTAAGAAGTCTCCTATTACTTGTGCACGTATATTTCAGGTCTGTCAAGCTTTTGTAACGTAAAAACTCGTGTAATTACGACTATTGGTATTACTAAACCTCTGTGAGAAGAGTCTTTATCACACTTTTCCCACAGTGAGCTTAAATAGGGCTACGCCTCCTGTTGTTCGGCTGATTCCGGAAAGGTGGAGTGAAAACGTTCCTGTCAGTATCACTTGGGATTCAAGCCTCCTTGGAGATGACACTCTTACCGTGGCTGTTTTTTTAGCACGTTTCTCCATAAAGGATGAAGATGTCTATTTTCATAGCATGTTTCCTTTAAAAGAAGAACAAAAGAATACTGGGGAAAGTCAATTCATTGTCCCAGAAGGAGAGGGACAGGGGTGAGCAGAAAATTAACTTAGGTTAAAATTTGAACCTCGCATTTCAGTTAGTCATTTTTTTATTATTCCAGTGCCTGTATTGTTGAAAAAAATCATAGCGATCATTAACAATGTTTATAGACTAAACTTTCTGAATAGGATTGGGTGTTTCTTCTGGATATGTTTGATTTGCTTTTGTTCAGAATTCTGAATGGCTAACGTAAAAGAAGCCTAGCCCATAAACCACTACAACCTCTCAGAATTAGGGACGTTTTCAACTTGTGTTCATTTCATTCTGTTCGAATAGGCCCGTTTAAAAGGGGGAGGGGTAGAGGGAAAAGGAAGGGGGGTGCTCACGTTTTATACGTATCAAAAAGTAGAAATAACGCATCACGAAAAATCGGATAAATAACTTTCAGCTTCACGTATAGTGAAAAGCGAAAAATTTAAAGCTCACGGGGTTTTAATTTCATATATTCACTGGCCATGAAAATTAAAAACACTTAATCCCGTATCGATATCACGCAATAATTCCTTTCCCCCTCTTCTCTCCACTTGGAGTATTGTGGGGAACAACAAACTAACAGGAGAATCTGCCAACTAAGGGCAACCTTTCAATGATGGGTTTCTTGTCACGGCCGGAGGGAATATGTTTACTTCCAGCTGCTTTATTACTTTTTCCCTTCTCTTAATATTTGCTGACCTCATGTCTGGTCTGAAGAGACTGAAACTGAAACGTATCGGCCATGACAGATTTTATCGCAAGTTTTATTTTCACAATTTCTCAGAACTGAGGAAAACCAATTAGTTACGCTATTGCAAGTAAAAAAGATTGACGGTAACTCCAAAAATGCCAAGGCGGAGTGGATTTGGAGCGATCTGTTTTACTGCCGAACTCTGAGCTGGCTGAGCAGAGATGCATCTCCTGGTACAATAAGCAGCCGAATCCAATGATATATTTAGGTAACATTGTTTGGTCCTTTAAACGAAAGGCAGAATAGGCTGTACTATTGAATACAATCACGTTGTAAGAAATAATTGTAAGAAGGTCAATCCCCAGCCTCGGACTCCTTAGAATACTTACGCATAACGACTTCGAACTAAATACTTTATGGCCAGACTTCCTTTCCCCTATTTCCCCACAAATATTAATTGGCCCAATGATGCCTTATAGAAAAAGTAGAATTGCAATTAGGGAAGTGATATTCGATGGGATTGGTACTAGAAACAATATATTTTGGAATAATGGAAAAATACAGTTCAGTCAAACACAAATGGCACTTTGTATAACCCTAGTGCAAAAAAGACGATAATAAATCCTCAGGATCATCTGTGACACTTGAAAATTCCCATTCTTTTTTTTTTCAGATGATGCCTCCCTCCTTCCCTGTCCAAAATCGTTATTTCAAGCTCGAGTGGACCGTGGTAGATTTGCGATAGACGAATATCGCAATCCAAGTGCCCATCACCATATTAGTGTCCGTGATTTAGATGACAATCTCTGCTTCACGACGAATATACCTAGGTACGTGCCATTAATATCATCAATCCCTTCAAAATATGTATAGAATATCAGTATCTTTTGATAGACCCAAGAACATACTACATCATCGCTACAGTATTTCATACTGAGTTACTTTTTTTTTTCTCCAAGTGTGCAAGGTGCTGGACAGCAATGCTGTTACACTGAACGAGGAAACTTGATATTTGGCCCACCCACCGGGGGATCCCTGAATCGTTTTCATACCGAGGCTGGGGTACCAGTGTTGTCTCATTTCTTTCAAGACTATGTTCCTTTTTTGGATTGCTGTCTTTTCTCAGAACAATGTGAGCGTTACTTTGAGAAAAGACCTTCAGATAACAGCTCTGGCTACGAACCCCCAAAGCCAGGTGAGTAAGCTGCATAGAGAAGCTTGCTAGGGAGGCTATCCTAGTTAAACGATGGCTCTTCAAAGCCAAGTGCACTTTCCAAAAAAGGCGTTTTGGTGTGTAGCTTTTCAAGGGACATACAAAAAATTGGACGCAATTATTATTAAGTTTTTAAAATTTAATTGAATCAATGGCAAGTGTTTCCTAAAGACACAGTTCGATTACTCTTTTTTCCCCATGAGGTCTCTTCACTTCATCGTAGAAAGATCTGGGTCAAACTGATTTGCATCTTTAATCCGTGTAACACTTTGAGCGATCGCGAATAAAAAAAAAAGGATAAAAAAAAATTGATCTGAACATATCTATTTAATGCAGCCATTAATCAGTAATGATGACAACAGTAATCAGTCCACTGTTTTTAAAGCGTTTGCGATGAAAGAACATGATGAATCCGATCTTCAATTCAAATCTTTGTTACCGCTAAAAGATCTAAAGTAAAAAGAAAAATATCTTTCTATGGAGGTTTAGTGGATTTTTTGAGCTTCCCTTGTCATTCAATGTAACAGTTTCATAGAATCTTCAAAACATAGGAAATAAATGAAAAACTGATTCCTATGTCAACTAGCGGTCCAATTTATGGTTGTTTGTTTGTTTTAATGTTTTTTCATTCCTATTTAAAAAAAAAAAAAAACTATTGGAAGCGGAGATCCCCACATGATTACACTCGACGGTGTTCAATACTCTTTCAATGGTTATGGCGAGTATCATGTCCTCCAGATACCTCCTGTTGGCTTTGAGCTTCAGGGACGAATGCAGCCTTTAATCAAAGATGATGGCAGCAATACTCTTGCCACTGGTTTTAAAGCGTTTGCAATGAAGGAAAATGTCTCGGATGTCGTGCAGGTAATATAATCCTGTTATATCATAGACCATTTAAGCGCTTTCCTCGCTTTATCATTTTTAAGTGATCATTAGGCCATTATTCAGTTTAGAAATTAAAAAAGATAAATAGCATTTTCGTGACACTATCTGTCTCTGTAGATGATTCTGTCTGTGTCGGTTTTACCCTCTGGTGGGGTAATTTATTTCACCTTTTTCCAGACCATAAAAAAATATACTTGGTGTTAAAATGGTGATAAAAGTAAGAAGAAACCAGTTGAAGAAAAAATTCAAATGCGAATAAAGGAAGTCCCGGAAAGGACTCCTGGCAATAGTACTGACCGACCATTCGACAACCTGAGCGGATTTCACTCTCAGAGTCAGCAAGATCGCACTCTGATCATGACTTGCGCTGAGATTGTCGAAACGTCAGTCACTTCTATCGAACTGTTGCTCCTGTCTTTCCAGAAAACAATCTACTAAACCTTTCACCTTCGCTGAAGGATAGTGCATGTATCGGCGAAGCGAGAAAGGATGATTAGAGCGTTTTTTCAGCAGCCAACGTACTTAAACATGAACATTATTTATTATCCTAATCTTCAGGTCCACATTATTGGCAGCCCAGGGATTTTCCAAATTTTGGTCAATGGAGACTTGGTGGAATTCGAGGAGTTTTCGAAGTTGGATTTTAATGGATTCTCAGTATCAAAGAATAGCAACGAATCAAAACACTCCATCATATTTAACTCTGGAGTATCCATGACATTCCAGAGAGTGGAGGATATTTTGAACATGATGCTGATGATACCACCAACATTTAAGGGTAATTCTTGTATTCGTTTCCCACAAAGATTTAATTCACTTCAAAAGAGATTTTTCCAGGTAAAAAATTTTGAAACGTGCATGGTTTTCTAGTGACATTCATGGCAAAGAAAGGATATTGATGTGGTAAACTTTAAAAAATTCAGGCTTTTTAGCTCAACTATTGTAAAAAGAAAAATCGACTAGAAAAGGAATGACCTCAATTCATTTATTAATTTTATGATTGCTCTGTTAGTAAGATGTCTTGACGAAATAAGTACTTTCAAATGCAGGAATTTTTGATAGTTTCCGATAAACACTCCTAGATAAGTTATGTCTGTTTGATCGAGCAAAGACTTTTCGTCACATAATATTATTTAGGAGCTACAAAAGGTCTTTTGGGGTTCTGGGACGAGAATCAAGAGAACGACTTTTTGCTTCCCAATGGAACTACCTTGAACCATAACTCGAATCAGTCCACCATTCATAAAGACTTTGGTCAGCTATGTAAGTACCGTGCACACCATTATGTTCCTCAGCCAACGTAGTTTGTAAAACACAGATCAGACTGATTTAAACGAATTTATAGATAAGCTTAGAATGCTCTTTTTGGTCAATGGCATATCGAGAGGGCATAAACCCAACAAACTACATCCTTCATAAAGGCCATATTTCTAAGTCTATGATTTTTATAGCACACTCGTGTTCAAATAATCCACGACTACTCAGAATTGAGCAGCATTGTCCCGAACATTTTTCTCATGTTGAAATCCAAACGTATGCAAACAAAGTACATGTAAAATCTTCCCCGGAAACCCGATACCAAAGCACGGCATAAAAATAGCTTGAAACAGGAGCTCCTGCTTGAAATTAATTCAAAGGAGTTACTTTTGGAAAAGTAGGATGAGCGATAATCAATCTCTTAATTTGATTCTCTTTGGCTGAAAACCTGTTATTTTCGACTACAAGTGCGACACCGATGGTGTCCACACATTGGGGGTTGATATATTCCTTGAAAAAGATATGTTTTCTGGCATGTTAGAGTTGCGACTTGCAATCAGTCAGAAACTTAAATCAGATTTTACAAGGAAGGAAATATGTTGTGCTAGGTTTCCAGTTGAACATGACAAGGCATGTATGGATTTGTAGAGATTTTTTAAGGTTGTGGACGATTCGGGTAACAATTACATTATTTTCGTTCTAGGGGTCACTTCAGCCAATGATTCTTTATTCACATACGAAGAAGGGAAGAACCATTCTTCTCATGTCGTTGCAGAGTATGTTCCGATATTCTTGGATCAAGCCAACTTGACGTTTGAAAACGCAACATTGGGTCAACAAGCTAAAGATATGTGTGGCGATAACATACAATGTCTGTTTGACATTCACACCACCGGAAAATTCAGCATCGGAGACGCAACCAAACAAGCTCTAGAACTGTATGCTGCAGATATAAATGACACTCAGACACCTGGTAAGTTGCGTGCAAAATTAGGAAAAGGATAACCACGCGTGCAGAAGAAAGTGACCGTTGTGAAATAATTGTAGTTATTTGTATGTAACCATGTACGAAATAACTTCAACACATTTAGATCTCGGGAAAACAGCGAGTTTCCTCTTTTCTGAACCTGCAATGAAGCTACATTTAAGACGATGTGTTTATCCTGCAGTCCAACTAGATTTGTTTCTAGTGCTCTTGAAGTCGCTTAAGACGGCGCAGACCACCACCGTGCTCTTCCACAACTACTCTCCTCTAAACAGTAAATGGTATAATCGTGTAGTCTGACCGTCCGGGTGAGGGCAATCTTGAGAATTTAAGGACTATCGTCGGTAGTGCATGGTGACTGAAGTTTCGAAAACGTAAGAGGACGTCATAAAATGAGGTGTATGGTCAGTCGAGGGCTAAAAGTCCAGTTCTTGTGAAATTTAAAGTTTAGCCGTAATGTTATTGGCTATAAGACCCAATCGGCGTTAGTTTGGTCGTGATTGGCAGTTTTGCTCCCTGTTCGTTTGATCGTTCTGTTTGGTTCGTTTGGAGTGTAAATGTTGTAAATAGCTCGTCTGTATCCTCTACAGGACATTGAGTTGATGGTAGGAGATGGTTTGAGGTTTCCTTAAGTTTTGCATTCTCTTTGGTTTGTTATGGAAGGCGCTCAGCTTCTCTTTCTTTTCTCTTTTTATTCTTCTGTTCTAGTTGCTTCCTCCTCAACCGCTTGCTTATTCCTTCTTCAGGAAGTTGACCACACCCCACTTAATTGGCTGTGGGCCTCATTGTTATTTAGAGTTGCCTCTCTATTTTAGCTTGATTTAAAGTTCCCTTTTTTTGCTCAGACCTTGTTGGTAACTCTCTATATCCCCATTTTATTCAGCATGCCCCCTATTAAAAAACGAAATTGGCAATGGTACCGTGCTGAGAACTGAACCTCAAGATGGTGGAGTAATCTATCGATTCCAATGTAACTCTTATTTCTACCTGGATGGCTCGTCTGTCATATCTTGTTGGCGGGGACAGCGGAATGGCTCAACACCGAGCTCTTTACCAGGTAATTAAATTAGAAAAAGGATTCAAAATATTTAGTTTTTGACTTAGAGGGAGGGCCGGACGGGAATGTTTGAATCGAAGTTATGATGAATGGACCGAGTGGAGTGAAGTCCATGCACCATATGACCCTTGTTTTTTCTTTTTTCTTCTAATTTCTTATGGTTTTTTATGACCCTGCACACACCATCTACTACGATCCTCATACATGGATTTATTTTCCAAATGATACTTTTCAATAAAAGTGCGTGCGAGGTCGTAGAGATCATGCAATAGTCTGCGATAATTGGCTCAGTGTTAATGCGTACTTCATATTTCCAGAAATTTTCAGCTGTAATCCTTTTTGATTGCTTTGATATCTTTGGTGAAAACACTTGGTGTCAAACTTGATGAGCTGAATATCTCTATACAGATTGCGTTCCAATGAATACAACAATAAGCAATGGTACCATACTGAGAAATGAAACTCAAGATGGCGGAGTACTTTACCAATTCCAGTGTAACCCTTACTTTTACCTGAACGGCTCGTCTGTCATATCTTGTTTGCGGGGACAATGGAATGGCTCTAGACCGAGCTGCTTGCCAGGTATAGAGAGTTTTTGTTAGTTTTAAGATAAAAATGGACCAAAATCAAGACTGCACCAGCTTGAAACACATCTCGGTATACTTACTGAACCTGTAATGACTTCACGATTAAAATTCTACCTTGCATTTTAACGTTTGATGTTAACAGTAGTTTAAGGGCGCTTTTGAATTCCAATACTTTCATTAAAAATGCTTCTGAAGGACAGCATGTACAAACTATTGAAATGTGCATATTTCAGTGATAGACGAACGTCAGTGAAAAATCGCAGCGATCAAGAAAATATTACCTTTAATATCGTATTCATATTACACCTGGTTCTCTCTAAGATACTGTAAATATTCCAGTCTAGTTAATTTATCGACGTCTCATCTCGTCACTTCCTCAGTTTATCATTTGTGTGGTGTTTGGATCTGATAGTGAGAGACGGTTTAAGGCTACCTTAGGTCCATAAATTTGTAATAAAAGGCGTTCAGCTTCTTTTCTTTTCTCCCTCTGTTTGATCCTTCCTCAGGATGTTGACCACATCCTACGAAATCCGCTATGAACCTTATCATCATGCTCAGTTATTTCGCGACTTCGGATTCGAATACACTTCAATGTTTCTTTTATAAACCTTATTTTGGTTGACTTACCTTCTCGATATTCTGTTAAGGATGCCTTCCACTGAAAAACATAATTAGCGATGGTACCGTACTGAGAAATGAAACTCAAGATGGCGAGGTTATCTATCGATTCCAGTGTAACTCTGGTTTTATCCTGAACGGCTCGTCTGTCATATCTTGTTTTCGGGGACAGAGGAATGGCTCAACACCGAGCTGTCTGCCAGGTAAACAGATTTTTATATAAGATTACTGCAAATTTTTTTAAAGCCTTGGCGATCCTTGCACAGTCTGTCAATTCCAGTTGCACTTCATTTGAGTCGCTGAAAGCTTTAAATGTTTACTTCGCCAAGACATGCTACGACTGACTTTTGAGCTGAGTTCCTTAATCGCCTTTCAAAGATTTGGTTAAGCCACCAGAAAATTATTCCTAACCAGGCGCTCAGATATACTTCCAAAACTAATATACCCTTGAAGAAATTACGAAAAAGCTTTTAATTGTTTTGTTCTTTGACCAGATAGATAATTGGCTGACTACTGTCATGTTTAATTTCGTAAACAAATAGATTCCATGTTGCCGTGCATTTGTACAATAATAGATGACAAATGACATCAAAATGTAGTAAGAAAAACCGTGGCACACGAAGCGCAACCGAATGTGTTACTGATGTCCTTTCCACATCTTTCTGTGATCTATTGCTGCACAGACCCACGGCAAAATGGAATCTATCACGGTTTCACAAATTAATCATCTCTGCTTCTAATAGATCATAAATAAGAACCAATCAAATTGCGTGTATTCAGCTTGTTATCTAATATCTTATAATACAGGTAAAGGTAAACCAAAGCAAACCAAGGCATCGAGGTGGTATGTTGTCGCTGCTGTTTGTGCTGGCATGGCCTTTTGTGTCATCGTATTGATCGCTTGGAGCGTTTTCTGTGCCAAAGCGAGAGGTTCCATATCCCAGGCTGATCTCTCAATAGGAAAGTCCAAGGATGACTCTACTTCTAAGAATCTGGCCTTCACCACAAGCAATACCAAATACCCTTACCCTAGACCTTATAACTTTGACCCATAAGTCCAATGCAAAGTTAAAGAGCCTTTTTCAGTTGTGTTGAAAAATTTCTAAAAATGTTTTGCATGAGAATTTTGTCTTTTTCCGGCACACAGCGCTAAGATGGAACGAGTTGGTAACCGAGATCAGAACTCCTCATCTGCAAGTTTTTGTTATTTTTTTCTTTTCTTTTCTTTTTTTTTTCGAAGAAATAAATTGGAAATTTGATGTGATGAGAAACAAATGGTTCATATCATTTTTTGCTGTACTTTTTTTCTCAGTGAATTCTCTCGGTATTACAGTGAAATCTGTACTGAGCGTACCGAAACGAAATTAAATTTGAGTCCTATTGTGACCCAAAAACCTTACCGACCCGACATTTCAAGAAGTTTTTGTCAGGACAATTTACGGTCGTAAAAACTGTATTCATTTACGGGGTAGATAGGTAGATGACTCATGCTGAGCCACGTAATTAAGAGGGCAGAAAGAGGCTCATAACAGTTAAATGTAAGTAGGCAATATTAACGCTGTATTAGACTGATAATTTAGCAAGATGATATGGTGCAATTTTTAAAACCTTCCCCAAACGGGCAACTCACATTTAGAGAACACTGATGACCACTGAAAAAGGTTTCATGGTTGTCTGACTTCCACTGATCTCTCTGTAGTTATACAATTAATGAGTTCACAAGCAACCTATGCGCACTTCTTTTTGTTTCGTTTAAATCGTTTAGTAGTTCCATGCATTGAAATTCGTTTTGGATTCAAGCTTTTTTGTATTTAGCATTTAGAAAAGAGTGAAATTTTAAGTCCCATGTTACGTGTGTTTTATAAATCATTTGGGATAGATCAGTTTTATCTGATCTTTTAATAGTCCTTGAGCGTGTTCATGTAGTTTTTATTTTAGGGGCAATCTTTGGCCGTTTTAGGACATGATTATCTAACAGTAAGCCGTAGCATAGGATGTGCTTAGTTTTTCTTCTGGCCTTACCTTCGCTGAGATCTTTGTTTGGCTTTCGCAGTTAAAGATTAATTGTTCGTTTGGAAGCATTAACTAAGCATTGAGTAGATTTTTTTCTCATTCTTAAGGCTTTCGTGAAAGTTCATGTCTGCACGGATAAATGATTTTATAACAAATGTTAATCTTCTAGGGTCACGGCCCGCGTACTCACTCATGCCTTCCGATACTGTATATAAAAGCGTACACTCGTACGTTTTTCAGTGAAAAGGGGGGACAAGAGTTCGCTGTAAATCAAAGACAGCAGAAATTGTCACAGTAGTTATTGAGACAACTGAGGTAATAAAGAAGACTGAAAATGTCAGACGTATAATCCTTGGTGTCTTCTTCAGCGCAGGGTACGCTCCTCAACTAGTTTTCCCCTATGTACCACGTCGCAAAACTTAAATTATTTAATTTAGTCCACGAGCAACCCGATTACCCCTATTTAGTTCGCTTATCAAATTGAGCTGGGAAATCCAGGACTGATCGTAATCCACCACTGATCAACAATTTTGTCGTTTTCATTCGTCTCTAGTTTTCATTCCCTTGGCCCTGCTTTGGCACCCGTTACTAACCTGAAGTCCTAAGATAGAGTTTATTAACTCTATCCTAGGACTTTATTGTTATTGTATGCTCTATTAACTTTTAATTAATTTTAAGCTACTGTATATTTATAATTTCTACTCAGGACCAGCCTGAAAACCACCAAAGGGAGAGGTTGTCTCCCGGCTGATGACATTTATTTATTTATTTATTTATTTATAATCTCAGCATCCTTTGCGGGGTTTTCCCTTTGGTGAAAACAATGACTGGTTTGTAATGACTGTTCAAGGTTTCGTGTGTCCTGAGTGTTTAGAACTTAAGCATTGGGACACATTTCAGATTATAATTGTATTTGTTTTTTCCTCAACGACTTCGAAGCCTCGCAAAGCTATCGAACAAATTTTCATTCTTTTCAAAATAGCTCAAAGTGATTGAGTAAGGGAGTTTTGAAACCTCAACGCTTTCTATGTGGTAATCACCTTCTGACCAATCATCACCTTTCACGGCCAAAGATCACGTCTAAATATCACTCGCGTCGTCAAAATGAACTTATTCGTACAACTTAGATTAGAGCTGTGGGGTTCAATGTTTTAGTCTCCGCAGCAGATATGTGGAGGATGAAAAACCTTAAAGCAGAAAAAAAAAGGAGTAGAAATAGGAACAAGCAAACAAATACCGCCTAAGGGAAAAGAAAGTTTGATTTCAGTTTCCAGGGGTCACCGTTCGTTGTTCGGGGCCATCTGTTTATTGATAATGATTGCAAAAAGTAAAGAAAATCTTTCATGCCTGACAAATACAACGGCGAAGTGAATAAACAAAGGCAAGATAGGTCAAGTCCTTCTCGTGTATTCACTGAAGTTCGTTATCACTACAAGTTCAACGCGAAGCGTTCAGATTTCCGAAAGTAGCCATGTATTGGGGCTTAAATTTCTACGGTCATTTGACGAGTTTCACTTTCTAAACGAACTCGAACTAATTCAGTTACCCATTTAGTTTTACAAATAATGCTAAAGACTGACACATTGTGGAAGTAGAAGGATTGCGGCTTCTGGTGAATATTTGATTATGTAGGAGGTTACCCAACCATGAAATGTTTGATCTAGTTTTGCATATGTTTGGATATTCGGGCATTAGCAGGAGCAAACAATCACTTGTCTTGGGGGTGAAATCAGAGCATTATTTATCAAAAGGATGGAAAATACTAATTAAGTGAGTCACGGTACACAAGAAAAAATCCATTATGAATCAATTTTATCATAAGCCTACTCTAATCTATTCTTAATGGATTTATTTCGATGCTAGGCGGATGCTTCCAGTTAACTACCATCAATTCAAGTCACATCACCGGCATTTAGGTAAATAAATGTTTATATATACACCAAGCCAGTTCAATAGCCGGCTACAAAGTTAAGGTTTTATCTAAATGATAGTCGCAAAGCTACTGACGTGGAATTGACAAGATTTAATTGGTAAAACTATGCGATACGCTTGAGGTACGCTAAGGGAAATCGGAGTCACACTTGAAGCGCATTGTTAATTCACGTAAGCTTTTCATCCTTTACTTTCAGCTTTGGCCAGTTTTAACACTCAAGAACGTGGGCTGTCTAACAAAATAACTTTTTCTTCAAGTCCTCTAGGGTTTACGTCGGAGTATCAACCTACGACACTTTTTTTGGTTCTGTCACTGCAATTTTATTACAAGCTCCATTGTTTAGACTTCTTTGCTATCCTTGTTTTGCGTCACGGTTACTTATAAAGTTCAACACAATCTACTTATTAAGTATGTTTCCCTACATTTCTATCAACCCTACTGCCCACAGATCAGATAACAAGGCAACACGTACCCAAGTTTCACTGGACAAAAAGTGCGAAATTTCAGCTTGTGGTAACTTATTTTTACGGATGAGGAACAAGTCACCAAAATCTACGAGATTTTAATGTCTCCTGGCACGAAGATATCTTCACACACTATGTTGTCATTATTGTCTAATCGATTTGATCGCTTAAAAACATGAGAAAATTCGTTAGCGTTTTACATACTGATGATAACATTGCACGTGTTGTCATTTTGATCACTGGCGCAATATTTTTCAGTATTGCGCGAGTGTTCAACGGCAAATTGGCCGAAATGTACGAGTCTGCTCTAAATAAGTTAACTTTGAGTAGATAACAAGCATCCAATCGTTTTTTAGCTTTTTAAAACTGGACTGATGGATTAAATTTTGAATGAGCCATTTACAGACGAGGTTTTTATTCTGTATTTTTATTGTGAGAGATCTGAGTCTTGTGGAATCAATAAACGATTTCTTGTGACGTAGTCCGTTGTATCCAATGAAACCTTGCGAGCCCTATACATGGTATTACTGAACAACTTCCTTAAACTGCATCAGATCAACACACTGTTTCCCGTCGAGACGTTTTTAATCATTAATAATAATGAACCCGGGTAATTTTTTGCGACGGATGTTAAAATTATTTGCCAATACTTCTCGGTGAGAATTTGTGGATGAAAATAATGAATCAGTAAAAAAATCCCCTTTCATTTATAAGATCAAATTTCATCCGAAATTGAAAGCAAAGGGTTGACGAAAGACATATTTTCGTACATCGTAATCAACTTGATATTGAGATCATTGCAAGCTTACTCTACATATATGTCAATGAAAGAAACCGAAAAAAACTCACGAGGTCTTATGTATGGTAATTTTACTTCGTTTCTGATGTCATCAATTTGAGGAATTGCAAACCGAAGACTGACTTGACTCACGACAAATTTAATTTGTTCAGAGATTAGGGAACCATAAATTGAGAGCAGATCTTCGATTCAACGGTGGGTATTCACATATATTTTCTGTTTATTTAGGCCTTCCCTAAACCACAGTTATGAAAGACTGAACATAAACCCATAAGAGAATTGTTAGCGGAGGCAGCCTGTGAAAGTTCCTTTCTTCATCCCTGTATCATTATATCTTTCATTCGCATGATACCAAAAAGACCGTCAATATGGACGATGGAAGATCTCACCATGCACGGCTCACTACTTTTATGATGAGAAAAGTGGTTGGAGATGATACGATCTGTGGTTCATATCGTCTTCTTGCTCGAAACTCTCGGCAAATGAACTAATCATCTTGCTTTCACTCTTTGTCTTAAAAAAAAATTATATAAAATTTCGGGTACTAAGAAATATTTCTTGAAATGCAATCACCACTACCGTGTTTTACACTGTAAAATTAAACAGAGTGCATGTTTCGCGGTCTTGACATGCGTTTCCATCATATCATATTTCATCAAAAGAGTATCGTCTAACCTTCCCTGAGTGCGCGCTGCGAATAAGAGCCAAATACTTATAACTGCATACATACATACATACATACGTTTATTGACCACTTCCCCAAAGGGGCTTTTCAGTGCCAATTACAAAGGAAAAGATAAAAATAAAAACATATACAAATAATTTAAAGTTACAATTACAAATCATTAGGATATCATTCCTCCCTCCTAAATTTGTCTGCGTTACTCTTTTAATGATGGAAACTCTGGTTTAGGGCACAGGATTTGTGTGAACTTTGGATTAGGTTATACTTACTTTTAAATATCTAGTATAGTTTTGTTACCGATCTTATGCCTCGCTCTTAGAAAAAACAGACCTCAAAAGTTGGATTATGCTAGATGTATGGTTTCTTCAACTGACATCAGTTTCCTCGCACCTGTCTGTCCACTATGGTGCTTCTACATCAGTAGTTGTACACTCGCGTTAACAGTAAGAGGTGACCTGGTAGCGTTGTTGTCTCACAGCATTATCCGTTTGTTATATATTCAGTTATCGTTAATTGTCGTATAGGTGCGCAAGCCTATCATTCATCCCGATTTCTTTGCAGATGGTTGACGAACTACTACGAAAGTTTGCCCAAGAGAATTTCGGCCATGGATATTACACTGCCGTTCATGGCGAAATTGAGAAAGTACAACCCCTGGTACTGGCGATAAAAAAGTATCCTCCAATATGGAAGCGACCTTTTAAAACATCTCAAATCATAGTCCTGGCGGGACTAGAAAAGTACTTAAAGAGTAAAGAGGAAGCTCTTGGGTTTCGTGATTACTTAAAATCTAAGATCAAAGAAGAAACATTTCAGTCCAAACAAAAAATTGTCAAAGGATCCAGGTATGAGAGCGCTATTAGCTTCTCTTTGTAAACTGGAAATGTATGCGAATAGTGAAGAGAAAAAAGAAAATTCTCATATTTAAAAAAAAAGGAAAGAGAAAACAAGAGCAGTAAAACAGAAACACGACTATGTGTTCTATGACAAAAGGATTTGGATGTGACTGTCTCCTTAGCTTTTTTCAATATATATTACTTATGAATAATTCTCAAATCATAGCAATCACGTTCCAGAATTCCTGTTTTGCCTACATCATTATTGTTGTTATGGTTATTGTTATTGTTATCATTATTATTATTCTCATTATTATTATGGTAATTATCAAAATTACTATTAACTTTCTTTTGTCATTATTATTAATATTATCTTTGTTATTATCATCATTGTTATTATCTTTTTTGTTTTGTGCATTGCAGGACTAAGGAACTGGATGCAACCTTCGTAGGACATCTGGAGGGAACTATACGGTTAAACGATGATCAAGGAGTTCTAGAGCTGGGTAACCTGAGTCAGAAATATATTGACGATCCAGATCTCCGTGAAATTCTGGCGAAAACGGCCTTAGATGCCAAAATAATGCATAGTTTTACGGATGGCGATAAACTTCTTCTTATAACAGAGGTGATTTACAGTGGGAAGTTCGAAATGAAAAGAGAGAAACAATGGAAGGTATCAATTAATAAAGCTATGATGAAATGACTGAGAATATAGGAAAATCATATTTGTGAATTTCGGATGAAGAAATGAATATTGGTCAGATCTTTGCAGTAATAAACACAACTTAACTAGTAGTGAAAATAAAGCCTGAAAAAAAATTCAGGCCTTATTTTTACTACTGCTTAAGTAGTGCTCACCACTGCGAAGATCGTTCGCGTATTCAAAGCTTTAATTGTATCTTAACTTCTTTTAAACACGGAAAAAAAGGCTCAAAAGTAACTGCGCAAATCGAATGATTAGTCTATCCGTTGTTTCCGTCTCTGAATATTTTGTCGTATTCACTCAGAAACGTACTGGAAGAGAGAACCATTCTCTCATTAAATAGGATGGTGGGCTATAGATGGGGTTTGGTCCCGGTGATCTGATAGTGAGATGACCGGCCTAAGAGTCTTGGCTATTAGCTTGGCCGGAATGGCATCCGACTCTCACAGGGCTCCCATCACCCAGCGTAAATGGAACCGTTGAATCCCCAGTAATGAACGCCAGAGGATGAACTACGGTTCACTGGCATCCCCCAGGCGGTGTGCGGACTCCGATTGCGTTGCATTATGGTAGCTTCATTTTCAATATGGCGGTGAAAGCAGCAGAAATTGGCAGATTTTGACCGAACATTCCGTAAAAGTTAGGCCGTTCTTTTTTCCTTTCACCACAGGTAAATGTAATTTTATTTATTCTGAGTGAGTAAAAGTATTTTTTGTACGTATTCGTCGCGTATTCTACGGTTCTCAAGGACAAACGCAATTACTGTTTTTTAGTATGTAATTTGAGACCGGCTTTCGAGAAGGTTAAACTTGATGTATGTCTTAGTTTGGAACCAAAGATTTGGATGGCCGCTTTGATCCTTCTTCAACAGCTCTGACCAAGCGCTCTCAAACGCTCTCCTACAGTACATGTGTTTCTCGCATTTTAAGTGCTAGTGTTCGAAACCGATTGTGGCCGAGGAAAGGCCCATTGTGGCGTTACACAGCGCTGCTTTTGTATACTGAGTTGTGTTGTAAATCTACTTTCCTAAGTAAAAGGAAATTAACTAATGGCGAGTGTTGTATGATAAATCTAACATCTTGATCATTGAATGAAGAACAGTTGAATTAGAGCAATGAAAGGAGTCTCTTGACCAATGAATAAGCTTAGCTGTTATGAGGATATCTTTTAATGACTTTCGTTTGCGATGTGATAATAGGGGTTAATTTTAAGGTGTCATTTCCCCATCTGTATGTTCTTGAGGTTTGGCAAAGCCGGATGAGATTGTATTACAAAAAGCAATATTTTCATGTGTGCACGTTATTTTTTTGTTGTTTTCAAGTATACTGTCTCTTCCGCAGAAAATAACTCCAGAGATACGTTTCTCAAAACCTTATTCCAGGTATTCTCTATTCTTTAAGCATTAAACGTTGAGCGTGACGAATTTGGTCCAAGGAGGCGTAAGGCTTCTTTCGCGAATCCCGTATTTACGCCTTTAACTGTATGACGTGAAAAATAGCTCGTGTATCAGAAGGTCGCTGTCTCTTTGTAATGCGTTTGCATGTCAAGGGTCGATTCCCCGTTTTGATATTATTCACACAGCCATCGGCTCTGAGTGTAACTGCTGCCAAATGAATAGATTCTTGGGCAAGGCTGCAGTTTCGATTCTTTCTGAATCTCTTCAGTTGTCTCCAAACAACGAATTTGTCTCAGAGGAATAACAGGAGTCGCGCTGGCCCGCAAACACTTTTTAACTTTCGAAGGAACGGCAACAGACAGTGAATTCCCGTTACATTCCACGTTTATTCGCGCTATCTCGCAGCCACCAGAGATGTTCACTCGACCGCGACAGGATGCAAATGACTCGTCTTTCGTTTTATGACCATGATGCAACGCAATCAGAGTGCGCACACCGCCTGGGCATCCCCTGAATAAAGCCAGGCAATACTCCTGATGCGCTTCTTGTTTCCGTAAACCGCCGGGGGGTGTGTTACGGTCAGATGATCCCCGAGGCTTGAAACCTGACCTCAATGTTATCCTTTATAAGAGAACGCCCCGAGGGAAATTCCGTTATAAAGTCTAAGTCACGTTCTTGGTTACCTAATTTGCAATTTTTTATTTTATTTACCAGATCCAGGCTGAACTTAAACTGCCAGAACCTTCAGCAACTCCAAACCATTCTGCGAAAAGACACTACAGGGTCACAAGTTATTTTGGAGAGATGCCGTCCAGGGACTTCAAGGCGCCGATATTATTTAGGTGCTGCAATGTTAATTACATCAAAGAAGAAAACCGACTGGAAATCCCGAAGGGAGAATTTGTCGGTAGATCAGTGCTCTAGGAAATGACAGGCGACAGATTTCACGAGCCCGGGGAGACTGAGACATATGCTTACTTTTAATGGAAAGGATGCGAAATTATTAGTCCACGTGCTCTTGATATGTATTTTTCACCCTCTATCTTTAGAGGCCCTTGACAAATATGTAAGCTGCAGTCGTCAACGGGTAAATTATTGACTAAAGTGCGAGTTCGAACCTTAGTTTTTAGTGCCTGATTTTTACAGTTTCTGTAGAAATATTTAATATATATGCTAAACGTTTCCCAATCAAGTGTAAAATTATGACCTCAATAAACAAAGTAGATAACTTGATAACATCAAAATTGACTACTCCAGAACGGGTCTTTTCGCGGGCAAAAAAAAGAAACGCGAAACAAAAAGCTGTAAACAAACGTAGTATTTAAAAATTTTAACAGGCCAGAGACTAGAGACAAAGGACAGCCAAGGAGTTGAACTTTAAAGGAAAAGAGAACAAATCCAGAGGGCACCTCACCTTACCGAGGTTACCCCATCCTCGCCTGACCCAAGGAAGTTAACGTTCGTTAACTACACGCTTGGATGCTTTATTTGAATCCATAGTCCATTGTCTATATCGCGGTCAACCCCCAGTTAATATTTTTGTCTGTTGAGTATCATGTCTCAACAAACTAATCAGCCACTTTATAAGTAATGACTATTAAAGGCTCTCACCGTATCTGTCCCTGCCTGATGATGATATACAATTTTGATTATAGAAATAAATCTGAATGGCCTGAGGGAGAATTTCTCAAGTGGCACATAAGTCACGATGAAAATAATTATTAAAAAAGGGCGAGCAGCAACAAAAAGGAGATCGCAGATAATTAAAGATATTAGCTTTGTTGCTTGTATAATAGCTCATCTTACTCTAGTACGTTTTCGTAAGTGTCTATTTCATCTCATTTGATGACAAAATATTGCTATCCGTAACAGCGTTTGCTCTCAAATGTACACATTACTTCATACAGTTTGATGCGAGTTAGACTATTTTCTGCATTAAAACAACTGCTTTCATAGGAAACGAAACGTATTTGTAAAGATGCTTTCTTGAAAAACACCTCTCTTGAAAACTATTAAAGGGGCAGAGTTGGAGATGGCGTTGCTCTCTCTCTCACAGTAGGTACAGTACGACCGTACAAGGTGCTACTTTTAACATGCGTGGTCAACTGTACCGCGGGTACGCCAACGCCACGGCTTTTTCCAGTAGTCCAGTGGTCAGTGCGATGGACTTAGTCCAGTGGTCAGTGCACTTTAGGCTTGGCTAAATCTATATGTTATCATGATATGTAATAACTACTTATAAACTTACCACTTAAAGTCTACTTTATTTATTGATGTTATTAATATTAGAGATCAGCTGATAAGATGTTTATTTAGAGTTTGTTTGAAACTGGCAAATTTTGCATCCCTGTTGAAAGACTTTCTAACTAACTGCAAGTGACAATCTTTATACCAGCAATAGAAAATGTTATGCATAACATGAAAACTGTAACACTGAGAAGCAAATTTCAAAGCGTTAATTTCAAAGTGTTCGAAAAGTTCATTTCAAAGTTTTCAAAGTGTTTATTTCAAAGCATTCCAAGTGTTCATTTCAAATCGTTCACATCTCTCATACTAAACAACGTTAAAAAAACAACAACAACAACAGGCTTACTCCTCTTTCATTACATTAGTGAATTCCTCAAACAGTGCTAGGTATAATTCATATATAGATGGAAGCTCTAGCAATGGTCCACATGTTCTGGCAGTAGGACGTCCCTGCAACCCCCCAGGGTAGAAAAGTGCACATCAATTTTTTGTACAGTGACCACATCACTACCAGTATAAAACCATAGGATTTGCCTCTTAGTGACTTTAAAAACCGCTCCAGATTAAATGGTAAGATTATGAAAATTGCGAACTGTTTCGACCGAACGTCGGTCAACGTGCACAATCGATATCTTGCATTTCGCTGGATTCGTTCTATTCCAAAAAAGCTCACACCACGCTCTTAGGAAATCAGATGCAAAACTTCTGTTGTCGCATTTTGATCACTTGCATATTCCTGCGCTTCATACAGGTTGTTTGTTTCGATTTTGAGTTCCCACCGGGTCCTCGCAAAATTTCAGAAAAATTTCAGGCGCGTGTTGGCTGTCCCGTAAATGTATGATAGTAAAGTTTTGACGCTGGGTGCCATAATTTTGTCTAAATAGGTGGAAATAAGTTCAGTGGGACAACTAAATAGAAAGAGGTGGCAGAAAACGACATAGAAAGAGGTGGCAGAAAGTTTCCGCAAACATTGGTGAAACAGGAAGACGACTAGAAGACTGATTCCGCGAACACCTTCGCGACGTAGAAAGAAATGATAAGGACGCATTCGAACCAGCCGTTAGAAACTTAAATCTCCCTAATCATTCTTAGCAACATATGGCAGTTTGCAGCCTCTCCCTTGATATGGGCAGTTCGGAAAGCTGCAAAACTCTAGAACAAAGATTTATCTTTCAAATCGGCACTCTTAATCCCCACGGTAACAACTAGCGCTTTTCATTCAACTAAATTATTCTTGTTTTCTCGTCGCCATATTCCCACCAAAAGCGTAGCTCCATTTTCTTTCTATAAACCCACACACAACCCACAATTTCTCTATTCGCTCTGACGAATGGCTAACGGTCAAAACGTCAGCTTTGAAACTCTTTACAGTGGCCAATTTACGTTATCAACTCAGTTGATAATACTAAATGACCATATAAAAAGTAAAAGGTTGATCGTATAAAATGTCGAACTGACCATATAAAACAGTAAAATGTTGATTATATGGAAAGCCGAGTTGATCATACAAAAAGTCGAATTGACCATAAAAAATTTAACTGGGTCGCAGACATACAGAGGGAATATTGCTGGTTGGCGCCTGATACTGTTTCCCTGCCGTGGCATAGAATTGACTGTTGAGCCAGCAAATAACATTAACTCGCGCAAGAATGGAGTGTTTTCTTTTGCTTGAGATCTTGACCTATTTGTCCTGTTGAAAGTACCAATTCGTCTAATTTTTGTCATTCGTCTAAAAATGCGAGGAACTTGCAGAACTTGCATTGTGATTGAGGCTCGAGCTTGGATTACGTTGTCTACCATGCGAGTGTCCAAGACACGAGATACTTCAGCATTACCGCATTAACATTTGATTGAGTTGGCTAAAACATTTGTTCAGATAATACTCGAACTTCTTCAAGAAGTTGACGCACGCAGTTGTTGTCGTGATTGCTGCGCCATTTTGCTCGACTCCAGTGAACGAAGACGTCCCGGGGATGTGAGAACTTCCCGCCAAAATACACTCCGTTGACTAGCTGTTGCTTACCGGCCCAAAAAAAGTAATCGATAATCTCGGATGGTGATTTCTTTTTCTCACACAGAAATTTCTCATTCTCAGCAGTTAATATTTATTTCTCGGTATATTGCTACATCAGTCTTTTTCTTAATTAATGTTTTTTCTTTCTCGATAGGTAATTTAAAATCTTGCATGACATTCTCGTACAGTGATTTATATTTCTCATATAGTGATTTTCCAATCTCACCTATCAATCATTGAAACTCGATAGGTAATTTTGAACTCAACTCACTTTTGTCATGTTTGGCTTGTTGTAGTATTTTGGCTTGCCATGGAAGAGAGAAAAAACAAACAAAAACCGGTGATACAATGAGCCTCCCCTATTCAAACACCAGCAGTAAGATCTTTTTTAGGTACACAAAGATTGCAATCATAAACAAAACAAGCACGTAATGTCAAAAAATAGTTGATCACACATTTCACAGCCGTTTACATAATTTTCAAACGCATTTATTATCCCAAAAATTCGATACAATTTTTTGGATACAAATTTCAACCACGTTTTACCGTTATGAGGAAATCGCCTTTGAGACGGTGAAAAAATTCGGGAATTTTCCGAGGAATCTTCGCTATTTGTTGCCTTGCGTGTTTTTTCTTTGTAGCAGTGCTGGGCTTACATGCGTGTGCCTCCGCGAATATATGTCCATTTGCAGATTAAGGAGCACGATGTATGTAATTCTTCTAAGGAACATATTCTAAGATAATGATTGCCAAACTCGGGGCACTGACTAAATATACAATTAGCACTCGGTACCTTATCTAACTCGACGAGCGATTTAGATGCTGTTTTCTGACAAACAGTTTTCAAGGCTTTTTGACGTTGTTATTATGAGCAAGATACAAGAAGCTTAATCTTATCATGAACATCTTTACTGGAATGATGTAGTGAGGAACATACCTATATAGGAGTGAACTAGTCCCCTTCCACCAAACAGATTGGACTGAATTGAGGAGCTCAAGGAGTGACGTCAACTTGAATCCCAAATAGCCTAGAATCCTCATCATAATGACGTGCATGAAGCGTCAAACAGCTTAGTTTGTTAAGGACCTCTGACAATTTACGACAGCCCGATAAATATTAGATAATCACGAAGAAATTAAATTTAAGTCACCTCCATGGCAGAAAGTGTCTTTTGTAGTTACTAATCTTACGTTTTTTTTCTCATGATTCGTTTTTTAGTTGCTTTTATTCCTTTGATTTTTTTTTTTCGATCTAGTTTGGGAATTGGCGATGTGCTTGGACAGCATCACTGCAATCACGTTAATCAAGGACGTACATACCTGTTTTCATAGCAATGAAATATCATGAAAGCGCGTTCATACACGCTCTAACCTTGAAGTAAGCACTTTAAGTAAGCCCATATCTACATTATGGAATGACGGTTATTCCACTCATTCGGTAAACATGACTGAAACGATTATAATGACTTGAATCATGTTTGTCTGAAAGCGTTGTTTTGTGTCGGTTTCAAAATCCGCATAACTTAGTTTCAAGAAGAAACATTAAGGAAAGAGGCAAAAGCAAGGTCATGCAGTTGAAGACATGGCATATTAGGAACATTAGCGGATATCTAGAATGCCAAATAAACACTGAAAAAGTAAATCCTTTGCTTGGCTCTATTTCAAGACGTTTGTTACAAATCAGGCTCACTTCCTACAGAACATCACATCACATAAACAGCGCTTTTGCGCTTCATTGACCAAGCGTGATTCCGGAAATCAAAGTATTAGAAGTGATTTGATACTTATACATGTCATCAAGGTTAAACTTATCGTATTAACCTTATATAATTTTTCTCTTGAGAACGATAGTTTGATGTTTTAATTATTTATCAAGATGTTAAACCTGAACGCACTGAACCTCACGCTTTCAAAAGCTAATTCACACTCAAAAGTTGCTGGAAGTTTTAGCAAAGCAGTAATGTTACATCATAAAGATTCGAGGCAAGATATGCAATGAAAAATGCTGATATCTCAAAAAACTGGTGTTGTTCAGATAATAGCACTCTTGATATTACGATATTGTGATCTTGGAGCTAATACTTGTGTCCTTGTGTAAGTGGACATTACTGTTAGAAAGCGTACGGCCCTTACTGAGACAAAATAGTTTCTAAAGAAACTTTGGTGCTGCGTCGGTGGGAGAGTAAGGAATTGCAGAGCTGACATTTCGAGCGTTAGCCCTTCATCAGGGCGAAACCAAAAGGGCTAACGCTCGAAACGTTAGCTTTGAAACTCTTCACAGTGGCCAATTTATGTTATCAACTCAGTTGATAAAACCAAATGATCCTGTTAAGGCAAAGATATATGAACTTTACATTCACATTTGATGTACAATAAAGCTAAAAGATTGGCTTAAATTTTATTGGCTATATATCAGAAGTAACATAGTATTCGTGACGATACTAAAGCGGAGCGAACATGCCTATTTAGACCATTACTTGAAGCATATGCCGCATTGCTATATGTAATATCTTATTTAGAACTATCCATCTCAGTTGCCTCTTGGATATAGATTTCACTGCGGCCTTTTCCACGTCTCACTTTGAGAAAACAAATGACTCCAATGATCGCTATGACGACAAAAATGGCCGCTCCTGCAGTAGCAGCTGCGATGACATACCCTGGTGTGCCATACGATGCTTTTCCTGAAAAGGAAGACAGCTTTATAAAACGATAGTTAAGGAAGACAGCTTTATAAAACGATAGTTAAGGAAGACAGCTTTATAAAACGATAGTTAAGGAAGACAGCTTTATAAAACGATAGTTAAGGGAACTACATGACGGTTTTAGAATAATGTTGGAAGCTTGCCATCTGCAATCCGTGTAAAACTATTCCTTCTTAATCTTCCACGTTCCTTTCTTTCCACCCTTTTTTTGCCTACAGCCCTCAGAAAAATATCATTTTAAGACATTATGCTGGTTTAAGGACATTGCCTAGTGGTTTAACACAAAATAGGCGCAGATATTTGGCGACTTACGCATGACTTTCCCTTTCCCCATAGAGAGCGAAGATTAACATGAGTAACGAGTTTGTGTTGCAGATTTGTGATATTTTGTGTTTTCAGATTAAAATGTTATGGTTTTTCGATGATCAAATTTTCTACTTGAACCATTTTAAGGGACTTTCTTTTTTCATCAAGCAGAACCTTAACGAGGAAGTGAAAGTTACGTTCTCTTCTTGCAATACTCTTTTAGTTACAGCAGAGTCTAACTACATAGTAGTTAGGCATATCTCACTGAATTTATAAAAATCTCAGATGGGGCTACATACAAACTGCTTCGAAGAACTGAGGTAACAGAAAATCTATGAAAAAAAGTTTTTGGACTTGATTGAGATATGGCCTTATATTTTTTGGCACGCTCATTTTTGCGAATCAGCCTCAATCTGAAGTCGAAAAATCTGTTGAAATTAAATGCCGAAAAAGTTTCAAGCAGCAACCAGCCTAGTTAGGTGACCCGGCATGACTGAAGCTGTTTCGCTGGAACCCAGAAATATCACATGGCTTCTCCAGAGCTAAACCTTCTTCATGTCGGATTGACCTAAAATATATTGTCCCAGTTGGGGATTGTAGATTGGAATGCCATAAATCACTCGTAGGTTTGGAGGTGTTTCAAAGGAGAGGAGTTTAACTTGTGGGATTCATTCATCGTTATTGAAAATCACTTTACCAGGCAGACAGCTCGGAGTTGAGCCGTTCCACTGTCCCTGCAAACAAGATATGACAGACGAGCCATGCAGGAAGAAACCAGAGTTACACTGGAATCGGTAGATGATTCTGCCATCTTGAGTATCGTTCCTCACAACGTTACCATTACCAATTTTGTTCTCCATGGGAATGCATCCTGTTAGGAAATATCGGTTTCAGCAATGTGATGGTGTTAATACTGAACCAAAATGCTTTTATATGATTGGTTCCAGGCAGCCTTTATCAATGGCTTAATTAGCTGTTCCACAAGCAAAGTTTCTAATTTACCTGTTTGGTTAATGGCAACTAAAAATCGGACAGGTGAAATCACACCGTTCAAAACGATAAGGAATTAAACAACTATAAAGATTTTACTGCCGAGTTCAGTGCTAACCCAACAAAATTGAGAAAAATCTAAATTGAAGATGCTTTCGTAATTCGTCATTTCGCACATTATCCTCATTATTGTCATCGGTATTGCCATAGATATCATAATCATTATCTTTATATCACTGCTATGACAAAGCAGTCATGATCCTCCTTTCATGCCCAAACTCACCGGGTGTCTCAAGGTCATTGGTAAGTGAAAAGAAGTATCCCACAGCTTTCTTTGCTGCCTGGCCAATGCTGACCTTTCCAGTAGCCTTGATGTCAAACAGACATTGCTTATTATCACCGCATACTTTATATGCCAGGTGACCCAAGGTTGCGTTGTCAAACACCATGTTATCTGGATCCATAAATGTCGGCACGTACTGTTTATCGAAATAAGACGTATGGTTCTTGCCTTCCTCGTAGGTGAATAGAGAATTATCTGCGTTCGTTGCCCCTGGGAGGAAAGAACTTCATCCGTTATTCAATTTTCGAGATCTTTGAAGATATAACCTCAAATTGATAGACTTTCATTCACAACTTGGTCGTGCTAGACGTGTGAATGTTTTTTTTTTTTCAAGTTTTTGCCATTGCTGCTAAATATTAGGAAACCATTTTCACCGTATGGAAAAATACAGCGATGAAAAAACAACAATGCAAAAAACAGTGTAGTGTTCATTGCTGCAAAGATAATTCTCATCTTCATTTATTTATCCGCAGTTCAAATTTATGATAATCCTTTAAAATCACGCTCGCTCATTATGAGCTCCAAAATCTGCATAGAAAATAGCAGGTTTTCAGTTAATTATCAGTTGGTTTTAGAACGAGACAACTTATGAAAACCTCTCATAGATAGTCCGGGTCCTCTTGCCAAGGTAAATTATCGAGCAAGGAGGCTGAGAAGGTATATTTATACCACCTCACGTAAGCAAAAGTAACTACACAATACTGCAGAAAAATTTGTGATTGCAGTCCATTGGGTTACAACAATTGAAACAGTTTATGCAGAAAAAAATTGGAAAAATTTGAGGTCAATCGAACAGTAAAGTTAGAAAAGATATCTAAATATAAATATTCCTCATTGAAATATTCAATTTATGGTAACTGACTGCATCCGCTAAGCACTATATTCATATGTGTGTGTCAACTCACGAACCTCAAGCCCAGCAAGAAGTATACACACATACAGCACTTGTAAAATTAACTTGATCTTCTGCGTGACATCATTATTATTACTGAGTAACTTTATTATATGCATAGTGACACTGACGCCGCCTAATACTTACACAATTGACCAAACTCGTAATGAATTCTGGAATGGGTAGAATTATGGCTAAGACTTGCTCCGCTGGGAAGCAGAAAATCGTTCCCTTGATTTCCGTCCCAGAATCCTAAAAGGCCTCTGGTATGTTCTAAAGGAAATCGAAGAAAAGAGAATATAAAGTAAACCATACGCGGTGAACTGTGGTCGAGTAAAACAAACTCCTCCAACGTATTATCAGTAACTACTGTCGTCAAGCGCTGATAGTAAGGATGAAAAGTGCAAAATGTTGTTTGCGAGCAGGATTGGTGTATTTACCACCAATTTGGGAGAAATTCCACAAGTTAATGTGGAAATACAGGCGGTTGTGGTTTGCAAAGCTTTAAAATTCGAGTTTTAAGCATGCCAAAGGTTTAGTTCTCCACAGGGGAATAACAATCAACCTAAAAAACCATGCAAAAAATACCTTTAAACTCTGGTGGCACCAGTAGCATAAACTGTAAAAGATCCTCCACCCTCTCAATTGTGACGGATAGTCCAGAGTTAAATATGACGGAGTATTTAGATGTGTTGTTATACTTTATTACTGTGGCGCCTTGAAAATCCATCATAAACTGTTCATCGAATTCCACCAGAGCACTATTAACCAAAATTTCTATCTCGCGGCGGCCATTAATGTGTATCTGAAAAAAAAGGGTAATAGAAAAGGTAATAAATATACAATAACAATAACAATGGTAATTATCGTGAGCAGTGATCAAGCTAAGATACACCGCACACCGCATTCTAAAAAGTTCTTGAAGGAAAGGGCTACTGTTCTTTGCTATATAAAAACGATCCTTTCGCGACCATGGGTTAAACTCAGCGTCATGCATATATTTTTCCTTTATTTTCATGACAACAATATGTTCCAAAAGATTATCAACACTTAAGCGGATAAAAAAGGACATTTATTTTCACCTTTTGGTATGTAAATTAAAAAGGGTGACTAGTATTAGCAATGGCTTGTGTGTGTCTCCAAAGGGATGTAAAATAGATTGAGTATAATCTGTAGCGACAAGTAGAGAAAGGAGAGTACTGTTAAGGGCTTATAGTCTCATTGGCTAATGCTGTAAACCTGGTCTCTTCCTGATAGGTCGATAAACCTTAGGCGTGTGTAATGAAATGCCTGTTGCGAATACCTCATTTGAATGATTTACGGGTGATGGCATCTTTAACGTTATCACTAATCGGTGAAATAACATTTTACGATTCGTTACTAAAGATACTCTACCTGTACAACATCAGAACCATTTTCTTTCATTGCAAACGCTTTGAATACTGTACCACTAGTACTGCTGCCATTATCATCGATTAAAGGTTGCATTCGTCCCTGAAGCTCAAAGTCAATAGGAGGTATCTGGAGGACATGATACTCGCCATAACCATTGAAAGTGTACTCAAAACCGTCGAGCGTAATCATGTGAGGATCTGTTATTCCAGTTGCTAAATAAAAACAGGACAAATAATGAATTATTTTAACAATCATTTAGCATTACATTAATGTGTTTTTTTAATTATGTAGAGTTGATGACAAATAAATTTTGACCAAACTGAATGAAATAGACATAGAGTTAACACTGACTGACGAAGGAATCGACTGAGCAATCCCAGTTACGCGCGCGGAAAAACTATACACTTCACGACTCGAAAAATTTCAGGACCAATGAGAAGCAAGCATTCCCAGTCAAAAATAATCTCAAAGGTCAAGTTCTTTCTAAACTATAGGTTTATTACCAGGCCTAGGAGGTACGTAGCGGGAACCATCATCTGAAGGTCTTTTCTCAAAGTAACGTTCACAGTTGTCAGAGAGCAGGCAGCAATCCAAATAAGGAACAAGATCTTGAAAGAAATGTGACAAGGCTGGCACTCCAGCCTCAATATGGTATCGATCAAGGGATCCTCCATTTTGTGGACCAATCATCAAATTTCCTGGTCTAGAGTAGCAGCACTGCTGTCCAGCACCTTGCTCACTGAAAATAAAAATAATTGAGGACGAACTACTTAGCTATGCAAAGGCAAAGATTGCCCCTTGTGGTTGCATAAAATAATGCAAAGGCACGCAAATTTTAAAAAAGTTTCATAACAGTATCACGCCTGGGCACAAAATACCTCGGAATGTTTGCCCTAAAGCAATGAGAGGCTCCAAAATGATAAAGAACACATTGGTACGGATCGGCTGTAGGATTGCAGTATTCGTCCAAGGTAAATCGGCCGCGGTCTGCTTGTGCTTGAAGAAACGTTTGTGGACAAGGAAGGAGGGTGGCATCATCTGTTATGACAAAGAATCACAGAGAGAGCATCAACGACTGAAATCGATTTATGTATCTTGTGTTTTCTGTGCTTTTCATTCTCCATCGTTAGTATTGGGTGTATCTGAAGGCAGAGTTGCGGTTGCTCCTTTACTGTGCAATCCCTCCCCCCCAACCCTGGCAAAAAAATAAATCATCCAGGTCATATTTCGAACACTATGGCTATCGAAAATCTCCTCTTCCATTAAGATGCATGCTTTTGTATGATGTTTTTAACGTGGATAAGCATCTTCCCGGGAATGGGGAATACAATAAGTATGGGAAAAATACATCAAAAAGAACATTTTTGAAACATTTCCTATTAATAATAATACCATTCAGGTGGCTCGTGACAATTTACTGAACCATTTCTGAAGTTTTGTAAAGGTTGAAATTTTATACCTGTATATATTTGGGGATCGGGCTGCCTATCGTGCCAAAACATGCATCTCTGCTCGGCCAGTCCATAGTTAAACCAGTAAAACATATCGCTCCAGATCCACTCGGCCGGTGAATTGCTGAAGTTGTCAGATATCTTTTTGACCAACACCAATGTAACAAAATGGTTATCCCCAACTGCTGCTCTGAGAATTTGAGTAAACGAAACGTTACAGTCTAATCAGTTATAAGCAGCACGTTCAGTCACTTCGGTCTAGTAGGTTGAAGAGTGCTTGGAGAAAGCAGTTGTTGTGATGTTATGATTCCCATTTTTCGTGTTCTTCCATGGAAAATAATTTATAATTTAGCTGAAGAATCGGAAGAAAACTACTAACTGTTTTTTTCCACTATTTCGAGTGGAAAGCTGCCGACTGATGTCACCTACAAAACAGGCAAAGATACACGAAAACGATGCTCCTTTCTCAAAATTTAAATTCCTGTTTATATTCTCTTTCCCTTTTAATAACAGTGAATGATCTTGAAACTTGGGTAAAACGACTCAAAGTATTGAAAACGGTAAAATCAAAACACAAGATGTACACAAACATACTAAATAAGCAGACTAGCGTCATTCGGACGCCAAAGTTTTTGCTTACCCCTGTCCCTCTCCTTCTGGGACAGTAAATTGACTTTCTCCAGTATTCTTTTGTTCTTCTTTTAAAGAAAACATGCTATGAAAGTAGACATCATCATCCTTCATTGAGAAACGCGCCAAAAGAACAGCCACCGAAAGGGTGTCAACTCCGAGGTGCCCTGGATCCCAGTTGATCTTGACAGGAACATTTTCACTCCAGGAACTTGGAACCAGCCGATCAACACGAGGGGGAACCCTTTTGATGTTCACTATAGAGAGTGAGAACCAGTTAAAGTTAATGTTCGCTTTAATCTACGCATGAAACCATAACCATTCATGGAGTATATTTCTTGAAATAGTTTCGTCCCTTATACATCCATGATTTGTCAGATATTTGCTAAAATAAACTGAAAAAATAATACTGAGGCAACAAAAGGTTAAAAGATTTGAAAAAAGAAATTTACTTTACCAACAGTTAAAATCCCTCGAAAATCGAAACTTTTTCCACCATTGATCGACATTTTGATTGTCAATCTCCCAGTTACATTCAGCATAGGCACGGTACAAGATGACTGTATGTTGTTTATGTAGGTTCCATTACTCAATTTTCCTCCAGGGAATTCACAAACGATCAGATTTGATAGTTCGTAGCAAGGCCCACCGACAAATATGTTATCGCCACCGAGCATCATCACAGAGTGGGGCGACACGACAAGAGATCCTGCAAACAGCGAAATTCAGACCATGAGTTCTTTACAGTGTATTACGTCCTTCTAGTTATATAGAGCTCGTGAAGTCCACGTAATTATTATTTTCCAATTTTATACTGATATTTTTGGTGTACAGCACAACCATGCAAGGTAGCTCTTTTACTCATTACTCTGTAGCCTTTCTATCACCTACCAACAGCTTGCACGATCCCTCAATCACCTGATAAATTATGCTTCGTTATGCTTCTCTAAGAATTTCGGCGCGATTTTTTAAGCTGCGCAAACCCTGACTCAAACCTTTTTTTTTTTTTACATACCCAATATACATATCATCAATAGGTATGCTGTTACCTTTTGTGTTGCAGCCACCTGCCTCGATCTTTGCGCTGTCAATACGGAACATCCATCGCCCAGGCTTTCCTACATTAGAATTTGAGCTAACATTGATAATCCTATCTGTGGCTGATCCCGGTACGTTAAAATATCTTATACCGTCCCCAGCATTGAAGCCTGCCTGTTTAACAGATCGAAAAGAGCACGGATCGGTGAAGAGAATAGATGAAACAACTATTTTTCACCTGATAAAACCCTCTCCGAAATAAAAAGAAAAAAAGGAAGACTCCACTTTAAAGAGGGTGTATATAGGTCCAACGCGCAGTTGCTTAAAATTGCATGTCACTGCTGTTGCACTGCATCGTTTATGATCAACTGATTCAAGATACCTGCGCTGGAGAACCTCCAAGCCCGCTTACATTCCCTCCACTGGCGGTACCTGTTGTCCATGTGATATTGTTGTAATTATAAATTACAAATGAGTGTTTACCATTGGTTATGAGAACCGCCTGAAAAGTGTTTGTCTGGTGAAAAGAAACAGAAACTATAATGAAGACATAGTGATCGGCAATACTGGACTTCTACCTCTACTTCTATCCATTGGGTAGAGTAGAGGCAGGCAGACAAACAGATGAGAATGCCTATCTTGAATTTTTAATTTAAACCAAACGAGTGTTCTTTAGAGCCTCTCTACACCAATTAGTATACATAGGAGTATCATGCACTGAGCTGTCGCAAGGGTAGGGGGATGGGGTGTGGGGGGGGGATGGTTTGGAATAATGAACTAGTATTTCATTTAGGTTGAGTATGAACATTCATTTTTCTTCTTCAAATAACGGAACCTGGAACATTTGCTTTTTAAGCTATGCGAGTTAGTTTCGCCTGCGGATTTTACCTTTTTTGTGTAATTCCCACTGGCACCATAGAAAGCCACTTTATACCATGTTGCAACTAGCAACCACGTGGCCCGAAATTTCCTTTGACCCACATAGACGCTTTTGACGTCATCAGTGGCCTGTTGAAGTAGATTAGGATCTGTTGTCTCTCGGTAGAATACCTCTCCTCCATTATTTGTATTAACATCAGCCCAAAATGACGCCACCACGCGACGATTGCCATCCAGAGGGAAAGTATCTGGTGTGTATTGTGAAACTTGCACAAGAAACGAAATCACGCCATTGGTGTTGACCTAAGGGTCACAAGTTTGTTTATTACTACTAACTGAAACGATCCGGTTCCTACAGTCTGTTCAGAGTAACTCAAAGTCAGGAAAGGGGAAAATAGGCTATGCATCCACAACGTATATCATGATTATCTATGGCGAGCCATGCTATGCTCAAGGAAATGGCTAACTTGGTTGCGTCTGCATTATTTCATCAAACAGTGGAAGCTCTCCCTTTAGCACCCAGACTCTGTAAGGTCGGTTTATTGGATTTTGAAAATATTCGGTGTTTGCTCCCTCAATTTAGCCTATGATGACACTGATTAAAGATGGAGACCTCACAAACTCCTGAAGCAATCCGATATATACATGCTTACGGCTTTCGTCTCTCACTTCAAACATATAACATAGCATTTCTGTTGTAGCCACATTAGGTTCTAATGATAGTTTCTTTTGCCTGCTTGGCCGTTAAGACAACGCGCTTAAGTCTCAGAAATGAAAGTTTCTTCGGTGAAAGGCCCTTCTCTATGTGGGTCATATACAAATGAGAAAGGCATTGAGTTGCTTTCAGTTATTGTATGTGGCTTTCCCTAAACTGAATTGATTTCTGATATTAATTGAGGTATTAGAACATTTGAGTTACATAACTGGTAGTCTTAAAAACAAAGAATTTTATAAAATAATTCAAATAGTACGCGCGCTCTGATTGGCCATAAAACCATCTTACATGAGCGTATGTAAACACGGTTTTCGTTCCTCTTTCATTAGTTATTTTATAAAAGAAATGTAAAATGGTTTCCGTGTTTACATAGCCTGGAAAGCTGGAAAGCTGGAAACCACTCCGCTTCGCGTAGTGGTTCCTACGCTTATCTCGTGTTCTCCCAACCTACCGCGTGTTTACATCAGGCTATGTAAACACGGAAACCATTTTGCATTTCTTCAGTGGTTGGAGAAAGGAAACAAGGACGATATCGGACCGATAGAGCCGCTCAGTCAGCTCGGTACAAAATGATTAAACGGAAAGTTGTCACGATTAAAAAAAGTGACAAAATGTAAGTAACACAAGTAATACTTATATGGAAAATTAACTATGTTTTCACTTGAATATGAAAGCGATCTTCGCAGTAATGAACTTTACTTGAGCAGTAGTGAAAATAAGGCGTAACAAAAAACTTAAGCCTGTATGGGATTTGAACCCATCATGGGACCTCTGCGATACCGGTGCAGTGGAGTACCGGTGCAGCAGAGCACTGCTCCGGTATCGTAGAGGTCATAGGTTCAAATTCCGTGCAGGTCTGAAGTTTTTTCAGGCCTTATTTGCACTACTGCTCAAGTAGTGTTCATTACTGCGAAGATCGCTCTCATATTCAAGTCTTTATCCGCAGTTCACATACATGATTTTCATATATTCACAGCCATTCTCTTTTACTGCCGCTGATATTGCAATATCAGCACAAATATAAAGAGATTTGCAATCATTTAACAAAGGACCTATTAGAAGATAATGTATTGGCTATTGACTTCTTCTGCCTTCTTTCACCGATGGATGCTGAGCAATTACATTTCGTCGACATATCGGAGGAACCAAAAAAGCAGAGAGCTGAATTTCTTTTACAGTATACTTGCAGAGGGGCCTACCAGAGAACAAAAGACCACATATTCAATGTGTCCTTGAGAGGCTGGTAAATGGTAATCAGGTTTCACGACATGTCAGGTATACAAGTGAAACGTGCCTGTTGTATAAACCAGCTAATGACGCCATAGTATGTGGCCTGAAGTGGCGGTCAGTGTTCAATATCCTCCTCTACACATGCATGCTCGATTAAAGTTCAGTTCTCTTGATATGAGCTAAAGTACTGAGCTAAACCTTAATGAGTTTAGCTGTATTTTTATACACAAAATGTTAATTTGAAATACTCTGTTAAAATTTTCTAACAAACTTAGTGTTTTTGCACGCACGGATTGGTTAGTTCGGGGATGATCAGTGGCGATCGGCGATACAAATATTCACCGTTTGTCATCGAAACCTAAATGGGTAATTGTTTTTGTATGTACGAAACCAGTAGCACACTCAAAAGGAACGCAAGAGAAACCTTTGATTTCGCCTTAATTTCTGCATAGGCAAAGCCGTTAAGAAAACTTTGATCGTAAAACCAAACCCCACAATATTTAAGCATTTTAGCATACCCATAGATCAATAGGATTAAATTCTACATTGACCAATCACTGGCATGTGATTGGTCTATTCAATAAGTATTTCAAATACTGTTACATCACTCAAGTTATATATTTTGATACATTGAACACAAATAAAGAGCTAAAACGAGACGATTTTCAGTCTTAAACACAAAGGCTTTCACTGAGGTTGAATGGCCGTTACAAGCGATAAACACCATTAAATTTGAACAGGACGTTACCGAAATGTGCTGTTTCTTTTCCAACATTACGTAAAAAAAAGGTCGTGAAGGTGATTATTTTTACAAAGGATAGATAGCACTCTTTATGTTTTATTCCATAAGAAATCAAAATGTTTCAAGGGAGGTCTCCTCTGTCTGGAGAGGCATCAGAAAAAAATCAAGTTACATAATTAACACTTGTTTGAGATCTGGATGATATTATGCAGGTAAGTCTAGGCATAACTAGATCACGACGTTTTCTGTTTTTGTTGCTTTCACTGTTGTTTTTTACTGTTATTAACATAATTAACATTTTGTTTTGTTCTTTTTTCACTTGAACCAAAAGCGATTTTGTACAGCAGTTGATAACGGTACATGGCGTACTTAAAGCCACTGGAAAGATTGGAATGCAATAGATACAGAAATGTTATACTTACAAACAGCGAATTGTGATTTCTGTCGAAGAAAGGAAATGGAACCGATATTGGTATCGTCCCAGAGCTCCCATCGTCATTTGTAGGAACTAGCTGGTCGCCCTCACTCTGACCAAAGGGATAAAAGTTGGGAAGCACAAGAGCTTCTAAAATGGAAAGTTGGCTCAAAGCAAACAGAGTAAGTTGCACTGATGACAAAGCTGACTTCATTCTTTGCACAAATTGTGTGGAGATTGCTACACCAGGATACAGATTGAATTGTTCTGACCAGCTATGGACAGAGCCGTTATGTAAAGCTTGAATTCTTCTGACGAGTTCTGTGATTGGTCAGTAAATAGTTGTAAGTACCCGCCCCGATTCTCACATTTTGAGTGGCTATATCTCACTAAAGAAGTTTAATGAAATATTCCTTTCATAAGCTAACGGAACTACGATCATATTAGCGAACGGAGACATCATTGTGGTAGGATGTGAGCGCATGTTAGTTCTTTTACCGGCCATGAACGTGATCAACGTAAATTAAGTCGTAATTTAAGAGCACTCAATAAATCATCAGCAGCCGGAAACTGGGAAACTTTCGCACGTCTTTTAAAACTTTAACCGTAAAAAGTCATGTCAGCTAGCTCGAGACTTACTTCACTTACTTCACCCCGTTCCCATTTAGATCAATAAATGGAAAACAAAACTTGCACACATATTCAGTTATAAGAGCAAGTTTTTACAATTTGTAATTGAGTAAATTTCATCTGACCCGTAGATCAATTCACATAAAGCTATGATTCAAGCAGTTGAGCTGCAAGCGGAAAAAGCAAGTTATGTTTGTAAGAAAATGCTCCTGTTCTTTATCGTGTTTGTCAACTGTACCAAATATTAACAGCACTGGCGAATTCCCCACAAATCGATTTAAAAACGTGCGGAAGCTTTCAAAAAATTTAACAGTTGAAGTGTGCATACGTGAGATTCAAAGCAGTCGAGCGTAACCCGGAAAATGAAGTGGAAATATAAGTTTTTTCTTGAGATCATATCTGGTGCACGCAACGGCTCTGACAAGTTTTTAGGCTGCCTGTGGATTAAATTCAAAGAAAGCCATGATTCTAGCAGTCGAGCTACAAACCGGAAAAGCAAGTTTTGTGTGGAAGAAAATGACGCTGATCTTGATCGTGTTTGTCAACTATACCACAGTTGAAGTGTGCATACGTGAGATTCAGAGCAGTCGAGCGTAACCCGGAAAATGAAGTGGAAATATAAGTTTTTTCTTGAGATCATATCTGGTGCACGCAACGGCTCTGACGAGTTTTTAGGCTGCCTGTGGATTAAATTCAAAGAAAGCCATGACTCTAGCAGTTGAGCTGCAAACGGGAAAAGCAAGTTTTGTGTGGAAGAAAATGACGCTGATCTTGATCGTGTTTGTCATTTATACCAATATTAACAGCACCGGCGAATCCGTCAAAACTCGATTTTAAAGCATGATGAAGCTGTCAAACAATTTAACTGTTGAAGTGTGCGTACATGAAATTCAAAGCAGTCGAGCGTAACCCGGAAATTGAAATGGAAATGCGTTTCTTTGAGATCACATCTGGTGCACGTAACGGCCCAGACAAGTTTTTATGCTACTTTTTTCAACGAAATTCAAGCGCTTTCGCTGATGGCCGTCATAGAGGGCCACGGCCATCAAGAGATCAACGAAATCACACTTCAAAGGAAGAAAAAAGGATCGCAGATAACATCTGTTAAGTCATCTGAGGGAAAGAGGTGGTAGATGTTCCTTTCCAATTATCCACAATAACAAAATACCGCAAGTTTAAGTGAATAAAATACAAACTTCGACCGGATTGTAATTTCTCAGACCCTGAGGTGATTGAAACGCATTTTTAAGAGATTACAATGCCCCATCCTTTTCCAAAATTTCTGATCACAACAAACACTGATACATGATGGGCGATTTTAATCTCGATCCACTCCTTTACAATCATCATATACCCACGCAGGAATTCATTGGCAGTTTGTACCCGTTACGCAAGTTCCTTCCACTAATTTCCAATTCACGACGCTTGACTTCTTACTCAGAAATACTTATAGACAATATATTCACTTATCAACTTCCAAACGATGTCTACAATGATATTATTCTAAATGACCTATCGGATCGCTTTCCGGTTTTCACATATTTTCACGATGAACAGTTGTCTCCCACCGGAGGGAAAAAATTTTTTTAAGCGTTCATTTAACGAACGCAACTTGAATAAATTTAATGGCCTTCTCTCCCGAACGAATTAGTCTACATTTCTTAATGAGGAAGACCTAATAAATCTTCTAAGGACTTTGCAAATAAATTTACCAGCCTTTTTCACGATTGCTTTCCCATGAATATCATCAAAGGCAAAGATGTAAACAAACTCAGTTCTCTTTGGCCAGTTCGGGCCATAACCATTTCTGGATATCGGTTTCGAGCTTTGTGATTGGGTGAGATCAAAACCAAAACAAAGCAAATTTGGCCGAGAGGTGCTGGAAACAAGAATAAGCTAATTTTTTTTTTTTTTTTGTGGCGGCCATGTTGTAATGCGGTAGTAAGCTGAAACAAAATTCGCTAATAAGGACTGGACGTAAGATACCATTAAAAATATTCGTTTATTTCAAACATTCAACATGCATGTCCTCGACATTCTCGCATTCTGGAAGAGTAAAGCGGATTCTTTCTAGCACAAATTCTTTGTAACGCTGTGGTCTATCCACCAAGAGCGTCACAGGAATAAAAGCTCCTCCGCCAGCCTGTTTGTATCTGGAGAACTTCTGGGTAGAGCTTGGCCTCGATGTTAGTGTCCGTTCTCCGTTGATTTCCCTATTTTGGGTTACAAGAAAACCAATTAAATAAGGTTGAACCAAATAACGCGCACTGATAACAATTGGGACGAGTGAGGTGTGAGATCGCGGAATCGGGACAATTTCATTTCTCTCCTGTATAGGTCGAGGAAAGACAATATCTTGTTTCTCTCCGATTTTTTAAATAGACATTATCAATTTCAGTCCATCAAGCCTTTACGAAAAAGTAACAGTAAAGCAAGAAAACAGTAACTGACCCTTCAATTCCTGGTTATTTTGCCACATCGAAGCAAAGCATGCAGCTGTATGTTTAGAAAGTGCTGAACCGTGCCGATCTGCTGCCCTTTGACATCTCCTAAAGTGTATGTCTTTCTCTGCGATTTGCTGAAAATCTGGACTTCTCGTAGAGCCTCTGGAATGCGTTCCATTTCTCGTGGAAGAAGACAAGCCAGTGCATGCGAGTCATACGTGTTGTCGTCTTCACTTTGAATAACAAGCGGTGTTCCACGTAGAGCTTTGATCTTGAAATTATGATACCTGGAAAATAAACGCCAATAAACACATGAGTGGGGTAAAATAAAATCAAGTAGTCACAATCTATATTAAGACGAATACACATGATCGAATTCAATGCAAGAGAATCATTCAAGGTATTTTGCGCGCTATTGATCGATTCGCGGGAGAATCTAGGTCTCAGAACACTACAAATTCGGTCCTACAGCTTTTAGTCAGCAATAATATGTCCTTTACAATTACCCTTTGATTTGAACACCCTGTATAGAAAGTTTGTTTAGGTAATCACTGCAAAGTGTGAAAGCACGAGCGGTGTTTCTAAACGAGTTTCACAATTACAGACAAGTCCCTTGTGGTTTTAGACGAAAATTTCACTCTCATCAGTTCGTGTAGTTAAACTCCAACCTTTGTTTCCGGAATGCTGTAATAGAGACACTTCGGCAAGGCTTTCCACCAATGTGATTTCTTTATTTTCATCTTCATGCCGCTCTTATCACACATTTCCCGGATACGATACCTGAAGATGTGAGAGCTCAGTGAACGAATACCTCTTTGTTTTATGTTTGCCCGAAGGAGAACTTACTCGCTGGATAATCACATTTATGTGTTAGATCCGTGGTTTCCTGAAATTATTTTTTAGTGTGCATTCGCCTTGGCTGAATGAATCTCTCTGATGTCAAGATCGACATTGATTCGAAATTTCATCCAGAGCTCCGATTTAAAAGATTCTTTGTTTGTAGCACTGACCCAGGTCCGTGGCAGATTTGTGCCACAAAGACGACAAAGTGTCTCGAGATACTGAATGTGTTCATCTATGCTGTTGGCTTGATCTGAAATTCACAATGTAGGCTTATAAAGGTCCGATAAATAATTGTCCTTTTACTTTAAATTGGCCAGCCACAACGTATGGTTAAAATTTATGGTTTATACGCTACGACATCCATGTTTGTGACGTCATCAAGTATCCAGAAATGGTTATGGCCCGGACTGGCTAACCCCCGGTCTTTTAAAATTCACTAATAAAAAGAACAGGCTCTACAATCAATCGGTCAGGTCATCCAGTGAGTCCTGCAAATTGCGTTATAAAAGGTGCGAAAACAAACTGAATCGTTTAACTTGAACTGTAAAGCGAGTGTATCTTGACAGTAGATTCAAAGAAGACTTGAAAAATCGACCTCCAATTGACCTGGAGACTGATCAACGAAGTTATAAACAAAAGGAAGAGGAAGCCTTTCCTACCTTCATCATTTCCCACGGAAGGCAGGACTGTTACGAATCCCAAAGAGATCGCTGACAGTTTCTGTAAATACTTTTCCAATTTTGGTCCCAACCTGGCAAAAGCTTTACCTGCAATAAACTATTCTTTCCGTTTATTCCTTTCTGACTTCTATTATACACCTATAACTCTAAGACCTACTGATGTTAACGAATTTGAAGATATTTGCAGTAAGTTCTCATCTGGAAAGGCCCCCATTTATGATGACATCCCAATGCATGTTATCAAAAATTCCTTTCACCTTGTCTCTGCTCCTCTAATGAGCATTGTTAATCTCTCTTTGCAAAAAGTTATTTTTCCGGACAAAATGAAAATTGCTAAAGTGATCCCTGAGTACAAAGCAGAGGATCCCAGTCGGTTCGTTAATTATAGACCATTCTCTTTAGAACCCGCTTTTTCAAAATTTCTTGAATAAGTTATATACAACTGACTTATTGAGTTTACTGAAACGTTAATATATTCTATGGCTGCCAGTTTGGATTTCGTAAAAGTCACACGACTTCACTAACTTGCGTTAAATTACCTTGTTAACAACATTTCTTCCGCTATCTACAGTTGTGAAATCACCGTAGGTGTTTTCTTAGACCTTTCTAAACCCTTTGATACTCTTGACCACCAAATTTTGTTTTTAAAATTGAAAAGTTATGGTATCCGTGGTATGGCTCCAAGTTATTTTTCTGTACATCTAAAATTTGTTCAATTCAACTAAACTTGCTCATTCAAGTAAATTAGTAAGTGTGGTGTCGCCCAAGGCTCAATTTTAGGTCCTTTGTTATTAAAATTACATATAAATGATCATCCCAATGCATCTAAATTAACACAGCCTCTGCTTGTTACTGATACACCAGTATCTTTTATTCTCACCAAGATCTTAAATATCTAGAGTCCGTTCTCAATGATGAACTGTACAATCTTGACATTTGGATGAAATGAAATAAGCTTTCGGCAAATATTAAGAAAATAAGTTACATTATTTTTAAATCGAGGTAGAAGAAACCTGGTAACTTTTCTCCCTATCCTTTGGAAATCAAACATTGAAACAAGTGAATGAATCAAAATTTTTAGGTGTTTATGTTGATGAGCATTTAACATGGAAACCTCACATTAGCTTCTAAGCGAAACAAATCTCTAAGTTAGTCGATATAATATTTGGGGCTAAATACTATTTCTCATCTAAGACTAAGCTTACTCTGTATAAGTTAATTTACCCATATATGTGACCAACTTAAGTAGAATTTTTTACTTACAAAAATGTGCTGAGCGAGCTATCACCAACTCAGACTATCGAGAACACACTGCCCCCATATTTGCAAAATTGGGCATCTTAGATATTTTCCAAGTCAACGCATTGCCAATAGCTAAATTTATGTTTTATTATCATAATCAAGTATTGCCCCCGATGTTCCTCAGCTTGTTCACTGCAAATAAGCAAGTACACAGTTACAATAAAAGAATAGCCATTTGCTATCGACCACGTAACTGTCGTTAAAATCTTTAACAATCTACAATACTCTACCAAGGTCCAAAAGATATTTAAGTCACAGCTGTTGCACCAAAGAATCCTCTAACCTATATTTATGGCATATTACGGGGTCGCCGATATTAACGAGCGTCTTCTTATATTGATGTGCTTTTGGCATCAAATTGACAGACGCCAAAACAATGAGAACTCTGGCCAATACCTCTCTTTAAATCATTGGCTCAGACAATTTAGCGCAACAGATTTTGACGATATACTTGTGTGATCAGTGCTGAAGTTAACACTTTATGGACCAAATTACAAGGAAAAGGAAGTCCACTGACTTATACGATAGACAAATTCCGGGCTCGGAAGTACAGTTTTTGTACTGTCTTCCCTTGCCAGGTTTGTATGGGTCTGCATGAAGTATATTCATGTGCGTTATTGACCAAGCGTGAGGTCAAGATGGCTGGATATTGACCGAAGTCTTTTGTTACGTTGTTATGGACCGCGACGAAGTAGAGGTTCATAAAAACGCTGAAAAAGAAAAAGGTTGACATCCAACCATCTTGATCGAATAAGATTGGTCAAGAGAGACATATATTCCCCAGCCGATCTCAAGTTTTAACTTCATTTTTTGTTTTCATCTCTCCTCTCCGCCGTGAGGGGAGAAAATGAATAGATAAACAAATGAATGAAAAAAAGAAGCTCCACATTTTCCACTTGTAGTTATATGGTACATGAACTGATTACCGAGTTGGAGTGAAGCCATAGAGGGCTAGAAATGCAATATCCCAGGTTCAAAAAGGTATATCCGAGCCTACAAATCGTCCGAATAACAAGACAGCGGTCTCGCTTGTCCAAGTTTGTTAACTTCATCACTGATCACACAAGTATTAGTACGTTATCACATTTTCCAAAGTCTATAGTACTTTAGAGTCTGAGCCAGTGATATATAGAGAGGTACTAGTCAGCGTAGTCATTGTTTTGTCAGCTGTCATTTGATGCCAATCGTTCATCAATAAAACGGTTTGCAGCCAATGCTTGTCGACTTAAGTCTAGCAAATAAGAAGACGCTGATTGATATCGGCGAGCCCGCCATATGACAAGGATACTGGTAAGAGGTGCAACAGCTGTCACTTTAACATCTCAATGTGGATGTTCGCTATAACAACAATGCACTGACGAAGTTAAAAGATTGTATAGGAGGCTTATTTCATTTACGACTAAATGTTATTACATTTAGGACTATTTCATTTAGGACAGTTATTACACTTAGGCCTTCCACGGCCACATCCACATCCACAACTTAATTACAAATATATTGAAAACCGAGGTGGCCTCCCCTAGAAACCTGGCGGTTTCTTGAAGGTTCTTCTCGCCCTACCATACTGTTAAACCTGTATAAATATTTTATCTTAAGTTGCTAATAAATAAAAATGATGATGATGATGATGATGATACATAAGCCGCGTTGTTGTAAATAAATCCTTCCTTCATCTTTTTTTTCCATTTTGTAAAGTCGCTCGTACTTCAAGGTCGTATATCTATACTCGTTACAGCATTGTTATTTCTACGTCTAATATAACGGTAGACCACAATGAGCACCATAAGGAATACGGTCCCTGCTGCTGCAGAAGCGAGGATATGCCACAGTTTCCAGTTCCCCTTCATACCTGAAAAGCAGAAAAGCAGTCTAGATCTAACGTTTACAATGGGTAAAAAGTTTTTGATTGATCGTTTTTTTTTAAAGAAAATTCATGTTGATGATCATGCTTTCTTTCTGTGCAGTTAGGCACCTGCAGTATTCATGACGTATGCAGTGCTCCCGTCTTAGCGTGGTTTACGGCGGTGCTTACCTGAAGGTTCACAGCTTGGTTTAGAGCCATTCCACTGTCCTTGGTAACAACGAATAACTGAAGGGCCTGTGAGACTGAAACCTGTGTCACAGTGGAACTTGAATAACATGGCTCCATCTTTAGAATCCTTTCTTTGCATTAAACCATTGCTAAGCACGTTCTCAATTGGTATGCAGCCTGCAATAATTTAATCTCTGTTAGTCACTTATATAGTGTCAAGGTAAACTTTAGATAAAATCTGTAGCCATGTACAAACGTCTGACTGAACATATCTTTTGTGCACGACAAAGAGTCGGTTCACAACAAGTCCCTAACTGCAATATTACTACCGGAACAGTTCCAGTGTTTTGTAGATCATCACTAAAACTCAATCATTCGGTAATATACTGGTTTGAAAATTGAATGTAAAGGTCAACAAAGTTACCAATTCTGAAGTTGATATTTTAAAACATGTAGCAGCATAATAAGGGATTTGGCAATACTATGTTGCAAAAAGCAACGTTATAAAACTTTTAAGCAGGGGATTACGCATCTCTTCTCTTTTCAGCATTGCTTTTCATCAATCATTTCTCATAATATCCACACTGGACAAAAGAGCCACTAACCTGGGGTCTCTATTTCATTTACGACCACAGCAAACGACTCCAAGGCCTTCTTAGAATTCATCCCAATGCTGATCTTTCCAGTGGTGTAAATATCAAACAGGCATTGCTTGTTATTACCGCACACATTTCGAGCCTGCTGACCGAAGATTACGTCATCAAACACCAATTCCTGATCGAAAAATACCGGTATGTATCCCACATCGACATAAGTGGTATGATTTTCGCCATAATCGTATGTGAATAATGAGTCCTCTTCAGTCGCAGCCCCTGTGAGGATGATATTACGGTTAGGATGACCAACAGTCTTCCACAAATTTTTAACAATTTTCAAGGGTCAGGCCTTAACTGAAGGTTAAGCTGAGCACATTTTCACTACATTTATGTAACTTGGTCACGTTTTAAGAAGTATATTTTAAACAGCAAAGGTTTGAAAAAGTTCACAAATATCTCAAGAGTAGCTTAAAGTGTTTTAACCTAAGTCCTGTGCTTAAAAACCATTTGAGGCCAGGGAAATGCAACTTATCATCAAACTGAAGGCATGACTTTTCCTTCAAGAAATCTTGGATTTTTACAGGTTAGAAAGTAACCATCAGGGCTGCCAAAAGCATGTCAAACAGTGTTAGATGAATACCTCCTCCTAACGAGTAACGTCATGTCACCCTCTGAGTTCTACAGGAGGTACCTAATTAACGTTCTGGTTGTAGGTCTAAGTGAACAAGGATTACTGTAAATATTCAGCGCACGGTCTCAAGTGCATCAGCTTACATTTTTGTCCAAATTCGTAATGAATTCGTGATTGGTTTGAATTAATGTCAAGGAAGGTTCCGTCAGGAAGCAGATATTCTTTTACTTGGTCCCCGTCCCAGAATCCCAAAAGGCCACTTGTGTTTCCTTAAAAAACATAATAAAGAGAGAAAAACGTAATAAATAGAAGTACTAACACTTGAATTAATTTCAAAGAATTCAAATCTGTCGCATCATACTTCAAATTTAAAGCAGAGGATTGCCTTTTACTTGGCGTTGAGTAATCAACAGTAATTGTCGGCAATCTTCCCCCAATTTGCTGCAGTATGCCGGCGTTACCCGTAAGTAGCTGCTTGACTGTTTTACCAATCTTATCAAGAAAATCCAGCATCATTCAGATAGTGCTGAATTTAATTTCATCATTATTTGTTATAACAAAGAAAAACAGCTTCCACCTGTTGTGATCATAAATTCCAGGGTGTCACTTTCGACGGATTTTTAAGATAGAGCATACCTTTATACATCTGTGGCACCAACAGCATCATTTGTAAAAGTTCATCGAACTTCTCGATTGTAATTGATATCCCAGAGTTAAATATGGTGGAATATTTATAGGAGTTGTTGTATTTTAAAACTGAGACGCCATTAAATTCCACCAGCAGTCGCTCATCAAATTCCATCAAAGCTCCATTCACCAGAACGTCAACTTCACTGCGGCCGTTGATGTGAACCTGATCAGAGGGAATTCAGTTCAAGTTGCCAATAGATATTTCTATTTAGAGTCTGTTTAGTTAAAGTGCAGACAATGAAGTCTTTAGGACAAACACAGCACTAGCCTTTCCACTACTCTTTTTCCCCTAAGGGCAAAACATTTTCTTCAGAAAGTAACGGCCATGCGTTTCCCTCTGTTATAAAACAACTGAGAACAAAAATGTTAGGGGAAAAAACCAGCTGCGTTTCATAATCATTAGTTAATGAACATTCGTCCCTCTCTTTCATTCTTTTCAAACTGCACCCGGCGAAAGGTTAACCTCGCTCATAAGTGTTTTCTGAATAAGGAACAGCCCCCTTTTTTTCTTAAGAAAAAGCGAAGGTTAGTTTCTGTTTGGCCAGTGTTTACCTGTACAATATCCGAGCCATTTTCCTTCATCGCAAACGCCTTATAAACTGTACCAAGAGTCTTTCCGCCGTAACTATTGATCAAAGGCTGCATTCTTCCCTGTAGCTTGAACCCAGAAGGTGGTACCTGGAGAATGTGATACTCGCCATAACCATTAAAGGTGTATTCAACTCCATCCAAAGTAATCATGTGAGGATCGCCGACTCCAGTGGCTACAGGAAAAAACAGTTAAAAATAAAAGTGAGTATAATCATTGAATTTTAATCTAATACTTAACCACAACTAGATAAAATTTGCGCCGAAATTTTTGGCAACATTATCATCATAACATTATACAAAACATTAAAAACAGAAATGTACAAAAAAAAGACTTGAAAACTGCAAGTAAGTAAAAGGAAAAATGGCGGGAGGATCGAATGTGATGGAAATAGTTTAAATTCGCTTATCAATTCTATATTCCTTGACCTCTTAACAAGTAGCCAAGACGAAACTTGTCAAGAATCCTAACAATCAGGCCATTTCAATGGACAGTTAGCCACAATAAAGCACTTCACAGAGGTTTGCAGTTTTCAGTACAGCTCCTTTGGTTGAGGAATTACAAACATTAGTAATTTTCCAGCTAAATTTATCCTAATAGTTTTCGTAGCACTACATCTCGAAGTATAATTGACTAGCGGACTTAGTATTTATCCTAGTTTTCGAAGTCTCTTTTCAGAATATCTGTCAAGGATACGTGCCATTAACTCACTTCGCATGGATAAAATGAAACAGGAGACCCATTTGAAACAAAGGATAGTCATAAAGTTACTGATATCCAACCTGGCCGTGGAGGCTCGTAGTTCATGCCGTTATCTGATGGTCTCTTCTCAAAGTACTTTCCACAGTTTTCAGACAATACACAACAGTCTGAATAAGGCATCAGGTCGTGGAAGAAATGAGAGAGAAACGGCACTCCAGCACTAATATGAACCCGATTCAGGGACCCCCCATTTTTTGAACCAATCATCAAGTTTCCTTGTTCATTATAGCAACACTGCTGTCCAGCACCTTGTTCACTGCAAATTGAATGAAGTTGGATGTTCAGTCTCAATCCATGGCATTTGCATACCCAAAGAGAAAAATGTAAGTTCTTCCAACAGGAGATGGAAACCGTTTTTCGCCCTGGTTCTTAACTAATTATAGGAGACGCTTAGCCAGTTCGCTAAGCTAGGTTAGTCTACAACCTCTGAACATACATCTAGGGGACTATTTTAAGAACGCCGTTCGGATCATATGAACTAGCGCGAGCTTTTATTGAAAAACATTATAAGAGATATCTGCGAGAAAGAGCCGAACGCGACGACGAGAAAAAGGCGCAAAAAAGCTTTACGGCCTCGTGAGATGCAAAATGCAACAATTAAGAAAGGGAAATGGAGAAGGAACGGCGATCATATGAAAACATGCTTGTTGACCGAAGTGGGTTGGGAAAGACGAGAATATCTTTGTCTCTTTATCATATATTCCTTCCGACCCTTCCACCCGGGCAATAAGTAAGCAATAAGCATATGGGCTTGATGATGATAGACTAAACTTAATTTTTTTTTTTTTTTTACTGCAGAGTAAGCGACTCAGTCTGTAGACGTACACTCATTTCTGTACGTTGAGCATGTTTTCTTGTGAATCAGATATGCATATTCACCTTGGATTGTTAGTGCTAAAGCAATGCGTTGCCTCCTTGCGGTATACAGCACAGCGTTGCTCAACATCTGGATTACAGTATTCGTCTAACATAAATCTACCGCGGTCCGCCATCGCTTGAAGGAACGTTTGCGGGCAGGATAGGAGGGAGGTGTCATCTGTGAATATGCAAAGAAGTGGCCGCAATTAGGTCTGTCGAAAAACATTGTTATGTAAGACCTCTCCTCTAAGATGTGTACTGTTGTTTCATTAATTTTAAAGTTTTTGTTGAAATCTTCGTAGTGTTGTAATCTCGGCTTCTTGAGATTTGTGTTTGTAGTTACTGGTAGCCCTCAACTAAATGTTTTCTGCCTAGCTTCTTGGGATCCCGTTGAAATTAAAAATGGGCTATTTTGTGATTTACCTGTGTATATCTCAGGATCAGGCTGCTTGTCATACCAGTGCACACATCTCTGTTCAGCCATCTCATAGCTCAACCAGTGGAATGGATCGCTCCAGATCCACTCGGCCGGGGAATTGTTGAAATTGCCAGAAATCCTTTTTACCAGAACCAGTGTGACAAAGCGGTCACCCTCAGCTATTGTTCTAAAAGTTTGTAGGAAAAAGAGTTTTAAAAATCTTCTCATTGAGAAGGTTCGTGTACTTTCGACTAAACAGTGTACTTTTCTGCCGTTGTGATTTGAAGAGAAAAGTTTCTTTAGCTTCGATAACAAAGTATCTGATAACGCAACAAACAATTTATTTTACGTAATCCTTTCTCGATCAATTGGATACTTCCCGAAATGCATTAAAGAAAAAGTGCTAGCTTTTTCATCGTTGGCGATCTACTATAAGCTTCTAATTTAAGGAGGAGGTCCTCTATGATTCATCGTCATTTCGATGATTTTGAAGTTTCTGCAGACTGTTAGTTTCAGTTTATTGAGAATGAAAAGCAATGATAACTTCTCACCCTTGACCTGCCCCTTTTGGTACAAGGAACAGACTGGTTCCGTCATTTTCCTGACCTGCCACTAGATTGAATGTGCTATGAAAAACCACCTGTCCGTCGTCTTTCATAGAAAAACGAGCCAACTGAACAGTTACTCTCTGATTCTCGCCCCCGAGGTAAGCTGGATCCCATGAAATCTGAGCTTCAGCTTGTTCAGACCACGTCTTCGCCATATGCCGTACGACAGCCGGCTTGAATTTGACAATGTTAACTAGCAAGGCAAGAATCAATAAAAACCGATATACACACGCTACTCAAAATTCTGAATCACCTGAAATCCTAACCAATGGAGGTGGGATTGTCATGCTCCGAGACTGACACGCCCTTAAGGTTTTATAGATCCTCTAAGGGATAAAATTGGCGATATGATACTTCTAAAGTTTATCAAATGTATTCATCGTCAGATATACTATTGAAACAGTTTGAGGCATAAACTCTCCCAAAACTTGCTTTTTTTCCAAAAAAGAGATAGTTTTATACGGCATACTCCACTTAAAACCTAGCCTGTCGATTCGAGTTTTTCGAAAAAAAATACACTGAGAGCCTTAGCAAAGTAGTCTTTTATGCTGTGTGAAAGGCTAGGCTTCCAAAGTCTAATCTTACCAATGGTGATGATGCCTTGATAATCGAAACTCCTTCCTCCATTTACTGACATTTTCATTGCTAACCTGCCAGTCAAATAAAGCATTGGCACAGTGCAAGATGCCTGAATGGGACTAATGTAACTTCCGTTGGTTGCTTTGCCTCCAGAAAATTCACATATGATGTCATCTGATGGTTTGAAGCAGGGTCCAGACACGAAAATGTTGTCACCTCCAAGCATGATTGCGTAGCCCGGTGAAATGACAATTGATCCTTTAAAAAGATTGAAATAAAAGAAAAACCTTAGTACGCATCCTTCTCATTACAGTTATTGTCATCGTCTTTGTCACCGTTTTCGTCGTCTTCACCATCACCATGATCTTCGTCGTCAATGTCATCTCTGATGCCTTAAAAAGCAATCAGTAAAAGAATACAGCTACTCGTGACTCAAAATCGAGGAAAAACAACCCTTAAGTGCGTTTCACTCGAGAACATACTGTAGCGCTAAAAATACAATCGTTTGGTTCACTTGTACGCTAGCACCAGCAAAAATTTGACCTAAAACGCCTTCGTTTGTGTAAACCAGGTGTGCAGCATAAACAAATACCAAACTCATTTTTAAATAAGCAAAGGTGGTAAGTTTCTAAAGAAACTGTGTGCTGCGTCGGTGGGGGAGTATAAAAAGATAATTTGGTTCTATCAACTGAGGTAATGATGTAAATTGGCCACCGTAAAGGGTTTTAAAGCTGACGTTGTGAGCGTTGGCCCTTCGTCATTCGCTCTGACGAAGGGCTAACGCTCGAAACATAAGCTTTGAAAGCCTTAGAAGGTGGCCAATTTACACAAACAACTCAGTTGATAAAACCAAATTGTCTAATTTTTAAAATTATTACCCTTCACTTGGTGACTATTATGTCACTTGCAGGAATAAAAGGCCTACACCTCTAACCTTTCGTGTTGCAACCACCTTCCTCGATCTCCGCACTATCAATACGGAATATCCATCGACCGGGGTTCGCCACATTGGTTTTGTTAGGAAGATTGATAACGCCATGAGTGCGAGACCCTGGGATAGTGTAAAAGCGTTTGCCATCACCAGCATTAAAGCCTGCCTGTCAATAAAAAATGAAGCGACGGTTAAAAAGTTATTTAGAAAAAGATGCCTTTTAGAAATAATCATTCAAACAATGTATTATAAGAGGCTACTTCGTACTTGTGCCTGGGTACCTCCAAGCCCGGTCTTGTCTCCTGAGCTTGCTGTGCCAGTAGTCCAAGTGATGTTGTTATAATTGTAAATTACAAAAGAGTGCCGTCCATTTGTTATCATAACCGCCTGGAAAGTGTTTCTCTGGAGGAAAATTGAAAATAGCAGGTTAATTGGCACATTAAAGAACAATCCTCCCAACTTAAATGCGTTTTCCGATTGTAGGAGAGCGTATCACGTGTGAAAACTCACCTATTCCATGTGGTAATGTCAAGTTGAACTTTCGTTTCATTCTTAAAAAGGTCGCACACCTCGAAACCCCAGTCATTGCTCTATTCGATTTGGGAAGGATAACTTAAACTGAATCATTGGGCCCGTAGGGGGACGGCATTTTTGTTTTGGGATCTCGGCCAAACTATCATGATCACAATTTAATTTTCAATTTCCCGATTTTATTTACTTTTATTAACCAAAGTCTCTCGGCCTCTGTTGTATGAGAGGCAGTATCCTAACAATTGGCGCGCACGTATAGCACTAAAGATCGAGATAGACCTTCGAGTCGGGCGTTAGCTAGGTCATTGTTGTGGTTTATAAGAGACAATTTGCTCTTACCAAAATTACTAACAAACTGTACTGATGAACGTTTGGAGTGATTGACTGCGATGGATCAGCATTCCATCTAAGACAAGTTGCAATACTGCCCCCTGGATCGAATCTCCTCCTGTAGATATCTTTAGCATTGCTGAAAATATCATGGGTTGTCTCACTTGATACTAATATCATTTTCCTTAGGGTTTGGGCCAAATAAGACCATGCCTTATTTGTGTAATTCCCAGCACCATAGAATAAGACAATACAATCATACTGACAGTGCTAACAAACTTTAGAAGAAAGCTAACAAGTTTGTTTAGTAGATGCCTAACATGGATCAGCATTCCATCGATAGAGGAAGTTGTAATGCTCCTTCTGGATATCCACTATCCATTCTATGGATATCCAGGACACACGTTAGGGCATACATTAGCATCGCTATAGATATTACAGTTTGTCTCTCTTGATCCTAGTAGTAGACTTTACCTTGTGTGTGAAATTCCTAGCACCATAGAAGGCGACTTCATACCACGTCGCCACGAATAGCCATGTGGCTTTGAATTTTCTGTGATCTACAAAGGTGGCTGTAATATCATTAGTAGCTCGTTTAAGCAGTTGCGAATCTGTGGTCTCTCGGTAGAACACTTGTCCGCCATTAGTTGTATCAACGTCAGCCCAAAATGGCGCCACGAGTCGACGATCATCTCCCAGAGGAAATGGATCCGGGGTATACTGTGAAACTTGGACCAGGAAAGAAATCACCCCGTTGGTGTTGACCTGAAATAATCAATTAAACCCGTAATCTACGGCTAAACTAGTGGAATCTTCAACTTTTCTGTGATACCGCTTTGGTGGCCAAGAGATAAAGGATAACAGCGAGTCCAACTGCGGTTCGTCTGGTGATGGATAACACCCGTTTACAAAAGTAAAAAACTCGGGATGTTAAGAAACTGCGTTAGAGATTTGTATAATTCTGAAACCTGTAATAATAATTATAATTGTAATAATAATAATAATAATAATAATAACGATTTATCGACAGTATTTCTACGTGGTAGCTCTACATCCGTCATACTAAAAACTAACGACTTACATAATGCATAATGTACACAGTGTTATTCAAGAAACATTCACCATTTACATAAAGCACTTAAAAACTGCTAAAAACTACATAATCTAAAATATTATAGATACCATAAGAAACCTGATCGAGACAGCTTATAAGGTTAAACGCATGTTTGCTCTTGCAAGAATTGTACAAGAATTATTTTTGAAAGTATTGAAGTCTGGACACAGCCTCACACTTAGGGGTGGAGCATTGAGTAAAGTCGCTAGTGAGTTCCGAAAAGTACTCTTAACTAGAGATCATTTTTCATTGACTTGTACAAACTGTCGACGGTTAGTTAAGTAGCTCAGAAACCACAGAAACCACTTGGCGTGCCGCACAGGAGTTCGAGTAGTACAGACACCTTCATGTGGTGGAAACACGACCTACTGAAAAACGGCGTAAAAACTAAAAATTTCCGCTCCCATGTTGTTGCTAACGAGATCTCTCTTATTTAATGCTAATAACAAGAGGACCTTTGTCCTGTGCTTATGTAATTAGTGCAAATCCAGCTCGAAGTTAAAATTACAGAATGAGTGCCGAGAGTGAAGTTTTCTTCTGGCAAAGGCTTACTAGGGAAGGAAAGCTAGTGAGTGCTTTCCCAGTGCGAACCCTATTGATTAGCCTTTCTCGTGTTCTTCTACTCTTTGTTCCTCTTTTCTCACTCCGGCAATCCAGAAGTCTTCTTTTTGTTCGTCCTGATATCTGTGAAGTTGAATAACTCGCTTCTTTGACTCCAATAGCCTGTCTTTTGTTATATGTTGTCAAATGACAAAAGGACCATTGTCTTGTGCTTTTGTCATTAATGCAAATCCAGCTCGAAGTTAAAATTACGGTATGAGTACCGAGGGTGAAATTTTCTTCCTGTCAAAGGCTTACTAGGGAAGGAAAGCTAGCAACTGCCTTCCCGGTGCGATTCCCTGCGATTAGCCTTTCTCGTATTCCAACAAATCCGATATTCAAGCCTTGTAATAGGAGAGAAAAAGCCAAAAGGGCGCGGAGCTCCATGATGCGTGTCAATCTCTAACTCATTCACCTCTCTGTCCTTCAATGGTATCAATTTTTGGATAATTATTTATTTAACTTATCAAGTGAAGTCTTAAACTTAGGGTTCCCTAATGATGCCTTGGACAGGAGGAAGCTTGAAAGATCAATTGATTAAATGAAATAAACGAAAAAATTAGACGCTATTGTTGCTTTTGACGTCCTCGGTGAAAGGTTTTTAATGAAAGGCGGGACAAGAAGTAATCTTCCAGTCTTCCTGCTCAAAAAGTTCAAATTAACTCAGTTGGCGTATTTTTAGACAATCTTAGAAGGGTTGAATTACTCTTTGAAATGTCAAGACGCTGTCAGTTATATGTCTTAATTGATACTCCCTGCAGTGGGTCACGGAACAAACACAAGTCATTTGGTTTCTGGAGCAAATATATGTCTCTTGAAGTTTACATGAACATGTGAAATAAAAACTTCTTTTTTTCGCACATATCATCGCTTTGAAGGTTCATGCCTTAAAAATAAAGGTAACGGTTGATTTGGAAAAGAGGCTATGCAGCGTAATCGTGTTATTTCTGTTTCATAAGTTATTCATAGAATTTCCGGTCTGCTGATTTCTGTTTAATCATTTTTCTATTCTCAGTATTTCCGCACTTGAATTTTTTACGAACTAGACCAGCGTTGTTAATATATTCCCACCGATAACGTAGCTCTGTTTTCTTCCTATTAACACACGCACAACCCACAATTCCTCCAATCGCTCTGACAAAGGGCTAACGCTCGAAACGTCAGCTTTTAAACTCTTTACGGTGGCCAATTTACGTTATAAACTCCGTTGACAGTGCTGATTTACCCTGTTATACTCTCCCATCGACGCAGCATCACAGTTTCTTTCGAAACTTACCCCTTTATTCAACGTTGTTATGGTTTTATTGTTGTTAACAATGTTAAATTGTGAATTACGATTCTTTGAACACAGGATGGATTAAACGTCACCACCTAACAACGCGGCAGAAACAAAACACGCCATTGTGAATGAAGTCTACCTCCTTTTTTAATGAACTAACCGCAAGGACCGTTCAAGCTGAAAAACCCTGTTCAGAAATACAGTATCCTACCGAGTTGGTTAACTGAACCTACTTCGACATTTCTGCGACTACTTACATCAAGCATTTCATCACATACCTGAACCATTTCATAGTAAGACTAACTGTAAGGCTTCAAGACAATTAGTCTGGACGCCACTTATAGTAATGTTTGCATTGAGAGATGCCCCGTTTTCAATGTGCCTGTATGTGCAGGATTATATTCAGATTTTTGCGAAAAAAAAAACAATGAGCATACTTACAAACAGCGAATTGTGATTCCTATCGTAGAAAGGAAACTGAATTGATATCGGTATCGTCCCAGAGCTCCCGTCGTCATTTGTCGGAACAAGCTGGTCTCCATCGCTCACTCCAAAAGGATAGAAATTGGGAAGCACAATAGCATTCGATAAAAAAATGAAATGGTTACATAACAGCACGATAATTTTCTCAACTTCCATAGTCTTCATTCTCTGTGCTAATGAAGGGATGTGTTATCTGAATTGCTCGCGGTTAGGCCCGTCACATGCTTAATACACTCAAGTCAAAGGTTATCTTAAACTTCCGATAATGGAAATGCATATGCTGCACTCAATAAGTATTCTCTAAAGTTGAAGATCACCCATAAGGTAACTCCTGAGTACCGCCGTAGTCCCATGACCTTTATCAACTCTTTTTTTACTGATTTCATCATGTTTCCGGTCGCAAATGAGAAACAACGCTTGAACGCTCATAACAAGGCGTTTCTTGTAACATCCGTTTTATTGATTAGAACAGACTCATAAAAAGCGGAAATTGTCACGGTCATATATTTTCTACCTGATCATTGTGTAACTGATTTCCGGGTGAATGTAAACCGTTTCCTGAGATATGCAATACTCGATGCTGGCACTTTAGTTGTATCCGGCCGATTATTCGTTTTCTTTTTTTCTGGAGTGTTGACGCTTGTCTCGGGAGCGATCTGTATATTTTATTTTAAGATATGAAAAGATAGAAAAACAGTTTTTTTAGCCACGGTCAATTTATGAAAATGAAGCTATCATGGGATTAAAAATTTCTTATTTGAGGTAGGGTGGGGTTCCTTTCTCATGTCGATAATATATGTCAACAGGAGCTTAATGGCTTTTGGTGTCAAGTGTATTTTCCTGATATGCTAAATCTGATGACGCAAACAAGCGGAAAACAGTTGAACGAAACATTTCATGCAGTTGTGATTGTGAGGAATGAAATCTAACTTGCGATTGAGTTATAATCAAAGTTCTGAAGCGCACATTCTACGAAACGTTTGATATCGTTGGCAAAAATGTCTGCTTGGAAATCTTATAATTGCAACATATTAAATTACTGCGAATATAGCAAGATAAACCACTACACTAAGGCATAGAAATGACGTTTACAGCTCTTCTCCTTTTATTTGCATGTTCAAACTACTTTGTAAGTGCGAGTTATTTCATGTAGGAAGTATTTGGTGATTGGTCAGATTATGAAATGTACTTCGGTGGCTGATCCAGGGAGGGGGTGCAAGGGGTTTAGAACACCCCCACCCTCCCCTTATCCCCAAAACTGCTGGTATATTTATATCTACCACTTGTCTGAAAACAAATGATTCTTCCATCGACAGGATGGAATAATGCTATGCAACTTGAATCACAGTAAATGGTTTGAACCCGGGGGGTAACATGTCATAGTGTAGTCTGATCGTCCGGGTGAGTGTAGTTCTGAGAAGAACTGTTCTCGGTAGTAGTGACTAACGTTTCGATAATTTGAGGTATCTAAAATTTTATATCATCTGCTTAGTTATTTTAAGGAAGAGGTGTTTCTTATTTCTTTTCCATTATCTATAATGAAAAATAAACGGAAATATGTGCCTCCTACATGGAAGACCCAGAGAAGAAATAGAGACGACACAATAATCCAAAAATGAAGTTAAATTCAAATAAAGGTGATGGTGGCCTACAGAAGTTTAGTTCCTTCCTAACTTAAGGTGATAAATGTGCTATTTCCAGTCAGTTGGCCAACTCACACTATATTACTTTTGTTAGGGGCTGATGTTAAATTACAATCTAAGTACGTAGACGTGACTGGAAAAAGGGTGGGAAGAGCCAGCATATTTCTTTCTTAAAGGTTGTTATAAGGTGTTCTTGACCTGACCGTGCAAAATGTGCAATAGTTTATTCTGTCATGGTGAAAAGACGAAAGACTAATCTCGATTAGGGAGCTCCCAACCTAAACTTCAGCATCGTTATTCCTTGTTTCCATTTCTTTGATGATTGTTCTGGCTTTCCAAGCCTCTCTCCTTTGATTATATGATGATATACGAGGCAGAGTATATTGTCAAGCTGATTTCAGATCGTTGCATGATACATAAGCCGGGTTGTTGAAAGTTAAGTCCGCGTTGATCTTTTGTCCAATTTGTGAAGCTTCTCGTCCTTCATTGGCGTCAGAATTGTTACATCTCCGTCTAATACAACAGAAGACCACAATAACCACTGCAATGAGTACGATCCCTGCTATGGCAGAAGCGAGGACATACCACAGTTTCCAGCTCCTCTTCGTATCTGAAGAGCAGAACAACTAAATTCAAAGATAATACTGGTAAAAAAATTCTTTGATTTTTTAAATAAAATTAAAACTCATGCTTTCATGCTTTCTTTCTGAGCCTTTCGGCATTTGCAGTATTCATAGCGTTCTGTTCTCCCGACTGATTTACACCAGTTAGAGCTCACCTGATGGTTCACAACTTGGTTTAGAGCCATTCCACTGTCCTTGATAACAACGAATAACTGAAGGGCCTGTGAGACTGAAACCTGTGTCACAATGGAACTTGAATAGCATGGCTCCATCTTTAGAATCCTTTCTTTGCATTAAACCATTTCGAAGTACGTTCTCCATTGGTATACAGCCTGCATGAATTTAATATCTGTTAGCTACTTATTCAGTATCAAGACAAACTTCAGGAAAAATCCGCAGCCACGAACTTCTGGCCGATCATGTTTTTTTTCACGCACTTTTGAACTGCGGCAATAATTATCTGGTGCACAATTATCCTTCATGCATAAAACCTCACGCGGAGAAGAATTAGTTAGTTTTCTCAGTATTCACATCTCTCGCTGCTAACGTTTGGATCTCAAGTTTTCCCTGGTCACTGATCACAGGTCACCAATATAACCAGCCCAAGGTTATTTCTGCACGACAAAGAGCCGGTTCACAAGAAGTCCCTAACAATATTACTACCAGAACAGTTCCAGTATTTTGTAGATCATCACTGAAACTCAATCATTCGGTAATATACTGGTTTGAAAATTGAATGTAAAGGTCAACAAAGTTACCAATTCTGAAGTTGATATTTTAAAACATGTAACAGTATCATAAGCGATTTGGCAATACTGTGTTGCAAAACGCAGCGTTTTAAAATCTTCGGCAAGGGATTATGCATCTCCTTTTTTTTCAGCAATACTTTTCATCGATCATGTCTCATAATATGCACACTTGACAAAAGAGCCACTAACCTGGGGTCTCTATTTCATTTACGACAGCAACAAACGACTCCAAGGCCTTCTTAGAATTCATCCCAATGCTGATCTTTCCGGTGGTGTAAATATCAAACAGGCATTGCTTGTTATTACCACACACATTTCGAGCCTTCTGACCGAAGATTACGTCATCAAAAATCAATTCCTGATCGAAAAATACCGGTATGTACTCTACATCGACATAAGAGGTATGATTTTCGCCATAATCGTATGTGAATAATGAGTCCTCTTCAGTTACAGCCCCTGTGAGGATGACATTACGGTAAGGTAACAATTTTCTAGGGTCAAGTCCTAACTGACGGCTAAGCTAAGTACATTTATGTACCTTAGTCACGTTCGTAAGAAGTATATTTGAAACACCAAAGGGTTGAAAAGGTTAACAAATATCTCAAGAGTAGTTTAAAGTGTTTTAACCTCAATCCTGTGCTTAAAAACCATTTGAGGCCAGGGAAATGCAACTTATCATCAAACTGAAGGCATGACTTTTCCTTCAAGAAATCTTGGATTTTTACAGGATAGAAAGCAACCATCAGAGCTGCCAAAAGCATGTCAAACAGTGTTAGATGAATACTTCCTCCTAAAGAGTGACGTCATGTCACCCTGAGTTCTACAGGAGGTACTTAATTAACTTTCTGGTTGTATATCTAAGTGACCAAGGGTTACTATAAACATTGAGTGCATAGTCTCAAGTGTAGTAGCTTACATTTTTGTCCAAATTCGTAATGAATTCGTGATTGGTTTGAATTAGTGTCAAGGAAGGTTCCGTTAGGAAGCAGGTATTCTTTTACTTGGTCCCCGTCCCAGAATCCCAGAAGGCCACTTGTGTTTCCTTAACAGACATAGTAAGGAGAGAAAAGCGAAATAAATAGACATATTAACACATGAGTTAATTTCAAAGAACTAAAAAAACTGTCGCATCGTACTTGTTATTTAAAACTGAGGATTGCCTTTTAATTGGCGTTGAATAATCAAACAGTAATTCTTCCTTCCAATTTGCTGCAGTTTGCCGGCGTTACCTTTCAGTTGCCGCTTGATTGCTTTACTAAAGATACTTCTCATAAAGAAGACTATCCAGCTTATCAAGAAAAGCCAGCATCATTCGATAGCGCTGAATTTAATTTCATCATTATTTGTTATAACAAAGAGAAACAGCCTCGACCTTTTGTGATCATAAATTCCAGGATGTCACTTTAGACGAATGTTTAGGATGGGGCATACCTTTATACATCTGTGGCACCAGCAGCATCATTTGTAAAAGTTCATCGGCCTTCTCGATTGTAACTGATATCCCAGAATTGAATATGGTGGAATATTTATAAGAGTTGTTGTATTTTAAAACTGTGACGCCATTAAAATCCATTAGCAGTCGCTCATCAAATTCCATCAAAGCTCCATTCACCAGAACGTCAACTTCACTGCGGCCGTTGATGTGAACCTGATCAGAGAGAATTCAGTTCAAGTTGCCGATAGATATTTCTATTTAGAGTCTGCTTAGCTAGAGTGCAGACGATGGGGTCTTTAGGACCAACACAGCACTTCGACTACTCTTTTTCCTTTAAGGGCAAAACATTTTCTTCAGAAAGTAACGGCCACGCGTTTTCCTCTCTGTTAAAAAAAAACTGAGAGCAAAACTGTTAAGGCGAAAAATAAACTGCTGCATTTTATAATCATTGGTTAATGAACATTCTTCTCTCTCTTTTAATCTTTTTAAACTGCGCACAGCAAAAGCTTAAACCGCGGTCACAAGTGTTTTCTGAATAATTGACAGCCCCCTTTTTTTCTATAGAAAAGTCGAAGGTTAGCTTCTGTTTGGTCAGTGTTTACCTGAACAATATCCGAGCCATTTTCCTTCATCGCAAACGCCTTATAAACTGTACCAAGAGTCTTTCTGCCATAACTATTGATCAAAGGCTGCATTCTTCCCTGTAGCTTGAACCCAGAAGGTGCTACCTGGAGAATTTGATACTCGCCATAACCATTAAAGGTGTATTCAACTCCATCCAAAGTAATCATGTGAGGTTCGCCGACTCCAGTGGCTACAGAAAAAAACAGTTAAAAATAATTTTTTGAATTTTACCTCTAGGTTCAATCTAATACTTAACCACAACTAGATGAAATTTGCGGCGAATGTTTCGGCAACATCATCATCATTACATTATACAAAACATCAAAAACAAAAATTTGCGAAAAAAAGACTTGAAAACTGCATGTAAGTAAAAGGAAAAAATGGCGGGGGGATCGAATGTGATGGAAATAGTTGAAATCCGCTTATCAATTCCAAATTCCTTGACCTCTTGACAAATTTCCAAGACGAAACTTGTCAAGAATCCTAACAATCAGGCCATTTTAACAGACAGTTGACCATAACAAAGCACTTCAGAGAGTTTCACAGCTCTTTCAGTTTAGAAATTACAAACATTAGTAATTCCAGCTAAATTTATCCCAATAGCTGTCGCAGCAGTACATTTCGAAGTATAATTGATTAGCGGGCTTAGTATTTATCTTAGTTTTCGAAGTCTCCTTTCAATATATCTGTCAAGAAGACGCGCCATTAACTCACTTTGCATGGATAAAATAAAAAGCAGTTTTGCTCACAAGGAGACCCATTTGAAACAAAGGATAGTCATAAAGTTACTGATATTCAACCTGGCCGTGGAGGCTCGTAATTCATGCCGTTATCTGATGGTCTCTTCTCAAAGTACTTTCCACAGTTTTCAGACAATACACAGCAGTCTGAATAAGGCATCAAGTCGTGGAAGAAATGAGAGAAAAATGGCACTCCAGCACTAATATGAACCCGACTCAGGGATCCCCCATTTTTTGGACCAATCATCAAGTTTCCTTGTTCATTATAGCAACACTGCTGTCCAGCACCTTGTTCACTGCAAATTGAATGAAGTTGGATGTTCTGTCTCAATCAATGGCATATGCATACCCAGAGAGAAAAACGTAAGTTCTTCCAACAGGAGATGGAAACCGTATTTCGCCCTGGTACCTAATTAGTTAAAGGAGACGCTCAGCCAGTTCGCTAAGTTAGCTTAAAGTAAAACCTTTGAATATTACTTATGGAATCATCTGAAGAACACCGTTCCGATCATATGAAGCTAGAGTGGGCTTAAATTGACAAACATTATGAGGGATATCCTCGTGAAAAAGCCGAACGCGACGGCGAGAACAAGGCGTGAAAAAGCTTTACGGCCCCGTGAGATGCCACAAGAATGGAGGAAGGAGAAGGAACGGCGATCATATGGAAACATGCTTGTTGACCGAGGTGGGTTGGGAAGGACGAGAAAATCTTTTTTCCTTTTTCATAAATTCCGTCCGACTCTCCCAGCTGGGAAATAAGTAAGCAATAAGCATACGTGCTTGATTATAATAGACTAAACCGATTTTTTTTTTACTACAGAGTAGGCGACTCAGTCTGCTGACGTACACTCATTTCTGTAAGTTAAGCATGTTTTCAAGTTCTTGTGTATCAAATATACATATTCACCTTGGATTGTTTGTGCTAAAGCAATGCGTAGCCTCCTTACGGTATAAAGCGCAGTGTTGCTCAGCATCTTGATGACAGTATTCGTCTAACATAAATCGACCGCGGTCCGCCATTGCTTGAAGAAACGTTTGCGGGCAGGAAAGGAGGGAGATGTCATCTGTGAACAAGGAATACCATCAATTAGGTGTGCCTAAAAACATTGTTATGAAAGACCTCTCCTCTAGGACCATCCTGTTGTGCTGTTGTCTCATTTATTTTAGAGTTTTTGTTGATATTTTCGTAGCGTTGTAATCTCGGCTAATTGAGATTTGTGTTTGCCGTTACTAGTAGCCCTCAACTAAATGTTATCTGCCTAGCTTCTCAGGATCTCGTTTCAATAAAAAATGGGCTATTTTGTGATTCACCTGTATATGTCTTTGGATCAGGCTGCCTGTTATACCAGTGCACACATCTCTGCTTAGCACTCTCGTAGTTTAACCAGTGGAATGGATCGCTCCAGATCCACTCGGCAGGGGAACTGCCGAAGTTGCCAGCAATCCTTTTTACTAGAACCAGTGTGACAAAGCGATCATCCCCAGCTATTGCTCTAAAGGTTTGTGAACGCAAAAAAAATTTAAAAAGGTTCTCATTGAGAAGGCTTGTGTACTTTCGACTAACAGTGTACTTTTCTGCCGTTGTGATTTGAAGAGAAAAGTTTCACTAGCTTCGATAACAAAATATTCGATAACGCAGCAAACAATTAATTTTACATAATCATTTCTCGACCAACTAGATACTTCCCGAGACTCATTGTAGGAAAAATTTAAGCTTTTCCATCGTTGACGATTTAGCGTAAGCTTTGAATTTAATGAGGAGGTTCTTTATGATTCATCGTCATTTCGATGAGTTTGAAGTTGCTGCAGACTGAGTTTATTTTGGGCATGATTGAAAATGAAAGCAATGATGGCTTCTTACCCAACTCCTTTTGACACAACGAACTGACTGGTTCCGTCATTTTGCTGACCTGCCACTACATTGAATGTGCTATGAAAAACCACCTGTCCGTCGCCCTTCATGGAAAAACGAGCCAGTTGAACTGTTACTCTCTGATTCTCGCCTCCGAGGTAAGCTGGATCCCATGTAATCCGGACTTGACTCTGTTCGGGCCACTTCTTTGCCATATGCCGTACGACAGCTGGCTTCAATTTGACAATGTTAACTGGCAAGGAGCATAAATCAATAAAAACCGATTAACATATACCTGAATAAGAGCAAGTGTCAGGTAAGGATACGTCCCGACTTAAAAACTCTGATGCACCATCAATAAAAAACTATATACATATACCTGAATCAGATGAATTGTTAGCTATAGACACGTCAATACTCAAAATTCTGAATCACCTGAGCTCCTAACCAATGGTAGGTGGGATTGTCATGCTCCAAGATTGACACGCTCGTAAGGTTTTAGAGACCCTCTAAGGGGTGCAGTTGGAGATATGGTAATTCTAAAGTTTATGAAATGTAGCCATTTTCAGATATACTAAAGAAACAGTTTTAGGCATAAGCTTAACCAAAAATCTCCCAAGACTTACCTTTTTTTACACAAATGAGACAATTTTGTACGGCATATTCCAATTAAAAACCTAGCCTCTTGAATCGAGTTTTTCGAAAAACTTACTCACAGGCAACACCCGGGTCAACGAATAGACTGAGGGCCTTAGCAAAATAGTCTTTTATGCAGTGTAAAAGACTAGGCTTTACCACAACTTTCCAAAGTCTAATCTTACCAATGGTGATGATGCCTTGGTAATCGAAACTCCTTCCTCCATCTATTGACATTTTCATTGTCAACCTGCCAGTCAAATAAAGCATTGGCACAGTGCAAGATGCCTGAATGGGACTTATATAACTTCCGTTGGTTGCTTTGTCGCCAAAAAATTTACATATGATGTCATCTGATGACTTGAAGCAAGGTCCAGACACGAAAAGGTTGTCACCTCCAAGCATGATTGCGTAGCCCGGTGAAATAACAATTGATCCTTAAAAAGATTTTAAAAAAATAAATAAAAAAACAAGAATCTACATTGCGCATCTTTATCATTACAGTTATTGTCATCGTCTCTGTCACCGTTTTCGTCGTCTTCTTCATTATCGTGATCTTCGTCGTCGTCGTCATCTCATCATCATGCCATAAAAAAACTATCAGAAAAACAATGCAGCTACTCATGACTCACAATCGAGGAACATCAAAACAACTCTTAAGTGCTGTTTTTGGTCGAGAACATACTGTAGCGCTAAAAATACAATCGTGAGGTTCAGTTCTACGCTAGCGCCAACAAAAGTTTGACGTAAAACGCCTTCGTTTGTATGAACCAGTTGCGCAGTATAAACAAACACCAAACTAATTTTTAAATGAATAAAGTGGTTAAGTTTCTAAAGAAACTGTGTGTTGCGTCGGTGGGGGAGTGCACCAAAATAATTTGCGTAATCTACTGACTTGATAATGTAAATTGGCCACCGTAAAGAGTTTCAAAGCTGGCGTTTCGAGCGTTAGGACTTCGTCATTCGCTCTGACAATTCAGTTGATAAAACTATATTATTCCATTTTTAAAATTAGTACCCTTCACTCGGTGAATCTTATGTCACTTACAGGAAAAAAGGCCTACAACTCTGACCTTTCGTGTTGCAACCACCTTCCTTAATCGTCGCAATATCAATACGGAATATCCATCGACCGGGCCTTTCCACATTGGACGTTTTAAAAAGATTGATAACGTCATGAGTGCCAGACCCTGGGATAGTGTAAAAGCGTTTGCCGTCACCAGCATTGAAACCTGCCTGTCAGCGAAAAATGAAGCAACCGTTGAAAAGAATCAAAATCCACTATTCGTAGAAATGGAAGGTGGTAATTGGAGGGATCTTCACTTTATGACAGCATGGTATTATATTTTATGTGCTGCCACCTCTGTTTACCCCCAGTGAAATACACTCCTGATGCGAAGAGATTACCTATGGCGCACACATCGGCAAATGCAACCAATTATCTTCTTTTCCTGAAGCCGGCATAAAATGGCCATGTTTATGTGTGTCTTAAGGATGACACGCTACTAAAGCTGCTCAGAGTTTCATCACCACGGTAGGGGTGTAGCAACTCAGGAATAAGTGGACACAAATCATTTAATACCTTAGGAGAGCTTTAACCCCATCTAGCCCCATTTCTTCATGATTAATACAGCGGAATGGGGAACTAAGACCAATTATAACAAGTGACCAACTCAAAATCAGAGATTTTAAGACGCCTAATCATGAAATTTTCCTGGTACTAAATAATTCCTTTTTGAATAAAATTGTCATTCCTAAGTCTCGGTTGGCTTTGAAGGTTAGTTAAGTTGCCAAGATTTTGAAGGCAAACTGATTAAATCGGGCGTTACTTAGTAACCTTTTTTAGTTAGCAGAAGACACTACCATCTTACTTGTGCCTGGGTACCGCCAAGTCCACTGTGGTCTCCTGAACTTGCTGTGCCAGTAGTCCAAGTGATTTTATTATAATTGTAAATTACAAAAGAGTGCCGTCCGTTTGTTATCAAAATCGCCTGGAAAGTGTTTCTCTAAAGGAAAATTGAAAATGGTAGGTTGGCGCATTAAATATTTACAATGTTTTTTTTCTCAATCATTGCTCATTTTTGTAGTTTGGGATGGGTACCCAAACCGCTACGATGAACCCTCGACCTTCCTAAAGCGTCAAACAGGGGCATTGAATGTTGACGAGTCGACACGATTCGTACGGGTCGACTCGACTCGTCATTAGCAAAGTCAATCCGTTTCACCTGAAGTCGATTCACAAAGGATTTGTCTTGCGATCACCTCGTTTCTGTGTGTTTGTTTTGAAAACGACAACTTTGGAGACCTGAAAGCAACATGGCTTGCTTCTACGAAGATCGTGTTTGTTTATTTCGTCTTTCACAGTCCTTCATTTTGTGGGAAAGAACTTTTAAAACTTGTTTGGTTTATATCGGTTGCCAAGAAGTATGTCTGTTGAGATAAAGAGGAATTTGTCGGTGGGAAGCGGAATAGGCTGGATGGCGACGACACTTTTCTCCGTGAAACAGAGAGTTTGTGCTATTTGCGGAATATTTTCTTAGTGTCTTGCAAATCGACTTCCGGCATGACGGGTCGACATCAACTGTGACGAGTCGTTCGATTCGAGTCGAATCGAGTCGATTTGACAACATCTTCAACCCTATTTATTAGCTACTTGCGGAATATTTTCTAAGTGCCTTGCAAATCGACTTCTGGTATGACGAGTCGACTTAACTGAGAGGAATCGTTCGATTCGACAACATTTTCAACAGCCTTTGACAGTTACTTGCGAGATATTTTTATAAGTGTCTTGCAAATTGACTTCCGGTGTGCGTTTCCATCTAATGAGAGATTTCCGGTATAACGAGACGCATTAACCGCGTATCGACTTCCGGTAAAACGATTCAAAAACTGCCTTTAGACGAATCGTAGCGGTTTAATTGGGTGTATTGGACAACCCTCGGGGTGGGGGGAGTACAACCTTTAATGAATGGCCCTACGGCAGACGGAGATTTTTGTTTGCCCTCGACAGTCAAAATTCCTACAATGCTTCGAGGAGCATTGGTTTTCCTGGAGTTTGTTTGTTTGAGACGCAGTGGCCTGATGATTGACGTGCAGGAGTAGCACTAGAGATCGAGATAGATCATAGAGTCGAGCCCTAGCTGAGACAGTGTAGATAAAACAATATTTTCATACTGACAGTACTAACAAACTTTAGGAGAACCCTAACGAGGGTCTGGAGTAGATGCCTACAATAAATCAGTATTCCATCTACAGGGAAGTTGTCGTGCTTCTCTTGGATATCCATGCACTGGGGCACACATTAGCATTGCTATGGATATTACGGTTTTTCTCTTTTGATCCTGGTATCATTTTCCTTACAAGACAATGGTTTTTAGTGCAATTGCTGCGGTGAATAATTGTTAAATTAAGCCTTACCTTGTGTGTGAAATTCCTAGCACCATAGAAGGCCACTTCATACCACGTCGCCACGAATAGCCAAGTGGCTTTGAATTTTTTGTGATCTACAAAGGTGGCTGAAACATCATTAGTAGCTCGTTTAAGCAGTTGCGAATCTGTGGTCTCTCGGTAGAACACTTGTCCGCCATTAGTTGTATCAACATCAGCCCAAAATGGAGCCACGAGTCGACGACTATCTCCCAGAGGAAATGAAGCCGGGGTATACTGTGAAACTTGGACCAGGAAAGAAATCACCCCGTTGGTGTTGACCTGAAATGATAAATTAAACCCGTAATCTACGGCCAAACTAATGGAATCGTCAACTTTTCTTTGATACCGCTTTGGTGGCCAGCAGCGGAACAGGACAACTGTAAAGACAGCATTATAGCAAAAGATAAAGGATGACAGCGAGTCCAACTGTAGTTCGTCTAGTCAAAAACTCGAGATGTTAAGAAACTGCTTTAGAGATTTTTATAACTCTGAAACCCGTCCTTCAATAGTATTAATTTTTGGATAAATAATTTTTTAAAAATTAAAGTCAAGCCTTAAACTTAGGGTTCCCTGATGACGCCTTGGACAGGAGGAAGCTTGGGAGATTAGTTGATCAAACGAAATAAAAGAAAAAATTAAACGCGGATTGTTGTTTCTGACGTCCTCGTTCAAAAGATTATGAAGGGTTACTTTTAAAGCGGAACAGAAACTAACCTTCCAGTCATCTGCTGAAAAAATTTCAAATTCACTAAGTTGATGAATTTTTTAGCGTATTAGAGGACAATCTTAAAGGGTTGGATTACTCTTTGAAATGTCAAGACGCTGTCAGCTATATGTCTTAATTGATAATCCTTGCAGTGGGACAAGGAGCAAACACAAGTTATAGGGTTTCTGGAGCACATATATGTCTCTTAAAGTTTATATGATCATGTCATATGATAGCTTATTTTTTTTGCTTATGTCATCGCTTTGAAGGTTCATGCCTTAAAAATAAAGGTAACGGTTGATTTGGAAAAGAGGCTATGCAACGTAATCATGTTAATTCTGTTTCATAAGTTATTCAAAAAATTTCCGGTCTGGTGATATCTGTCTAATCATTTTTCTATTCTTAGTATTTCCGCATTTGAATCTTTTACGAAGTAGACCAACGTTGTTACCATATTCCCACCAATAACGTTGCTCTGTTTTCTGCCTATCAACAGACACAAAACTCAGAATTTCTCCATTCGCTCTGACGAAGGGCTGACGCTAGAAACTTCAGCTTTTAAACTCTTTACGACGGCCAATTTACGCTATAAACTCCGTTGACAGTACCGAATTACCCCGTTATACTCTCCCACCGACACAGCACCACAGTTTCTTAAGAAACTTATCCCCTTTATTCAACGTTGTTATAGTTTTATTGTTGTTTAACAATGTTGCATTGCGAATTACGAATCTTTGAACACAGGATGAATTAAACGTCATCACAACGCCGTTTAAACAAAACACGCAATTATCTTCTTCCTTAATGAACTAACGGCGTCCTACCGAGTCGGCTAACTGAATCCACTTCGATATTTTCGCGACTACTTACACCAAGACTAGCTATGAGGCTTCAAGACAATCTGTCTGGACGCCATTTATAGTAATACACTTGACTCTGATATTGACTTCCGCTCAGGTTGTCGAAACGTCAGTCACCATTACCGACAACAGTCCTTCTCAGGACTACACTCACCCGGACGATCAAACTTCACTATTACATTCATAATAATGTTCGTAATGTGAAATGCCCCGTTGTTAACGTGCTTGTATCACAAAGGGACATATTCAGTTTTTTGCGATAAAAAAACAATGAGCATACTTACAAACAGCGAATTGTGATTCCTATCGTAGAAAGGAAACAAAATTGATATCGTTATCGTCCCAGAGCTTCCGTCATCATTTGTCGGAACAAGCTGGTCTCCCTCGCTCACTCCAAAAGGATAGAAATTTGGAAGCACAATAGCATTCGATAAAAGAATGATATGGCAGGTAAAAGCACGAGAATTTTTCCAACTTCCTTAGTCTTCATTCTCCCTGCCGATCAAGGAATGTGTCATGGTAGAGGGGCATTTTGTTGCGCATGTCTGTTCTGTAAACTTTAGTTTGATGCGAGAAACCGCTGGCATGCACCTGCGTCGGTAATCGCGAAAGAAAAGAAGCAGGAAAATACGTCGGAAAACAACAACGGATCGAGTATTTGAGACAACTTTTCTTGTCATTTTTCGCGCTATAACTCAGATGGAAGCGGCAAAGTCTTAAAATTGTTGTGTGTTGTGTGGAAGGAAGTTATTTTCAAAAAAGTAAAAGATTGTACAAACGACTTCATACTGCCATACTTTTGCAACTAAATCGCTCCAGGAAGCGTTCTGAAAGGCGGAACAATAAAAAATTATAGTCGAAGACATGGATTTATTGAAACACAGTCCTTCTTGAGACGATTACAGTACTCGCTCGACGTTACATCAAATAAGCATGGCTTTTCTAACCATATTGTGATCAAATTGATTTCTTTTTCATCTGTTCAACTACTTTGACAATGCAAGTTATTTCATGTGGAAAGTATTTGGTCACAAAAGCGGTAATTGGTCAGATTATGAAAATGTACTTCGGTGGCGGATCCAGGGAGAGGGTTGAAGGGGTCCGGAACACCCCACGCTCGCCTCCTTTCCAGAGCTGTTGGTATATTTATATCTACCACTCGTCTGAAACCAAATGATTCTCCATCAACAGGAAGGAATACTGCTACGCAGCTTGAAGTACAGCAAATTATTTGAACCCTTGGGGTTCAAAATTACATTACTATAAATATAAAAGTGTAGTTTGATCGTCCGGATGAGTGTAGTTCTGAGAAGAACTGTTGTCGGTTATAGTGACTGACGTTTCGACAACTTGAAGTATCTAATTAAAATTTTATTATCATGAAAAATTTTGATATATTTCAGTGTAAAAAAGATGTTTATTCTGCATCAAAGTTGGACCCTCCCCCTCCCCCTGACCAATTGAGTGTGCTTGACCTAGTTATGTATACAGTTAGGGAAGTAGGGAGGGTGCTTCGCTACATGACGGTTTGGTCACTGAATCAGATAAAACTGCAAACTTGATGAATGAGAATTTACTATAGAAAGATTGGCTTAACAGCATTAATGATTACACGGTGTTAGCATCTTCATCAGAGAAGGTCAAAGACTCGCTCACGGCCTCTTTACCACGTTGAAGTTGCGATGAATAAGAAACAACCGTCCGGAAAACTTTAGGTTGTCTAAGATTGCAGACTGGCATCCTCCTTTCGTAATTTAATTGATCGATGTCAGTTCTACATAATTCATTACGGATATCTCCATTTGGTGATTGATGCAAAGCCTCGCAACTAGTCCACGCATTGACCACGTGACTTGTACTTTCCCGTGCTTCCGAGTTCCAGCTGTTAAGCTCATTTTCAACTGTTCTCTGATTCCTTTCACCTTGTCCGGTGCTCTCGCTGAATGTTCTCGAGTTGCCTTGACAGACATTGACCGTTAAACTCGCATCTTGTCCTGTTTCTGTTGAAATTATATTCCCTGGATAAGGTGGGGGAGGCTCTTCATTGTCCTCCTGGTGAAACATCTGCAAACTCGAGTGTTCAGAGAGGTTCTCTTCAGGTGTTTCTCGAGGTGCTTTAAGATAATGATGGGTGAGTCGAGGACTATGAAGCGACAGACTGAATGTACTTGATCCGGAGCTTCTTCGCGTCTCAGAAACACCAGGAGACATAGAGATCTGTCGGGAGGGCGGGTACAGGTGAGGGGAACGGATTACTAAAGGAAAAGGGGATGAAATGATTAAAATATCAAAAGACGTCAAGACAATATCAACTGGTTAGTAATCTCTTGTGGACGTCGATATGAAGAAAATCAATTCAATTACAAATTTTGTACAATTTATGACTCAATTCGAAAAAGAAAGCTGGGCATAAATCTATGTTCCAAAATTAAATATCTATATTAGACCAATCTTATTCATGCATAAGACAACAAGATCTTGGATAATTTCTATTCATTTTCTAAATATCCCCTCTCCAAACATGGGAAAGCAACAAAACCTATGAAAACGCAAGTTGTAGATGGGTCAAAGAAATCTTTTGTTAGGTATAGTAATCCTTCCTATGCTCATTTCTATTTTCTTTAAAAGGAATTTATATTGATTGTTAAGAAGAATTCGAAAGTATATCGGTTTTTGACCTGGAATTATCTCTTGAGTGCTTGTGCCACACTATCAGCTATTATCAGATGCATGAGCAAAATCTTTGTAGTCTGATCTTAGAGCAATTTACATGCATTTACCTGACCTACTTGGAGTTTTCATGAGGCCCGTAGCTAGCATGAGGCAAGACGAGGCAACTGCCTTGTCTTGATGTTGGCCCAAGAGTGACTTTCTTAAGAAAAATGCCACGGAAAATGCTTAAAAGAGCATTTCTGAGCCTCTAGATTTCAAAATTCGGCGGTCGAAACTTGCCTCGTCTTGCTCTGAAGTCTGACTACGGCCCTTGCGCTTATAAGACTGTAATCATTTTTTGTTTTAGTCTATATCGAGTGCGCTCTTCAAAGTTAGCGTATCATATTGTTTGAGGAAACCAATCAGGGTCGAATTCCCTTTTGTCATTGGAGGAAGCATCCGCGCGGAGTTCAGAAGTTCATGGAATCTATACGGTCTATGATCCAGAATTATTCTCCAGAGTCACATATTTCGAGGAAAGATCATACTACCTGTGTCATAAGAGGGCGGTGCTGCCACATCCAATGGGTCACGTGATCGATCCTCAGACACACCTCCTGAATGTTCGGCTCTTCGACGGTTTCCTGAAATGCGTCTGCTGCTCGAGCGGAGATGGAGAACTGCTAGTGCACAGGCCACCAGGCAAATACAGCAGAGGCCCATTACGATAACACCCACCTCAACCGTCTCCTCTTTGCTTTTTGAAGAATCTTCCGGAAAAGTTAAAAAAAGACGTCTTAAAGGATGTACTAAAGAGCGCAAGTCATAAACATGGGGAAACCTGCTTTCTGAGCCCCAACATTCTTTCTATGGTTTCCAAGCAAATCAAAGAAATATCGTTTGTTACTTTCTGGTTTTTATTGTCGTTGCTGTTGACATGAAAATGTGAAAAAAAGAAGTAAAACCTGTGTCACGGAAAATACGAAATTTTCCCCATGTAAGAAGGAGCGATCATATAAAACAAGACCGTAACAGATTTTATTTCTGTCTCGGATAAAAATGAATTAAATCCGCCTTTTATTCACACTGAATTGATGACCTCTTTAAAAAGAGAATCCTTCCTGGAAGCATAAGCCCTTAATTTCAAAATTTCAGAGTCTCAAGTTAAACTCAAGCAATACATGCGGGTCCTAAATTATTACATCCAGCAATCTTGCAGTGAAAGGGATTAGTCTGACAGTAATATTTCATTTTACCCCCACTTACCCCACCACCACTCCCCTTTCTTATAAGCATGTTAAAGGCAGTAGTATATTTGACATATCGACTACCTATTAATTTACTTCTTGAATATATTTTCTTGAATTCCTATCCTACTACTCACCGCTTAAATTGGTCGGGTTCATTACGGTCTCATTGAGTCCATTGCCATCCCTGTCCATGATGCAATGTTTCCTAAGCAACCATTCGAATGCATTCAGTTTGGGACCTGCTGAAATTAAGCTGGGAAAAAACGTTTTTCTGAGCAACGCGATCACCTGAGTTAAGTATCTTACTTCTGATGATTCAAAATGCTGCATTATGAACAAGAAATTTCTTAGATTTATCTGCCTCCAGTTTCGTTCATTGTTTAATACGCCTTGTAAAAGGCGTATTAAAAATAACATTAAATAGTGAAAATTACATTCGTAGCAACTGTCGGTGGGCGGCGTGGCCGACAAGTCCAGGAGGTTGATGCCCTCAGACGTCTGTCATTCGGTAATACTTGCTTCATTTTCTCCCAGATCTACATTTAAATTGGGCGCAACTTTAATACGAGTCAGTCAAAGTTCCATGAATGATAATGATCGCTTTTAAAATTGTCAATTTAAACTGTGCGATTTACATATCTTAGAGGCGAAAGTGAAGAAAGAGGCAAAGCAAAAAAATTACAATTTTGAGTCGACGGTTTTTTAATTACCAAATAATGTAAACAGGAATATTGGAAGTGAGCATAATATTATATCATTCCGGGCAGATTTTAGCGGAAGCTTTTATCTGACACACCTGCAAAAATTAATTTTCCACAAGTCCAACTCACTCGAATTTATTTAAATTAATGTAAAACAAAACAAGACACAAAATGTTATAAAACGAACTTTACAAATTGACTTTGGGTAACTAAGAGTAACACGTACCCTGTGGAAAAAAAATGAAAAAAGAAAAACAGTACCGGTCAAATTTATTTATTTATCTGTTTTATTTAGAAACGATGGACACTCGTCTAAATGCATTTGTCATGTTACCTTTGTCAAGTCTTCGTTTCGCCATGCGTGACTTGAGACCACGTAAACACCGCTTTCGCGCGGCTTTCCATAATAATCACGCGATCTTTGTTTCAAGTTAATTTACTTCCAAAGAATATTTCAAACCTTTCTGTACACAAGCCCTAATTGATGATACTGGCAGTGTTTTAATATCAATATCAGACCTACTGAAGCAGGCGATTTTAAATCTTATTCTTCAGCAATACTGATTCGAAGACAATTTAGTCGTCGTTGAAATTCACCTGCCATCGGCCGAATCATGAAATAGAAATGGTTAAGTTCCATTTATTTTTTACTCTTGGCTTTTTAGGAGCCACTTTTGATCATTGTTTACACCGTCACGAATCATCAAAAAAATTTATATTACAAGGTCCATTGGATATTTTTCTTAATTAAATCCATGGTCTGACAGTACTTCTTCTGACAACTCAAGACTAATATCAAGCTATAACAACTAAAGACACTTTACCAGGTGTTTCTCGAGCTCCGCTTTAAACTGAAATTTTTTTGGCAAGTGAAATTCTGTACCATGTGAGTCTAGCCAGTGTCAATATTTAATATCCCCAACCTAATTTTCATGACTTGAGCCACGTATTTCCTTTCAAGGAATTGTTTATCGTATCTGAACAACAGGTAGGCAGATTTTCTCCAGAGTATTAACTTACCGACAGTAAATAAACACCAACGTTTCAGAATTAAACCCTCCGCGCATAGAGAGAGTTCTCAGAAGTAACACATTTGGTACAAAGGTCCATTCACTTTCCTCGTTTATGGACTTTAATTTTCCAAGATTTTTTCCCTTGGTCCACATCAGTTCCTTCGGTCTCAAAATGCATCAGGCCATAAAAAAACCACGAAAACTTGCTATTGATTGATCGGCCGGTATATTTTGAATCGTTTTTTCGAGTGTGACACTCGTCCTTTTTTTCTATCTTGATAAGGTTAAAACATAAGAGAAAGCAAAGAAAATCCAGTAGGGCTTATGGATGTTCCTTCCCACAATGTACTAACGCGGGCGAGATAAATATAAGTGGAAATTTTAGTTTCACTTGAGAGGCACTAATTTTTTCAACCAAAAAGTCACTTTTTAGGCGCTTATGAACATGAAACAGGCTTCATTTTTTATTATAAAACACGCTTTTGTAAAACCATCTTACCAACTTGCATACGCGAGAAATCATGATACAAAGGTAGAAGACTCCACAGGGCCCTTTTCCGTAAAAAATATTTCGTACGTGAATATTCCTAGAAAGAAGGAATTTCATCACGAGAGATCACAAAATTGCCTACCTACGGACTCGGATGTAACTGAGTCTTCTTCCCACCGGTTCCTCAAAGGGATAAAATGTTGTTATGAACCGCAACCGACTATCGTTTGAACCAAGCGTGAAAAAATATAAACTGAGAATAAATATTCATGAGCAGATACGTCAGATGGATGTTCAATTTGCATTAAAAGACTATCAGATTTTTCGTTATACATCATATCTCGTTTGAACAAATTACTTCATCAATCTCATTTTCACCAGTTTTGAAGCCCCAAAACCTGCAAGTTTTAGCCGAAGTGAAAATGGGCAACACCGCTGATATACCATTCTCCAGATTCGCTGGAAGACTATATTGCAATTTTCAAATGTATTCGTTTTCCGGTTTTGGAGTTCATTGTAAACGTAGGATGCCGTATGAATTGTCGTCTATAGGCAAGACATTGAAACCATCTGGCATACTTTACTAAATCTTTCTTCAGTGATATATATGTAGCCAATCAGTACGATGTACACTTTTTTACTATTATTCGAAAGTTGAACGGCGGTAACACTGTTTAGTGACGCCGATTAATATTTTGCCAGGTATTGATTATTTCTGTCGGTAATTGTTAGAAAAAAGGAGATTAGATAAATGTTGTCACTTCATTCACCAAAACTTCCAGAGACTATTTTTTACATTTCTGTTGCTCAAAAACCCTCAAGATGGACTGAAGGTAATAATCACGCCAATATCACTCCTTTCAGAATCGGCAGAGCGCCAACTGGCGTTTCCCGCAAGCAAATGCGAGACACTTTAATCTTGGTGTTATTTCCAGAGGGAGGGGAGGTCTAGGATTTTCTGCTTTAATCATTTTAGAGGGTCGGAGCCGCCGGACTTCATTAGGCTACTCACAACTAACGAATTTCTTCAATTGAAAATGCAGGATGATTAACAATTCCCCTCCTCCTTTTTCATTCTGTGCTACTACTGAGAGCCATTTATTATCTGAATGCCTGGAACTGTCTAAAATCATGAGCCACGACACCTCGATTACCACAAGGATCCATAAGGACCAATATCGAACACAAAATTTTGTGTCTCGAACGGCAACATGTTCTAGCAGGGTCTGGTTGGTTCAGGACCTACAACAAACATTGTAAACTTCTAAGGATCGTTTAGCACATCCCAAAAATAGAATTCTCCACTGGGAGAAGAAATCTCCAGAATCGTAGGCGTAGGATGGCGTTAGTGTGACCCGAAGAAGTTTCGGAAACCGGGGACTCAGGATTATTTCATCAAGACAACGCGGCGAAGACGGGGCAGATAGAGAAGTAAAAGAAATTGACAACAAGACATGCAAGAATGAAACCAAAGCATTTAGCATCCTTTTTTTTCGGAAATATATTCTACTGAGCTGTACTAGTCAATTTAACGGCCAACTTAGACCTTAACTACAAAACAGACTCACGTTTTATTGTAATTGTTCATTACCACACACTGTTGGGTCACTCACCATAGTATCACGGATTATGAAATCAGCTGAATCATACCGGCGTTTTGACTGGTTCTTACTAGGGTTTCACTGGAAACGAGAGGAAAAGACAGACGCGCCTAGATGACGTCATCATAAGCAACAATTTGCTTCTTTATTAGATAGATGAATAAATAGATTCCATGTTGCCGCGAATTTGCTCAAAAACATCATAGAAGGCGTGTTGTGTGTATCATTTTTTGTCGTTACCACGGTTTGACGTCATCTGTGATCTATCATTCTACAGACGCATGACAACATAGAGTCTATGTTTTAACGATAGATAACGAATAGCATATCCAATAAGATTGCGGTATTTGTGATAAAATGCAGTATACTCTGGCTAATAAACAATAAAACAAGTTGAGACGTGCTCATGCGTCACTGCCTTGAAAGGAGTACCGGAAGTTTAATCTCGATAAATAGAACATGGTACGTGACGGATTGATCAACAGGACTCACTAAAAGCGCGTCGACATTGACTTCGATGGATAAAAAAAGGCACTCTGTTGAACTCTGTCTGAAGAACAAGTAAAAGTTGACTTAGCCAGATCATAGACGCGTAGATCTCCCTTTTACAGTCTCTAAAAATTGTGTAGCCCTTCGGTTCTTATGGAGATCGATCAAGCACATGCGGCTAACTAAGTGATTTTTGTTGTTATTCTATCGCTTTTTCACTTTCGATTAAAATTTTTACTTTTTTTAGATACACTACAGAAAATGAAAGGCTCAGAGATGTGATCTCTTTATTTGGCGTGTTTGGAAAAAAAGATGTTTTTTAATCGGATCTAATCGGTTTGAAAGCGTATTAGATTTAATCACCTTAGAAACCTGAAGAATCGATACTTCAGCGTGATATGTTAAGGGATTTTCCTGATTAATCGTTCGTGATAACTAATTGGGGGATGAGTTCTAGTCTTAATTCATGTTTAAAAACGGAAGAACAAAACTTTTGAGTTTCTCTCAAATCTGGCAACAGATTAAGCAATGTTTTCGTCTTTTAATTATCTGTCTCTTTGAGATTAACATTGAGAAACAAAAATATACGTGTGTAACTGCTTTGCCCGTTTGTGCTTCATTTATACGCTTAGTGGGTTGTACTCATTGAGACCGATAGTACGGAAGTGGTCAGTCTTATCTTGTGGTGAGTTCGACCCTGGTTTTTATCGATTGTATAAAATTGCCCATACAAGAAATTCAAATGCCTACAATTCTGTCTCGTACATGAACCCACTAAGAGTCCTTATTACGCGCTAAATACCATAGTTTCTACCCAATTTCCACGATTTGCTGGTTGCTATAGCCTGATATCAACTGTTATAAAACGAAATTTTGCTTAATAATACTGAATAAGTAAAAAATTAGCCTGTGATGTAATACCGATGTAATATCAGTGGCCTCTTTAACCTCTTTAACTTTTTCCAGTGAACGACGTTCAGCAATAAAATCCGCATTCTTCAGTGTTTTAGAAAAAGAAGGAAGTCTCTTCACAGCGTACCGAAATTTTCCATGTAACTCATGCGAGAAAAGAAAGAATTGATCGGTTTGTAATTGGTCTCTTGGGTAGAGTAGAGTTTCAGGTAGGCGTGTCTTACCAGGTTTCATTTTAAGGACTGAGTTGCGCGTTGACAAAACTTCTTGATTTTCAACCTCTGGGTTACATAAGGAATGAATGAATTACTTCTGGTATTGCTATAATTCAATTACAGCACAGGTTCAGAAAATGAGAGTATTGGCAGAAAAAGGATAAATACAACTTTTGAACGTTAAGATGAAATAATCGCGAAAAGCAAAACAAGAAAAAACGTGATCTTTTCCTGTCCTAAAACCACAAGCTCCATCACGCCTATGTTGGTTCCGTATCTTGCACGACTCAGGAAGTTCTAATTTCTAGGAAAAAATAGTTTTCTAGAAGCATGGACAGCTTTTTAAGCTCGTAACATTGCTATTTGATTTTCATCCTTCTTCTTTTCATTCTTCTTCGTCTTCGATGTCAATCCCTTGGCCTTATCAGGACCTAAAAGCTGTTTGATGACAAAAGTTTTCAGCCTCCCATCCCTAATTTGCGTCGATTTCCCCACCCACTCCCCCATGGTAGTCTGTTTATATTTCCCACGCAGCTGACTTCTATCACGTTTAAGAGTAAATAGTAAGTGTACTTTAGGTTAAAAGTCTAAACGGTTCTTGGACCGAAATACACATGTGATAAAGATATCAAGATTTTACGTGATGCGATTTGTATACACCAATCGAATTGATTGACGTCTGCGTGTAGTATCGCTGATACGCTAAACTTCGCCCATTGTTTCCTTCAACGCGGGAAAGGAGTTAGTGAATCTATCGACGATAGTAAAGCGCACGAAGGAGTTTAATCGAGGATTTTAAACATTTTTCGTCGATACCAGAGTGCATGAATTTGATTTTAGTCGAATTCTGCTTTGTTTTGGAAGAGTTTGGATCGGATACCACGCGTTCAAGGTCCAGCACTCTCGGAAGCTAAACGACTATATTTCACAACCACATGAAACGACGTAACCACATTGACAGAGAAATGTGATACGCTACACTTGATTACGCCCCAACAATAGCTGTGAAATTGTAAGCTGTTGGACGTCTCCACTCATATAGGAGGCACGAACAGCCATTTCAAACCCAAGAGTATGGGAGATCTTCGATTGCACTTTTAAAGATTTGACGACTTTTACGTTGAAAATGGTAGTACACTTGGTCAACATATGCCCTTGTTGTTATTGTGTGGCTTTATTTACGCTTGTTGTGTTTCCATTCGTAGGATTTTGCGAGGGTAAGTGATTTCTCGCTTCTCGTCTGCATGCACTGTCTGCCCTTAGTGGTTGATTTCTCCTGTTGTGATGTTTTCGGTTATTTTTGTTTATTTAATTGCATTAAATTCTGAAAAGAGTCGTCTGAGTTTCGATAGCAAGTGATGCATGAAAAATCATCCTGTATAGATCGCATGAGCGATTTCTTATATGTCTTCTTGATTTTATGTTATGTTCTAATGCTGACAAAATACCGATTCCTTGTTTTGGTTCATAATGCGAACATTTTCATATTTTTTACTCGGCTGCATACTGCGCATTTGAAAAGGTCTGAATCACGAGACAAGGTTAAATACACACCATCGTATTTGATATGCACCGATCGCCTTCAATTTTCGAAACGTACGCTTAACACCTTATGAAATACAACTTATTTCTCGTTGAAATCAAAATTGTGCTGTGAACCTCACTAGCAAACTAGTACATTGTAAGTCTGTGAATGAACTATGTTATTTATGATGTTGATTTCCGACAGTTGTTGCATTGCAAATGTTTTGTTTCAGATATTGCTCTTTACGAATATTTTTTGAATAGTCAGACAGAATTGAACCCTTAAAAAAAAAGAGAACAATCGCTCGTTTGTTAATTCATTAGTGTTTTTCTTGCTGATGATGTTCCTACAGAATAGTAAGGGCGTTATGGCAATGAGGAGATGAAGATAAGTGATTATTGATAACAGTAAATAATTCGATTTGTTGGGCAATTTTCTGAATCTTGCTCAATTTGACAAATGTTTTGTTGATATTGTCGGCTTACCACTGTTCACGAGGTCAAAAGCCAAACAAGCAGGTTGCTAAAAAATGTAACTTGACTCTCAGAGAGGACGGAGGACGGAGTCTCGGGATTTCAACACGGGTTGACTTTTGTTCCGGTTACCTTTTAAAATTTATCATTTATCAACTTCCTTTTTTCGTGAAGATTGTGTTTTTCGTTTAATGATCAATTATCTCCTGGAGTAATTTAAAACCTTATTAACTACAAGAATATTGGCTGATGGAAAGATAATGGTTGTTTGTAATTGTAATTGATGTTGAAATAATCACTACATGTTTACATACAAATTTTGACAACACAATTACCAAGTATATCAAAATTTAAAATGAAATTAGCGAACAGTGCAAATCTTCACAGGTAAAAAATGACATTTAGCTTTTGAATGGAAATGCATTGAGAAAATTAACATACTGATAATAGTCTTTACAATAGCTAGGAGAAATGACTCCATTTTGTTGGTTACAAATGTAGCATACTACAAATGATGTATTTGTCCATTGTGGTTAAGATTAGTTTACAATCATTAGATTGAAGAATTTATCCTAGTTTTGATTTAAAGCAGAATGAAGTGCAGTGCTCCAAGCTCCACTCTCTTCCACTCAACTGGCCATTTTTCCATATAAAACCATTTAATTGCCTTTGCAAATAATTTCTTAACAATTAAGAAATTATTTGCAAAGGCTATTAAATTGTTTTAGATTGAAAAATGGTTTATGTAAATACTCATGGCTTTATGTTGGACATGCAATTTCTTATCTTACTTCTTGCTGATTTTAGACCTGAAACACCAAATACTAATGTAGTTAACGCTTGCTACATGAGCCCTGAAAACAAATCGTTAAACTGGTGACTAGAGCAAATTTAGTTTCCAAAATGTTTCTTTCCCAGCCAATTGGCAAAAGCATGTACACTGAAAAGTAATTTGAATAAATTTGTTTACACATCAGGCCTATTTTTCAGCCACATAAATTGTTTATTGGGCAGAAAAGATCCAAGAATTTTTTAGTTGCTACACAGAATTATGCTGAAAAATTGTGATAGGCAGAGCTCTATTTTCTTTATTGTATTTTTTTCTTATCCTTCTTCTGTTTCTTGCTAAAATTCTCACTTTGAGAGTGCCCCCTCATTTGGAAGGTCACTGTTACCATACACTTCAGATCCAACATTGTAACTGGCAACCTATGGTATTGGCAAGATGAGTTGCACTTCTGTATCAAGAATGCTATCTACGATTCTATTATTTATCATTCTTTTTAAATATTCAATTCAGATTCTCTTCCATATCCTGTTGGGTTATATCCATTTAATAAAAACTATGAAACTGCTGATGCAAGCTGCTACGGTAACTTGAGGGGAACAGGTCACAATGTTCACCTCGCAACAGGCCCATTTGGACAGGCAGAAACTGCATATGAGTTTGCAGGAATTGGAACAAGCCATGTCACTATTCCACAAAGTCGTCATCTGGATGTGAAAACATCAATAACAATTTTAGTTTGGATATATCAAATGGATCATGCTGGTTCTGTCATACAGTATTTGAATAAGGATGGCGATGTTGGACTTTACACCTCAAGTACTACTTCATTGTCTGCAAAGTTTGCAGATCGAACTAGAAAGTCTTTTTGGTCAGTTAACAATGGTAATTATTCAGTTAGTCTTCAAAATAAGTGGCAATACATTGGAGTTTCTTTTAGCTATAACACTGGAATGGCAACCTTGTGGATAGATGGTAAAGATGTTCAGATAAAATATCTGGGCAAGTTTGAATTAAGCACAGACCATGATATTCGTATTGGGGGTGGACAAGGAAAAGGAGATAGTTTCCAAGGACAAATATCATGTTTACAGATCTATAATAGAGCATTAACGAAAAATGAAGTTGCTGCTGTGAGGAACAGATGCGATGAGCACAGTCTTGGTAGGTTCTTATAAAGTACTTCTCATTATTGCATTGTGTATGGCACACTGTATGATAAGCTGAGTTATAATCGTGCAGTCTGATTGGTTTTTCCTTATGAACTAATTGAGGACACATGCTTTAATGATATCACCATTAGCAACATTTTGCTTTTTTGTCATCTAAAACAAGTAGAATTTATGTTGCTATGTGTTTGTTCAGTAACAGATCACAGAAGACCTCGAAATGTGGTTAGAACATCAATGATAATGTCACACTTTGTGTGCCAATTTTTTGTTTCTTACCATGTTATCCATTACATCATCTGTGATCTATTGAAGAACAGACATGCGGCAACATGGAGTCTACTTCTTAATAATTTTATGCATAATAAGTGCACACACTTTACTCTGGCATCTTTTTATTCACTCTGGCTGTAGACTGCCCGATAGGTAAAATTATCATACTTTTACAATGCATTTGAAGGTGATCTACTGTTTTTTCCTCCTTTTTGGAAATGAGCAATCATTTTATCTTTTAAATGATGCTAAAACATTTCCCAGAACACAAAAGGACAGACCAAAACTAAATTTTTATTTCAGTCAACATATTAATACATTGTCAAATAGAAAGATGATGAGAGGAAAGAAATTTGGTAATATACTGTTTGATTTTACACCAAAATTTTAAACCCTAAATTGCATGAAATGTATTAATTGAAGCATGGCTGGTTGAATTTCAGAATAGCATCAATATGTAGAGTCAAACTAATAGCTAAGGTGATTTTGTGCTGAAGACCATCTGATGTAATAGAGCTGTGGTTTAAACAGACTTAAACCACTGTATATGTTTGTACTGTAACTATCTCTGTGTGTTAGGGTAAGGAAAGTTATTCAGATATCTTTAAAGTGATATAACAATCATTATTTTATTTTCTCAGTGACTCCAGTTAACTGCAATACAATTGCAGCACCAGGTAGGTTATATATATTTTTTATTATTATTTCACTTCATTGTTATTTATTTATCAAATAAATCGTGTGAATTAATCTAGATCATTACTTAAAGTTCTAAATTAATCTAAAACTTCTGGCACTAAAATTACCAGAAGTAAGTAGAAAGTAATTATAAGCATTTCTTTCATTAATCCCTGTGTTATTATTGTGAAAACCCCACCCCAGGCTGCAATTCAGTCAGATGCCTATCTAAAACCTTAAAGCAGTTTGTTTGTTTCTGCATTTGATTTGGTTAACTAACTTGAAAAGTTATTTGGGCTGCAATTAATGATACCATTCATGTGTGAGAGTCTGTCAGGTTATACTAAAACTAACCCTAAGCATTCATTTTACAAATATTGTAAATGTAGATCTTTTTTTTAGTATCATTGAAAGAAGTCTTTGATTGACTTTTGTTGGAATTTTGTACTTTGATTGACAGCTGGATGTGGTGTTACCATGACTTCATTATCGGAGACATTCTACTCTCCTGGTTATCCTAAAGGTTATCCGTACAATGCAAATTGTGTGTGGGAAATAGAAGTTCCCAGTGGATTTGTGATAAGCTTGCAGTTAAGGTAGGTGAAATACAGTTATTTATTTTATGGCTAGGTAGACCTGAGGTAAATCTGAGCATTCTGATTAATTCTTACTTGGTCTGTATTTTGCCATATGGACTGTTCTTAAGCCATGTGTATTTTTGGTCCTGGTGCCATATAATAAACTGCCTACAAACCTTACTTCCAATGATTCAGTCATTTCTTCCTACATGATCAAATAGGGAGGTGATGAGTAGAAAAGTGACATCAGTCCAGGAGCACTGCCTGATTTTGCAAAGTTTACTTGCTGCAATAGTTTCAATTTCTGTGTGGTGTGTGTGTGTGCAGAGTGCAGTGGAGGACTTGAATGTGGGAGGACTGGGAGACAAAGTTAATTGAGAAGCTGAAATGAGGATTTTAACCTGGTAGCACCTGATTTCAAAGCTACTGCTCTTATTACAACTACTAGCCAATTAATTAATCTTATTGATTGTATTTGACCATTAGGAAATTTTCTTTGGAAGTATCTTCCATGAAGTGGCCAAATTGCCCAGATTTTGTTATTGTTCTTGATGGTGTCACCAGCTGGTCAGAAAAACTCAAAGCTCTTTGTGGAGGGGCAGAGGGCTGGGAAAGGAAAATTGTTTCCTCTAAAAATGGTATGAGGGTGGAGTTTAAATCCAACAAAGATGGCTCAGCTCCAGGCTTTATGGCAACATACACAGCAACTCCAGTTGATGAAGGTAACCAAATTCTGAAAAAAATAATCAATGTTGAAAAAAAATAATCACAAAACACTCAAACAAAATGTATTCACAGGCATCAACACAACCACTGAATTTGGTGTCATATGTGGATTTCTTCAATGACTTTGTGCCATTTGTCTGTTTTACACAAATTATATAAGGTTTTATGTGTCTGGCTATTGGCATGCGGAATGATGTTATGTAAGATTTCTCTTAATAAAACCTTTTCCCCAACAAAATAATTCACAGTGATGTGAAATGTAAACAGGCCCTAAGATAACAGGGAGGTTAGAAGTGACTTTGATATGATAAAACTATTTGTACATAAAGGGTTACAGCTTATCCTGTTCAAAAGGATATACCAATAACTTCAATACCTAAAAATGGACTGTTCATTTGACCATTTTCTGCTCTTTTACTGATGCAATGTGATATGGTTCTCTTCAACCTAGCTTTTGATTGCTTTTTAGTTTTAAAAGAGGAAGATGAGGAAATGATTGACTTCAGTCGTCACTACACTGGAATTGTGATAGGTGTGGCATGTGCCGCAATCTTTGCAATCCTGTCGATCATTACATTTAGCCACACGAGGAGGAGATTACAGGAGCGTCGTCATGGCAGCTTGACACAGAGTGGCCGCAGACAGATCTCTTATTCTGACAATGACATCTTTCAACAAAATGCTCCACCCACTTATGATGATGGTAAGCATTTCATCATTGTTCTCTCTGAGGCAAATATTTGTGAAATAAAGAGAATTTACAAACTTGTAGATGAAAGGAGTCTACGAAATACATGAGCAAGTATGGCATTTGCATCTCTTAACAATAAAATAGTTGACAGTTAAATCGTCAAATTCCAGTTTTATCCAATCTTCATATGTACAGTCATTGACCCAGAGTTGAGTTTCTGTAATCAGAGGATTGCTTCAGATGAAGGGAAGTGGTTAATTATTATATTAGAGTCTTCCTCTCCCCTGTTCCACCCATGGGACTTGGAAGTTTCTGTCTCATTCCTTCTCTCTTAGAGATGAGCTGGAATAAAGCAATTCTTCAGATGAAGCCAGTCATTCGTGCTACAATGTTCTGTTTCCAAGATTTCGGCTGATGGAAACAGGGCTAGGAGGCTCCCCTAAGCCTAATCAAATGAAGAGGTCCTAATTCAAGTTTATTCTCTCTAGTGATGCGCTACCCAGAGCTGTACCCACCAACACCATGTCAAGGATCATTAGCCAATACTCCGGCAGCGACCCCAAGGAGGGGGTCCCCTGTCTCAACCCCTACAACACCACGCCGCTCTTTCGACAGACATAGATCACCAATGGTAATTCCGAAAGTTGGCACACCTGTGGGAATGCCACTTTTTAACCCACGGCAGAGACCTTCGAGTTCACTACAAAGTACCCTGAGTTTTTCTATGCAGCGTGGTATTTCCCCCCTGGCCCGAGCTGAATTGACTCCGCAGCAGTCCCGTCAAGCAGATCATCTGTCTTCCGATGAACACGATGATGATGACGACGATGATGAGCTGCCACCATACCCGGGTATTACGGGGCAACCTACGAGGGGAGATTACACTGCTCTTAGTATGGACGTTGATTCTGTTTTGGATCAAGTTAGAGAGACGTTGGAACAAAGAAGGTTCACTCTACGAAATGGATCAAACCCTTCCTTAAGTGACAATAATTCAGTGCGATCTCACACCAGTGTAACAGTGAATGCTCAAAGGAGTTCGCTGCCCTTATCTGGTGGTCTGAACAATTTAGGACCACTACAGGAAAGAACTGAACCGAGCAGAACTCCAAACACATCAATATCAAGTGTTGATGGTAACGGTTATGCTAATCCATGGGTATCTTCTAAAATTCCCCGCGGGAACAGATATGGAGGTATCTTAAGATCTATTGAGTCAGATGTATGAGGTTTAAGTACCGTGCGATACCTGATTTCAGGAGCTATGTGAGGGAAGATGTATTTACTAAGAGGCCTCAATTAAGACCAAACTTAACAGTCGTTTTAGACTTTCTTCGAGAGCTGAAAGAACGAATCTTAAAAAATCATTCAGTGTTGTCGTTTCTGAGGCACTATATTTATGACCTTGCGGTTCAGATGGTCATAGAATTTCCTGGTTGACTCCGTCTTGACAGTAAGTTAAGGGAGAGGAACTCTCCTAAATTGTCCACAAAGAGATACGCTAATTGGAAGGGGGATCTGTTTTAGACATGCTTTATTTAACCCCTTAGAGTGACTAGCATCTTTCTCCTTACAATATCACCCCTGAATCACACACTAAGGTCATGAGAATAACGGAAATGATCATAAACTACAGAAACTCTGTTTTGGCATGCTAATTCTTCTTGTCAGCGCCTTTGGAAATGTATAGAGAACAGTGTGGAGAATATGCATACTGGTGTTTGGGTGTAAAGGGTTAAAAGGAAGAGGAGGGGATCTCATGAGTTGACGTGTAGAAGAAGATAAGTTTTTCACGTCCGGTCTGTTTAAATGTTAGGCAGGTTACTTTAAAGAAATAGTATTCCAAATTGTTCTGGTATTGATCAAAACAGTTCTTTTCTATTTCCTTCCTCACTGAAATTTGTCTGGATAGAAAACTGACACTGTTTTTTAATTCTAAGGTTATAAAGAGGTTACTAGTTTGGTCGGAAGCGGTATTTGAAAGATTAAGTGGCTAGAACATAATCTCATGGGTGAAGTTCATGTCGGACTTAGTTGGCCTGGGGCGAAACATAAACGAGCCAAAAAAAAGAGCTCCAAAGCTATCGTAAAACTTACTGGTCTCCGATGCCCTCCAAAATCTTCAGTTTTAAGCAGTACTGTCATGCCAGACTCGAGAACCATCGGATGTTATGAATATTGCGTATGTACAGAAATAGAGTTATTTCTGCCTTATATTTTAAATTTGTATTGTTTGTTGGGAGAAAGTTAAATTAAAGCGTACATTTACCCGGATTAATATAATATAGAAGAGAGTTATATCAAACATGGAATAAAATAAATAGTTATCCATTTTACTTTTGTCGAACAGTTTAATATCTAGTAACAATAACGGTTTTTTCTCACGACTTAACTAAATGGCGTACCCAGTACGCAGTTCTTTAGTTGAAACTCTTACAATAGCCAAACGGAAAGCCATTTAGGCATTCAGATTAGAATAATTACACGACCGCTTATATGGAGATGAAAATTACAGGGTTTAAGGAGAGAGAATTTCGGGACTTTGATAACTGACCCGGCTTAATACAGGGTGACCGCTTGATACGGTGCCGTTTAATACAGGTTCGACTGTACTACGTTTCTCCAGTGCTTCAATTTCGTTTGGCGCCGCTGTTTGTTGATGGTTGACCGGCTGGTGTGGTTCTTACATCTACCAGTTTGTTATCCTGAGGCACAAATAGGATACCTGTGTTTGTGTTTTAGTTCACATAATCAAGCAAATCTTAAAAACGTAGTTCATCAATACCTCAAAGAGGTTGAAAAGTTTTAAAGGCGATCATTTAAGTTTGGAAGCTATGGTAGGATGAGCAACTGGATTAAGTGCTAGTCTGTTGTAATGAACTGATCTGAAGAAATAATGAGGATTCAAATAACCGCCTTGAGAAGCGTAAGAGGTGAGAAGTTGAAGAATCATTATTTTGAAGTATTTTTAATTACAAGCTAGAATTATGGCCAACACAATTATTGTGTCTGTTTGCAAAATGAAACCAAATCTAACTGATAGATTACCTCAAAATTGATTACTAGCCACCAAAAAGTTGAACGCTTAATTCAGTTAGAATAACGTGTTTCGACAACGTTATCATTACCCTCAAGTTAAGGAGAGAAAACCATAACCAGCTGACTTCATTTAAATATTATGAACAAAGACCATGACTTGCGCAATTTTGCAAAAAAAAGAAAAAATCGAGCGACATTGAAACGATGATCTTCTCTTTCTTTGTGCAGTCGAAGATTCGTTGTTCTCGCTCAATTGAGAGGAGCACCAAACCATCGAACTTTTGAATTCATTGATCAGTTCACTATAAAATGACAGATAATTTCTCCTTTTCCCCCCTTGATTTATGAGAACCTGACAAGACATACAATTTGTGCCGTCAATTCCAGAAGCAGCTGATAGTTAAACGGTACAAATTGTTTCGATGTAGTTTTAGCTTTAAGAGTGGTGTGCGGCTACTTTTATAAGCATAGCGAGAAAAGCAAATGGAAAACTTCCAAAGCAATTATACGCGCGCACAGACTTCAGAAGTAAAATCTAAGTACCAAACTCAATTCACTTCTTAAAGTCAACGATGGCTATCGTACAACTGAAATTGAGCAAATCATCTATTCGTTTGGGAGACCATTGTTATAGAGACAGATAACTCCTGCTCCTATAAAATTTGTAATTATGTTATTGTTCTAGCTTCAGAGTACCTGGTAGAGAATTACAGCTGTTGCTTCAGTGTTTTGCTTTGTAGGAGTTACACTTAGTCTGATCGCGGGTGGATACTCAGAATATAGCGAAGACACATCGAAACTGCGCTTGTGGAGAGGTACATCTGTACTTTGCAGCTATTCGAGTGAAGCGCAACGCGTCGGATTGGAGGCTTTTCTTCGCAAGGTCAAAACAACCTATTACAAGATGAATCCAAACAATGTGGTTTATGACCCGGATTCAACACCTGAATCAGTCCGACGAGAATTCTTTCCATACAACTCCCATCCAAGCGCGATTCGAAGGCGAACGGACGCTGCGAGAGCTCTTTACCAAGAAGCCAATAAACTCGAGAACAAAGTGAGTAGCAACAAGCTTAAGCCTCGCGAGAGCAAGGCAATAGCTCAAGTGAAACACTTTCTACAAAGCAACTTTGGAGCGCCCTACGAAGAGAATTACTATGCTGGAGACTGGATGCTTGGACCTGGTTCATTCTGTTGGCATCCAATATGTAACATGGGCTACGATCTGCAGGCTCATTTTACCTACCAGGGGTGGGGTATACAGCCTAAGACGGAAGATGATGTGAGCTGTGTGATAGATCGGCTAAAGCTGGTGAGAGATTCGATATTGCAGTACATTGAAAACATGAAATACGGTATAAAGGTGGGATTTGTACGTTCAGCGGAAGATTGCCAATATGGATTGTACTCCTTACAGCGAGCCTACATTAAAGTCTCCCAATTTGGGCCCAAGGGTAGGTAAAAATTCATGGTTGTAGCAATCTTGTTTCAGCTTGATACGTTTCGGAGATCATTCGGAAGAGAGCGATTTTATAAAGACGTGATAATAATTATAATGCACCTTGTCTTTAAAAGAAACTGTAATGCTGCGTCGGTGGGAGGTATTTCAAAATAATTTGTTTTTATCAACAGAGTTGATAACGTACATTGACCACCGTAAAGAGTTTCTAGGGCTGACGTTTCGAGTGTTAGCCGTTCGTCAGGGGGAATGGCACGTTTCAAAGGAGGAAAGTATTTTTAAAGCTTGGTATAGATCAAAAGCCACTCATTCAAATGTCATTGACCGAAATTAACTGCATCGTGAGGCCAACGCTTACTCTTTTCAAACTTATGCGATTTTTTAGACTTATTGCACTGATCCTATATGTTTGAAGGTGTGCTGAGAGAATCATTCACGCAACAAATTGTTGATCCAAAATGGCTGGCAAAACTCGATAAACGCACCTTTGACACATGGGAGAAGAAACACAAGGTCTCTGTTAATACCTCCATAAATGAGGCTTTGGTGGCGTACGTAGGGAAACCACTGGATAAGTTATTAACTTACTTGGCCTTCAACCATTCGCAGTACTGCGCCCCGAGTATATTGTCCAGCGGCTTGGCTTCGCTACCTTTATCGTACATTTACAAGTATGGAAAAAATACGAAAATACGAACTACTGGAAAACTACCTACTGGAGAGTCCTTGAATGGAAAAAGAGCCTACGAGATGATGCTTCCTTACTTTACGACAATAGAAATGACACCGGCTGAGGTGTATTCCTTAGGGGAGAGAATGCTTGGTCAGCTTTATCCAAAGGCAGTTGAAATTGCTAAGAAAATTACAAACAAAACATGTGAAGACCAAGCCATAGAAGAACTTAAGAAACATTTGGAAGATCGTAGCATGTATTTCAACGACGAGAAGATTCCACAGAACGAGAGTAACAAAGACGCATTTGATAAGTGCACCAGTATGGCGAAGGCAAAGATTTACTGTCCCAAGAGATATCAAGCTATGAAGGCGTGGTTTGAATATGTGAACTGTAAGTATTTTATCTCAATGGAAAACGTGATATAAATCACATATCGACGCATTCAGTCGCTTTGTTTGAGGAACTTCAAGAAAGGAGTACTCTCGCATGTGGGACAATTACATCTAATAGGTCAGGCCTGCCAAAAGAAATTTGTGGCCTAAAAGAAAAGAAAGTAAAATAGCTTAAAAGAGTAGAGAGTTTATATAGGCAAAAGGGAAGTGTGTCATGTGTTACATAACGTGACCGAAAATCAATGAGCATTTTGGCTGCCATACTAAAAAGTAACTCTGGTTATTTTAACTAATGCCTAAGTTTTCCCCGTCATTTAATTATTTTATCCAGCTCTGCTTGGTGATCTCGAACCAAAAACGACTCACATGTTTTATTTCACTGGTGAACATCAAAGCACTCCAAATTGTCCGGTTCAGTTGGTCTCAAATTTCAATCCAGGGACTGGATCCCAGAGTTACAAATCCAGTGATAGCGATTGCACCAAACCTGCGCAGTATAGACTGCCGTTCTTTATGAAGGACCTGGGACCAAAATACAGTGCTCTCTCAGTTGCTGCACACGAGGCAAGGCCTGGGCACCACACACAGGTATACGCGGATAACAAGATATTTCTAACCGCACTTTCCTTACTCAGTCATGTAAATTTTTTTCTCACTCAACAATAATTAACAGATCATCACCGAAGTGGAGGTGGCTAATGGGAGATATTTACCGGGCCGCGAAGAGGCGAGTTAAATTTTAACTGCTAGCCACCGACACTGAGGTGAATAGTTGTTTTGGTATGTACTTGATATAACATAAAAAGATGATTTTAATTCATTTAGTCCTGCAAAGATTAAAATATTTTCGCACCCAAATTCCGCGCAAATACTTGGAGGTTAATAGCAAAAGATATTCGGAGTTTAAATAGCCAATCAGAGCGCCCATTCAACACTCTTCGCTGGTTTAGTATATTCTAAAGCCTGTTATCGATCATGTGTAGTTACTTACAGCATGGATCCCCACATTACGATTGCATACTGCTGATCTTCTTATCTCCTCAGTTTACATTCTCTTTCAACAATATTTGCACCCATTGTAATGGGACACCTTTAGACTTACACAAATAAGATATATTCATGTATCCTGCTGTGGTTAGTCATATATAAACAGACGTAGATTGGAACCGTTTTTTCGAGTACCTCAGCGTTTTGTCGTCGTTTGGTTTACTAGAGTCAAGGTTTCAAGGAGTTATTTTATGACAAGTGCGAGGATGTTATCAGTTGGTTGAACGGCATCTCTTATTATACTGCATTTACGGAGGGCTGGGCTCTATACGCTGAGAATCCGCTGATCGCTACAGAGACAGACGCTTATGCCGACAAACCGCTGCAGCTGTATGGCATGATCAAGTGGCAAATATGGCGGGCACTGCGCTTGATGATAGACTCTGGGCTTCATTATAAAGGTCGGTTGAAGTAAAGAATTTTTTTGTTTTTTGTCGAAAATATTCCAGGCCTGTATTGGTTTTTCTTTGCAGTACTCTGCAATTTGTCTGGAAAACTCGTGTAACTCTTGCAACCGATCAGATACAAACTAAAGCAATCGCGAGTGGATCATTCGTGTTTTTCTGCACTTGAAGCGGAATGCGCGTTTTTACATTCAAATCACATTACTTCAAACTTTGTTTCTGTGACACGCAATACAAAACAACTGCAGGAGTATCGAAACCCGAGCACTTGTCAAAACGTAAGTTGTGTGTATAACCTGTGTCTCTTTCACTTATACCCTCTGAGGATTGGCAATCTTATTTTCTCTCCAAGAATGAAACGACGGGAAGCGTTGAAACTCTTTGCCGAGAAAGCCTGGGACAGAACTGACAAAGCCGAGAAAGACGTTACAAGGTATCAAAGCAACCCGGGTCAGGCCACCGCGTACATGATTGGTCAGCTGCGGATATGGCAAGTGCGAAATGATACCAAGGCTAGAATTGAGGCACATAAAAAGATTTTCAAGGAAAAAGACTTTCATTATCAGGTTTTATCACAAGGATCCTCGCCACTGACTCATTTGGAAAGTCACATGAGGAAATTTGCGGACTGCGTCATTCAGCCACATTCAGAGGGTTGCGAGTACATTACAAGGAGCCTAAGTGACGAAATAGTCATGGATGAGGTTGCCAAGAAGCCCCATAAACCATTTCGAGACCAACCATATCAAGAACACTTTGATTGAATATTGGTTTTGAGCGCTGTATGCAAATGAAACAAATAACCTCCTCAATTATCAAACCACTTGGCTGGGGTTCACTGCCTAATATGAATAGAAAATGTTTTCTCTCTTGCCGCTGTAGAAGGTCTGCTGAAGCGAAAATATCTGAAATTGACCAAAAGCCGATAATCAAATCGTTTCAAAAAGAAAACTCGTCATATAAGAGCTTTTAATGATTCACTGCCACTAATAATTCAGACACTTTTAGCATGGGGCAAACGTGTGGGTAACTTTAACCAAATAGGCGACAAATTGACATCTAGCGAAACGAAGAAAAATTTGACGTTATGGATATTATAAATAACAACCAAAAGAAAAATGAAATTTGGAAAGTTCGCATATAGAGATCTCATATAACTTCCACAGAGCTACAGTGTGAAGTATTTAATCAATAAGAACTTGATTGCCAACGAAGTTTAAGGATTGTTGGCAATTTCATATTCGTTCTACACTACCGTTTGCAATTTATGGCTCAAAATTAAAACAACAAAAAAAACTCTCTCTCTTAGAGCGTGTTTTTATTTCAAAGAACTTAGCGCAGCACATGTTTCAACATGTGTTATCGTAAGAACCATTATCAGAAAACATTGGACATTTATACAACTCTTTGTTGGATATTAGCCGTGTGTTTATGTCGCTTTACTTAAATTGCTTTTCTTTTTGCGATAGAAAAAAAGTCGGACGATCACGAGGAGTGTGATTTTTCCTTTTAGGCCTTCTGGAGTGGCCGATGAGTATAGGCGTTAGATGTTTCGGTAACATTGCACGGAGCATCGAAACGCAGTTTCATTTTCATTCTTTTACCCCCAGAATTGTTCAATCAGCCATTTTACCTTACAAAATAAATACTCTGTCAAAAAAAAAAAAACGGGTTAAGAGGACGTAAGTAAACCTTACCGAGCCAGTGGGGGCTGGGCTGGGCTGGGTGGGGGTATGATTCGAGTTGACATTGATTTCTTAGAAGAAGCATTGCAAGAACGTATGATAGAAAGTGCGGAGAATATTGGAGGGTGATGGTTTGATTTTGTTGATGTATGAGAATCAATTCGCACCAGGACGGGTAGCGCACAGTGCTAATAAATTGTCAATAGAATCATTAATTTAAAAAAATACTGACCACAAGGTGGAACTAAACATTCGAGTCGTGGCATGAATAACGATTAACTCTTAATGGCACAACAGTACGAGAGTTTTGTTTACAAGGTATCATCTTGAGTTATAGAAGGGGGTAAGTTTCTGAACAAAATGTGGCGCTGCGTCGGTGAGAAAGTGTAACAGGGTAATTTAGTATTATACGGCTGAGTTGATAACGTAAATTGGCTTCCGTTCTAAACTCTTTATGGCGGACAATTTACGTTATCAATTCAGACAATTTCCTACGTTTTTTGATCAATTCACACAAGCAAACATTATCTCAGTTCAACACAGAAAGTTTAAAAAGAAAGGAAAAAGACGCCCACGTTTCTTTGCACTTCAAGAGACTAGTTTAAAAACATGCAAATAAGGTTGATAATAACGGCTAAATTGTCCTATCTTATAATTTTCATTATATATTTCGCGATGACGTTGAATTGCTCGATCAAGCGTTCAGGCATTTCACTATTGTGCTGGAGGTGGTAATGTTTGTAGATAGAAGATGATTTCCTTGTGTGCCCTTCTACGCGCTCGTGATTTTGGTTATTTAAATTCATAAACGATACCAAAAAAAGCTGTTGATCGAGGGGCTAACGAACACTGGTTGGAAAAAGGAAAATTATAAGGGTAACACTAATCTCACAATCTCCGATGGTACGTCTGGTGATGGACAGGGATCTGCAGATGAAATCCTTCTCTCAACGAACCGCTTAATTGTAGTTTCAACCAGAGAAAAGATAATCGATAAGCGCGATAAAAATCTTGAAGAGATGCAAGTTACACCAATCGAGCACATGAAGACGTTAGCCAGCAACGGTCCAAGGGGAACCCATAGGCTTTCTGCTCATTCACAGGAGGTCGATTAGGTCCGCTTTAGAGATGTTCAAGCTGTGCGTCTCGTTGAACCAAACATTATCTCAGTTCAACACAGAAAGTTTAAAAGGAAAGGTGTTAGAAAAGCGCCCAGTTTCTTTGCACGACTCTGAATTCATACAAATAAACATTGTCTCAACGCTTGATCGGTGGCTCAAGACAGGAAGTTCATTCTTTTCCATCCGCGCCAAGGTGTTTGTTTAAGCTGAAGCCACGTTATCAAAACTAGTCTTTAGCTGAAACGTTTATCGGTTCCAAAGGCTGCAATGCTAATTGTGGCTAAAGATTTTAACTCTACGTGAATAGCAGCTGCCAGCACGACTGAAAACCGGCCGAAGCAACACGTGTTATCATTTGTTTAGGCAGCTCTTCACAATAAAATATCAGTAGTTTTTATTTTCACTTCTTAATTTCTAAAGAACACATGATTTTATTATGTTAATATGTGACCGTAGGTGACCCCCGTCTTTCACTTCATTGGGTTCCAGCTGATTCGTTCAGACTTTCAGAAATTTTGAATTTGGAATGGACTGACGAACATTGAACGGGATGATAACTGTGATAATATAACTTTGAAACATTGCTTACGGTTACAGAAAAAAGGGAAACTGAAAAAGGGTGCTGAGCTCAAAGATACAAATATGACAAGAAGAGACGAATCCGCGAATCTAATAACTTTTTCTAGCTTACAGTAGAATAATTCGTTATCTGTGAGATGTTTTAAATATCTTTTCTGTTGCAACGCGTGAGAGAGTGTTTCTCATTTCAAGGCTGAAGCTTGATCACATATTCTCTTTCCTTTCAGCTTGAAAATCATCCTTCAAAACAAAAGTGTTGAAACAAAAGCAACGCCAAGAATGTTCCCGAAGCATGGACGAAAGACATTTTTCACCACCTGAAATTTTTCTCCATCACCTTTATTCACGCAATCATAAATGATAACACAAATGTCAACTCTTGCTCCTCGTCGCACGTTGATATATCAGATACATCAAATATCAATAGGCATGAAAGACGACCCTGCTAGTTTGACAAGATCGTGACAATGTGAAATAATACCATCTCTCTGCTTTCAGGTACGTGATAGGTCTTTAGACTCTGGTGTCGTAAATCGTGATCAAAGAGAAAGAATTGCTCTAATTTTTCCCTCGCATTCGGAACTAAGGTCACCTCATGTGAGACTCCGAGGAAGCTTAATATTATTAAGCTATCTTATTAGAATTAAGAGCTTAATTTTCAATTTCATCACTCACTTAGAAGTCCACGCATCGGCGCAAATCGTTTTAGCTCTATAAACCAGAGAGTATTTCAAAAATATAAACTGAAGGAAAACCTCATCTGTGCTCAAATTTTCCCACTCAAGTAACTATACTAGAAAAGAATAAAGGGGGTAAGTTTCTAAAGAAACTGTGGTACTGCGTCGGTGGGAAAGTATAACAGAGTAATTTAGTGTTTACAACTGAGTTGAAAACATAAATTGACCACCGTAAAGAGTTTAAGGCTGACGTTTCGTAGCGTTAGTCCTTCGTCAGAGCTCTGGACGAAGGGCTTAACACACACTAAATTACCCTATATGAGAAAAGGACTGAAGCTTCCGTCATATTTTAAAAAAAAAAACTGAAAATGATTTAGTGTGAAGTGAAGTCACACCATAAAACCAACCGACTAGAAAGCCGATAAGAAAGTACTCTCTTCATTCAATGAATTAAAAGTAAACAATCTACAATGTGATTCTCTTGCTACCATCTTAAGAGAAAAAAATTATGCATATTCTGGCAGGAAATCAAAGGTGAGGATGTGTAACAGAGCACAGATTTATGTTGGATAAAAGCTGCCCTAATATTAACAACTTATTATTGAAAAAAATCAAGTAAAGGAATAGTCAAGGTTGTTCTATCGATGCACGTTACGAAATTGTGATTTATCACAACAAAATTCCAGGAATTTAGGCAATACACAACAGGATCGAAATTTTGCGATCCCGGACGATCATATCGTATACTTAAGGGTTCCAATGAATTTTATTTGAAACGCGATCTAGATAGGTCTGCTGTTTCCCATCTTAATACCTTTCTCTCATTTTAGAAAAATTCCATCATAATTTAAACCTGCTTAACAAACGCTTTTTTTCTTCGTTTAAAAGAGAGCTTTTTGTCCTTTACTGTTCCCATCTGCGTTCCACTATTGCACATCCTGATTTTACAACGATACGTTGTTATTAAATTCAAAGGAAGTCAAGCGGAAATGAGATATCTTATTGGGATACAATATCCTCATTTCAATGGGCAAAAAGCCACAATGGGCCCTATTTAAATTTGGCGTGCTTCGTACGAGGCTATTTTACTTCCGCTGTCTTTGAGCAGGTACAATTTGGAACTAAGCAAGTATTTCCTGCCGCGTAAATGATGGCAAGTAACGTCATCATTACATCTGTGATCATCGCTGTTTTCTTAGTCGGTTTGGCGCAGAAAGGTGAGTAAGGAAACGAAATAGGAAGGTTTCTTTGCTACACTGACAACATTTTAAAAGGATTTACATTTCAAGTCCATATTTTCATCTCTTAATCGGTCGTCCCTTACAGTTTGACCGTTTATCAAACAAGCGATTATTTTCACAAACGCCGTTGTTCAATGATGAAAAATGCACCTGCAAACGCTGAGAGATGTGTGGTTCCGCAAATCTACGTAAATTGGCGGCACACTTCCTCTCAATAGTCTCAAACAGATAAACATCGAAGCGCAAATCCGAACGTTTGGAGTTCGATTCCTTGCTTAAGACTTGTTTTATTTTTTCCTTTATCCCATGCTCGAGACTATCTTTCTAAAATATACCAACAAAACCCACCAGAAAAGGTGGATAAATAAATGAAAGCATAATCTTTCGAAAAATTTCCGCTAGTTTCTTGTAACGTATTATTTCCCTTTCTTTCTGAATCTTAACCCCACCTTGATTGCCATATCAGATGTAATTTAAAATGCGAAGATGCATCCTTTGCTGAATCACTCACTGAGGTTTAACGAGTCTCAACCACCACCGATTAAAATTCACCTCTGGTTTACCGCGTTGTGATAATTCGTTCGAACGACGGAGATTTAGTCGCGAAATTCCCTAGCCTGTCTCTCTCACAGGCAGCCACCCTGTTTGACAATAGCGACACACGAAAGAAATACAATGAAATGAAATGTGGTACAATTACGAATAAAGCACCAAATGAACTCATTCTTCACGCAAAATCTCTGGAGTACTGCAATCTGGTGCGTGACCACGGTTCGTCACGCAATGCTTTGAGAGAAACGAAAATATTCCCAGCACTTTCAAAGATTTTATTTTTGATTAAGAAAGAGCGTTTGACACTTTTCCAAGACTTTGTAAACTCTATTCTTTTGTTGAATACAACTGATACAAGAAATGCGTGCGAATTGCGCGATTCCGATTTGAGAAGTCACGTGACTCAATTACCAAATAAACATTATGGGCCGTAATTTTCTCTTGGATTACGTAATCCGATAAAATGGCGTGCAAATCCTATCTCTAACAGCTTTTGCAATGTTCAATAAAATCAGGAGCTCTTGAAAAACCTATCTTCCGTTTTATCTCCTGGAAAAAGGAAAAACTTTATAGAACTTTCCCTGGAAAGACAGTATGAGCCAACCTACAACTTTAACAACCTGTGCTTATTTTAAATTGTTCATTTTTCTCCTCAGGTCTCTCCTTAAGTTGCTACATATGTTATTCCACAATTTCTTGGGAGGATTGTTTTAACACGAGTACGGTTCTTAACTGCAAGTCAGATGCTGTAACGTGCGCTAATGCTTTTACTGCTGTGAAGCAGAAAGATGATCGACAAAAATTCGAGTTCACTGCTTATTGTGGTTTTAAGGTAGGATGATGGGAAGACTTACCCCGAGATATACTGTTTCATTTGGTTGGACTCGCACATGCCCACAACAGTGCGACCGATTTTTGAAAATTTTTCATAAACTTTTCAAAAGCTGTTGATGCTAATGTTGGCGAGTTTTTATTGGGCATCATGACGATCCTTCCTTTTCCAATGTGCGTTTTTTTTTTCAATCCCCTTTTGGCTGATGATTATAAACCCTTGGGTAGAGGCAAAGTTCGAAGAAGGGTTTAGAGGTCTTGGCTCTCAAAATATTTCGAAGCCTATTCAAGTAAATGTGTAAACAAAATTTCGTGTTTTCTGAATCAAAGTTTGGACCTCCCGTACCAGAAATTTCAGGATCCTCCCCAAGAATAAGTGCGATGAATTGAAACCTTTTTACACATATGGGAAATGAAACATCCGCTGACCTATCTGAATGTTATGAATATGAATCAAGTTCTTGTTTCTTCCATTCCATTCATTTTTCTTTTTGATCCTTCCTTTACCTCCAGGACAGTTGCGATAAAGAAAAATGCAGAAAAGAGGTGGCTGGGAAAGGAGAGTATAAAGCTGTCAATTGTAAGGTCAGTTGCTGTGAAACAGACCGGTGCAATATGGCAGTAGTATCCAAAGGACAAGTTTCATCGATCTCCATTTTGGGTCTAATTATTTCGCTCCTATCTTGTTATAGTTTCCAAAACTATAAGCTTATGAGTTTCCAAAACTACTAAACTTGCGAGTTTTTTTGAATACACACTACTCTGGTTTAGACAGTTGGAGCTACCACACGAACCCAGAACAACTATGAAAAAAGTCTCAAACCACAGATTTTTTTGAAGTAATAAGTAGGGTTTGCCACTGGTTAAGAGATATTTAAGTTCATTTGGAAGCATGGGATGAAAAGCAGATTTTGGCTAACTCTTATGATTTAAAGAAGGTTTAGATTTGTTAAATAGGAAAAAGGTGAAACATTCTGCATCTTGTTCAACCATATTGTATTTCCCTGGCGACATTGTGGGTTTTATCACTCAAAAGATGACATTTAAACGAGTGTGACCTTATCCAAACTTAGAGAAATCCATGGTAACACGAGTACTTCATGGTTTTGATGAATGAAAAAACAAACAAACAAACAACAAATTATAAACTTTCTGGATGAGAAAAATATATTAGCTTATATATTCAAATTAGCGAAAAGAAATAAAACTTACAATAAATTAAACATCAACTTTGGTAACCTTTTCTATTGTCAGTTAACTGTCTAAAGCATTGAATATAAAATTTGGTATTGAAAAGCTCTCACGCAAGTTCAGAAGTTACTTTATGGGGAAGGTCAAAAACAATTTTCAATTCCTCCATAAAATTTAAATTTTGCCTTAGTTTCATTGCGTCAAAATAATATTAATAATGATAATAATAGAAGTAATGATAATAATGACAATAAGAATGATAATTATACTTTTAGAAATAATTATAATGATAAGATGAAATGTGCACTGTTCATGAATATTTTGATTACTTTAAGTTATGTATTGTAAGTAGATTATGTGACGTAAATAGCGTATCGTACTTGTTAAAAAAAATGAAAAATGATAATCATATTGATGACTGAATAAAGAGAAAAAAAGGAATGAGTTTGTCATCTACTGTTACTGTATTGAATACGAGATCTTGCCCTTTCTTAAGGTTCTCGTAAATGTACCCGAGTCCCGACACTCAGACAGTCTGAAGTCACTCGCTTGAACTATCTCCTCTCCCTACGGGAGACAGTAGTGAGTTCAGGTGAGTGATCTTTGACCGACAGCGAATCACCTCTTTCTCCAATTATGGTGGGGGGGGGGGGTAATCTTGTATCCAGATCTCACCCTGTAACTGTGACTAAAATGTAGGCCGTGGAAGGTCTGGGTATGAGACTTTGGTGAGCTCTAGAATGTCCTTCTTTCGACTTGTTCCTGTACTGAACATTAATATTTTGATTACTTTAATTTATGTATTGTAAGTAGATTACATGATGCAAATAGCTTATCGTACCTGTTGGAAAAAAAACGAGAAAATGATAATCATATTGATAACTGAATAAAGAGAAAAAAAGGAATGAGTTTCTTATCTACTATTATTGTATTCAATACGAGATCTTGCCCTTTCTATGGCTTAAGGTTCTCGTAAATGTACCCCAGCCCTGACACTCAGACAGCCTGAAGTCACTCGCATTAACTCTCTCCTCTCCCTACAGGGGACAGTGAGGAGTTCGGGTGAGCGATCTTTGACCGACAGAGAATAAAGGCCTCGTACTTTCCTGTGGGCGAAGAGATGTTCACGTCGAAGGGCTAATAATGAGGGCCTGCTCTCAAGTTAGTAGTGAAATGGCGTGGATTACCTGATATTATCAATGTTAATAACGAAGAACAAACCAGTTTGAGGGGAAAAAGAAAGACTCGTGGTCTGTTACAGTTGACTTGTGATGAAAGTCTCATTGCAAAGACATCGCACAATTTACACATTAATCAAAAGTATTATTTCAAAATACGGTTAGAAAAGAAATACTCTAAAGTAAACCAAACCCACGGAATGGGTAGCGTGACCACGCGTCTATCCCTCAAGACGAGGCTAATTCCCTTATAAAAACTCCTCCTTGATTGGTGATTTTTTCAAGCCCTATATGACCGTCTGTTTGATTGGCGTATTAAAACAGTATTTAAAAAGAAACGCGTTAATTCGTTGTGCGACAAAGAGAAGACTTGCTACGAAGCCACAAACGGAGAAGGGTGCCCAGAATTCGTTTCTGATAGCTTACTTCTCATCAACGCTTTGTTGGCTTTGGGAAAAGTCCCCGGACATACGACAGAAAGTGTCAGTCGTAAAGAAACATGTTTTTCTTGAGTCTCTGGCTCCATGAGCCCGGCGGAGAAGCTTTAATCGCAGAGCTGCTGGACGAGAGAAGGACGTGGTCGAAGCAAAGTTATGCAAGGTGACATCAGTCGCTGATGTAATCTGAACGGGGCTTACTCTCACTGTGTTCCATCAATTTTTTTAAATCTGAGAAAGTCAATGGCTAACGTTGGAGTACTTTTCATGTTGTTTAGTGTGGGTAATAAGGTACCGAAAGTCGACAAGATTCTTTGTCCGACGCCACGTGGTCGGCTCTAACATAGCGGCGAGTTTGTGGTTCGTGGTGTCGTAGTGTGTTACCTAATTTCTTTCATAAAATTTTCGACTGAATGCAGATTAGCATGTAATTCAATTTTTTTCTTCTCATTAAATAACTACTATCAAAGTGAGTGAAAGATTTGCATTTGCACTGTTCAGGTAAGTAATAGGCACGATGTTAGGCACTGTGTTGCGTACCGTATTCAGGACCTTTTCCTAAGCTGTTAGTCCAGCCTTCGAATGGCTTCAATCAACTAAAAGGTCAATGTGAAACTGTGAAACTTTGTAAATCGCGGCCTCTTTTGAGGAATCGAAGACACAGCAACTTTTTTTGCACCCTGCAAAACCAGACATCCAAGAAGGGATTTAGTGAGTACATGCTGCAATCAAACTGAGACTTCGGTGAGAGAAAGTTTGTAATGGTCTTGCGTTGATTTGAGTAAGTTAAATACTGTCGGTTTGCCGGATAAGGGGCAAGATTATAAATTCAATATCTGTGATAATTTTGATTTGGCCGTGAGTGACTGCAGCAAGCTTTTGATTTGCACTGTTCATCAGGCTCCTACTGGTAACACATTCTCAACAATATTGGTAAATCGTTTTGAGGGTTTTGAAAGCCAAAATAAAAAAGCAGAGATTTAGAACGGGTATAACTCCGGAGTCCGGAGTCCGGAGTACCACCTTGCCAACTTATTCAAGGCAGAATTAAAATCTGGTGAGTTTGATTATAAGAAGGGTGGGAAGCCCAGGAACACGGAAAATTCAATGGACAACAACATGAAATAAGAGGAACTTTCCTGAAGTCTGGGAGTTGGGTGGGTCATTGTCACCAGGCGAGTGGTCACAATCTTGCTGTCTCTATAATCCTCTATACTCTTCCAACCTCTAGTTTGTCATATATGCAAGGAAACAAGGGCTCAAACAAATGCTTGTCATGAGTAACTTTGGCTTTTTAAGTAGAGAAAACATCGCTTGTGTGCTTTAATAAAAAACTTAACTGCAACAAACTAAGGAAATCTTCAAACAAACAAACCAGCACTTCACAAAATTAGTAGTCATTTAATATGCATTTTGTTTGAAAAAAAGTGAAAAAACTAAGTTTTCCTAGAGTATAAATATGAATAATTGATTTACTTCAAAATTAATTTTTCACTACAATGATATTGACTAAACAATGTGAGGAGAGATTAGAGTCTTCAAGTATTTTCAACATCCAAGCTAAATGAAAAAAGCTTTTGGTTCAGTGCCTTTTGCACTACATTGCAAGGGCTGAAAATAAAAATTATGTAAATCCACAAAGAAAAAATCTTCTCTACATCTGAACTAACAAACTTTCGAAGAAACAGATGGGACTTCCATTGTCAATCCATGTTCAACTGTTAGTGTGACTAAAACAGAGGTATTCCAGATAAAGTCAGTTTTGATGGGAGATTCTCATGAATACCACCTACGAGCAGTCCATCCTTTTTGGCAGACTGTGGTGTAAGCCAAAAAGAATAAGTGAAAAAAAAAAATTGATGTCAATGCACCACATTGTATCAACATCACTCCTACAGCTCCCTGCGGTGCAATAAAAATTTTTTCACTGACATTTTTTACTTGTGCGACAGACCATGCCAAAAAGGAGGGACTGCTTGTAGTCTGCAATGGATACAAATGTAGAGACCATCACTTTTTTCAAGTGTCAAGAAAGCTAATTTTAATTTATTTAATCCTGAAAAGATTAAAATATTTTAGGACCCAAATCCCGCGCAAATGCTCGGAATTTAAATAGCCAATCAGAGCAACCATTCCACTCTCTCCAATGGTTTAGTATATACTAAAGCCTGTTATCGATCATGAGTAGTTACTTTCTACATGGATCGCCACGTTGCGGTTGCATACTGCTGATCTTCTTTCTCTCTTCATTTTACATTCTCTTTGACAATATATGCACCCATTGCGTTGGAACGCCAGTAAACTTATACAAATAAGATATATTCATGTATCCTGCTGTGGTTAGTGATAAATAAACAGACGTAGATTAAAACCGTCTTTTCGAGTACCTCAGCGTTTTGTCGTTGTTTGGTTTACTAGAGTCAAGGTCTAAAGGAGTTATTTCATGACAAGTGCGAGGATGTTATTAGCTAGTGGAATGGCATTCACGGAGGGCTGGGCTCTATACGCTGAGAATCCGCTGATCGCTACAGAAACAGACGCTTACGCCGACAAACCGCTGCAGCTGTATGGCATGATCAAGTGGCAAATATGGCAGGCACTGCGCTTGATGATAGACTCTGGACTTCAATATAAGGTCGGTTGAAGTAAATAATTTTTTTGTTTTTTGTCGAAAATAGTCCAGGCCTGCATTTGTTTTCCTTTGTAGTACTCTGCGATTCGTCTGGAAAACTCGTGTAACTCCGCGAGTGGATCACGTATATTTTTCTGCACTCGAAGCTGAATACGCGTTTTCACATTCAAATCACATATGTGGCATTCCCACTACATCTGATTGGTCGTCTTGATTACTTCAAGCTTCGTTTCTGCGACACGCAATGCGAAACAGCTGCAGGAATATCGGAACCTGAGCACTTGTGAAAACGAAAATTGTGTAAATAATCTGTCTCTTTCACTAGTACCCTTTGAGGATTGGCAATCATATTTTCTCTCCAGGAATGAAACGACGGGAAGCGTCGACACTCTTTGCCGAGAAAGCCTGGGTCAGAACTGACAAAGCCAAGAAAGACGTTACAAGGTATCAAAGCAACCCGGATCAGGCCATCGCGAACATGATTGGTCAGCTGCGGATTTGGCAAGTGCAAAATGATACTAAGGCCAGAATTTAGGCACATAAAAAGAATTTCAATGAAAAAGACTTTCATTATCAGGTTTTATCACAGGGATCCTCGCCACTGACTCATTTGGAAAGTCACATGAAGAAATTTGCGGACTGCGTCATTCAGCCATATTCAGAGGGTTGCGAGTACATTATAAGGAGCCTAAGTGACGAAACAGTCATGGATAAGGTTGCCAAGAAGCCCCATAAACCATTTCGAGACAAACCATATCAAGAACACTTTGATTGAATTTTGGTTTAGAACGCTGTATGCAAATGAAAGAAATAATCTCCTCAATTATCAAACCACTTGGCTGGGGTTCACTGCTTGATATCAATAGAAAATGTTTTTTTCTCTTGCCGCTGTAGAAGGTCTGCTGAAGCGAAAATATCTGAAATTGACTAAAAGCCGATAATCAAGTCGTTTCAAAAAGAAAACTCTTCGTATGAGAGCTTTTAATAATTCACTGCCACCAATAATTGAGACATTCGTTGACTTCACCTTTCTGATGAGTTTTCCGCAAAAACTTTTAGCAAGGGGAAAACGTGCGGGTGACTTTAACCAAATAGGCGACAAATTGATAGCTAGCGAGACGTAGAAAAATTTGTCGCTATTATAAATAACAACCAAAAGAAAAATGACATTTTGAAAGCTCGCAGATAAAGATCTCATATAACTTCCACAGAGCTACAGTGTTAAGTATTTAATCAATAAGAACTTGATTGCCAGCAAAGTTTAAGGATTGTTGGCAATTTCGTATTCGCTCTACACTACCGCTTGCAATTCATGGCTCAAAAATAAAACAAAAAAAATCTCTCTCTCTCTAATCTAAGGTAATAATAATAATAATAATAAGCGTATGTTTTTTTTTTCAAAGAACTTAGCGCAGCACATGTTTCAACATGTGTTATCGTAAGAACCATTATCAGAACTCGTGCTAATTCATATTGGACATTGATACAACCCTTTTTTGGATATTAACTGTGTGTTTATGTCGCTTTACTTGAATTGCTTTTCTTTTTGCGATAGACAGAAAAATGGGACGATCACGAGGAGTGTTATTTGTCCTTTTAGGCCATCTGGAGTGGCATGAGTATAGGCGTTAGTTAGATGTTGCGGTAAAATTGCACGGAGCATCGAAACACAGTTTTATTTTCATTCTTTTATCCCCAGAATTTTTCAATCAGCCATTTTACCCTACAAAATAAATACTCTGTCAAAAAAAAAAGGGGGTTAGTAGGACGTAGGTTAACCTTACCGAGCCATCGGGGGCTGGGCTGGGCTGGGTGGGGGTATGATTCGAGTTGACATTGATTTCTTAGAAGAAGCATTGCAAGAACGTATGATAGACAGTGCGGAGAATATTGGAGGGTGATGGTTTGATTTTGTTGATGTATGAGAATCAATTCGCACCAGGACGGGCAGCGCACAGCACTAATACATTGTCAATAGAATCATTAATTTAAAAAAATACTGACCACAAGGTGGAACTAAACATTCGAGTCGTGGCATGATTAACGATTAACTCTTAATGGCACAACAGTACGAGAGTTTTGTTTACAAGGTGTCATCTTGAGTTATAGAGGGGGGTAAGTTTCTGAAGAAACTGTGGCGCTGCGTCAGTGGGAAAGTATAACAGGGTAATTTCGTATTATGCGGCCGAGTTGATAACGTAAATTGGCTTCCGTCTTAAACCCTTTGAGCGGCCAATTTACGTTATCACCTCAGTTGATAATTACCCTAACTTAATTACCCTATCTTCAATTATATATCACTGCCGATTTGATCTACGACCAAAAAAAAAGAAAAAAGGGAAATATATGAGAAATAAAAATTGAAGAGATGCAGGTTACACTATACGGCTTTGAATTCACAAGAAAGTTTAAAAGGAAAGGAAAAAGACGCCCACGTTTCTTTGCACGACTCTGAATTCATACAAATAAACATTGTCTCAGGTGGCTCAAGACAGGAAGTTCATTCCTTTGCGCTGAAGCCACGTAATCAATGCTTTAGCTGAAACGTTTATCGGTTTCAAAGGCTGCAATGCTAATTGTGGCTAAAGATTTTAACCCTACGTGAACAGCAGCTCCCAGCACGACTGAAAACCGGCCGAAGCAACACTTGTTATCATTTATTTAAGCAGCTCTTCACAATAAAATATCAATAGTTTTTATTTTCACTTCTTAATTTCTAAAGAACACATGATTTTATTATGTTAATATGTGACCGTAGGTGACCCCCGTCTTTCACTTCATTGGGTTCCAGCTGATTCGTTCAGACTTTCGGAAATTTTGAATTTGGAATGGACTGATGAACATTGAACGGGATGATAACTGTGATAATATAACTTTGAAACATTGCTTACGGTTACAGAAAAAAGGGAAACTGAAAAAGGGTGCTGAGCTCAAAGATACAAATAGGACAAGAAGAGACGAATCTGCGAATCTAATAACTTTTTCTAGCTTACAGTAGAATAATTCGTTATCTGTTAGATGTTTTATATATCTTTTCTGTTGCAACGCGTGGGAGAGTGTTTCTCATTTCAAGGCTGAAGCTTGATCACATATTCTCTTTCCTTTCAGCTTGAAAATCATCTCTCAAAACAAAAGTGTTGAAACAAAAGCAACGCCAAGAATGTTTCCCGAAGCATGGACGAAAGACATTTTTCACCACCTGAAATTTTTCTCCATCACCTTTATTCACGCAATCATAAATGATAACTCAAATGTCAACTCTTGCTCCTCGTCGCACGTTGATATATCAGATATATCAAATATCAATAGGCATGAAAGATGACCCTGCTAGTTTGACAAGATCGTGACAACGTGAAATAATACCATCTCTCTGCTTTCAGGTACGTGATAGGTCTTTAGACTCCGGTGTCGTAAATCGTGATCAAAGAGAAAGAATTGCTCTGATTTTTCCCTCGCATTGGGAACTAAGGTCACCTCATGTGAGACTCCGAGGAAGCTTAATATTATTAAGCTATCTTATTAGAATTAAGAGCTTAATTTTCAATTTCATCACTCACTTAGAAGTCCACGTTTCGGCGCAAATCGTTTTAGCTCTATAAATTAGAAGTATTTCAAAAATATAAACTGAAGGAAAACCTCATCTGTGCTCAAATTTTCCCACTCAAGTAACTATACTAGAAAAGAATAAAGGGGGTAAATTTAGGCAATACACAACAGGATCGAAATTTTGCGATCCCGGACGATCATATCGTATACTTAAGGGTTCCAATGAATTTTATTTGAAACGCGATCTAGATAGGTCTGCTGTTTCCCATCTCAATACCTTCCTCTCATTTTAGAAAAATTCTATCATAATTTAAACTTGCTTAACAAACGCTTTTTTTCTTCGTTTAAAAGAGAGCTTTTTGTCCTTTACTGTTCCCTGCCGCGTTCCACTATTCCACATCCTGATTTTACGACGATACGTTGTTATTAAATCCAAGGAAGTCAAGCGGAAATGAGATATCTTATTGGGATACAATATCCTCATTTCAATGAGCAAAAAGCCACAATGGGCGCTATTTAAATTTGGCGTGCTTCGTACGAGGCTATTTTACCTTAGCTGTCTTTGAAGCAGGTACAATTTGGAACTAAGCAAGTATTTCCTACCGCGTAAATGATGGCAAGTAACGTCATCATTACATCTGTGATCATCGCTGTTTTCTTAGTGGGCTTAGCGCAGAAAGGTGAGTAAGGAGACGAAATAGGAAGGTTTCTTTGCTACATTGCCAACATTTTAAAAGGATTTACATTTCATGTCCATATTTTCATCTCTTAATCGGTCGTCCCCTACAGTTTGACCGTTTATCAAACAAGTGATTATTTCCACAAACGCCGTTGTTCAATGATGAAAAATGCACATGCACTAGCGTTCCAGATGAGTGGTTCCGCAAATCTACCTAAAATGGCGGCACACTTCCTCTCAATAGTCTCAAACAGATAAACATCGAAGCGCAAATCCGAAGGTTTGGAGTTCGATTCCTTACTTAAGACTTGTTTTATTTTTTCCTTTTTCCCATGCTCGAGACTATCTTTCTAAAATATACCAACAAAACCCACCAGAAAAGGTGGATAAATAAATGAAAGCATAATCTGTCGAAAAATTTCCGCTAGTCTCATTTAACGTATTATTTTCCTTTCTTTCTGAATCTTAACCCCACCTTGATTGCCATATCAGATGTAATTTAAAATGCGAAGATACATCCTTTGCTGAATCACTCACTGAAAATTTAAAAAAAAATTCATCTCTGGTTTACCACGTTGTGATAATTCGTTCGAACGACGGAGATTTAGTCGCGAAATTCCCTAGCCTGTCTCTCTCACAGGCAGCCACCCTGTTTGACAATAGCGACACATGAAAGAAATACAATGAAATGAAATGTGTTACAATTACGAATAAAGCACCAAATGAAATCATTTTCACGCAAAATCCCTGAGATACCGCAGTCTGGTGCGTGACCACGGTTCGTCACGCAATATTTGAGAGAAACGAAAATATTCCCAGCACTTTAAAAGATTTTATTTTTGGGTGAGAAAGAGCGTTTGACACTTTTCCAAGACTTTTCAGACTCTATTCTTCTGCTTAATTCAACTGAAGCGAAGTGCGCGATTCCGATCTGAGAAGTCACGTGACTCGATTACCAAGTAAACATTATGTGGCCGTAATTTTCTCTTGGATTACGTAATTCGATGAAATTGCGCGCATATCTTATCTTTAACAGCTTCTGTAGTGTTCAATAAAATCAGGAGCTCCTGGTAAAACCTATCTTCCGTTTTATCTCCTGAATAAAGGAAAAACTTTCCACAACTTTCCTTAGAGAGACAATAGGAGATAACCGACAACTTTTAACAACCTATGCTTATTTAATATGGTTCATTTTTCTCCTCAGGCGTCTCCTTAAGTTGCTACATGTGTTATTCCACAATTTCTTGGAAGGATTGTTTTGACAAGAGTAGGGTTGGAAACTGCGACTCAGATAAGGCAGTGTGCTCTAATACTTTTACTGCTGTGAAGCAAAATGATCAACAAAAACTCCAGTTCGCTGCTGCTTGTCTTCCTAAGGTAGGATGACGGTTTGACTGACTCTGTGTTATTCTGTCTCATTTGGTTGGACTCGCACATGCTCATTACGGTGTGAATGATTTTGGAAAATTTTTCATAAACTTTTCAAAAGCTGTTAAAGGTGTTTGTGTGTATTTATCGGGCATCATCACAATCCTACCTTTTCCAATGTGCCTTTTTTTTTTCAATCCCCTCTTTGTTGGTGATTATAAACCCTTGCGCAGAGGCAGAGCTCGGGGAAGGGTCTAGAGGTCACAGCTCTCAAAATATTTCTAAGCCTAAGTAAATGTGTAAGCAAAAATTTTCGTGTTTTCTGAATCAAAGTTTGGACCTCCTGTAGCAAAAATTTTGGGATCCTCCTTACGAAGAAGTGCGATGAGTAGAAACTTTTTTACACATAGGGGAAATGAAACATCCACTGACCGTTTTGAATGCTATGAATATGAAACGAGTTCTTGTTCCTTCCATTCTATTCATTTCTCTTTGTGATCCTTCCTTTTACCTCCAGGAAAACTGCAATAAAGAAAAATGCAGAGAAGATTTGGGTTCGAGTGGAGAGAATAAAGCTGTGAATTGTGAGATCAGTTGCTGTGAAACAGACAAGTGCAATATGGTAGCATCCAAAGGACAAGTCTCATCAATCTCCATTTTGGGTCTAATTATTTCGCTCCTATTTTGCTATAGTTTACAAAACTTTTGAATTTTTATGAGTTTTTCGAATACACACTCTTCTGGTTAAGACAGTTAGAGCTACTACATGAACCCAGAACAGCTATGAAGAAAGTCTCAAACCACAGCTTTTTTTAAAGTGAATAAGTAGCGCGTGCCACTGCATAGGAGATATTTACATTCATTTGGAAGCATGGGATGAAAAACAGATCTTGACCAACTCTTATAATTAAAAGGTTTAGATTTGTAAAATAAAAATAAGATGAAACATTCTGCATCTTGTTCCACCATCCTGTATTTCCATGGAGGCATTGTGGGTTTCATCATTCAAAAGGTGACTTGTAAACTAGTGTGACCATATCAAAACTAAGAGGAATCCATGGTAACACAAGTAGTGCATGGTTTTGATGAATGAAACAAACAAAGAAACAAACGACAAATTGTAAACTTTCTGGATGACAAAAAATATATTAGCTTATATTCAAATTAGTGAAAAGAAATAAAACTTACAATAAATTAAACATCAACTTTGAGTACCTTTTATATTGTCAGTTCACTGTCTAATGCATCGAATATAAAATCTGGTATTGAAAAGCTCTCACGCAAGTTCAAAAGTTATTTTATGGTCAAGGTCAAAAACAAGTTTTAACTCCTCCATTAAGTTAAAATTTTGCCTTAGTTTCTTTGCGTCAAAATAATTGTAGTATTGATAATAATAATGGTAATAATAATAATGACTATAAGAATCATTATACTTTTAGTAATAATTATAATGATAAGATAAAATGTGTACTGTACATTAGTATTTTGATTACTTTAATTTATGTATTGTAAGTAGATTATGTAATGTAAATAGCTTATCGCACCTGTTGAAAAAAAAAATTAGAAAATGATAATCATATTGATAACTGAAAAAGAGAAAAAAGGAATCAGTTTGTTATCAATACGAGATCTTTCCCTTTCCTTGGCTTAAGGTTCTTGTAAATGTACCCCAGCCCCGACACTTAGACAGTCTGAAGTCACTCGCTTTAACTCCCTCCTCTCCTTACAGGGGACAGTGAGGAGTTCGGGTAAGCGATATTTGACCGACAGAGAATCAAGGCCTCATACTTTCTTGAGGGCGAAGAGATGTTCACGTCGAAGTGCTAATCATGAGGGCCTGTTCCCAAGTTAGTAGTGAAATGGCGTGAAGTAGCGAATGTTATCAATATTAATAAGGAAGAACAAACAGTTTAAGAGGAAAAAGAAAGACTACTCATGGTCTGTCACAGTTGACTTGAGATGAAAGTCTCATTGCAAAGGCATCGCGCAATTCACACATTAATCGAAAGCACTATTTCAAAATACGGTCAATAACGAAACTTTCTAAGGTGAAACAATCCCTCGGAATATGTAGCGTGACTATACGTCTATCCCTCAAGACGAGGCTAGTTCCCTAATAAAAACTCCTCCTTGATTGGTAATTTTTATAAGCCCTACATAACCGTTTGTTTGATTGGTGCATTAAAACAATATATATCAAGAGACGCGTTACTACATTGTGTGACATAGTGAAGACTTGCTACGAAGCTACAAACGGAGAAGGGCGCTCAGAATTCGTTTCTGATGGCTTACTTCTCATCAACGCTTTGTTGGCTTTGGGAAAAGTCCCCGGACATATGACAGAAAGTGTCAGTCGTAAAGAAACGTGTTTTTCTTGAGTCTCCGGCTCTATGAGCCCGGCGGAGAAGCTTCAATCGCAGAGCTGCTGGACGAGAGAAGGACGTGGTCGAAGCAAAGTTATGCAAGGTGACATCAATCGCTGATGTTATCTGAACGGGGCTTACTCTCACTGTGTCCCACCATTTTTTTAACTCTGAGAAAGTCAATGGCTAACGTTTGAGTACTTCCTCTGTCGTTTACCGAAAGTCGACAAGATTCTTTGTTTGACGCCACGTGGTCGGTGCAAACGTAGCAGCGAGTTTGTGGTTCATAGTGTCGTAGTGTGTTACCTAATTTCTTTTATACAATTTACGACTGAATACAGATTAGCATATCATGAATTCAATTTTGCCTTCTCATTAAATAACTTCTAACAAAGTGAGTGAAAGATTTACATTTGCATAGTACAGGTAAACATTAGGCACGATGTTTGGCACTTGTGTTGCGTATCGTATTCTGGACCTTTTCCTAAGCTGTTAGTCCAGCCTTCGAATGGCTTCAATCAACTTAAAGATCAACATGAAACTGTGAAACTTTGTAAATCGCGGCCTTTTTTGAAGAATCGAAGACACAGCAACTCTTTTTGCACCCTGCAAGACCAAACATATTCAAGAAGGGATCCCGCGAGTACATGCTGCAATCAAACCGAGACTTCGGTGAGAGGAAGTTTGTAATGGTCTTGCATTGACTTGAGTCACTTGAATATCGTCGGTTTTGCTGGAGAAGGGGCAAGATTATAAACTCAATATCTGTGATAATTTAGATTTGGCTGTGAGTGATTGCAGCAAGAGTTTGATTTGCTTCTTCCACACATGCACTGTTCATCAGTGATACGTTTGGCTCCTAATGGTAACGCTTAGACTCTCTTTTTCTCCGTTGTCTTTTTCACAGACTAAACATTCTCAACAATATTGGTAAATTGTTTTGAAGGGTTACGAAAGCTAAAATAAAAAGGCAGAGATTTAGAACGGGCATATCTCCGGATTACCACCTTGTCAACTTATTCAAGGCTGAATTAAAATCTGGTGAGCTTGATTATAAGGAGGGTGGGAAGCCCAGGAAGACAGAAAATTCAATAGACAACAACATGAAACAAGAAGAACTAGCTTGAAGTCTGGGAATTGGGTGGGTCATTGTCACTAGGCAGGTGGTCACAATCTTCCTGTCTTTGTACTCCTCTATACTCTAACCTCTAGCTTGTCATATATACAAGGAAACAAGGGTGCAAATATATGCTTGCCATGAGTAACTTTGGCTTTTCAAGTAGAGAAAACATCACTTGTGTGCTTTGATAAACAAATTAACCGCAACAAAATGAGGAAATCTTCAAACAAACAAACCAGCACTTCACAAAATTAGTAGTCATTTAATATGCATTTTGCATGAAAAAAAGTGAAAAAACTAAGTTTTCCAAGAGTACAATATGAATAATTGATTTATTTCAAAATTGATTACCTACAATGATATTGACCAAATATTGTGAGGAGAGATCAGAGTCTTCAAGTACTATCAATGTCCAAGCTAAATGAAAAAAGCTTTTGGTTCTGTGCCTTTTGCACTACATTGCAAGGGCTGAAAATAAAAATTATGTAAATATACAGAGAAAAAATCTTCTCTACATCTGCACCAGCAAACTTTTGAAGAAACACATAGGACTTCCAATGTCAATCCATGTTCAACTGTTTGTAAGACTAAAACAGAGGTACTCCAGATAAAATCAGTTTTGGTGGGAGATTCCATGAATACCAGCCATGAGCAGTCCCTCCTTTTTGGCAGTCTGTCATGCAAGTCAAAAAGAATAAATGGTAAAAAAAATTGATGTCAGTGCCACAGTGTATCAACGTCACTCCTACAGCTCCCTGTGGTGCAATAACAATTTTTTCACTGATATTTTTTACTTGTGTGACAGACTGCACCATAAAGGAGGGACTGCTTGTAGTCTACGATGGATACAAATGTAGAGACCATCACTTTTCAAGTGTTAAGAAAGCTGTGCTGTAAGGAGAATCACTTAGTATTTGATATTTCTCGTCACAGAAACCTGATGCAAAGCTTTCACAAATGCAAAGATAAATGAACCAGTTTCCCACTTGCCAGAGTGACCCCACTTGGCTAGAGCACAGCCCTGTGATTTGTTCCTTGTAAGGATTTTTAGATTACAAAAACCTAATCAAAACCTAAAGCTAAGAAAATATGTGACACATCCTTTAAACATTTTTGCATGTCTCAGGAAATTTATAAATCTACATAATCAACCTAAGTCTCTTCATAAATCAGGAGCTTTGCTTGCATCCTACAAAATGTATTTTGTTCCAGTAATAGGTCTGATGTGGATTTCCCTTGCATACTTTAGCAGGTTGCCAAGATCTTTCTGGCTCCTTTCAATGTCTTTTGCTTGCTTCTGTCTCTGGTTACCTGCCATGGTTAATCCCTTAAAACCTAAGAGTGACCAGCATCTAATTTCTCCTTACAGTTTTACTTCCAAATTGTTCATAAAGATCATGAGAATATATGAAATGATTGCCAACATAAGAAGCTGATTTTTAAACAAACACTTGTTGTCAGTACCAAATGAAATGTGGTAGTTTCTAAAACAAGGAATGACCTAAAAAGACCTAAAATGATCTTAAGTGATTTCTAAAATAACCCAAAATAACCTCAAATGACCTTGAGTGATTTCTAAAATGACCTAAAATAACCTAAAATGACCTTGAGTGATTTCTAAAATGACCTAAAACGACCTAAAATGACCTTGAGTTTGCAGCACTGACAAAATCTGGATTGGACTGGTTGGATATTAGGTTATTTTAGGTCATTTTAGAAATCACTCAAGGTAATTTTGGGTCATTTTAAGTCATTTTAGAAATCAATCATAGCCATTTTAGGTTATTTTAGATCATTTTAGATCATTCCTTGTTTTAGTAACTTCCAATGAAATGTATAGAGATGACTATGGATATTTTGGATACTAATGTTAGGGTGTAGAAGGTTAAACAGCATGAAGCATCATCTCAAGTTTACTGTAACCTTTAACTCCAGAGTTAACATATTAATAAAAATACTAGCTGGAAATAATGTACAATTCTTTAACATTATTAATGAGAAATGGCATCACATCAGAGTTCAGTTTTAGCTGTTGGATCACTTTTTGCACCAGCTCCTGGGAACTGCTGATTGTCAAATTCAACTAATTTACAATCTGGCTGAGTAATCAGAAAATCTTTGACATCCCAAGCCAAGCTACCATCCTTGAGCATGAAGAGAGCACGGTCATCTGCAACAATATACCTGAGCATAGAAAGAAGATTCATAAATAGTGAATTACTTCAGGCAGGTTATTTGCAGAGACTCTTGGTAGATCTACTTTGTGCATCGAACAATTCTTTCATCCATCCTTTCTTCCCTTTTTTTTTAAAACAGGAAATTATTTCAAATACTAGACACAACTCACAGTGGAGTCAAATAGACTGAATCAAACTTAAATTGCAGACATATAACAAAAAGATGAGGGACAGGTTCATGTCACCTTTATGTCCACTTAGCGAAAGTCACAAATATGACATAAGTAATGCAATCAAATTATATGTGTGTGTGTTGCTGCATAGCAGCTATATATATGTTGCTGTGTAACAGCTGAACAAAACATCCAAATTTATTGCCACATCAATTATGCAAATGTTAAAGTATGTTAATGATGGTTATGAATATTCTTGTCATTTAAATCCCCTGAAGAGTGAGTTAATCACAAAACAGGCTAATTGGGATGAAATTGTAGTCTCTTTGTTTTTTCCTATCTCAATAAATATCATGCTCTACTTCTACATATCAAGAACTGTACTATGGAAAAATCAAACACAGACTTCACATATATATGTATACATAAATAATATTTGTAAAAAAGAAAGCCTAACAGGACAAAAATGAGACTTAAGATATATATTTATGTGTTGTATAATACCTTTCAATCTGAAATTGAGCATTGAAAAGACTTGTCTGCCACCTTGCAGTTATCTGTTCTGTTTCTTTTTTACTTGGATTCCCAGCCACTGACACAAACATCATGATAACTTTCCCCTTCTTAGATGCTTTCAAAAGAGCCATTGGGTCATTCTTGAACTGTTGAGGATCAAAGCCTCCACCTGGCAGTGGTGGCTTTCTGGGGTCATTGTCATCATACCGATCTTCTTCCTCAATATCTTCATCATTTTCCTAAGTGAAGGAGAGAACATGTAACTAAAGAGCTTCTACATGGTTGAACATTTATCCATGTGAAACTCCTAAGATCAGCACAAGTGTACATTGGAACTCACTTTAGAGGTCCCTTAAACAGCACTGAAATATATAGAGATTATTAGAGCTTTCCATTCGAATGGGAACAAAGCCAATGCCCTAAAAATGGAGGTGTCCCCTGGGCTGGGGTGTTCCTTAACATAAATCCAACTATCATAAGGCTAAGGTATTCTCAACAATTGAAAGCCATTACACAAAGAGTGAGTCTCAGGGACTCTACAACACGGAAGAAAAGCCCTTGAAAGAAACTTAAGAGACAACAATCGAGATTGAATCCATCCCTGAAAAAATGGAAAATGTGTGTTCCAATCGAATTCACCTCAAAATATTAAGAGGCCATCGGTATAATAAATTTCAGAGCATCAAATGTTTTCATAATAGCTCTGAAGAAAATTTAACCTTAAAACTAATGCCATTCTATTCCAAATACCTTAAGTGAGTCTACAATCTATGGTTAATGATTCTGACAACCTTAAGCGAGAAGTTAAAAAGAAAAACAACAATGTTTATGTCTTCGTGCTTACTTCCCATTGGTCGAGTAATTTGTGCAGATCTGCTTCCGTGTAATCCATCACATTCTTGCCTATTTTACTGCTCTTTTCCTTCTTGTTCTTCGGATCTGGTTTCTTCTCTTTGCCAAGGCAACCGTCTTCCAGAAGAACGACCAGAAACAATGTTAAAAATAGAAAAGCGAATTTGCAAGAGTGTCTCGCCATCAAAACCTCCGAGTTCGCGTATGCCTCAGAACGTGCTGGAAACACCACGTATCTATCGAAGCTTAGCTTCTCGTGGCTGTATAACATCGCTGGCTCATTTGAAAAAAATCGTAAACATAGAAGGCTCTTACAATAAAAACCGGTTTGAGTGCTCTTTAAAAGGAGTCCCTAAAGATACGCTGAGTGTCTTGATATGTACATAATTATTTATAAATTTCTAAACAAGACAATGAATTGTCATGAAAACTGTTTTCTGGACTAAATTTCACTCACATTTTTTCCGCGAAGTTCCAAAGTTCGCGCCATCTTTAATTTGCAAACCGGAAGTTCTCAAAGAGTCATGGGATAGACCCTTGATTTGGAAGTGACTGAATCCTGATAGGAGCAGACCCATAATAGATTTTGCGAAAATCAGCTGAATTAGACATGCGATGGAAGCTACCAAACCGAAGAGGAAACATAAGCGAAGATCTAAAGATGCGGCCACAAAATCTGCATCAGCGGGGAAAGAATCTGAAGCCTCAAAAGGTCTATAACGCTTATGTTTCATCGCGGAGGGTTTTGTTTTGTTTTGAAAACACAGCGATTTACGAAATGTATCATGTCATTTCTATTTTTTTTATGTTAGTCCTGTCCATTATTTTACAGATGCTACTCTCAGTACTGTTTCTGAAGGGGAAACAAGTGAAGTGACAAAGTTAAGTGAAAATGCTTTTGCAGCTGAGCCCGTGACAGAAGATTCATTGAGTACTCTCCTTCCCGGCACTTCTGAATTAGCTGAGAAAAATGAAGAGGTTTTACCCTCACAAAAGGACGAAAATGAGACTGAGGATGTCAAAGAACTGGAGAGTTTCAACAGTGAGACAAAATCAAATGTGAATGCTTCAGTAACTGAAGATGACAATGAATCAAAATCTTCAGCTCATGTAGATCATAGTGTTAAAGATGAACCTGAACAATGTTCAACACTTGAAAATCAAGCTGTCCATACAAGTATAGCACAGGCTACAACTGGAGTTGAAATGGGCACAAATAATCAAATTCCTGATCAATTACAGAAAGAAAATGCGATTGAAACAGATAGAGGTCTAATAAGGGAAACTTTAGAACTGGAGGACAAAGATACGAGTAAAGATGAAGCTCAGAGTGATGTTAACAAACCTGAATTTATGTCAACACTAGAAAATGTTGTTGTCAGTGAAAGTACAACACAGGCTACCACAGGGGATGAAATAGAGAGAAGTCATCAAATTCCTGCTCAAGTTGAGAAAACACAAGAAAATGAAACAAGTGTAACTTTGAGTAGCAGCAGATTACAACAGGATGACAAAGTCAACAGTTCTGGAAATTTATTACCGCAAGTTGGTGACAGGGAGTTACCAGTAAGCAATGAGGATGTAAGAACACCTCAGTTATATCCAGAACTAGACTCTTTAGCCAAAAAGTCAGGTAAGGCCTAATTGGCTCCTCACTTATATATTGCACCTTGTTAGATGTTAAAAATAGACAAGTACATGTTTACCTGTAATCTACATGAATATTTAAATTAAGGGAAAGAGATATTTTTGTTGTAGATCTGATCCAATCCAAAGTTGCTCAAAGTTTTGCGACAATGTTCCCTGAGTGGCATTTTGGATAGCTTTGTGTGGATTAACCCTTTAACTCCCATGAGTGACCAAGACAGAATTTCTCCTTACAATATCAATACAATATCAAGCAGACAAGTGATGAGGATAAAGAAAAATATCAGTTAGGGGATTATAGGTTGATCCAATGCCAAATTCTCCAAACTAACAACACAAGAACTGTTTGGCAGACAGTTAGGAGAATTACTAATGAGATATTGGAAGTTAAAGGGTTAAAAAAGAATTAGAAAGGTGGTAAATTTTAAGCTTGGAAATGAAATGAAGAACAATGTTTTTGTTATCTTGTCAAGAGTATGAGACCTGGAATATAAACTGTGAATTGCCATGATGCACCAGCCTCGGACCTTTGGTTTTCTGTGCTCTGCCACTGAGCTACAGAGATTCTAAAGTGAGCCAGGCAATTGGTTAATTCATATATATTACACATACTGCTAGGATCAGTAGTATCAAAAGCCTCATATGTGACTTAATAAAAGAAGAGCATATGAACTTAGTAATGGCATTGCACACTATAGAGTCTCTGTGGCTCAGTGCTAGAGGGTTGGAGTATAGAATTTGAAGGTCTAAGGTTTGATTCCTTACGATAGCTTGCATTTTTAGTTTGCATTGTCCTAGTGTTCAGACAAAAACATATCTTTCTTAACTACATTACCAAGCTTAAAATTGGCCATCCTCCTCATTCTGTTGAATCAAACAAGGCTTTTGAATTACTGATCCTACTAGTATACAAGACGTGTGTCACATATATGTATGAACCTTGTAATGGCCTTTGGCTCAGTGGTAAAGCATTAGAGCGCACAATCCATATATCTGAGGTTAGCTTTCTCATTGGGACTCAGAATTTTCCTGTGTTCCATGCTTGCAAGAAGATAAAGAACAAAAGATCTTTCATTGATATACCCAGATTTTTCAAAGACAATCAGAAAGATACATTTCGACAAAACCTTCTCCATTGTGATCATTTTATCTTCATAGGTTTTGAGAAAATACCACTCCCTTCTGAAGCAGTTTTTTAAGATAATATGTCAGTCAAGGATTTAATCAATAATGGTTATTTTTTGTTTGGAAAAAAGAAATTGGTTAATGCAGGCAAAAGAATTGTGTCCAGGGCCAAGTTGTTCAAAGCTGGGTTAAGATAACCCAGGGTTAATGTGAAATCTGGTTTCAGATCTGAAAGCTGTAAGAGAAAAAAACCATATAATTCACTTTATCCAAAATATGGTCACTGGATGCTTTAAAAAAGAAAAGAAAAAATTATCCAGAAAAGGGCATTTGAACAAAGACATACAGAAACCTGGATTTAAATTTAATCCTGGGTTAGCGCTAATCGACCTTCGAACAACCGGGCCCAGTTATAGATGTTTATTAAATTTTGTTCCAAGGATGAGCATGGCAAAAGCATGAAACATGATAGGGTAATAACCTATTACTTATATGAGAGGTACTACTAGTTTTCAGCAAGATATTACTAAATGGACAGAGGCAGAAGAGAGAGTTTTTGTTTCTTTGTTTGATAAATCCCTGTATATCAATTGTTTACCATTTTGGTAACTTTCCTCACAAACAGTAACAAGCATAAGGCAGTACAGAATGACTCTAGAAGCATTTAGTGAAGACCACCTGAAAACTCTGTACTTCAACCCTCTGTTGGAACAGATGGAAGATTTTGTGGAGCACTTTATTAAGGTATGAGTCAAACAAACACCAGTGAACTTTGCTGTGTTCCTAGGAGTGGATTGCCTGTGGTGGTATTGAAATAGTTGGTAATGTGTGGTTTGCACTTGTTGTTTTTCAAACATTCCTTTGTTTCAACATTTTCAAACCAATTTAATTTTGACTTTTCTTCGTCTCTGATCTTTTAAGGTTACCAGAATCTTACATGTAGGCAAAGAAAAACTTATTGAAATTAACCTGATTTGAAAATTTTTGAAGCAAAGAATATTTTTTACCACACCACATATCTCAGTAAACAAGAAGGTGACTTGAATGATAAACACTGAATTAAAAGGTTCTGCATGGCATTATCTTGATTAGCTCTTATGCATGATGATATCATTATTTAATGGAAATTTTTCCTTAAGCCCTGTTTGCACTAAAATTGTCACAAGTCTCTGTTCTGTTCTTGTTTGTTTCATGTGGTTATTCTTTTGATTTCGGTGTTGGGTACTTTCCAATCAATATTCACAGGTCTGCACCTTAAAAGTGAGGGGAGGCAGCTAGGGAAGCCTGTATTTGTGGCAACAATCAATTTAAAATCTCCCTCCAAAGATACGCCATTCTTACTTGCCCATGCATAACAATTGCCAGACTGCATACAATTAAATTTTAACAAAGTTTATGGAATAGACCATCTTTGTATGCACTACCACTATTATGGCTATTAGCTAGCATCTGAAGAACACAACCACTTATCATAAATTCCTGATGTTCTCTTACTTATGACAAATGGCACTCATGTTCTTTTTCATCAGTTGTTTAAAATGTTTTGTCTAGTATGCAGTTCTGACATGCACATTTAACTTAATTGACAGATCAGCAAACAAGATGATCATGAGTTCTATGAACTTGTGAATGCTTACTTCAGAGGGAGAAATGCTCTGGCAATGGCCATAAAGGAATATGAGGTTTGTATGTAGTATCCAGGAAAACTAGAATGAAGGATGCCTAGCCTGAAGCAGTGGTTTCAACAAAAGCCAGTTACCAGTGGTTTACACTAATCTATAAGACCTTTCACTGCAGTCTATTTAGCCTGTGACTAGGCTCTGGTATTTGTGGTGCTACATGTAAATTGCAACTCCAGCTTGTGGTTAATAGTTACATGTAATAATGATAAGTTAAGTATCTTATATACAAAATATTTATTGTTGTTAATAATTGTCAATATTTATGATTAAATTTGTCAGTTCAGTTAACAAGAACCAATAGAGAAAATTTTGAATTGCCATAAATTATGTTCTGTGTCAGTGTCTCTTGTATCCTGATAATAGAGAGTTACTTTTGGTTTTTTAATAGATTGTTCTTGATGAGTGCGAGAAAAAGAAAGAGCAACTATGGATTGACAAAAACTTTTCAGTTACAGCTCAGGTAATGAAGTTATTAAGACTGACTTGTCACCATCTGGTAGATCGATTGAATAACTGACTTATGACTAATTGACTTTTAAACTAATTGAGTAACTTAAGTTTGTGCTTGATTGACTGACTGACTGTTTGACTAACTCGTTAATTAACTGAGAATTAAGTGACTGAGTGATTGAGAGACTGGTAGACTAAATGACTGATTGACTGACAGACAGACAGATTCATTGGTTTTTTGACTGGCTTTTTAATGGTAGATTTGTTTATTGACTCACTTACTGGCTAATTGACAGACCCAACCACTCACTGACCGACAGATTTGTTTTGATAAATCATTTAACGGACTGATCACATTTATGCATAAATGTATATTTATTTAAGACAAGATTATATTTCACTTGAGCACTTATTGACAAGTTGACTACAATTGACCACAATCCAATTGCAGGGAAAATGTCTGGACCAGGTAAATGTCACACACAACCATAGTTACCAACAAGTGGAGTTAAATGCTGGCGTTCCTGGTGAGATTGAGAGCATGCTTGGAAAACTTCACAAAGCTTTACATGAGGTAACATAGTTATAAATGCACTTGGAACTCAGGTGACTGTTTTCCTGAAAGTTTATTATGATATGGTAGTACTGAACAAATTGACCTGAGTGTATCCCATTTTTACTATAAGGTCCAAAGTGTACCATTTCTATCTTAAATAAAAAGGAGCTCTCCCTCAGGATTTAGAACATCAGTTAAGGGTTTATTAGCCAGAGGCTGCTTAACCCTATATTAGAACCTGATTATGGCATGTACATATCACACATGTACTTAATTTTTTTTTTCTGGCTCCAAGTGACCACAAAATAACAGAAAAATTTGTAAGTCACCATTTAATTGGAAAAAGGGAAACAAAAAAAAGAGCTCAAAGATTGTAAAAGCTTTGTATGGTTCAATAGGCTGTTTCAGACATTTAATGAGTAAACCAAAGTACAGTTGTAATTAATATTGACAGAGACAGTTACAGAAGAATGAAAAGTGAGGGAGAGTTGGGTCAGGTCATGTAATGAAGACCAGACCCAAACACTTCCCTCATATTTTGCTCTGCTGCTACTTTATCTAAAATACTTTTTTCATTTCAGACCCTTGCTTTGCAAAGATACACATGTCAGCTTGCTCGGCTTCATATTGATATGTACATCTATGACATGCTGTCTCAATCACCCATTTCAAGGAATGTTTCATCTGAGACACTAGTGACTGGTAAGAAGGAACTTCATCTCCGTAGCAGACATCTGCTCTTAACCATGTTTGCAAGTTCTACCATTATAATGATTAAAATTATTATTACAATTATTATTAATTTGTCTCACAACAGTCTCATCTAAGCTGTAGACAACTGATCCTTGAACTTTGTGACGACCAATATTTCATGTATATATGCTTGCATTTTTTGCAAAATTGTCACCTGAAGTTAAGGTGCATGATGTGGCCTAATTTTTTATCTCTGATTCAAGGTTTTTTCCTTTGTCTTAAACTCATACCAAGGCACAAACTTAGACACATTCTTGAGAAGAATACAGCTTCAAACCAATACTGAATTTGAACCACACAGTCTGTATACAAGACCTGATTTACTTGTACAATCATATAACCAGAGGATTCCAAGTAAATCAGGCTAGCAAGCTAACACAGTTTCCTTTTTCAATTAAGAATTGTGCCCTGTTGAACAGAGTCCAGATATTCAGGCTGAGGTCCAGAAGTTGAGAGACTGCATCAGTGTATTGTTCATGTTTGTTCGACAGCCAATTCAAGATGAAGAGTTTGTCACAATTTTGAATGGCTGGATGGAACAGCTGGTATAGTGTGGTTCATTTATTTTAATGAGGCACTGTTAGGGTGCAGTGTTGTCAGTGTTTGCAGCTGGCTTTGTGAAATTAGCTTTTTTGCATTAAGGCTTACTAACAAAAGGCTTGTCCCATTCCAAGCAAAGGGATACATGTAGGTGTGGATGAGGTTCTGTTACACCTCTTTTAAAATCATTATGTGTTGTAAAAATTAATATGGCCCAAAAATGTAGAATGGTGATCAAACTAATCCAGAAAATGGGTTACATTATTCATGATAAGTAATGTGTATTAGGTGATTGTTATAACAACATGGTGTCATGGTGGGCAATGTATTGGTTATGAATTGGCCGAGACATAATTGTTACCATGTCCAAACATATACAATGTATGGGAAAGATTTCCAAAATGCGTTGTTCACAATATTGTCCCTTATATATACTGAAACAAATAAATACTTTTCATAAACTAAACTGTTGTGAATGAATGACAGTTACTCTCATAAGTATGATACACAACAATCACATGATGGACATTTTTTTTTTTTTTTCATTTCTATAAAACATTTTCAAGAAAAGCAGTGATATGTGGTCCTTTCCACAGGTTGCTGTTCTTCTGCGCGTAGCTTGCCTGGCAGATCTTGTATTCTTGTTAAATCACTTACTGAGGTGTCCTCCAGGGTTCACCAGTAAAATTGCCCAATTCATCCAGTTTCCTGTACCACAATTCAAAAGCCATGGATACAATGTGGTGGATGAACCATATTACTGGGACAATCCTTTAGTTCATCATTTTGTGGCTATGCTATCTTCTCTGCTTCTGCCTGTCAGGTAACCTAATGCTGAAGGAGCACACTAATTTTAAGTGTGCTGTCTCAGCCCTTTTGCCTAACTTGATTTCTTCTTTGCATTTCTCAAATGTTCTTACCCAATTTTAAGTACTCATCTTTTGTTTTTAATGTGTTTCCTTCTGGTGTATGCTTATGTAATAGAGCATGAACATAAAGCATGGATGTATTCAGATCACATGTGCTATTTATGGACACATTTTAGCATGAAAAACATTACGAAATTTTAGTTAATTAAAGACAAATCCCTCATGTTGGAAGCTAACCACTGGAATATTGTTCTAGTGCAACAAAAGAGCTGAGCCTGAAACTTGCACTTTTCGAATCAAGCACCATAACACACTTAGCCAAGTTGTTCCAAGATTGGCTTGCATATTAAAATCACAGTGTTGAGATTTTTTTTCATTAGTATTGACCTGACAATTTACTTGGAGTCAGCAATTTGTGAATTGTTTTCATTCATGTTAACCTTTTTAGTAAACATAAAGGTTATTAATAAATGCTTACTTCAGTACACTGCAAAACATTTGTTTTATGTTATGGGTGAATGTAATTTCATGTCATGTTGTTTTTTCAGGGAAAGAGACAGATATTTGAAAAAACTTGCTCTTGGAAAAGAAGGTACGGCTATTGCTCATTCAAGTCCAGTTGTTATAATTAAACAATATTCTCACTGTATGAAAGCCTTGACTTGGAGCCTTTTAAATTGAAACTTCCTCAAAATATGACTTAGGGGTACATGCGAGGTTTGAAGTAAGTGTCTCTGCAATTCTATTGAGATCATGATACGAAGGATAATGATATTATTGTATGTAATGTACTTGTCAATTACTATCAATGATTTCTCCTGGGTGATTACAGACTGCAATGTAGGCAATCTGCTGGGTTGAAAGTTGCAATCACCCCTTGAAAGGTGATACCAGAGATAATTATTATGATATCTAATATTGTTTTGTTGATTTTAAAGATATAATAAATAAAAATAATTTCTGATTGTCACCTGTTACTAAAAAATAAGCTCAGTTATTGATGCTGCATTGCAAAGGATTTATCCATTCAAAGACATTCACCTCACATTGAATTTGTATTCCTCAGCTGCCATGAGATCAATCAGTTGGACTATTGTGGATGATGATGGAGAGTCCTTGGAGGTTAGCTCTATTTAATTTCATGCAGTGGGTTGACCTCTGGTTAAATGTATCTGTTGTAGACTTTGTGTCCAATTGGTAGGTTAGTCCAGAAAATGTATCTTTCCTTTTGTATTTTTTGCTATTACTAATAAATGATTCAAAAGACAATGAGGATAAAATGTAAATAAAATTGTACTTTCCTCAAGGCTACAACTGGAAATCTTCAAAAAGTTTTTTGAGCTTCTCAGTCCTAAATTCTCAAACCTTGATTCTTGATCCTTGAATCCTTGATTCTTGAAAGTTTCGAGGATTTGAGAATTGATTTGAGACTGTTAACTTACATGTACTTTTGACCGATACTGTACATGTAAATCTTATACTTGTAAGTACATGTACTCATATACTGGGCAGGGAAGACAATTGTGAAAATATTCAGCCTGACATTATGAAATGTAGACCAATTTCAAAGAAGACTAAGAGCCAAGTATTCTTGTGTCCTTCCCTGAGCCTATGTTTTCACAGTCAATGAGTATTTATCACAATGGCTGCTGCATTTCTTTCTGTCTTTTTTTCTTTCAGCTCACATCTTAAGCATTATACAGCTTTTTCTAACCTTGCTCACACCATTGCATATGGTCCTCATACTTGGACTTTTGTCTACTGTTTTTAAAGAACTATGCATGCAGGGCTGTATGGTTCATGCAATAGTGTTCTGTAATATTTATTTATTAATAATGTTGTCATCAAACTACTGTATGCTTCCTGGTACAACAACCAGGAGATGCTCCACCATTGCAGGCCACTAGGCTTGTTTGTAGACTTACTCATATGAAGACTTACTTGTTGCATCCATTTTTTGAATAATGGTGTACTGTGCACTTTTGTTTTCCTTTAGGATGAAGATCCAGAAACAAGCTGGGTGCTGATTCAAGAGAATGATCTCATAGCACTGTTCTCACAGTTTCCATTTGATGCCATTTTCAAGCACTTACTCAAAATGGACCCAAACATTCCCAGTAAGTCCTCATTTAGTTTATTATGAAAAGTAATAAAAAACCCTGAACAATTATGGTAAATGTACCTGCAAGAATTACTCCCTGAAAAACACCAAAATTTGAAAGTGTCTGCCAATGTTTTTCCTTAAAGGTCTTGCTGCATGTATATGTAGGTCTTAAATATTTTTGATAAGCAATGTCATATACTAAACTTGACCCCCATAAAATGGCAGAACTGTAGAACCATAACTGTCTAGTGAGAAGATCCGGCCTAAATTATGCTTAGACAGATACACTTAATAGTGACTATGATAATGAAAACAAAGCAATTTATTGGCAACTATTATTGACATTTTTCAAGTGCATACATATGGCAAATGATCAGATAACAAAGAAGATGAAATTTGTTGCATTGTTTTTATCTTGATTTAGGTGTAATATTAATCTTCAATCATTTTTTAGATGATTGTCTAATCGAGTCACACTACCATGTGGAGCACACATCAAGCCGCGATATAATGAGAATGTTGGCTTTTGCATCTTGTGTTGTATGCGTGATGGGAAGGGCATTCCGAACTTATGAGAAAGTGCGCTATAGAGCATTTGTCAAAAGAGTGGGACGAACTATAAGGTATTTGGAAACTTGGAACAAAATGTTACAGGTTTACTTATAGACAATAAACATTTTCATGAAATAATGCTTTTCATCTTGCAGAGTAAAGGATTATCCTATGTCTGTTTCTCTTCATCAGTGTTAAATTTGAGTTTCAAGGATGTTAAATTTTAACCAATTCTCAGATGCAGGTAGAATACTTATCTAGAAAAAAATATTTCAGGCAGGTTGTACAGTATGTTCTGGACCACTGGTCAGATTTTCGAAGTTGGAGAGTGAATGTATGTGGAGAATCTGAGAATGCCATTCCAGATTCTTTCCATTCTGGTAATCAATACTCATTACAAAGACTTCAAGTAGAGGTTGATCAGTTCTTTCTCCGTGCTGCACAACAGATCATTTCTGCACACAGGTATGTACATTTATCCAAAATACTCAGCAGACATCCAGATTGTTTTGAAATGATATGGTAGGAGTACAGTGTTACAGGGTATATGCCAGTAAGTGCAAATAGCAAGATTAAAATTGTGTTCAATTTTGTACCCTTAATCACAATAGTTTAACATCTATAACAGGTTAGAGTAATTGCAACATTTCTGTTTGCTTTGGTTAAAGAATTTTAAACTTTAACTCATTCCTTTATCTCTAATGGTAGCAGCATTGTTGTAGTTTGATGATTAAAACCACAATTTTGATTAATCTGTTAATTCTTTAAAATTGGAAATTGAAAAGCTAAACTCAAGCTTCCATTCTCCAAATCAGGATCAAATTTTGATTCCAGACTTTTTCCCAACTCTTGTATTTCGGATGGCATCTAAGAAAATTTCATTACCTTGTGCGGTGTATGGCAGCTTGTATTTTGTAAAAAATGAATGTTATTAACAATAGTTCCAAAAGATGTACTGTAGGCTCAAGAGAGGATATTCAGCTAACCTTGGGGCCATACAATAAATATATGTCTACCATGATTATTATTTTGCTTGTACATTACTGAATATGCTAAATGCAATGTAATTTGCGTCATAGGCTGGGTGCTTGGCAGTTTTTGGCAGATATGCCCTTTCGCAGTGTTTCCTCCAAAACTCTCTGGAAGCTGTTTTGGGCACTCCATGTAGATGTCACCAAACTTGATTCTGTAGAGAGCATTAACCAAGAAGATTCCATGAGGGAAGATTGGAGAGATGTATTGGAGAGTGAGTATTAATGGAAAAAAAAAAGCTAAAAATGTGCATGATAGTTAAATATTGAATGGAAAATTTATGAGATTTTGATCTTGTTACTAAATTTAGGTAGACAGGGGGAATTTACAGACCAACTGGCCAGAATGTCACAGTCAGAAGCCATATTTTTGCTTACTACATTTACTAACATTGCCACATCCAGAGATCGCAAGGAAAGGGAGCTAATAGAAGCCATTAGCACAGAGGTTTACAAGGTATAGAATTTACTTAGAGGCCCCAAATTTGAGGACTCTCACTGGTAAAAACCATAATTTTGCATATAAGTTATCTAATTTACTTTTTCTTTACTTGGTAAACAAGTACCAGTAAGTATGCATGAATCATTTGGGGGGGGGGGGGGGGGGTGGGGGTGGGGATCCAAGAGTCCTAAGATGCCTTGGGGATCACCCCTTCCCCCCCATGACCTTCGAGAGACATAGAAACCATGTAACGGTGGTCAGAATGTACAAATTAGAAGAATCTACACACCACGGATTACTCACTGCTCACTTAAGAAAATGTCTCCCTAAGTGAAACATAGGGTGTATTTTTACAGTTGGGTACCAAGTAGTCTGGTTGTGACACAGTGTAACCTCCCTCCCACTCCCCTCCTTTAAAAAATCCTGGCTACCTCACCGATTACTCTGAGTTGAGAGTTTTCCCTTCTAGTTGATATTACACAGTCTTATCACAAAGTTATTAGGAAATGTGCAATGTAGGACAGTAGCAAAGGATTCTGTAAAGAAACTGCCCTTGACTGATGTCTTTTTCTTATTAAAGGTTTCCTTCATAGCCAGTCAAACCAGGGAGTCATCTTCTAAGACTGGAAGACATCTTCTGGGAACCATTTCTAGTGTCCATCCCTTTGTGATATCGGTTTTGCTTGAGAATGTCAGCGCCACACTGGATATTATTGGGAAGGTAAACACTGACCAAGTATTGTGTCTCACAGTTTCAGAATGATGCGACTAGTACCAGAGAAGTAAGCTTTGGAAGTGATCTTTAACCAAATAAACCAATATGCACTGCGTGAGATTCCTACACGTCATACGGCTAAATATTATCACTTGATTTTAAAAAAATTTGAATGGCAGCATTACGTTGTGTAGTAATTATGGAAATTTTGTGTGAAATGATTGAATTTTGTGTGGAAAGAAGGTGGTTACTCGTATTAAAGAAAAGAAAACATGACACAATTCAATTTGTAGTCTAATGGGTAATAAATAGTTCACACAAATTTCACTCGGGAGGAACAAGAGTAATATTTTTTAAGAAAAGAGACATAGAATGATGAATCAAAGCTTCCAACCAGGCCCTCGTTATTAGCGGTGCGGCACAAGCTTTTCTTTGTCGCGGGTAAGTTTTTAAAAAGCTTGAGCAAAACGAGCCAGCGAGAGGTCTTCGAGGGATCTGGGACCAATAATAGTGCCAGACCACTTGCAGACGTCTCGCTGGTTAGTGCTTCCCAAGGCCCCAAACGTTCACGCGGGCGGAGAAACGCTCGTGATGAAGGGTACTTGTAGCCGCTCAGAACTCAGGAACAGTTGTGACACTTACTTCTCTCTCACATGCCTTTTTCGGTTCTTACTATAGTTATATCATATGTTGTCTATTGGCGAGCAAATGCACAACAAAATGGCGTCATCACTTTTATTTTTCTCAGGCTTGTGTCTACCTGTTCAGTGGTTTATCAGTTCATCTGTGGCATCCAACATACAGGAACATGGACTGCATTAAATCCTGGTTGTTGAAAGCTGATTTGTCCTCTCCAGAAAATCAGCTTGCGCGTTATATTATTTCAAACTTAAACTGGGGACAAATGGGAGAGGTTTGTAGAAACAGAGTCTTGTTTTGTACTGCATGATACTGTCTATGAGTAAAAGTTAACCTTAATTCACTCCACTGTAAGTCGTTTTGCGGCAACTATGGTGAAGTTCCATTGAACATACAGTAGATAATGGCTTTACTCGTTTTTCGTGCCCTTTAATTCGCCAGTTCGGAGTCGATTAGTCTGTACCTTCGTCTCCAAGCAGTGAAAGAGCCAAAATTGAAAGTCAAATGTTCAACTTCGCACTATTTTCTCGTTTATTGACAGAAGTAATTTAATATTTTGGTTCCTGCGTGGTACTTACTAAAATAATTATTCACCTTAGTGTTTGCGAAAGTGGCGGATATTTACCTCCACTTCGCATGATAATTGTTGATTGCAGGTAATAATTATGAAGAAGGAATCAAAAGAAAACAAACCAGCTACTTTTACAGCAATCATAAAAGTTAACATGATTATAAATGAACCAAAAGTCAAAGCAAGAAGAAAGAAAAATATCTTTAAGAGCCAATCAGAACTCAAAGTTAAACCAACCAAATTGCCTAAAGCGCGGGAAAACGCGGGCGTCCAAGTCATGGTTGCTTTTTTTTTGTATCTGATTGGTTGAAAGACTGGTGGCAGTTTTCTGGACCAATCACAGAGCGAAGCAAAGCAAAACCGGTGCAATCCCAGATTACTTTCGACACTCAATTGAAGAATTGCTCTATTGTTTACGTCTTTCTTTTGCTAGTCAGGAGAGGGTGATAAACTGTTTTTGCACCAGTGCTGGCACAGGGCTGTGGCAGTGTCACTAGTGGAGGTGTCAGCGCTTCGTTTACCCAAAATGCCAGGAGGAATATCACATGAGGCATTTAAAGAAGACACTGGACTTCTTAAACAGGTTTTTAAAAGCCAAAGATCTTGATATGTAAAGTGTCATTTATCTCGCAATGTAGTGTTCCCATTGTGGATCCTAATGTTCTGACTGCTTACAGTCACCAATGAGCTATGATACCAAGAAAGTTGTATGAGACTTATATCTTATTACGTTGTGCGCTGTCTTTTTGTGGCAGCGTGAAGTTTGAATTTGATCAGTCTGTTGAGCAGTTTACTCATACGTCTTGAACTTTTCTTTGTGACATTCTACACTGTTTAGGCGTATCGTGGCTGTACATAATATTATTCGCGCACATTACTGAAAAAGGCAGCTTTTTATTTGCTGATTGGTGTTTTGGATATCACCCGAATTCATCTCCATTTGTTTTGTATACCCCTGGTGGAATGGTATGATGCGAGATTTATTTCTTTTGTTAGGTGACACTGATTGCTACAACGTCATACAATCGACTGATGCAGCCAAATTATGAGCAGCAGCTCTATGACTGGCTGTGGGAAGTCATGCTCTCTCTAAGGCTTCACCCAGCTGATCTACCAATACCAGTCATGCAGTTCACTCAGCGACTTCCAAATGAAGATGAGTTAGAAGGTGACTTAGCAATTTATAATGGAGAATAAATTTCGTCTCGGGAATAACTTGAAAGAACAGTGTTATCTGTGAACTTTATTCCTCTGACGATCGTTAGAGGGAATGAGGGGCACTCGTGGAATACTGAATTGGTTCTGTGTAGCATGTTGTGTTTAACCCACTCCTCGTTAAGACAAAAAGTGAAATTTTTCCTTCCCTAAATCCGAGATATAAAGTTGCATTTGCTAGTATAATCTATTTCACACCCTGCGTCGAAAGAGTGTGTGAGACCCCATCTGATTTCGGACCCAACGTGTTAAACATCAATCTCCATCATATTTTATAACCTTTCTCCGAGGTACCCACGTAGCTATGTAACTTGCATAGGGTAAGGACTCGGAAAATCCTTAACTCTCTTGAGACCGTATGCATGGTTAATTTCAAGCTTTTAGATGTCCTGAAAGCCCTCTCTATTTATGTTAACAGCAAGTGAAGAAGGAGGACCAGGTTTTGCGAGCCTCGTGAAGTCGTTGTCAAAAGAAACACTTGTGCTTCCTAATGAGAGTTCCCTTTCAAGTATGACTCATGCTATTAAGGCCAGTGGACAACTTGCTAGTTATGCTGCGGTAGCAATGACTACTATTGGTACCAGGTAAGTACAAGAATGAAGTAACGTTTACTCAGCGACGTATTTGAAACTCCTGAGCACCTCAAGCCAGTGATCCACGCTGCTTCCACTTTTCGTCGCTTCCTCTCCTCTTTTAAAGGGGCCGGCTGTGTAGTACAAGTTTCACAAATTGTCGCCAAACGTTGTACTCAATTTTTTTTTTGTTTATTTTACAGTCGTGATCTCTTTTTGGGTGAGGGTCTGGATTACTTAACCGTCATATTAAATGAGAGGTGTTTTGATGCAGCGCTGAGGATTATTGCGAATGTGACACCCATGTTTTTTGGTTGCCATGAGAAACTTACACAGGAAGCAAGGTATTGAGAGCTATTCTGTGGTTTGACTATTTATCATTCTTTTTTTAAGTGAAATTTCTAATTTTGATCATTAGCGATTGACGTTTCGATGACTTGAATGAAAGCCATCATCCAGGTCAAAACCCTTTAAACCCTAAGAGTGACCAGCTTCTTTTTTTTTTCCCTTACAGAAATATTGCTTAATCATTCAATAGGATCATAAGAATAAAGGAAATGATCGCCAACCTAAGAGGCTTTGATTGTTAAACAAACTCTCCTTGTCAGTACCAAGGGGAATGTATAGCGAAGAGTGTGGAGAATATAGATACTGATGTTAGGGTGTAAAGGGTTAGAATCATGTATTGTTGTCAATATCAATTTGAGTGATTAACATTCACAGGTTTGTGACAGCAATCCATCGTTTGAGCCAACTTGACAATGACAACGCAGGTTATGCTGAAAAACTGCTTCAAGCGTCCACTGTGGGCCCGTACTGTAAGAGGCTGGTGGGAATTATTCAGGTAAAAATGGAATATCGATTTAGAAGTCGTTGAATGTAGATAAACCACCGTAGCAAATTTTAAAAGCTGACGTAATGAGCGGTACAAAATGATAAATCCCGTAATGATGATTTTTTTGACATGGAATGTTATAGTGCAAGATCGTCAGCCAGTCACTATTAAAATCAATCAATCAGATACAAGACGAAAACCAATCGTGCTTGGTCATTCGTGTTTCTCTCGCGCTTCTGGCAGTCCACAGCTTTTCCCTCATCGGCTCACGGTGACACTTTATTGCCAATGCTCTCTTTTTGGCTTCACGTCACTTAATTGAAATGCACTATGATTTGGAATTCTAGCGCTTAATGGAGAAACAAATGTTTGTAACCTTTCCTTCTCTGTACAGGGCCATGTTCAGAAGTTTCAAGCTCCTGGTATGGTTGGCTCAATAAGTGTGGTGGAATTCTGGTTACTTACGTTGTGCACGCTGCCATACTGGTACAGGTCAGTGATGGTAATCGATGTAGTAGCAGGAACAGTGTAGGTACAGCATGCAAACACTGGTTTTGAAAAGTAGAAACGGCTAAAATGATAGTTATTTAAAATTTGTATAAATGTACAAGCGTTCTATCAAAAATGCTGCAATCTTATTGGCTGCGCTATTCACTATCTATATTTGTGGGGTAGTTTTTCGCACGTAACGTGACTTATTTGTATCTTTATTCGATACAAATATGAGCCTGTCTTGCGGGTAAATTTATACGAAAACGATAAGATCATGTGCTCTCGATTTCTTTGCGTGATACTTGATTCAGGCTTCCCCCTAATCGTCTAGCACGCAAAAGCAATCTTGAGCTCATAATCTGATTGTTAAATAGCAAATAGCATTAAGATAGAATCATAAACCCCATTAATGCTTAAGTATTTGTATGAATCAGCGGGTGGCGGAGGGGGGGGAAGGGAAGGGCAAGAAGCTCTTGAATTGTCTACTTTTTGGAAAGCTCAAGATTATGAATGAGTTTTGAAAATGAAGTTGTGATTGTGTTATAGGTTACTTGAATGTGTACTTATCACATGCTGATTTTTTTTCAGAGATGTTAGTGTACAGTTTCTTATTGATAACCTGATCAAAATAGCTTTGAGAATTGAAGGCAGCCTTTCCGTGATACAAAACCACCTTATGGATGCTTACAAGGTGTGTGTAGAATCGAAACTGTTTGTGTGGTGTTGCACTAGATTTGTTGGTTAGAAGATAGTTTACCAAATCCGAAATAGTCACCTGTACATAGTTAAATTGTCAGGTGAAGATGGTTTTGGAAAAACGCAAGCGCTGCATTACGTAACTAATGTTTTGGCATGCTGGGTGTGGATCAACTTTTGAGTCAAGTGAATAGTTGCTTGTCAGACTAAAATTATTGTTCGATTTGCTGTAGAGTTATTGTCGCACGTTTTGATACGAGAGTGTTTTTGTCATAAATTATTTACTTATAATGCTCCAGTAGTTGTTGAGAAGATTCTCTAATAAGTTATTCACCAAGCACGAATGATAAATTTTACGACTCGTTTGTTTCCATAATTTTCCATCGAGTGTGAATAGCAATCCGAAATTGCTTTGGTTTTCGTTCACAGAGTTCTTCGATTGGTTAAAAAAAAATACGATTCTGTCTTAGTCAATCAGATGCATAACTTCTTGTCTAAGGTCTACGATACCAGATTGAAAAATTGCTCTGTATGTAAGTAATTCTTAGCATAATGATTGTAGATATATGAAGATCATATATGTGCACTGCGGTGAAGAAACGAGTATAAGAGATTCTCGCAGCTATGAACACTACTGAACTAGTAATTGAAATAAGACCTGAAAAAAAATTTTCCGTATGGGATTTGAACCCATGACCTCTGTGATACCGGTGCAGCGCTCTACCAACTGAGCTAACAAGCCAACTGGGAGCTGGTCATTATATTGGATCCAAATAAACCATCCAAGAGATGAATAATGATTCCGAGCATGTTGCCTAGAACTGAATGACTGGAGAACATGATCTACATGTTTTTTTTTTCACATTTTTTTAAGGTGCTGCTCAGAGAAACCGGAAGTCAAGGAGTGATAGCGTCTCTTTTCTCATGGGTGACTTCAAGTAGTACTGCTCCTCCTGTGCTGTGGGAAATTAAGGTGGAATAAACTTGACAGCGTAGTGTAGCATAGTAGTTTTAAGTTCTTTTTAGATGTAGGTAACTGGAGATTTAGGGGTATGATTAAACATGCATGTGTTACGTGTTAGTGAATCTCGAAATTTAATTTTTATTTTTCCTGTTTAAAGGCCTCTCCAGATTACAGTTACTATGCTTATTGTGTACTGTGCATGGAAACTCAGATGGAAGAGAACTGTGGACTGTCTGTCGAAATAAATAAGAGGCTGCTGAACAAACCAGATGCGACAGTTGATGCAGTGTTGAAGGTGATGCTAATGAAGTTGTATAAGTTTACCTACTTACTCTCCTTAAGGAAGGTTCAAGAAAGAAATCTCGTGAGTTAATAGTTTTGATTTTATCAGTGGCACAACTTCTGGGTGGCTCTGTTTCCATTGATTCCAAGTCGCACTGAAGTTTGAATTGATGGGTTTTGTTGTGTACAAAAAATGAGGTAAAATCGGGGAAAGAACCTCGCAGCAAGGATACGGAGTCAACAGCATACATTTTACAACAGGTCCATGATTCGAACTCAGATAACTGCGCTCACCTGAGCGCGCGAAACTCACCCACCAGAGCGAGGCAAATGGTTGTTATGAAGAAGAACTTAATTGGGTGTATCTGGAAAATCTTTTTCATGAAGCATTGAAGAATTTTGTTTGAAATGTTCTGTGCTCAGTGATATTCCTATTTCACACTGTAACCATCTCTCAATGAGGAGCAAACAAGTAAATCAAACAAGTAGCATAACTTCATAATTTTTTTATGGCTTCTACTACTATTTTTTTATATCCGTTTCAGAAAGTAGTGAAGAAGATGAAATTGTCGTGGACGCCTCTCGTGTCCAGTCTTTCCATCTATCGTTGGGCTAATCAAGCAATGGTGACAGAGGTTGATCATCCCATGCTGCCTTTGATTTGGCAACGATTTTTTAGTCTTTATCTCCAGAGACCGGTCACTGAACCTGGGTGAGTGCCTAAGGGTTTGGTATGAACAGAAGTCGGGAAGGGAAGGGAACTTATCGTAATTTCGAAATTAAGCCGGGGTTGCATCATTCTTGCGCCACTCGGTGGCCTCGGATTGGCTTAAAGAACTTGCGTCAGCTTCCTAATGAATCAAATGCACCAATAAAACCTACTCACGACTCTGATACTCATGTTTTCCTCGTGTTCATATATCTGCAATGAGGTTTTATTGTCTCTTGGCTCCTGAAACATTTCCCTTGACCCTGATTACCTTATGGTTGACTTGGTTCTGGTTTTCCACAGTCAAAGCGATGGTCCAAATATACAACAATAAAATTTATCAATCATGTGATGCGATAGTTGTGTTGCTATAACGTTTTAGAGACGTTTATGTAACCTGTGTATGCTGTGTATTGACAAGGATCAAAGATGAATTCTAAATAATGAAGTCCCAAACAATCCCCATATTTTTTTGCGGGCTTAGGATATGAGTAGTGCATCTTCTGAGGTAGATCAGTTGGCTAGGAGCGAAAAGAAAAAAAGGCAAATGAACAAACTAGTACTGAGAATAATCGCTGTTAGTGTCCTTTACTCATTTTTTACATCTTGGCAAACTTAAAGAGAAAGAGTGAGGCGCTATTAATTGTTTCTATTCTGATCAAGGATGAAATCTGACATGTGTTTCGTTTATTCCAGCCTTGCGCAGCGATCTGGTGTAGGGTATCGTTTCTTTGATAGCCAGAGTTATAGCTCCATGTTAAAAAAAATGAAGCAGAGACTGCAAGCCACAGCGGAACATCACCGGAATCGATCCGTGGAGACCGGGGCAGACCATGATGCAGTCACTGATGGTGACAGGGAAATAAGCAAGCAGTTTGAACAAACTAGAGCATTGCATGAAAAACTTACAGGGTATGGTGTCGAAGAAATTGTTTTTTCAATAAAGCTTTCGTTGTAATTACATGTATAGTGAAGTCGGGATGTGTGAAGCGTAAATAACTCGTTCTTACCTTTATTTGAGCTTGGGTTTCATTTCTGGAAGCCGAATGTAACGCAGCACTGTGATTTTACCCCGAGTATCTCTTGTCACTAGTGTCTCATCCAATTTTGTAGGTTCAAGGAGGTTCACGGTAAAATAACTCTCATGTACGAGTTTTGATTCGTTTCTCAGCTGAAAGAAAAAAAAATTGGAATGGAAGAGAGGGGAATGGGGCTAAGCTTAACGCAAACTTTATGGGAATTTGGGGGAAACTGGAATGAAACTGTTCGCTCAGAGAGATACGAAACCAAAGATTTTGTTCCAACGTCCAACGAGACTAGATTGTTAAAATTTTTCTACTATTATTGTTATTTTGAATTTGTGTTTATCGAATTTCCAGAATGTTAAATTCAGTTATTTAAGTTTGTAATTGGCTCATTTTTTGACGAATAACCATACCGCAGATCTTTATCATAGATCGCCTGTTGATACAAGTTGATCTCCTGAGACAACAATTGACAGTTCAACCATTTATTTTGAAGATAACGGACAAGAATATGAAGTTTTATGCCTCATAATAAAGAAACATGCTTAATTTAAATAAAAAATTAAAGATTTCTCATCAGCCTCTCACACCGTTAATATTCTCATGGTAGGTTTTATCAAACACTGGCGTTGTGGTTGGATGAACCGAGACTTCACGACCCCAGTCTGTACCTACCGTCATTGCCGCCTCCTTATGATGCAGTCAGACTTGAGACTTTACTCAAACCAGTACAGGTATGTAAACTATTATCTTAACCCTTTCACTCTCAGCATTCACCATTACGAAAGTTCTCCTTCCAATTGTAGCACACTTTTAAGCAGATCTACCTTAATTGAGCATCGCATTGAATATTACAATTATTTTTAATGATTCGTTTTATTTTCCCTGTTTTGTTAGGAACCTTGGTTTGATTTGATATTCGTGAAAAAGATTGATATGGAAATCACCGAGTCTGTGCGTTGTTGGGTAAAACACGCCCTGGGACCTCAAAAGAACCCCCCTGAGAATAAAGCCACTGGTCAATGGAACGACAGGAGTCCTGAAACAGGTACCAAATGTGCAAGCACCTTTTAGCACCTAGCAACCGCTTAATTTGTACACAATCTTTTTTTCTAGTTCGCGTTCGACAAACCCTTTCCGGCTTTTATTTCCGCTCGCCCTGTGGACAGTTATTAAAAGAAACAGGTGGTCTTCAAACGGACTAGATCAACACCGCCAACACTGAGATAATTTGACATTGAAATAAAAACGACACGAATTGTATCTGTGTATATTCGAATGTTAGCTGGAATTGGCTATGTGTCGTTCCGGTTGCATTAAATGCACAGTAAGATTTAATCAAGTTGGTGTATTTTCTTTCCTACTTTCAAGCCGCCTCGAGGATTGTTAGAAGGATGAAGACGCACCCTGCACCGCTCCCTCCTCCCCCTGTGAAGAGATTAGAACCCATTTTACCCTCCATGACAGATGCAACTTTGATGAACAAACAGAAGTTATTGGGCATAGTTTACAGTCAACTACAGGGAATAGTCGCACATGCAAGGTTTGGTTGCAAATATCGCTATTTTTATCGGAAAACTTTTCGTTTTTATGCTTAAGTGCAGAACATCTCGTTGGAATTGTTTAAGAACCTTGGGATTTTGGTTACCACAATATTTATAGATATCTTCTCTGCAATTACTCCACGAATGAGCATGGGATTTGAGTTAGCTGTAACTAGCTCATATCTGTCAAGTGAGAATGGAATGATTGTTTATTGAGAAACGCCCAATGCGGAATATATCAAAAACTGCGACAAACACCGCTAAAGGATACTTTTTCTTCTTTCTCGGGAAAAGCAACTCATAAACTATGGTCTAAAAACCAGTTTAACTCAGGAACTGCAAAATAATGTAGCTAAACTCCCAGAAACATTTGTCGGGACACTTACTGCCTCCGCTGCTCCTCTCAATGTTCTGCGAGATGTTATAGACACATTTGCAATTAACAACATTGGCTGGGGGAGAGGGGTGAAAGAACATCATAGACCTTGATCTGGAGAACTACCCCAAGTAATTACGTCTCGGAGTGTAGTTTCTATTACAACCCTGTTTACATTACACCTTTAGACAAACGAAGAACTTTGTCTTTCAAAACCATATCCTGTTATTGAGATATCACTTCTTGCAAAACCACTTATCTTCTATACATTTTACAGACAGTTTTGTGGACTTGTTGGTCAACACGTTTCCTTGGACATTGAGTATATCGAGTTAATACCTAAAATGTACTCAAACGAGATGTCCCAGGTAAGGCGTGATGATTTACCTTCTTGTTACTGGTTGATTCTTGAGCTTAGAATTGTTGATAACATCATTGTTTTCATTTTATAAATACAGTGGATTACAATTTCAGTTAGACGTCAAGACCTAGGGATTTGCTATCAATATTGGCAGCAACCTATTAGCTTCCAAAGCTACTGATTAGAGTACAAGTCCTATTAGCCCCTTACAAAACTGGTGTTGGAAATTCGTATTTTTGTTTCAATACTGAATTTTTTTATCGCTTTCCGTCTCCAGGTTGTAGTTCAAGTTCCTTGTCGCAAACATCAGTGTCGAGGGCCTGCCACTCTCACCGTAAAGGTAACAGATCACTTTTGTTTCTTCCCAGCAGGAGAGGGAACGTTAAAATGTCTGTAACTGATTACCTTATCAGGTAATTAGAGAAGGTTTCGATTAAGTGTCGAAGTACTTTGGGATTCCATCGCTTTTGAATCACTGCGCGCTGTGATTGGCAGTGAACACACACCACACTCTCGACCTATCAAATGCAGCTTAAAACAACTCATATCACTCATGTTTCCCCGTGTCAGGGCACTTTACCGTAGTTTGCTTTGAGATAAATTGGTTGCTTGCGTAGATAAGTATCAAAGAGGTTAAAAGACAACTGAACGGAACGGGAATGGCTAAGATAGCGAATATTAACACGGATTGAAAATAACGGACTTTTATGCCAAACTATCGAAGACTGTACGAACGAGTGTACGAACGAGTGTACGAACGAGGGTACGAACGAGTGTACGAACGAGTGTACAAACGAGTGTACGAACGAGTGTACGAACTTCTTCGCATTTCTTTAACACAACGCCAAGCTTTTTTATCTATATTTGCTTGTTATTACTGTAATAGTTCCTCGCTAAACGACCCAATGAAGTTATGATCAGAAAGGTTGCTGATAATCGTCGTGAGCAAGAACAAGTTGTGCAGAATTTCATCCAACCATGCCCTGCCCGCTTGTGTGAAGGTGCTGCTTACATTGAGAGCATTATCACGTGAGTAGGAGTATTTATATACAGGTTTATGAGCATTTTTCCATCATGTTCCTTTAGTAATCCTTTATTGGGGTCTCTATTGGTTTAATATCTTTTTGTTTTCTAAAAAGTCGCGGAATACTGATAAAGTTTTTGTGGGGTTAAACTCAGTCACCTTCCTTCTCACGTTTTCACTTTAAAGCCATACATCGCAATCATTCTCTCCTGAGTCCAGAAAACCTCAGGTGGGTTTGAAGATATGACGGTAATGCGATTTTTTCATGCTTGTATCTCTTGGATGGTGGCATCTTGCTAAGACACAGTAGCTCTGTGACTTTAACGTAAAAAATTTAAAATGATTTATCTTTCAGGTCATTGGTAAACAAAGCAAAGTCTTCTTCGGAGAGGAACGTACAAGGTAATTTTTGCTTTCCTTTGCAAGCGCTTAACTAACCCGCTCTAGAACCGAGATTACGACAGGGTAAATTGATTCCATTCCTTAACATTCTCTTTTGTCTTTGCTGACTTGTGTTTTCATGTTTCAGAGATAATCAGTGACATTGGGACTGCTTTGTTTTATCATGTTACCGGAGCAATGGATGACAGTGTTATGAACTACCAACCAACTGTGCAGTTTTTTACATCTTGTGTTGAGATACTAGGAAAGGTCAGTGATCGACAGCACTCAGCTTGCTGTATTCTCTAGCTTCTCCGATATTTTGTAGAGAGTAGGAGAGTTTCTAGTAAAGAACTAAAAATTTCAAAGCTAGAACTGTACAATTATCCTTCTTGTTCGGGTTCAGAATTTCTCCCAGAATCTGGTAAAGTAGCAAACTCGCAGCAGTTTTTTTTCCTTTCCCCCTTTTCCTGCGATATCTTTAATCCTTTTTCTATTGTTTTTTGCTTGTTCCGCAGGAATTTATTATGAACAATCCCACTCAGACAGAACAGCTTCTGTCAGCCATCTTGGAACACACTTCCATCTCGGTGCTGTTAGTTCCATTTTTTAGCCCTAATGATAACCCTGATTCCTTTACCACCATGTACCGCAGAATCCTAGAAACGGCTGATGGAGATCTTGTTTTCTCGTTACTCACTAAGGTAAAATAAACCGATTTATCAGTAGCTCATTTATTTATACTACCAACAGTACAACACACTCATTATTTCAGCTGGATTCTAGTTTCGGGAGTGCCGTCAGCTTTCTTTCCATTCTTTGCATCAATGATTTAAAAAGTGACTTAGTAATTTAAAAACTTTTAGGCTGGAACCCTCTTTTCTTCAAAGTTTTGGTTTTCCTATCTTTTCCCCAAAGTTATGTAAGATTTTGTCGCGCAAAGCAACTGTTAACTGTCACTTGCAGTAGCTTGTGTTTTTTGTCTTGTAGTTTGAGATGCGTAAGTGGCTGTCCTCACCAAACAGCAATCTTATGGAGAGGTCAGCCCTCACACACGCAGTGTTTGAAGCACTGAGCAGTGTTGGATATGAACCTCCCGATAACAAAAGATCTATTTTAGAGGTGGGTGTAATATTTTTTTTCTGTATTTCTCCCTTTCTGAGAGTTTCTTCTTCCACTCAAACGTTAACAAAGAGACGTAATGGGGTACAGTGAGGATCCACTGGTTTTTCTTTCAGACAATAGACACACACACACAGAGCTAATGGAGTAAGAGACAGACAGATGGCGAAACTGGTCCACTTCTTGTTGGATGGACAGATAGGCGATCTGAAATACTGACAAACTGACGGACTTACAGACTGATACAGTGATGGGACTGATGAACTTGATAACTTTGATACACAGACTGACTTTCTCACTAAATAAGGTAGTTTTTCTTTTCAAAATGTACCAAATAAGTGGTATCTATCTAAACCTTATACTCACTCGTTAAACAATTATCTAGGTGTATTTGCGCCATCTGTCTATTGTTCTGATGTACAATTTTCCGGAGCAATACAGTGATGGTCTCAGGCTTCTGTGTGAAGGTAAGGAAAGTGCAGTGATTGCGTATGCTCGTGTACAAGAACTGGATAACATGACTACCTTTAAATTTTATTAAGGTTACACGTTGCTCTACAGACACCTGAGAACTGCCTGCAGCGCATGTGACAAGCGGCGAGAAGGCAAATCTTGGCATAACGTTCGCTGATGTCTTTCAGTCAGGAAATTTTATAAGCAATGTGGTAGCTCCATAGCAGCTCTAGAAACAATCTTTTTGATGAAAGCTTCAGTTTTCAGTGAATGTTCAAAATTCAACACCGCATTGCTATCCAGGACCTCTGATTGGATATTCGTACTTTTATTATATTTAAAGAATTTGGTGTTATATCTGTGTAACACTGCTGATCTTGATACGTTTGTCTAAACCTATCATTTGTAGTTTGGAGCAGAATGCATATAGGAACTGACAGTTTTCTACCTCGTTTTAAGGTTCAGGTAAGCGGACTCTTTGTCTCGATGTATGGGACAAGTTTCTGTCTTGTATTGGCTGTGTTCCCACCAATGAAAAGGAGCCTCCCACCGCGTCAAAGGAAGTACTGGGAGATGAACAGGTAAAAATCCTTGGGGATTCTTGTTGGTAATCTGATATAGAAATGTTAGCTTCGGTTTGTGGACTTTCGGTATCCGTGTGTTGCTTTTCTTCCCTAGTTTTTACGATATATTTTTACATCTCAAAACACTTAATGATTTTTTACAAATCACTGCTTACAACCGAGATTCGTTGAAAACGTGAATTCTCCATAGTTAATGAAGAACTTTAGACGGTTAACGGCAATAGTTGTGTTCTGTTTTGCTTCTTGATTACAACCGTTTGGCAAATAATTTAAAAAATATTTTCATTCCCTGTTGGAGAACATCCGTTTGCTTTTGTAGTAAGCATGGTTCTTAATACGTGTTATGTCTGTGGTTATGCGTTCAAACCCGAAATCTCGTTCGAATATCGCTTTGAATATCTCCTTGGTTATTGATATCCAAGCAAATAAGCAGGAGGAATATCAAAATTTACCATCAAGTAGACGATGTCATTACACACTTGTTGCTCCGAACTAACTTTAGATATGGAGAGTCAAATAAGTGTCAAATTCCAACAATTAAAAAGATTCTTTTCTCTAACTCTTACAATATCCTCTTTCGCTTCGATCTTTTAGGTGCTCGAAACTCTTGATTGGCTCACCAAGTACTTCAGCGGTCAACGGGCTGAACTAGGAGGTCACGTGACTGGTGGCCTCTACACCATGTGGAGGCCATACATCAAGCAGCTGTCACTTGTCCTCGGTTTCATGTGTCAGCAGATTGTCGTCAGAAGAGCGGCTGTTGTGTATGCCAATCGGGGCCAAGGATTAGAGAAAGGTATGGAGCCTTGTATTATAAGAAATGGCTGATACCGTATTTCCTCGAATAAGGGCTGACGCTCTAATAGGCACCCACCCCCGAGTAAGCCACCCCCCATCTCAGGCTACAATATCGAAGAAACGCCCCTCTCGAATAAGCGCTCCATCCTCCCTCAGTTTCTTAAATAGTTGGAATGCAAGGAAAACCTGTTTCTTTTGTTACTTCCTAAATTTTTAAGCTTCAACTACGACGGAATCAGTACAGGAGAATAATAGGCGCCCTTACCATAAGCCTAAAATTTTAAATAAGCGCCTGTGCTGCTATTCGAGAAAACATGAAGAACATTAGGTATGACACTAATAATTTTCGGGGAATTCCGATAAATTGTGCGAAGCGAGGATGAAAAGAAAATCAGGAGGAATCGTAAAATTTCCACGAAATCTCCATGATCCACATAATGCACACTCGCAGATCAAGTAGTAATGTGATTCCCTATCGCTGTATTTTATTTCTGTAGTTCTTACAGAACTCTGGGAGCTGATCTGTAGAGTGTTTGAGCCATGGATTTGCTCACAAGAGTCTCCGATTCCTGGGTATGTTTTGAACATCATTTAACTTTCCCATTCTCACTGGAAACCTTTGAGCTGCTGTTGATATGCAAATGCTTCTTCTGATGTGGTTTTTGGTTTTTGTTTTTTTTTTTTTTTGTTTGGTATTTCTTTTTTATAAGTTTTTTTCGTTTTTGGTTTGAGAATGACCAGTTACACCTGATCTACTCGTTTTACAGGAATGTACCAGTAGCTCCTTGGAATGAGAGTGAAGTTCCTCAAGCAGCAGATATGATCAACTTGTTTACCGACACACTGAACTGCCTACAGACCCATTTAAATGGTATGATATAGGCAAAACTGTGCTGATTTAAATGTATATAGGACAAAGTGGACGAAGGTTTAAGAATAAAACGTTTATTAGCACCTTTTCTGGAGGATTACGATTAACGCCTTTGGAAGATACTCCAAATTTGTTCAAGAAAAATGCAAAACGGACAACAGGAAACCAAGAGCGAACACGGGTGGGTCAGAATAGAGAAAAGTAAAACGGATAAAAAAATAATAATAATATGTTAGGCCAAACATGACGTTGCTGTTTTTACAGCGTACGGTCTGCTGTATTTTTTGTTGGTTCTGCTATGATTTGTTCCTTCTTTTATTCTTCTTGTCTTCTCTCTTTGTCTTGTTGTTGTTTTTTTATTTAACTTAGTCAGACTGGGACGAAATCAATTGAAGTTAGCCCTTTTAGCATCTTTCTTGACCGAGTGATTTTGTTTTCTTTACATTTCAGCTCCTCACAGCGGATCATCTATGATGAACATGTTTTGGAGTTTCTTCGTATCATCTTTGACCAAAGAGGGAATACCCGAATACGTGCTCAGAGTGTATCGCTCTAAGTTCTTTCAACTCCCATGGCAGAGCTTCATTCCGACATTACATAACATGCAACTTATGCAGGAGGTTTGTTGTTTTTTCTCTGAAAATTCGCGTTTTTTGCCCTCAAAAAAGTATTTCTCAGAATGCTTTCTTGTTACACATAAGCACTACTTTCGTAGTAGGAGATATTTCAAAGATGTTTGCAAGATGCAAAACATATGAAGGGCGTCATATTTGGCGAAGTTATCAGAGCATCAGAAAACCTTTGTTATGCTCACACTGTATTACCTAAAGAGACGGAAGGAGGGGAGGGGGTGGGGAGAGGGGAGGGGGTGGGGAGAGGGGAAGGGGTGGGGAGAGGGGAGGAGAAATAGAAAACGTTTCCATAACGTCCAAGTTTTTTCTCAAGTCTCTCCAGCTCTTAGATGCGGCTACGATTCAAACGAGGAGAAAATCTGCTATTGTATTTGTAAAATATTTCCCAAAATCGTGTTTTCATACCCTCATTTAAATACACCTATCGGCCGGTGAGAGCGCTTGAAGTACCTCTAAACTTTTCGTCGGTTTTCGAGTAAATAAAGCTCTTAAACATATTTGAAGAGCGTGTAACATTGTAATAATTTTCTCTCTTCGTAGCTGTATGGTGTGTGCAAGAACAGTTTTAGGTTCCTTGGTGCCGTATTTCCTCTGATGGACTGGAACCACATAATTTCTCTGTACTCGTAAGTTGCATGTGTTATGTATCTTTTAAGTTCTGAAAGTAGCTACCCTGGTACTCTTTTCGATGGACCGCGTATTACGGAGTCGTTACTTTTGCAAAATTAAAGTTTGGATCATGACCAGTTTTAAGGTACTAAAATTTTGACGACTCTAAAACGAACATAAACTCTTTTTTATCAAGAATAAGAAATCTTTCCGTGTTTACGCCCAAATGTTTGGGCTCCCTTGTTAAACTGAGCATATGAAGAAAGAGCCTGTTACATCTGTTGCCTGATTTTCGTTGTCTTCCGACAATGGAATTACACGTATTTCTCTATATCTAGGGAGGGTCAAACCGCAGAGGTTGTGACTCGTCTCCATTCTTCATTGTTTCATCTATTGGTCATGTTTTCAAATGAGAAGGGAGTCATGGCTGTACAGGTAAGTGAACTGACCCGTCATGCAGAAAAACTGGTGTCCGGTGAACCGCAAAATGAATCATTTGGTGTGAAAATCTGTCAAGCGAACAAAACTATTCTCCTTGCTAGAGTAGTGCGAAAGAAAAAAATGGGACTTGCTCGTACTACAGCGCCGTGAATATTACGCTGGACTGCCAAACAATTCTAGCGCAACAAAAAACGACATAAAAGTAACATAGAATGCTTCAAGAACGTCGTACTTTTTGCTGTGGTTGGCTGTGATTTAGTACACGGTGTCACGTCAGCCCGGATTGAAAAGTGTAACCCTTATTCTCCATCAAGAAATGATCAATGTATACCTTCTCCTTACTATATCTAAATTTTTGTTAGTAAGTAGGTTGTGAGAATACGCTAACAAAGGTTTCCACAGACGTAACATTGAAGTTTCTCACCTCGGGGACCTAGGAAATGAGAGGTTATGATGGAGAATTCTTTTTGAGATATTTAGAATCAGACACTTAAGATACGTTCTGTTTACAGGGTTCCAAGATGCCTGAGTTACTCAATGTTGCTCTCGCATTTCCCTGGCATTACCTTGATGGAAGGTAAGTATTGAACTAATGCTTTGCTTTTAGATTTCCGGTATTCTACTTTAAGTTTGAGGGATTAGATCTTTGGAGAGCTATGAATCGGCTTGTTAGCATCTCATTAATTGAATTCAATTGAATTAAGCAGAATGAATACTCACTTTAGTGCAAGTTGGTTTTTGTTTTGTCTTGTTTTGATTGTTTTTCAACTAAATCCTTGTTTCCTTGGTTGGTCTTGCAAAATCCAATTGTCAAACTGAAGTAAATCCCACAAAATAATGACATTTTTTTTTATTTTCACAGAACTTTCGAGCAAGTTGTCTCTTGGCAAGTTGATAACGGTTCAGCTGAGTTGGTGCTAGACGAGAAATCTTGCATCTGGCATGCGTTGAGGTTAGTAACTTAGCTTTTCCACACGAAATCAAAACCCTGGAAAATTATGCTTCCAGTTCTTTTACCGGCATCACAGTTTTTTCAATCTATCGATGAATATAACTCTCAAGACAATATCTGATTTTCATTTCAAAAACGTCTTCTTGTAACTGCTGTTTGATGAGCCGCTTCAACACAACTTCGACACAAAAGGCCGTTTGTTCGTGATCTTACTGTGGTAGACTTCCTGGTTATGAATAGAGCCATTTGGAATTAGTTAAAGAAATAGTGTTGGGATATATATTGAAGAGAAACATATATCCCTCGATTTCCGAGGGCTTTTTCAAGAACATTTCCAGTAGTCATCTCGGTCAGTTTGAACAAATCGGTCCTTACTCAAGACAGGACAGCGGTTTCAAATTAGCCACTGGTATTGATGCACACCAAGTTAATAGTGTGTTAGTGTGTTAGAGTATTTTGTTTTATTTTAGGTTGATCAGAGCTGCTGCAGGAATTGTAGTCTCTGAAGATGGCTCCATGCAACCTACACGCCCTGTAAGTTTCTTCTGAAATGCCTTTGCCGTGCTGATTGTTAAAAATGGGCAGAATGGCCTGTTAATTGTTTTCTATTTTAACATTCCTCATGTCATCAAGCTTCTTAGACATAAGCCAGAATTGGTGATTGGTGGAATAACGGTACAAACCAGAGCGTAGATTTTAACGTGTCGAGAAAATAGCAGATGGGCATCCTCACCAGAAATTTTGCTAATAGGGAAAGAGAATTTCAGAATGAAAGCCCTCCATCGCGGTTGACCGAGACGCAATTTTAGAGGTTGACCTGAACGTTTCCCCCTCTCCCACCACGGTGGGGACAAATTGTCCCGTTCGTACATATTCCCGAGTGCAGAGCTGCGTGCAACAAATTGCACAATTTTGACCTCCCTAAGGTATCATCGCATGATCTGAATTGAGTAGAAACATGATTGTGACCACGGAAGCCTAGTCTTCTTTTTTTCTTCATATCTTTACTCAAGCTGGGAGCAGTTAATGTCTTAGGTATGACATGGTGATAACCTACTTTGCTCTGAATTAGAGTGCACGGTTTCAAGAAGTTGATCAAGTGGTCAGATCGTCCGTTTGCGAAACGTTGTCCTGAAAAGTACTGTTGTCAATAACAGGGTCTGACCTTTCGAAAACGTGAGCGAAATTCATCGTTAGGGTCAAGAAGCATGACACACCCTTCCTTCCCCATGTTTTATGGGAGTTCTCATCCTGAGTTTCCTGCCATCCAAGATGGGCAGGAATGCTAATAATCGTTAGTTGAGTGTAAGTTACTTGGAAATTATAAACATTTCAAATATTTTCGAGTAACAAGCCAACATTCTATCTTGTTTCAGGACACAGCAGCAAAGCGTGCGTCGTACGTTCGATGTGTAGCAAGTCTGCTGTCCAAGTGCTCGATGGACACAAAACACAAAGTCAAATCTTACGGACCAGTGATTTTTTTTGTACTTAAAGATATCGAGTCTGTTGCTGGTTCAGGTCAGTAAAGAGCGCATTGACCTACAAACGGAAAATTCCTCGTCTGAGAAATTTCGAATTATTTTCAAGGCAGAAACGCTCAGTAACCAATAAAACACTTTGGAATGCACTCGCTATAGCTTCACAAGAAAACGCGAAGGGAAATTATCGCTCTTCCCGGCAGAAAGTTGCGCAGTGTGAGAAGCGCCACCCCTGTTAAAGTGGTAATTTCCGTTGAAGCTTCGATTTTCTCAAAGGTATCCTAAGATATATTTTGACCACTTACGTCGATCAGTCCCCAGCTTTCTCTGACTTGGCGTGAATTTCTAGAATGTCATCTTGTGAACTATGAATGACCTTCCACCTAGGTGTTGATCCAGCAAGTACTGCATCAGAGGTGTGCATGATGATGTCCGAGGCACTCAACCTCTTGAACATTTGTTCTCCCGTGGGAGATGTACTCCGTGTTACTCTGGACTCTATATTGCAGTTCATCCGCGATACTTCTTGTACAATGGTTGTCTTGGTGTCCATATCGGCAGCTTGTAGGACCCTTGCTAATATCCAGTACATGGTCTCCGTTGCGGAGACTGGAATCCAGTCATTTTTTACAAAGTATTCGCCACCAAACCCCACTGGGGCTCAAACGGACGTGGATGGAGGCTGGGCACAAGTTGTACCCAGTGTAGCGGTGCCGGAGCTCGCACAAGAAGAATTTGTTCAAGGTCAGTTCTATTTTTGTTTTATTTTCCAGGCCAATTCTCGCCAGCTCCTCGGGACAAACCGCTCACTTATATAAAGAGAGATTGTGACACTGTGAGAGGATACAACACGAAAATCCCGGACTAGACTCGATCACGAGTCCTATGTGATTTCATAGTTCGGTTATGAGCTCTGGTTTTTGCTCTTATCAACTATCACGCTTAGATATCGAGAATGAATAATCTCAATTTTGTGGTACTGATGTAATAGCAGTTGAAAATTTTAAGAACTCCTGTTGTTGTTGTTGTTGTTTTTTTTCTTTTTTTGGTTTGTTTTCAGCTGCACACTGTTAGGGTATTAACTTAACTCACCATCTATCGCAGAATTGACAGCTAGTAGCGTAGGAGAAGAAGGCTGGACAAAAAACCAATAGTCTGCGTCTTCTCCTTTGATAAAACAAACTCTTGCAACTACTCGGGCGCTACTCTAATGCACTTTTATTCGGTTAGTGACATATTTCATGGAGTGATTTATATTATTCTTTCAGAATGTGTCAGGCAAGGTGCTCTGCTGACGCTCTACACAAACATACTCCTTAAGTTGTCCTCATGTCAAAGTCCAGTCCAAGAGATGTCTGTTCTTACTGATATAGTCACGTGGTGCTCGCAAATTAAAATGAGGTGAGGATATGGATATGATTTTTAGCGGGTGAAACAGAATACACACTCATCAGCTCGAGAGTTAGACAGTTGTCACGATGTGATAAAAGATTCTCTGGATCAGTTTAAAAGGAAATGTATAGATCTACAAGGGAGAGTTACGAATCAGATCATGGGGTAAAGATTTGTGTCTGAACCTGCCTTTATCTGAGTTTCTTAATCTCGTTTATCATAGGCGTGAATTTGAAACCAAGGTTACGTTACTGTGGCACAAGATTCTCCAACTGTCTGTGAGACAGGTTTACTATGCAAAAGGACCTTTACAAGATTTGACCAAACAGCTGTCATTTCTTGCTTCGTTTCTGCATTCGTTAGGAGAAGACAAGTCTTCTGCTGGTTTGTTAGGAGCTATTGGATTTGGAAAGAAGTCGCAGCTTAGTGTTCAGTGAGTATTTTTGTGTTTTTTCTTTGAGCCGATTGTCTCTAACACAGTCGACGCTCTCTGCGGGCAGTTTCTGCCACAACTACTTTGAAGGAAGCACCTTGCAATTTTTATGGTCACATTTCAGCGACACAGAGTATTGTCACCGAATGAAATAAAAGCTTAAAATGATTTTTTTTTCGGGTTGACAAACACCTACGAGATAAGGATAATAAAAAAAAACCAGGGTGACGAAGGATGGATAAACAAAAAGTTTAAAAGAAGTGTCAGTCGAATTTTTCAAGATTGATAAACTGTAGCCCTCTATTGACAGAACTGTGATTGAGGGTAGTTGATTTAGGGTGCTAGAAGAAACTCGTGAATCACTTGAGCGATCTCCAGTTTTTAACACTATGTTGAAACAAACTCACCTAAAAATCAGTACATTGTACGTAGTTCTTAAATTTCTCATTTCTTTGCAGATTCCGGTTCATGTGCCGCGCATTGGAAGCTTTCCTGCTGGCACAGATGCCTTCAAACTCTCTTTTGAGACTAGAAGCCAAAGCCCCAGGATATGTGCGAGAACCGAAAGGGGTACGATCAGAATCCTTCAGTCCAATTTCACTGCTTGAGAGTCAAAATAGAATTTTTTCCTGAAACTTTCAGAATACTTTACCACTTTACCATCTGGTGTCGAAGAACTAAAACCATAGTTATCACAACGGCCATTAAGAGCAAATTTATATACCACTGATATCTCAAGGAACACAAATACTCGATTTCCAGCGCGGTAACACGATAGGGAACTGAGCGCAACTGGCTTTATTTTCACATCTGATTGGATGACGTGAGTTTTTCTACACCAATACAAGGCGGAATGAATGAAATTAATGCAATCATGAATTACTTTCGACTCATTAACAACGTACTCTTTGCGGCTTTACGAATAATCATCTTGGAAATCTAATGTGCAACGTAGAAGAACTACTTCCAAAGTGTGCCTAATGTTGCTTTTTTTTTTGTTCTTTCGTGGCAGACAAAGCAGTTAGCCCCAGGCGGACGTGTCATTTCTTCCACTGCCGAAGCCGAGCAAGCTCTGAATAACTTGGAAACACTTCGAGTTAACAAACAATACGCGAGTCTTGCAGAACACATCATGGAAGCTTATTCATTTATTGCTAATCCTCTGAATTCTCTCATGGAAGGACCACAGTTTGTAGTCATGCTTGTGCGTAAACTGTTTCCAAACGATAGAGCATTAGATATCATCGCGGTTTAAAAAAATCATTGAATCAATGTCCTCGCTAAGAGGAAAGACAATTTATATTTAGCTATATAAAGGAATTTCAAAAGCGTAATTTCTGCCCAAGTTTATAGGCAGGAAAAAATTACTACAATTCACAAATATTGTAATTCATTGCGATGAGTCAGGGATACTATGCGGGCATTGCGTGGTAATTTGTACTTTAAAATACTAGTCGTGGATATGGAGTAGAGTCAGAAAAATTTGGGAATCCGAGCGTTCCACCCAAAGACATCAGAATATTCCTCGCTTAAGAGACTAAAAACGAATCGACGTTGCTAAGCAACTCTATATTTCAGGAGCTCGAATAGCCAAATGACGTCGGACATTTTTCGGCTACTAGTGAGATTTCGCCGAGGATGCTATATTTTGTTACTTTAATTTCTGACCGTTAGAAGTGCCTTAAGTAAATAGTGATTTCGCTACTTTCTCTATTACCTTTCTGTCGATGATGTTGGACAAACACAGAAATCTAGGCTATTAATGTACTAAAAAGAAAAATCAGTTTCCACTGTGATTCTGTGGACCTGCTCCAATTTAAATTGGTAATAAAATTCCTTCACTATGTACAAGATAGCGAGTTGTTTACCCATACATCACTTCGTCATACCTCATACAGTGGCCTTGCTGTAACGCTCTTGAAACGAAACTTAAAACATGGAATGATTTCGTATGAAGAAATTCGACGAACGGTTATGTTAGGGATCTTCGCAGTCAGTCGCAGTTTCGAAAATTTCTTGAAGGAAAATATTTTCATATAGGTAACTAGATACAGAAGGGAATAACTTTCAGCTTTCGCTGATCTCGACCGGGTGCAATTCAGTTGGCTCCTTCAAGTAGATGTTTTTAGGTGAAGGCAGTCGTCAATTGACCAAAGTTATCCAAGATTTGATCGAAATAATCGAGCCTGTATTTTAACCTTACAACTAATCGCGACTTGTTAGCTCACCTTTTCCCACTTATGTAATATTAGGTCCTTCAAAAATATTTTCCGATTTGCTCAGCATGCAGTTTTGATTACGCTTTATTATATCCATACTCTAACGAAATTTCTCACTTAATCATATTTAATGACACGAGACAACGAACAGATTTTAAAAAGGTTTCACCAACAACCCGAATTTTGATCACTGAAGCTGTACAAGGAAAAGACAGTCACATAGTAGAAATAATTTAAATTTTTATTATTATCGTCTCTTTAGCTTCTGAACTTAACTCTGCAAAAATAATAAGTTAATATTGATCTTCAAATATTGCACACGAAGCTAAAGGCAACAGTTACACCTCGTGAAGATAACAAAAAAAAATGATGGCTTTTGAACCACTTTTCTTTGCCTACAAGGTGAAGGTGATTAGAGAAGCTTTTGTGAAAGGTTAGGAAAAAACCTTCAGTCTTAAGAAGTTCGCTATTCACTGCCTTTTCCAAATTCTCGCCGCGTTTTAGCGTTAACGTTAATTTCTGGCATGTTTTACCAATTACCTGGAGGATGCAAACGTCGTAAGATAACATTCCTAGCTCCTCCAAACGAAAGCAGTGGCTAACGACAACATTTAAATCCAACAACGCCTTGAACAAACTTCAAACCAATTTAAGCCATGAGGCAATTTATGAGCTTGTAATCATTGTCACATAAAAGATGAGAAGACTGGTGCTCTATACAAATAACTTTGACCATATATTATAATTTGTGAGTATATGATGTAATATATACCGTTATGATCCATCGATTATTTTTGCTTGCGCGCGATTGGTCTAAAAATCACGTGACCGAATATTCCCACCTAAAACTGGGGGATATCCGTGGATATCACCCAAGTGATATTCCCCAATTTTAAACCTTACGTCCACTACCATAAACCCTCGTTTAAAATTTAATTCAAAATGAGAGAGCGTTTTGTAGTTGTTACTGAAGGAGGGAAAGAATTGTTTGTTCATTAAGTCGTACAAGAGAATAAAAAACAAAACACCCCACACCGGCAGCAGTACCCTGTTTGTAAACATTTTTTCACACGCGTTGCAAAATACTTGAAGGATAATAACCACAAAAGCCTCTACTATGAGCGAAATTATCCTTGTATACTGTTCCTTGGACATTATCTGTTCCTCGAACCACATAAATCTCCTCGAGCTTCGTTCTCGGAAAACTGTTCGCATCTTGGAACAGATAATATCCGCAGACAAATATCCGTGCATATTTTCCCGCCAAATAGAAGCTGTCGTTAACATAGCAACACTAGATATATCTACAGTGATTTTGTATTCGACACAACTTAATCACCTAACACCCTCCACATCCCTTCTTGAACAGATATCAACAGCCAATCAGGATGATCTTGACGAATAAAGTTAACTTTCGGAGTTCTCATTAAGGAAAATTTTACCAATTGTTGACACCAAGAGCCTTTCATAATGTAAACCACTCGAGAGGTGTTCAGTATATGAGCCACAGACTTTGCCATTATGATGAACTACGTATTAAATCACTTTAAAAGGAATTGTTCCTTGATTTTTTCATAAAATTCCATGCGTGAGATTGAATGGCTTTCTTACAGCGACGTAACTTTGACCCCTCTTTTACTTGGATCAGAATTCTTTTTCTGTTCGCGCCCTGACGTGCTCTTGAACACACGATGCAAGCTGGGGCTGGATATTGGAGAGTCAGTCGAATCTCGTCTACTTTTCACCATCTGTTTCTTAGGAATATTTTTTTCCGAATTCTTAACGGCTCGACTGCGATTACACTTCCCACAATTACCTTTTGTAGAGCTTTGGGCGTCTGGACGACGAATCCAGACATTCTCCACTGGGTCACAGCTGCAAGTTGATGAAGCAACGCTCTCCGTGTCCGCTGAACGAGATGGATTAGCCTCGAATGTTGGTTTTTGAATCCAAGCATTTTCCACCTCGAAATAACCTATTACTTTCCGAGGGTGACCGAACAGGTTTCGTTCACCTTCGATAGCGATCTCCGTATCTGCGTCACTGTCTGAGTCACGGTAGGATTTGAACTTCTGTGTTGAGTGCTTCTGATCAGATCGCGCAATGTTTGCGAAGATTTGATCCGAGGTACCGGGCTGCTTTACCGCTTGACGTATTTTCGAGGAGTTCTCCTCCTGTAGCCCAAACTCTGTCATCTCGTAAGTCTCTCCAGGACATGCCTCAGCCCACTGGTTGAGTCTTTTAACTGTAGACGGGGAAACCATGGAAGTAGTCTCTCCCTGCTGAGATACTGACTGCTGAGGGTGTCCGCCTCCTCCTTCAAAGTTTTTCTGTACCACACTTCTGATCTTGGATATCACAGACGCCTCTCCAGAACCCTTGTCTCTTGATGTGTCTCTCTTGGGTTTGTGTGATACATGTAAAGGGTACGAGTCACACAATAGAGGTATTACCACACAGCCGTCGCTCGAAGAACGAGTGTGTTGGCGCTTTTCGGTAGCTTGTCCACTATGACGGGGATCGACATCAGGCCGTTCGTAATTCTGCCTCACGGAGGCATCTCGGCGAGGTTGGCGACGATACTTAGCCAGTGAATCATTGCTGTGATTCCATTTAAAATTTGCAGCATGTCTTCCCTCCAGAGAGGCTCCGCTGCCCACACTGTTAGCGTCAACGCCTCGTGCCTTAGCTCTCCGTTGTCTACCGGCCAGAGCCCTGGGACCAACATCTGATCTGCTCCGTAGGAGGGAAGGACTGGGCTCGACATCCTGGACAACGCCATGGTTGGAGCTTGAGCTCGAGTGAGCGAGAGAGGCAGAAGATCCAACTTTCTTTTTCCTAGACTGCTGTACACGTGACGCGGCATCAACATCTTGCCTTGTGACTGAGACGATACCAGCCTGACCGGCGGAGTAGGAAGGCTGCGATCTGAAGTCTTCCGTCTGTTTAGAGACAAGGCCATGGGGGTGTAGCGGACATTGTTGGACATTATTTGCAGGGTGAGAGGAAGCTTCGTGATCTTGCTTTGCAGCTTGACGCGTGGAAAGTGGAGGCTGGGTAGCCTGGCCTTGGGGTATTGGAGACTGAGTTCTCGAAGAACTGTTTAACACTCTAGCTGGATCACTTTTAATTCTAGCTTGTGCCTCTGCTGATCGCATATTCGCAGGCATACTGCGATAGTGTCTGGCTGCACGGGATGATGTTGACTCGTTATCAGTAGAACTTCCTGGCTTCACAGCCATCAAATTTCGTAAGGCTGCAGCTGAGGCCTGGGCAATGGCTTTGTGCTTCGAATTGATAAGCGACTTGAACAGAGACACAGCACCGAGCTCCCAAAGGAGCTCCTGATCCTCGACGCACCGAGCCGACAGGTTCCACAAGGCACCACACACATTACTGACGACTCTTAGGCTTGGCGAACGTAGTTGAGTGAGCATTATCTGAAAGCAGCCGCAATCCCTGAGGGTTTTACGATAGTCGGGACGCACGGCAATGTGTGACGAAAGATTCCTCAAAATTCCTCCGCTGCTCTCTACCACGGAAATGTTACCAGAGGGACTCGAGTAGTTGAGACACCTGACGAAGAAATTCAGGGCGCCTGGTGCCGCACAAATCTCTGCCTTGTTATCCGAGCAATGAGCTGACAGGTTCCAAAGAGCACTGAGGGTTGTTCTCAGGGCGGGTTCGCCCTGTAATGATTGGGCCGCTGCCAACAACGCTTTCACTGCACCAGCTTCGCGAAGAGTCTTGCGGCAAAATTCATCCGCTCTCCAAGACAGGTTTCTAAGTACACTTGCAGAAACTTGAATAATCTCTTCTTCTTCAATGGTGTTCAGCTGAGCGATAATGGCGTCTACAGCACCTGGGATCCCGCACAACAAGCTCTTATTCTTCGTATTACCGAAAGTAAGATTGGTAATTGTCATGCCTGCATATTTACGAAGACTGATGCTGTAGAAGTCTTTGCACTGTCCATTCACCTGGTGATCGATCTGCACGAGTTCAGCGATAGCTTGAAGGCCACCGAGTTCGCAAATGGCCGTGCGATGATCTTCTTCAAACGAAAGCTTCATAAGGGCAGCAATGGCCGGACCTGGCCCATATTCCCTCAGAGGTGGATACCAACGTTCCGCACAGGGGTGTACTGCTAAACCTTTAAACTGCACAACATCACAGTGCGCACGCGCTATTTCCAGCAGTCTTAGAACTCGTATCTCGCGACGACCACGCCTATCTTCCACGTTGGAGTAGACAATGTTATGCAAAGCGAGTCCAGCACGCGCGCGAGCCTCACGGCGCGAATTTTTGTCCGTAAAGTCTTTACCGTGGAGCAGATCAATAAGAAGCGGTAAACATCCTGATTGCCTCATGGCTGCACAACTGTCCTTGCTGTTTGACATCGCCAACAGAGTTCGTGACATGTCATCTTTGTCATGTGTTCCTAGCATGGACAAAAGAGACTGTACCATGTCGATTCGGGTGTCAAGGTCGTGGTGAGTGGCCGCGGTGCTGGCGAAACTGACCAGGCTGGACGTCTCCATGCCGTCCAAAGCGTCATGCGGTGAATAACACATGGCTTCCAAACTCGACTGACTGATGCTTCTGGCGATGCCCCGATTATGGTTTCCTCCTTCGACGCCGCCATGGTTTCTCTCGTTTTGGCCACTTCTCACTTCACGTGGAGCAGTGCATCTGCTCGGCCTATCCCTGTTGCTAGGTAACGGTTGATTGACTAGCCTGCTATCGTCAGCTGGATTCAAAGCGACTGGCTTGTAAGTATCCGCCATAACTTTACTAGAGACCTGGGCTTGAGTAAGAGTTTGTTTTTCCTGCGGGGGCTCCACGATAACGATGTCTTTGGTAATTAGTGGATCGCCCTGTGGCATAGCTTCACTCGTTACACCATCAGCTGGGGGTCCTGTGGAGGAACAAGTCACATTAGTACATTAAAACAACACTGGCAATTTTTTCACAAAGCATGACTGATGCATTTAGACAAGACTTCACAGTGGATATTTGATCGTTTTATTCCAACGATGGTCCTCTTAATGAATCGATATCAAAGCACATGTATTTGCTAAATGGTTAAATTTGTTTTGTTAGATGTTTAGAAAGATGTAATCGTGTTCCCTGTGATTCTCTTGTTGGATTCGAATTAGTGGCTTTAAAATTTGATGACGGTCTGATGACACGATCGAAAAAAAATTTCTCCGACTTGATTTTCATCACCCTTACAGTTGTGCCACTATTCTTCCTGGTAACGAAAAAGGGTAAACGTAAAGCGCCTGAATACCTTGTCCTTGCTGTGCATGCTGGTCCTGCTCGCTACAAAATCCACTATCTCCCGGGACAGGTGGTCCGACTCCTTGAACAGTTTTCTCGGCGGCTTTTTCATCGCGGAGAACTTGCACTTTATCGCTTGCCTCTGCGATTCCTGTGCTTCTGACCTCCTCTTGAATAGCTCGCTGTTCTTCCAGGGTCATTCTGTACGATCGGTTTGAAGAATGATCTGATCCGGTCCGACCCTGTGAGATTTTTAACAGCAGCATTACATAAATACGCTGAAACATTGTTGAGTTTATAAGTTTTTAACTATCGGCAATAGCTCCTTACAGCTGATTGAGGGTAAAACTTATTAACATACTCTCTCTCAAACTCATCGTTCGTTTAAAATTTGGATTTATCCTATGTGCTTTTAATAGTGCGTTAAAAGAACTTAAAAGCAACAAAAAATTAACCATCACTGAACCAAGGATAAAACTGAATCACAACAAATTCATCTTGAGGTCCTAAATGTCTAAAAAAAATCGCAAGATTTGCTTGGAATCACTTATCTATATAATCGAAAAAAGCAGAACCAGTTTTAAAATACTGCCGATCCTTTTGCAGATGTTATAAAATTCAAGTGCCTCGATTAAACTGATAACTGCGTTTAGAGGATGAACTATGGTGTTTGTAAATCATAAATCACAGCAGCAAATTAGATACCAGCACTTAGTGGGCACAGTCAAGCACAGGTTGGCAAAATAATTAGTTGTTTGTCAAATATTAATTCCCTACAAAGTGGACAATTGAAGGTACTCACCCCACAAGACTGGCGATCATCCTCCATCCAAGGTGGAGTCAGATAAATGTTTTCTTCTGAAGGACGGCGCGAGTTTTCCATTGATCTTGCTTTACGATATTGGGCAGCAAAGTCCTACAGCAGGTAAAACAAAAAAAATTAACCCCAAACATCAAGTTAAATCCATACGGACTGCTGGCTCTCTCTATATGCAGGCAACTGATTATCAAACGTCGATAAAGTTACAGTCAACAAACCAGAGAAACGGTTTAAAACCATGTGCATGAATATCAAAGTGAAAACAACAACATCTGTAATGTGCAGCGTATCAAATTATAGAAAAAGAAATAGAATCTGTCGCTAGTCGCCCACAGTAACCATGGAGCTAAACCAGGAAGCAAAGCAGAGCAAAATAAGAATGTCCCCATTAACTTGCACAGCTGAGTGAGTTTCTGTGAAATATATCTGCATGTACATATAATATTCAAGTTGACAATTCTTTCAGTAATCTGAATAACTTTACTTTTGGAATGCAGTACAAATATGTATCTACCTTGGTAGAATCTCTCTCATCTTCCTCATGCCAAGGGGGAGGCTGTCCTTGTCTCATACGTTCCTCTATCACCATGTTATTGATGCTAAAGTTCTTTGCAACTGGTTCTTCTGTCACAAATGGCTGAAGGAAATAAAGATTTTGACTTCATGTTACTGCTGTTGTCTTAAAAAAAAAACAGTTATGCACAAAGTTACAATAAAAAAATCCTGAATCAAACTCAAGTCGCCTCTGACAATATTTTGGAACCATAAAATGGCTGAGGATTGGAAAGATAAATCAAAGTTTCAATCTCACTAAGTAATAATTCCAGTTAAGTTCTCATTCACACAAAATAGTGACTCACTGCCCCTCACACATGCCCATATAGTACATCTAATAAGACTAAAATGTTAGTCACATGCACACCTGTGTAGAGAATGTACTGTATATTCAATGTACCCACCCTGACAGGTCCATCATCTTCTTCATTCCAGGGGGGAGAAAGACATATGTGCTCATCTGAAGGAAGCCTACTCAGTTGCTGACTAGCTAAACCTGATGGAGGTTCTTGTTTTCCAGACACACGGCTGAAATCCTGAGGGATAATGTTTCAAAATTAGAAAATACTCTTCTGGAGTTACAGGTAATGTGCTTCTATAATGGTGAAAAAGGGAAATGAAGTTTTGAAGAGACGTAGCACAATGGATGTATTCTTAGCAATAATAATCAAGTTTTTTTTCCCACAGGATCTTCACCATGTTTAAAGAACTTAAAACCAAGAGGAGTGGGAAAAACTACATCAAAAAATACATTATCACATTAAGAACAGTGTAAAAGAACTACAGTTTCTATTGTATATCTTCCACCATGGATTTTTAAATTTATTCCAAGCATAAGAAGGACTACATTTGACCAGTACCTACCCTGACAGAATCTACCTCGTCATCATGCCAAAGAGGCGGTCTCCGAATGTGTTCTTCTGCAGCTCGCTGATAAATTGCCTCATCAGTACGCTCCATATACTTTGCTTCCTTCTGGCGATCATTTCCTGTAAAATCCTACAAAATAAAAGTGGGTTCGATGTCTTGATTAGATAATAATGCAACAGCAACAACATTTTCCCCAAATATAAAAAAAAACAACTTTATTTCTTTGATACAAAATACAATCATGTTCATTTACACTTATCAGTTAACATTTGACAACATTACCTTCACTGAATCCACATCATCTTCATCCCAAATACGAGCATCAAGAGTTTCTTTTTTATCTCTGTTTCCTGCAGCCTGACTCTTGCTTGATTGAACTGATATTTTTCCTCTTTCACTGGCTCCAAAATCCTATGGAGGAAGAAAAAGGCTTTCTTAGCTCTGTGGTGATAGCTGGGCCACATAAAAATGTGCAATACTCTACTTCATTTTATAATACACACATACCCAAAATCTAATGTTCAATTTTTTGCCCTGTGTCTATTTTTAACTTGTTTTGTAAAAGGTCTGTAAAACTAAGAATTGGTTGTACATTATCCACATTCTCTTTGCCAAGCATATTGACAATTAAACTGAAATTGTAAAAAGTTACAGATGCACAAAATTTGGCAGATACAAGAAAGCCTGATTACCTTAACAGAGTCACTATTTCCCTTATTATTGTATGCGGCCTTCACCATTGCATCAATTTTTTCCTTCTTCTGAGGATGTCGGTACAAGCTTGGAGAAATGGGTTGTTTCTCTGACATTGTCACCTGACCATTCTTCCCCACACTGGGTTTCATAGGCAAAGTGGGTATTTTTCCACAGGGAACTGAATTATCAGAGTTTCTTTTCATAGCAGGGCTTTGAGTCTGTGGTACACTTGGAATGGACCCATTTTGTTTGAGAGGCAGGTTTCTCCCTGGATTAGATGTTGGTGGTAAGGTGGGAATTTTTCTTTGGGCCATCTCTTGATGTGGTACCTGCTGTCTTGCTTTTTTCTTCTATTAATATGCACAAGTTAGAGAAATAATAATTAGTTTATAGAGAGAAAATACAAATGTGATAACAGTATTTTTTTGTGTGCTGAATAAGAACTTCAAGTAGCTCTTCTATAAATAAATATTGTAGCATAATGAAAGTGACTTTAATTAGAGTCTGCTTTCAAATATTATTGATTTTTCAGGCTGGGCAAAGAAAAAGGGAGTCATTTCCAGCTTAACAGTAAATCACATCTCACAACTGTGCATCATTGAAATTTTGCACTGGCTATGGTAAAAGTAGCTGACTCGACTTCTCAGACCAGCAAAGACAACAATGCAAATAAAAACCTGAATAGGTCAGCATCCAGCACAGTAAATATGTTAAACATTAATTTTTATGAAAAAAAATAGGCATTGTGAGCATTATCTTTGAAGCTGTTCTTGGATGAGATTGGGTAAATTTGGTTGATGCTCTCTTTTCAATCCAAAGGCAGCAGGGAATTTTCTCAGAGCATTTAGAAGGTTACAAAAATTCTCCAAAGTTTTAGAAAGCCTCAACTTCATCTAATTTCAGTATAAATTTCAAGAATTTTCTCAATCTCCAAGCACTGAGCCAAGGCTACCTATATATATATATACAGTCCATGCCGAAGTAAATAGTCAAAGTTGCCGTCATACTTACTCCAGTCTGTTGTTGATTCACCAATGTCTCTACATCACTTCCTCCTGATTCTTCTTCCTCTGAAAGTTCCCAGCTTTAAAAAACAAAGATCACAAGAATCACAATCTAGAACCTAATAAGCCTATACATTCTTATGCATTTAAAAAAAAACATGATTGTTCTGAATGTTTTAAGGGTTTTTCGTGACCTCACATCATGAGATTTGTTTCAGAATAATGTTTAACAATCACCAATCAAAAATTTCCTTTTTTCACTGTTCCTAAAAGGATCATTACCCTCACTTTCAATCATTTTCTATGAATATAACTTTCTATGACCAATCCTAAAATCCCATGACTTCCTCAGCATGGAGGATGAGCGATTTTACCAGACAAACACAAACCTTGCAGGCTGGTGAAAAAAGTGCCCTATATTTGTCACTTTAAATCTATAAAATGTAGACTTCATTTTGATAATACTTTAACCATTTATCAGGGTTCCTCCTCCTTCAATGCCTATTCATGACCTTATTCACAATGTTTTCAACTTTTCATTTGACTTACTAAAGACGTGACTTTTTTCAAAAATATGAGAACACTCATCCTGTTTAATGTATTTATTGCTATACTGCTCTGATAACAATTATTCTATAGTTTTCCATAGCTCTCTATGACCCTTCATACCATTACTCTCAAGGCCATGATGCAATTCCAAGGCTTTTTCATATCTCCTTGCAAGTGAAAACCCCATTACTTGTGTAAGCATAGGCAACTTTACTATAAATGACAGATATCCCTTTCGCTCCCAAGATCTCAATACAATTTTTCCTTACAGTCTGAAAAACATTTCATCAAATTGAAGCTTTGAGAATTTGGTGCCCAATCACCCTTTCGCTTGACATTACATTGATAATGCTTGAAGAAAATCTTAATCGGTCACTCCTGGGAGTGAAAGGTTATCTTTGGGAAGTGACTACATATAAAATGAAGTTACAAATTAAGATTTAATAGACTGTATGGAAGCCACTCAACAAAAAAAAAACTTATGAAGTCAAATAACATATTGGTTTCAAATAGGTTAAGAGAGATGGTAAGTTTTGAGTTCATTAGAGAAATAGAGAAAGATGTTTTTTGTCTTGTCACAAGTGTAAGACTCAGAATTTTTTCTTCATCTGATGCTCACGAAAAGATGAAAAACATCTTTCTTTATGTCAGTTTCCGTTATAACATAATAAATGTTGGAATAAAGTGATAATAATAGTGACATTTCTATCCTGCTGATTCAAAACAAAGTTCAAATATATATATGTACATAATATAACATTAACACGACGGTATAAATACATGCTAAAACCAAATGTACTTACTGTGGAGTTTCTCTCACATCAATTTCATCTATGTTTCTATCAAAGAATGTTTCGTCTAGGTAAAACAAAGAATACACTGTGTTAATGAATACACCCTTGTATGTATTCAAGGGGAAACAGAACTGCTTTGGAACAAAGCCTGGTGTGTGTTTTGATGAGAAATTAGAAAAGTAGGAACAAACCGAACAAATATAAATAGGTAGTTGTTTCTTGGCTTACAAGAAAAACTGCTGTTAACCCTTTACACCCTAAAATCAGTATGCATATTCTCCATACTGCTCTTTATACATTTCCTAAGGTGCTGACAAGGAGAATTTGTTTACCAATCAAAAGCTTATTTGGTTAGTGATCACTTCCTTTATTCTCATGACCTTAATGTGTGATTCAGGGATGATATTGTAAGGAGAAATTAGATGCCAGTCACTCTAAGGGTTTATAGTGTTAAGGTCACTACTTTTGCAAGGTCATTGCATGCTTTTCCAGAGGCAGCTTCTTTTTTCCATGCATCATATTTGCACCTACTTTTTAGAGGTAGCTACTTTTACCATTGAGAGGAAAGTGGAGCTTCTGATAAAGCACAATCAGACCAGCACAACAAACTGATTATTGATCTCCTTCATAGAACATCGATGACAAGTTTTGACGCTTAATTTCATATCTTACATCAAGAAAAAAATTTTAATTACTGTAATTGGTCTTCACTAATCATAAATGAACAAAAAAATCGTTCTCCTACACAGTTATGCACTTCAGAAATTATTTTAAATGACTACATCGTCAGTGAATGATAGAATATACAGATCTTTATACCCTTAAATGCTTTTTTTAAGAGTGACTAGCGACAGGTTTAAAAGAAGTTAGAAACTTTAAACAGTAAATATTTACGAAGGCAGAGGGCATGTAATGGGCTTATATGGAATGTTTGCTGTTACAGAATGGTGCTTGTCTGACAAGTACCTGTCTTGCTTGAGTCAAGACAGACCAAACACGTTTAGGAAAATGCGTCAAAATTTCAGAGGTTGAGACAAACATGATAGATGAAACAAGGCGAAGAGAAACATCAAAGCTTACTAGATCAAATACAACGCGTTGAAGCTTAAAACCCTAGTAGTAACCTTAAAAACGAAAACTCTCCAGAACGACGAAGGCCATTGAACGCAGAGACAAGGTCAAACAAACATCTGTGAAACTCGTTGACAGGAAAAATTGCAGATATATGAACACATTGCGATCGTTTGGATATCTTCGACGCGCGCGACCTTCAATTACACATATGGTACTTACTACAAGAAAGACGAAGCAAACTTTAGCAATGTTACCATAATTGAAAAGACGGTTGCCACAACACCTAATAACTGAATACATCACCGTTAAGACGTACCTATGTCATCTATTTCCATATCACGTACTAACGTTTTGCTTCCAAACTTCGATCCTTCCAGTCGCTGAAACGTTCCCAATGTTGTTATGCTCAGTGATGAAAATGGTTTCCAGAGCGCTTCATAAGCGGTTGAAGTATGGCGGTATTCACAGAGTTGTCACACAAAAGAAACGTCTGTACGTTTATATTGTCGGCAAGCACAAGAGGGTCGAAAATTGTCCAATAAACCTCCTACACTTCCCGAAAAAGCAGACCGACAAAGAATCGTGAGGTGATGTGTACGGCGACACGAAACACTGAACATTCACCGACGAAAAAAATTCAACAGAAAGGCAATAATTACAACAAATAACCAAAACCGGCTTTTTGATTCATCAGCGCGAGAGGTTTCGGCAGTTCATTCAAAATACTCCTGCAAGAAGCCTTCAAACAACAACAAAGTTGCCGACATCTTTTCCACTAAAGCGTCGAGGGGCACACTGGGCCATTATTCAAAGGACCTAACAGCGAGGAGTTTCTAGAGCTCAGTCCCCAGCGACAATTATACCACGAGGGAAACTAGTAATCTATTTAAAAGACCAAAAGCAAGCGAAATAATTTTTAAAAAACGAGTTGTTTTTTTAGCCATGTTGATAATTACTTATATTCGACTTCCTCTATCGGCGAACAATAACAGAGGAGAAATAAACGGCGATGCGCACAATCGATTCTTACCGACAGCGCGTTGACGGACCGTCTCTTGCACAAGGCGTGCAATACATTCCGTGAAACTTAATGTATTTAGGCATACTATCTATTTATAAATGTGACCGCTCTAGACGCCTGGAGCTGGTAAATATTTGACGATGGAACTTGACGTTAGAAAAAAATTATACCCTGGACTTTACCTAGATCTGCAGGTTAACTGGGACTTCGAACAGTGAATCGCACTAAAAATCTGCGCCTGGCATACAAATTGTGTTCCTCATCAAATCTATGCTCATGTTCTTAAGAATCACTTGTTTTGCTCACTTGAACCTAAGACAAAGTCTTACTAAGGTAGAAGACTGCAAACAAGTGTCCCTTTGAAATAAGCGCCCCAAACACTAATTCGAGCGTTTGGTGTCAATTAAGGCAATACTGTAGAGTGCCCTTTGTAGCTGAGATGTGGGACCACTATGCCAGCGACATACACTACATTTATCAAATTTGGCGCAGGATTCCCCGTGATAACCAACAAATCATTACATAACCAAAGCATTTTTTACTATCGCTATATCGCAGTTGTCGCACTGTTTAAAATTTAACCGGATCCTGCCCCAATTGTGATGAGAAAGTCGGTCGTCCGACTTTCATTTAAACTTGATTCTGGATTTAGATTTAACTCAATAAATTTCACACAAGTTAACATCAAAATGACACCTGAGACCAATAAGAAGTAAGTTCTATACAGAAGTACGTTGCATTTATTTAAAGGCAATTTGTGCAAATGCGAAAAATACTTTGCTTTCGGCAGATTGCACTGCAATAATTTACCTGTAAGATAGTTTTACCATACTAAGAGCGTAGAGTGAGCCTTTCCTTTTAAAATAGTACCCACAAAAGAAACCATGTACATTATGCAAAGTTTATAGAAAGAAGGTCCGAAACGTTTTTCTGTCCTTTTCAACCCATTCACTCTCAAGATCCAATCAGTAATTCTACCAACTGACAATTCTACCAAGTCATTCTAAATTAGAGAGGAGAATTCGATCTTTACATTGGGACCGCATGGAGAAATTAAATGACAGTTACCTCGGGGTGTTAAAGGGTTGACTTTATAAAGTACATACCAGGGAAACGAATATTTTTACTTGGACACACAGAATAGAGCTCTAAAGCGCTACTCGACTCGTAACCCTTCCAAAGGCTGATCTCTGGACTTGCATTCAGCCATTATACGAAAACTACCCACTAACTTACCAGGCCCCCTCCTCTTCACCACAATTCATCTCAGTTTGCTCTGCCAGTCAGACCTAAATTTGGGCTATCAAGAATAATCTTTTGACCGAACGCCTTAAATTGTACATGACAAGGCTTTATTAGATGTTTAACTATAATTTTCTTTAAAAAGCTTTCGCCGATAAAAATGTGCCCGTTCTGACACAGATGGTCTTAGAAGCATGCTTACAAGAGAACTAAGCAAAAATTATTCTTATCTTGATATTTCTCAATCTTTAAAGCCATAAGAAGATTAACTGCCCAGCAGTAACTTCAGTTTCATTATTAACTACTTTGAAAGATATTAGTGGACGCCTCTTTCAAGGAAAAACTCATTTAAGAAGTGTTTTGAGACATTCTTAGAAGAAAGATAAATGTCTTCCCTCTTCTGAAGAAATTATGCCAATTTTTCCAACAAAATCTAATCAAGAAAGTCTCAAAGCCACTATAAATAGCGCTGATTACGATTGAGTGTCGTAAAACCGAAACCAAAGTAATCACAACAGCGAATAAAAGAGAAACATATATATATATATCGCAGCGAGCCAATAAGGATACATTCAAACTGCGTAAAGCGCGGGAAAACGCGACTGACCAAGTTGCGATTAGTTTTAGTTTTAAATCTGATTGGTTTAGAAAGTGGCGGGAGTTTTCTGCATCAATAATAGAACAAGTCAAGCTGAACCAAAGCAATCCCAGATTACTTACAACACTCAATTACAAGTTGCTCTATTACTCTATGATAATTCAATCATACTTCATAGGAAATGGTGTGAACCATAAATGGAAACATCTACGTCAGACCACTCAAAAATGTTTACAAAATTGTGAAGCATACTTCTCTCTTTAGTACAAATTTTTGCCCGACACCGAGCACAACTGACATTCATAATTTATATTGCTCTAAGTATGAGCTTAAATTTAATTTAATTGTACCCTTTTAGAAGGGAAAATATTTTTCATATGAAGCCAAAGGCCGATCTCAAACCATAACTCTTCTACCAACTCAGCATAAAACGATATCATCACATAGCGCTTCACTAGGAAAGTTAAAACGTAAAACACAGCTCTTCACGGTGGTCTCCTTGGCTAACACAGTGCTTGAAGCTCTATGGACACAACTTTGTGGCATTTATCGGTATTCTGAAGATCTTGGTTACGAGGAAAAGATGCGTTGTCACGTAGCACGGGACACTTCACATCACTCCACATACAGAGCTCTTGGCCATGGGTTTCTGTCGTGCTGAATTTTGACGCTGTAAATTAAGTTAACAAAGCATTAGGGAGCTTACATCGAAAATTTCCAGACAAAAATTTGATTTACCACCATAATTAAGACCAGGTTTTCCGTGCAAATGGAAAGGGCCCTGATAAGTTTACATTCTAATCCTTAAGTGGCGGTCACCGCACTTCGAAAAACTGGTCAATGACTTACAAATTTGAAGAGGCTCACCTTCTCTTTTGCCTGCTGTCTCAGCTGCTCCTAAAGGAGAAAAAGAGGCAACAGATTGATTTAAAAAGGTGTTTCATACTACTGGCCTAACTTAATATGTTCCTGATTCAGTTTTGATTACGCCACTTTCGAGGGTAGGGAGGTCAACGTACCTGCTGCATTCGAGCCAACTGCTCCTGTAGCGACAACACCACGTTGTAGTTATCTTGAAGTTTATCGAATTGCTACAAGATAGTAAACACAAATACGTCAAATGGCTATGGTTTACGTATGTCACCGTTTTAAGTCATTCACAGGAAAAGCCGGAAAAGGGAAAAGAAAGCGCTACATAAGAGAACTTTACACTCGCAGGAAAAAACTCTCCCGCATCTGTATTCTTCGTTCTATATTCTCATCGTTCGGGCTCTTTGCATTTATATTGTTTAACGAGTTTCTCACTCTTTCTAGAGTGCCGCTCTTAGCTATGACATTGTTTTTAGAGTTTTTCAATCTCATCATTTTGCCTTTGGGACCTTTTTCCTTCTGCCCTTAATTTTGTTTATTCTACTGCATTAATGTTTGTTTACGTTGCGTTTTCGCTCCTATGATTTGTCGTTTCATTTTAAGACCTTTCCGATCCACTACCGGCAGAAAAATGTCAGTCATTCCCTTTGTCTTTTGCGCTTGGCTTCAGTGTGCCACAAGTTGCCCTTTCTTCTTTTCCCACATTTTCTTTGATTTTGCGCTCTTTAACTTTGTAATTGCACCTGTTACCATTATTATCCCATTTACACCAGAAAACATGTTTAGTTACACTGGGTTTAATTGAATGAAAATTAGTAACAGAGAACTGAAAAACTGAATTTTCCATAGGTATCAGGTAGTCATTAATTTGTCTTTTCAAGCTACATAATTTGAACGAGACAAACATTGGTTTAAGCAGCTTCTATGTTTAACAAAACAGCTTTAAAAAGTGTTAAAGCTTTGGTATGATTGGGGTTTATGTTAGCTAACTAACTGATCCGTCTCCAAATTTCTTCAAAGAGCTAGGAAGCTTAAAAAAGCCTCCCATATAAATCTACACGATTTAAAGTATAAATTTTCGGATGGATTAAAGAAAATTTCGATGATCTACTACATTATTAATAAGGTGAGCATCAATGCCTTCTCCCAGAACACTCAGTGATAAAACCGCTGATATATTCAGCCACCAAAGTCAATTACGAAACGAAGGCCGCGAAAATTCACCGAAACTTAGATAAACGAATAGACCTTTCTCATAAATGGCGGGAAAATGATTCCATTTAATATTCATGTAAATTAGCGCTCCACACTTCTTTTAATCATGACCTCACCTTCGATAGTTCCATTTTGAGATTAAGAACTTCGTGAGACAACTTCTCCTCTCTTTCCTGAAATTTAGCAAATAAAATTACTTGGTAAAACTTTAAATAAAATAAAGTTTCAAAATGATTCCGACGCAAACCGCTGCAAAACGTGATAATTTCGTCAGTCGGGCGACGTATCTCGCTATCTTGAATGGCTCACGTCACACTCGAGTGCTCGAGTCATTCTTCGTTGACTGTGCAATAAAGCTTGGAAAACTATAAAGGGCCTCAACGAAAATTACAACCAAATATATTCTTATGAGAACACATTGAATACTCACCTTTGCCTCTTTCTCTTGCTCGCCCCAGGCTTTCTCCGCCACTTCTAATTCTTTCCTGTGAAGCTCTTGTAATCGTCTTTCATTCTGGATAAAAAATTAAACCTCTCAGCTCAGATAAGATATGAAGATTAGAACCCAATTTTAAAATTAGGAGTTATCTTTCTTTTACGTTGTGTCATTTACCTCATCCTTCTCAAGTTTTAGTCTATCGATTTCTTCTTGGAGGGAAGCGTGTTTTGCAGCAGATTCGCGGCGCAACTCTTCCAAAACGGCCTGGCCAAACAGAAAAAAAAAAAAACACAATTGTTATTTGAAAGTTCCCTTCAAGAAACAGAGTCAGTCGATTATCCTGTCTGTCTTTCATTCTGTTCGTCTGTTTGTCTTTCTGTCCGTCAATATGTCACTCAGAACGAGTCAATGAATGGGTTAGGTTGGCAAACAGTGAGCAAGCCTACAACTCAGTCATTCAGTCCTTAAGTCAGACGGTCAGTCAATGAAATCAATAAGCATAAGCAGCGTTAGGAAATTCGAAAACTTAAGGCACTTATCTATATGACCATCATCTTTTTCTACAATTTCAAGCCCTTTCGCCTTAAATAATGTTTGAACTTTGGTTTCTGTGACTGTAACATATTGAATGGGGGGAGCGGATTTCTGTGGCGAATTACATCTCTAGGAACTTCTTTCCAAGCGGCTACGCGGATGTTGTGTCTGTTAACTTTGTTGCCGATTGTAGCTCCCTGTTACATTAGATGGGAAAAAACCTCACAGATTACTCCTTCAGACTTAACCCCCAGAAGAATTAAAGTTTCTAAAATGCGCGCATCAAAGCTATCAGTTAGACTTTCCAAAAGTCCTTCATTTCACTTCGAACCGCTCTGAACGCTCGGTTTGCACACTTATCGTGTAAATTTTATTCGCCCAGTTTGGATGTCAAAACACGACTTGTAGACAAATCTTTGCAGTAAAGATATCCAAAGGCTGTATGCTCTGCAAATTAAGACTGGCTTCTGTCAAGAAATTTGTTTAAAAGAAAATAAAAGTGATTTGTGTTGTGTTCAACAAATGCCATCAAACACGCTAAAAATACACATCGCCTGATGTAGCACGCTCACTCCATCTACGACTCAGGCCACGTGTCAAAACTCATTGCATCTCTCGCTCGCAGATTTCTCACAGAAAATTAATATCAAAACAAAAAATATTTAAAAGCGACAAAATCTGACGGCTTTGTGGTCTTGACAAATTTTTTTCTTTGAAGGATTAAATATAAGATAAGATGTCATTTACAATACCATCACCCACACCTGAGAGGAACTGAGGCATGTAAATGATATCTCTGGAAAATTCTAACTCTCTATTTGTAAGATTTTCGCACCCCCTTGGGAAAACATCAGCTTTATTTTGGTCTCGCCGTTAGTATTTTGCTTAAAATAGCGCTTACAAAAAGACAACAACGGCGTGATTGTTGTTCGGTCCTAAGCTCTGCTTAAAAAATTGCTATGGTCTCGTGTCTGATCTAGCGGTTGGACGTTAGACCGATTAGTGTGTCTTTTCTTCAATTCAGTGTTGTATCGTTTGTGACAAAGACAAATGGTAGAAAATGCGCCGCAGCAATTTCGAAATGAAGAGCATCGTCACTTAAACTCGAGCCAGAAGTACGGTAACGAAACCGATTTCTTTCCTTCCTAAGGAAACCTCGTTGGATTAAAAAATGATTTGAAAATTCATTTTATGGCCAATCTACAATTTCAAGACATAGACATAGTCTGTCCAGTTTTTTTTAATCAGGAAAATTTAACACAATACCGGTATTCAAATATGAAAAACCGCAAAAAGACATGGAGAAGAAACCTTGTGCAAACCACTTTGACCTCAACACAAATTGAGCTTTCTTTACGGTTTTGTATCTATTACTAAGTAAACAAAGCAACGTTACCAATGTTCACCTTTCAAATGACAATTCCGTGATTTGCTAAAGAGCGGCGTATTGTAGAAACACAGCTTTAAAGGAAACGAACCGAGAAGTAATTGATCGAGAGAATAAAAATACCTGTTCCCGCCGAGAGAGAGCCGATCGAGTATCACTCGTTGCCATTTTCTTGTCATCGGTAGAACGACCGGCCCTGTTTAGCAAAACGAAACAGAATCAAAAACTCTAAATAGCAAAGCAATAACCTGAAGGAACAGAGAAGGAAAGAACACCCCAAACACAAAATTATTCATACGTCAAAACAATCTTCAACTTGCCATTAAGGGTAATTCTGTTTGATGTCTAAACATTAAAGAGAAACGCGCTACCGCCTGCCTTTTCTCCTTTGAATAAATTCAAATTGTCTTTCAAAACAGTAGCATTTTGATTTAACATTCAATCATTTATCCGTTGATAAGTAACTTGATACGGATATTTATCAGGTATATTTCTCGACGAATAACTTCCCGTCAATGCTTGATAACGCGAACGTTTCGTTGGGTTGCTGTAATTAATTCACAAACCCTTCCAGGCAAAGCTAAATGCAGTTCTAAAATTGTCCGTTGCCTCGAAACGCGTAAAAACAGAAAGCTGAACACAAAAACACATGATGGCTCAGAACGTTAATTTGCGGTTCATGCAATGTTTCAACCCATTTAAAAATGAAAACACTCCTAAATAGAAGAATTGCTGAAATAGGATTCATTTAAAAGATATATTGACTCCAACAGTGAAAAAAATGCTTGTTAATTTTCATCAGAATTGTTTGCTTTTTTTACATGGAAACGTTTGAATGACAGTAAGTTACATTTCAGAAGTAATTTTTAGTGAAGAGAAATTTCGGCTATTTTGAGAAACAACGTGAGGACTTGATCCAGAAAACCATCATAGATCGACTGCGAAAGCAGAAAATAGGAATTGACTTTACGATATATCAATTACCTTAAAGATTATGAAGAACGTACGGTGAAAGCAACAGATGTTTTTTTTTTAAACAATCGGAAAGGGATGAGGAAAAGTGAGGACAAATATCCGAATCACTAGGCGCTAAATGATACAAGAAATACCCCAAGATACTTCACCCCAAATTAACAAAAAAATATTATTTGTTGGGCTGATACACCATGTTATCCAGACCAGGCAAACTATTGAGATAAAAGGTGAAAAATGGAGCAAAGCGAAACAATTTCTCTCTGGATATTCTTGAGTAATTTAAGTAACTGGAGTAAAAACCCTGATTAACCCCTAAAAAATGTCGGAAAAATTAACCACGGGAAATCCGACGGAAAATAGATAAAAAAAGTGACATGGTAACTGTTACTCCTGACTTACCCTCCTTTCCTGAATGGACCCTGACCATAACGCGCCCTACCGGCGGGTCTCCTGGAAAATGATATTTAAAATAAGTAATTATAACATGACATGGTAGTCATGGGTGAACTTAACACTGGGCTTGGTAATGTATCAAATCTTTTCGCTTACGCGAAATTCGTACAACATGTCAAGCGACCGAATAAGCCGCCCCATCAAGATTGATATTTCACTTTGACTAGATTCATTAACGGAAACGAATAACCCATTTAAATCGTCTGGCTCTCGACATGTGGCTTCGTAGCTCAACTGGTAGAGGCGCCCACCTAGTGTCTGGGAGGCAAGGTCAATAATATTTAGTCAAACCCTGAACTTTTTCAGACTACTTTTCTGCAATTTCTCGAATTGAAGCTGATATGCGAGGATCATTTCTTTGCTTGTAAACACAGGAGTGACCAAAATGTATTTCACTGATTGGCTCATATTCAACTCACCTGTGCTCCAGATGTCGATCTACGGATTTATTCATGCTTGTTTGCCTGTCGCTGACTCTTGGAGAGCGAGGAGCCTGGGGCGACATGCTCCTAAAACAAGTAAAAACAATAAAGTTGTTGACACAAAAACTAAAATAGTATAGTCCACTGCAATTGGGATAATTGGTCGTAAAGTCTCAAAAAGTGTACATAATTACCCACTGATACATATCAATCGACCGTATTCTGTTAAAAGGATATGATAAACTAGAGAATGAAGTCAAAGTAAGTAAATCTATCGATAAGTCTAAATCTAACATGCCTTTTGTTTCCAGTACGTTTTCCGCTGTTGTCGAGAGAATAAACCAGCAAGGTGCGTTGTAATAGAACAAAGATGCCTTCCTTCCTATCTATATTTCCTGCTTATTTATTGATGCAACCAAAAACGGGCGGTGCCTCGCATGGGACGCTAGTCCCGTTCGCACCTGCCCTTTTGGGTTAGAATTACTTTTGTTCCTATCTTTATTTATTTTTGTCTCTATGTGATGTGTTTTTGTAGTTAGTACCATGTTATAAACCCGAAAAAGTTGCTAAAAAAACTAAAACCACCAAATTTTGGTCCCAAAACCAGAAAGAAGCGTCTCAAAAAATACGTACGATTTATCCTTGTAAAACAATGAGATGAATGTATTAAAAGTTTTATATTCCTTTCATACAGATGTTGATATTCATCAGCTAAAGTATCTTACCCAGTGCTCTTCTTCGGAGTTCGTACGCTAAAACACAAAGAAACAAATGAGTAAACAAGACTGAAGAGCTCACGTTAACGTCCTTCTTTGACATTCCATTCGATGCCTTGTTTCAAGCATTTCGTTACTCTCTTGTTAAAGAAGAAAGGAGCTAGTACCAGGAAACAGGCATCCTCGGCTTAAAATGTTCAGAAAATTCATAACGGAAAACCAAGGTAATTCTATCTGTCCATGCTCAGAAGACGGAAGAACAGGCGGGAATGGGCAGAGTGTGGTAGTAATCTAGATGCAAGATCAATGACCAAGAGCAGAATGTACCATCTCTCTTCTTCTTTCTTGCATACAGAACGCTCTCAACATTGATGACCCTGGCAGTTTGCAGGACGCTTGTCACTCGTGAGACCGCATGAACCTAGTATGAGGCCTGGATCACCACCTTACTCCCTGTAGCCCAGGTGGAAAACCATTTGTATGGGACATCGGAAGTTTTTTGGCTTCGAAAGGACTCGAAAGTCTTCTGAGGCATATGTCAACTATTGAGCATCTTCTTCTATAGTACCAGCTTGTGACAAGTTACATGCCCGTGGCTGGAACTTTAAAAAACTAATATGTCAGCCTGCGCAAAGTCTTTTTCGTTTCTTTTTACGCAAACTACTTAGCTCAAGCTTCTCCCCCTTGCCTAAAACGAAACAAAAAAGACTGCTACGCCGGATAACGGAAAACCTTATTCAAGGAAACGGCGCCCATAACTTACTCTAACGAAGTTTTTCGGGAGCCACTTGCCGTGCTGCCTGACCCTTCACTTGAGCTGTTAAACTTTTCAACAGGTGTTAACTCTACTCCAGAGTCAGAGGTTGTCCTCGTTTTTTCATCAATGATCATTCCATCCGATGAGGAACGCTTGTGTTTTGAGGTCACTGGACTACTAGCGGGCCGAGGAAACACTTTGGACAAGTTTAATGACTCTTTAGAGGTGGGTTTAGTCCGCTTGGTAGATTCGGAGCCAGTTTCCTAGAAGACAATTGAAGGTCAGATTAATTATTTTCATTCCCCTAAACGAGCTAACATTCTTGAGAGTGACCATCCACAACATTTCTCGACGCAAACTTTCCTAGCTCAAATTAACTACCAACGTTTATTGTACAATAGGCAGCTATCAATTAACTTTGACACAAACGCAAAACATTGACGATTATGGAAGCTAGTGAGCTAATCGAGAAAACGAAGCTACCGTTCATTTAATCAGCATCAGGAACAAAGACCACGCGTTAGAAATGTTCAGATTTCGCGGTAAGAAAATAATATGGAGTAATTAACATATTCGACTTAACCCGGCCTCTCTGAGCTAGGATATTTTAGGCCGCCTAGAATTATTTTAAACTGCAGGAGAGCATTAGAAATTGTCTCCTTAAATTGGTCGTCAAGCCTTGCAATTCATCTGTGTCTACCATCACTGAGGTTGTATGAGGATCTAAGGAGTGCTTATCTTCATAAAAGAAGAATCTCCAATATTGATCACGTTAGTAATATTCGTTGGGGAGAAAGGGTGGGAAGAAAGAAGAAAGACGGTTTTGTGGGAGAGAGAGAGAGGATTGGGAACGAGTATGGGAGGAAGGAACAAAGGAATGGTACAGTCCGACATAATGAAGGAAGAGAGTACTAAAAAGGTTGAATACGACAGTCAGAATGGAAGAAAATGATAGAAAAATAAATGAAGTACCTTGTTTTGTATATTGTCCAGTTCTGATTCAGATTTCACCGACACAGCACTCGACTGTACACTCAAAGGAGTGTTGTTACCCACAGTGTTTATAGCAACACCACCAACAATCCTTGTCTCCGAGTGAGACTTTCGACTCTGCTTAAATCGTTCCACCTTTTCTGCCAACTTTTTTGTGGCGCTCTTGGAATTCTTCTCACTGTCTGATGCATTTTCCACCGCTGATGCTACCGTCAGTTTTGATTTCTCTCTGTCCAAACCTGCTTGGGATAGAAAAACAAAAAAAAAAATAAAAAATGAGTTACAAAGAAGTTGCTTAACTACGACCTTGTGTTGGGAATCCATTACTTTAAAAGGAAGTTGATTATGTATCTCCTCTGCTCTAATTAAATACCTCATGTGACCCGTTGTGCGCATCTATCAATCGTGTAAAGTTCATCTGCATATGTCTTTTATGTTCATCGATGTAGCGGTTTCAGTAAATGGGTTTAACCGAGGCCTTTTCATTTTCTACATCTGTAAGCGCCTAACCTTTATATTTAAGATAAACACGCATACTTGTTTTACCCTCGATTGAGAAAGAAAAGTAACATTATACAAAAGAGGTGTCTGTTCTAGATATGTCTACAAGCCCACAATTGGTCACAATTACGTTCTTAACTCTACGTTCATGGTATGCAGATGCGGAATTTTAGTCGTGAATGTCGCCAATACAAAATTTTTCACTTCACCATTGTCAGTTTCTTCTGTTTCACTATCTGCTTCTTCGCTGTCACCTTCCTCATCCTCTGAGTCATCACGATCTTCACCGACGCGTATGATTCCTTCTTTGAGTTCATTTTTCAGCCACGTGGGGGCCTAAATCAAAGTCAATAAAACAACGCTATTCACGTAGTGTCTCTCTCTTCAAAATGCACAAAAACCTCTCTTACTCACAACGTTGATGACTTCATATGATAATTAATAACAGCTTCTTATTCTTAACTGAAAGTGACGAGAGCAATGAGGGATTGCGATTTTTTTTTTGTTTTTTTTTTTTGTATACTTCGTGATTGGTGTACAAATCTCGCACTATCTTCTCAAAAACTAAAACAATCACAACCTGGTAAGCTTGCTTTTTTTCGCACTCAGGTGAATATGTGTGTTCGAGCTGTTACTCGCTCCAAACACACTCATGACCCTTTACATCCTCACATTAGAATGTATATTACCCATACTGTTTTCTATATATTTACTTAGGTCCTGACAAGGAAAATTTGTTCAACAATCAAGAGCTTCTTTAGTCGGTGATCATTTCCTTTATTCACATGACCTTAGTAATTGATTCAAGGATAAAATTGTAAGGAGAAATTAGACAGTAGTCATCCTTAAGGGTCAAAGGGTCGAAGATTTTTTCCTCCACCTGGTGAGATGTTTTTACCTTTTACTGCTTCCTGTGAATGCAGATGAACCATATACTTCTGGAACTTTTCATCAACACAATTTTTATTCTTTCGAACCATACCAGCCATTCTTACCTCTCCCAACGTGGTGTCCAGTTCCGATGAGCTTGATCCCATTGAGGAGTCCAGACCAGCAGGTCCACGGGTGTTACCAGAAATACTGGAAAACAATATTCAGCGCTTATTAATGGATTAAGCCTGATGGCGACAGCTTGTATGAAAATATTTTGCAATTGGGAGGCAAAAAACGAAAACTTAAATTTGGGAGCGAATTTAAAGAATGAAGCATTTTACTTTCCTTTTCCCACCCTTCTGTAAAATCTGGATTTTTAAATACAGATACTTTATGAGCTGTTGATATTTTGATAAGAAGATGGCGTTCATGTCCTATCCTTCCATATTGTACGCAACTCTACCTTAGAATTACGTCGACGTCAAGACAAAAGCTGTAAGTAATCGCCGCAATTGCAACTTAACGTACTTTCTTGCTGACTGAATCACGTGCTGATCACGTGACAGGCGATACCTACCTATCAGAGACTGAAGCTTGTTTAGAGAGGCGTCTTTCACTGGCTTTCTTCGATGATCTCTTCTTTGATCTCCGCTTGGAAGGAAATGGTGCTGTTGTTTCTATCTGTACGAAAACGTTGACGGAAAAACCATTAACGTCCAACAAGTCGACAGGAAATTCGTGCTCTTGCCCCGCTCCGTACATGCTGTAGGTGTCCCAGTGAAACAATCGCACAGGCGAAGGCATTGTATCATTGTCGCTGATTCGCAAAAAACCCGCGGCAAAAGTTTGGTCGCTCAGCTGTCCTCTTCGAGAGGCGTTCCTTATGTAGTTTATACACGGGTCTTCCTTTGATCCACAGTCACCATCAGAAAATACTCTTCAGAGAAAAAAAAACCACCAAAAATATCATCGACAGTCCATACAACACACAAAAAATGACAAAGAGAGATCCGTTGTCGCGTACGTGGGGCGAAGAAAAAGTTCTTTGAGGCTGTAAAACGTGTTCGACATACCCTCAAGATTATCAAAAGAGAGAGAAATGTGGTAGAATACTAAAAAGGTCGTCAAATTAAAACTTTAGTAGTCTTTTTTTGACATTTTTTATCATCACTGAAACCCAAACATATGGATATTTGTGCTACTCTCGAGCTTGGGTTACATTCCCGAGCGCGGAGCTGTACCTTGTTTTTGAAGACTGGGCCCCCAAGTAAACAAACTTACTCTTAAATCCATTTAGACTCCGATGTAAACAGCAAAGAACCCAAAAGAATGTCACACTGTCCACTCACCCGTCAACTGATTTCTGCATCAGACTAGCACTGCTGCCATTAAGGTCTTCTTGAACTCCGTCCTTCCTTTTCTTGTAAGACTGTGGCATCGAGAATCCTTCCTGCATGCCCTCTTTTCTGCCCCGTTCGACTCTTGACGAGCTTGAATTTTCAAGCACGCCTTCTCTTCTTTTCTTTGTATCTTTTGATAGAGATGATTGGTTTCCGCTGTTATGATCGCTCTTATTCCTGAATATAAATGTATAAATAAATAAATCCGCGATGATTCGTGTCAGGGTCCAACCCAGACCACCTTTTCTCCCGAGAAACGTTATTTGTTTAACATTCGGCTTACCCAGGAGAAATTTCCAAGCTGTCAGCGCTACCGATACTCAAGCTTCCGCTGGGATTTCGCATATGTCTCTTGCAGCTTCCTTCAGTATCCGTCTTCTCTCCACTCTCACTCTGACCGCGTCTGTAATCAGCGGGTCTCGTTCCCCAGAAATACAAGTCGTTATCATTCGTTCCGGCCACCGTGAAGCCTTTGCCGCAAAAAATCATCTGAAAGAATAACCAAGTAAAAATTAAGAGGCCGGAACAAAAAAATACTGGAAATGATACAAAATTAATCAATCTTGCGAGAGACTGTTGCGCTGATATCACACCAAATTCTCTTAACTTATTTCAAGGAGGAAAGAATGATTAAATAGATCTTCGAAGTAAAGGGTTAAGGCTCCAGATCGATCAGCTAAAACTACCAGCGGGAGGGAACAGGAAAGGTTAGTGATTAGCAGAGATGACCCGACATTTCCCGTCAATCTACAGCGTTTTTCAACCCGAATGGCATAAATGAAGGGGATAACAAATCAGATAAATATGTGCGTCAGGATAGAATGGGGCTTACATATATACCTTCTCCAATAACGTGTGACGCAGACATACAATATTAGTATTAGTATTAGAAATTTCTCCCAACTTGCAAGCAAATATCACACTCATTTCTTAAATGCGAACTAAACCGATGAACGAAGGATGGAACAGACACACAAACGAAAATAAATACAAAGGAGCCGACGAAGACAATTGAATCAAGTACGTAATTCACTCCTCATTACACAATGTGTATCTAAAATTAAACCATCTCACCGTGGTCGTCTTTTCCTCTAAAGCCTTAACAATGGCTGGTACCTCTCGAGGTTTACAGTTGTTGCAGGCAAGCTGCCCATACTGATTGTCGCCAAACGTGTAAACCAAACCAGGCTCTACAAGCGCTGCACTGTGGGTGGGACCCAAAGATACATCAAGCACACGGTGCTTGGATAACACTTTGACAGCTGTAGGAACATTCTTGCCATCAACCTGAACCTGTTCAGTTTGGAAAACAACATAACGTTAACGATAGTTTTGATTTGATTGAGTGTCGTGAACCGACAACCAAAGTAAATGTGTTGAATCAGAACTTAGGTGAGCGTCGGAGGGAGCCGATCGGAACTCAGAATAAATACCAAAAATAGAATGAGCCATTTTACAATCGTGTACTTAGTCGCCTAGGCTTTGATTTGGAGTGAGGCTGAGGGTGACTTTGTTATGATAGGGACCAGTATCTAGTTCGCATAATAGCCAAGTAATTTACATTTGAAAAGCAGCAATGTTTGTATCATAACATGGTCACCCTCAGCCTCACTCGTGTTCAAAGGCTTGGCAACCAAGCACGCTACTGTAAAATGGACAATTAGGAAAACGCAAGTAACAAAAGCGAGATAGATTCATCTTTTGTGTAGGATTGTTTCCATCTATACCAGCTTTCACTAAAGTCAGGAGCCCAGGAGTCAGTTAATGGACTCCTGCTAAAGTTCGCAATAACGAGCTTGCTGCCAGGTTAAAAAGGAAAAAAGTACACATACAATGACTGAAGTCCAGCTTTGCACGATACGTGCTGCGACAAACTTACAACACCGATGACACCACATGCCTTAGTTGTACCTTATTTAGGAGGTTCTTCATCTGCATAAGGAATCCCTGGCGGTTGTTAAGTCCAAGCTTGTTGTTTGCATTGCTGTTACAGAGGGAGTCAACAAATAAAAGCCAGTAATTAATGGCAAAGGCATGTAACCTACTTTGGGTTAAATGCATCTGGTTGGGGTTAATGTAAGATATGAAGTCAATATTGCAGAACCAAAAACTACGACAACATAAAACAAACGGCACCAGCAATTCTTCTCCACCGCCGCGGAAAATGAGTATTATTCTAAGACTGAGTAATGTGACTCCTTTCTCCCAGTTTTCCTTTAGGTTCTGTTCTTCATTCATTCGCCTCATTTTCCCACTAGGGTTCATGTTTCCATGCTAAATGTTGGTGTGTCAAACAATTGCCACGCCACATTCGATAATACTATAATTGTGACTCGTGAGCGTGCGGTTGAAAATCCTTCTGCGATAGAGGGCTTGACAGCTAACATCTTAAATTCGCGAACAGAACTATACTATAAGCGTAATGTTCAACGAGTTTGCTTGAAATTTCCGAAAAGTATCTGATGAGTCTTTTGGCCGAGACGAAAAGCCATGTTATACCAGCCACAAAGTATTTTTTAAAATGTATTGGACAATTTTTTTAATATTCGAAAGCTTCTGAGTTTCCCTCTATTATCACTTTCATATCTGTAGTTTTCAAAACCTGTTTGAACAGAGAAGGCAAAACTACTTTGTACAAACCTGCCACAAGCGAGAAGGGCCCCTGTATCAGTGAGAAACATTGTTCCATCATAACCGCACCTGACCTGTTTTATAGACACAGTGTCATCTATCGCTGTCACCTCTGTGGGAATGCAGCTGTTGGGAATTAAAAAAAAACATCATATTCTGCACAAGAAGCCCAAACTACTGCTTGATGAGTTACCAAGAGTACAATTCTAGCTTTTTTAAAAACCGCGACTGGGACAACAAGGAGACTTTCTAAGAAAGCCAATGGAGATCGAAAGTATATATTCTAGCATATTTAAAGATCATTTACAAGTATTTTATTGGAAATGTAATCGTTCTCCCAATGGAAAAAGCCGCTTCGCCTCGTCGCTATCCACGAGCTGATAGATTTCGTGACACAGCTAGTCACGCTGATTGGGTTTAACTACACTCGCTTCTACGCTTTTCAATCAGACAAATTTGTGTTAAAATAGCAAATAGTGTTGTTATACGTGACAAGCCTCAAAGTATGCGGACGTCTCTTGAAACATTGCATTTGACATTGGCTTTGTGGATCAATATCAGTATCTTGGCAACTGCCCACCTACCGCTCCCCTAACTCAACAACAGTCTATTGATAACAAGTTAGGGTTAATGTTGGGTTAGAGGAGGGGTAGGTGGGCAGTTGCCCAGATACTGATATATGAATCACTTACCGATTATCTTCGTCTCCCAGACCCAGTCTCCCATCTTCTCCACAACCCCATGAGAACACCACACCATCACTGGTTACCACGGCAACATGAGCATTGCCGCAGCTGACAGATGTCACATCAAAACTCAACAACGCTTCAATTAACTTTGGTTTGGATGAACTGGACCAGTCTCCATGCCCCAAACAGCCAAGTTCACCCTGCCCACACGTCATCACAATACCATTGTCTGTTACAAACACCGTGAATTTATCTCCACAGCTAACTCTGGGGACAAAAATGAAAGGAAAACATAGTGATCATACGTGACAAGGAAACATTTTTCCCTAGTTGAGATTTATATCATTCAACATATTTTTACGCTTAAATTTTGCGATTACTTTGATTTCTAAGGTGTTTTTAAGATTGCTTTCTCAAAAGAAAGATGTTCTTTCCGTCTTGTCACGAGCGTACGGCAAAGAAAATCCTAGTGAGGAATCAAAACTCAGGCCTTAGGATTCCACGCTCCAACGCCCCGTCACTGAGCCACAGAGAACTCAATTACGGGCTAGTCCATTACTAAGTTCACATGAGACATGCTTCCTGCATACTGCTAGGATGAGCAATGTTCTGGTTTGCCGTAGTGATAAGTTCGGTTTGAGTTTTCGGTTTTAAAAACGTACTCTAAGTAAAAGGTAAATGATCTTCTTGGCACTATTTTCCACAAAGAGACGAAAGAACGATGACAGTGATACTGAGACTTGCCACAATCAAATGATTACGCTGATCAACAAATCGTACCATCACAAAGCTTTTTATTAACCCAGGCCCTACCTCCAAATAGTTTTAGCTTTGAGTGCTTCTACTTGTGTGGGTTTGTCTTGACTGCAAGTATCTCCATGACCAAGCTGTCCACAGCAGTTACTGCCCCATGTGTATACTGCATGTTCCATTGTTACCATAGCAATATGAGAACTGCCAACAGAAACCTTCAAACAATTGTGATACATGTAAGAAGGATAAGAAGACTCCATCTAGAAGTAAGTTATTTGTAATGTTTGATTAATAACAGATTTCAAAATTCTCTCCTTGGAAAGACCCAGGAACCCAGGTACTGGTCTTAAAAGCTGTGAAACTGGCAGGAAGGGTAAGTATCTACATATTCTTTCCTCCTTTTTTTTTCATTTAATAAACTATTTCCCATTTCTTCTCTATTCTTTTGTTGTACCATATTGCTTTGTAATTAATTTTTAATAGACTGGCCTGCCTAGAATAACATTGGCCACCCACAGGCCAGGAAAAAAATTGGGATCAATATCAGTATCTGGGCAACTGCCCACTTACCCCTCCCCTGACAGGGGAGGGGTAAGTGGGCAGTTACCCAGATACCGATATTGATCCAAAAATTGTTTAAAAAAAAATATGAAAAGAAGAGTACAATAAAATATTTTTTGTTTTTGTTTTTTAAGTAATAACAAACTAACGTACACGTGATGTGATGACTTGACCAGCCTTAAAGCAAAACTTCCTAACTTTAACTTCTTACATGAGAAGGGAAACACACACTCTATTTCAAAAATGACGAAGAAAGTAATCAGATGAACATAACTTATACCAGTATTTTCAAAATTTATGAAATAAAGTTGTCACCTCTCTCAGTTGCCCCTTGGCAGGAATTTCAATTGGACACATGTTGGTATATAACAAGTCCAGGTAATACAGAAGGGTTCTGAAATAATTAATTATATTGCAATAAATTAGAAGGTAAGTGGTGATATACTTGAGGTGATATGATACAGAGTAATGAATGATTGCGAAGAATAGATAAAAGAGATGACATGGATTAACACTTCCTCATGTTATAGGAAAATCCACTTATCTCTGGCTACAAATTCATAGTTTTCCAATGAAAAGGCTTTGATATAATTTTTTTTAGCAATCACTTACAAATAGAGGAAAACCACTACATTAAAATCTTGCTAGGCCACACAAGGATTGTGAGGAAAGACCAGACTGGACACAAGTGACAATGATTTGATGTAGAGGAGATTAGCATGAACTGAAAATGGTAAAATTTTTAAAATTTGGTCAAACTTTTCAAACAGCTTGAACTGTGATGCAGCTGAGTTAAGACTGAAAACTGACATTGGGCAAGGTTCTTGTCAAGAAATGTGCCAACTGGAGAATACCGTAAAGTTACTGGAGAACAATCTCCTGACTTCTGAAGACAAAAAAAGGACTGTAACTTACACCATCAAAATGAGGCCAGAGAATTTGGCAAGGCAGCCAAGGAATTCCCTTTTCTCAGATACCCCACATACACACTGATAAGGAAGAACCAGAGGAAAATTTACCTTCTTTTTACTTTACGGCTTTGATCAATGGAGCTTCCCAGCTCATCCTCACTAGTGTCTTCAAACCTTTTCATAAGCTAAAAATCAGATAATTTTAAACTGTAGTGAACAAGTCAGTATTTAAAAAGTGAGGCTACATAAAGTGCTTTATTATGCAGCCAATTGTGCATCATTAAACACAATGTTTCAGAAGTTTTAAGAATATACAAAGAAGTTTGGGCAAAAAACTTAAACTTAGAAAATAATTCAGTTTGCAAATGTTAATTGCATTCCGTGCTTCAGTGAATCAGAGACAACAGCCCTTGTCAAATTCAAAACCAAACATCAAAAAAATAAAGGGGGTAAGTTTCTAAAGAAACTGTGGCACTGCATCAGTGGGAGAGTATAGCAGGTAATTTAGTGTTAACAACTGAGCTGAAAACTTAAATTGGCCACCATTAAGAGTATAAGAAAGCTGATGTTTCAGGCATTAGCACTGCGTCCGAGCGATTGGAGGAATTGTGGGTTGTTTGTGGGTTTATATGCAGAAAGTGGAGACACACTATTGGTGGTAGTATGGTGACGAGAAAACAAGAATAAATTAGTTGAATGGAAAGCACTCATTGATACCGTGGGGATTACAAACGCCAATTTGGAAGATAAATTTTTGTTCTAGTGTTTTGCAGCTTTCCAAACTGCCCAGATATAAGGAATCGGTCACCTAGTCGTCTTCCTGTTTTGCCAATGTATAACTTCTTGCAATAAGTGTAAGTTATGCAGTAAATGACATTGGCGGAGGTACGCGTTAAGTGACCAGTGATCATAATGGATCTCTTGGGTCCCATCATTTTCTCTATGTTATGAATGAAAGGACAAGTTTTGCATTGTGAGCAAGCGCATTTGAATGTTCCAGATTGGTCATTGGTTTGAAATATACTTCTTACCAAAAAGTTGCCTAAGTTTTTGTCACATTTGAATGAAATCAGTGGGGGTTGCGAACAGATAGTACCAGTACTGAATCATTTTGGAGTAATTTAAAGTTTTTAAGAATGAGAGATTTAACCACGTGGTTGTGAGGGTGAAATGTAAGAGTGAATGGAATGCAGTCAGTGTTTTCCTTCTCAGCTGTTTGTAGTACTGACCATCAATCAATTTGTTGGGCACAGTGGTGGCCCGCTTGGACGACAGAAACAGGATAGCCATGTTTATCAAAAAACTGGCACATTGCCAAAAAAATATTTTGCAAGTGATCATGATATTATAAATATTTCAGAATCAGATAAAATAGGAGTGCTGACATTCACTCTAAAAGTACCGGAGGAAGTCGCTCGTGCAATAACACTTCCACATCTGGTCTTGTGTCTGGATCTTTTTGAAGGATGTCTCCCACCTGAAGTGAGTAGAATTCAAATAATGGCAACCTTTAGCAATCCAGCAAAATAATGAAAAAGAAGGAAAATAAATATTAAGTAAAAATGGGCAAAACATCAAAAATGCACAAATTACTGTCAAATGCTCACCATAGCTCTAAACTCTGGACTGTAATTCCCTCTTATTGGAGCAAACTGACCCTAAGACATAACATAAACCACAAAATATGGATTGACTTTCGCAAATAATGTTTCAACTTGGCATAGTTCTCCTATCACCGGTTTATTTTCAAGATTAAAAGTTGATTCATGAGAAAAGAATTTCAATTGATGACAGTAACAAAGGCCAGGAAGAGGATTTGTTATTACTACCACAAAAGTTCTAAAGATAGGCTCACACTAGCCAAAGAACCAAACCCACACCCTTCCTAGTTTAATTCAAAGGTTAATGAAGACAAAGATTGATTCTTTTTAGACAGAAAAGTAACATTTTCCCACTTTGTTAGCATAAAATGAATCAATGTCCAAGCACATGAATCACTTCACAAAAAGCTGAGAGGAGGAAACATAAACAAGATTGACAATTGTGTTTGTGATGAAAAGATAGTAACAGTGTATTGAGCGAGAGGCTCTCGTTTGTATAATTGTGTATCTTACCTTCATGATTTTATTGACCAATGCTGGAAGGTTGGAACCTTCAAATGTTTTTTGTCTACTGGCCATTTCATAAAGAATACAGCCCAGGGCCCAAATGTCACTCTTGTGATTGTATTCTTTACCTTCACACTGCAAAAAGCCATTTGAAATGCATGTCATTCATTTAGTATGCTGAAGGATGTGTGGGGGCGGGGGGGAGTCTCAACTTATTGAGAGGCTAGCTCTGTCTAGCTAGCTAGGCTAGCTAGCTCTCTTATTGAGAGGCTAGCTCTTTCCAGCATTCAAACAGTCATGATCAGATGAGCATACCATTTCTGGTGAAATATAATAAGGTGTTCCCAGCACTGTGTTTGCCTTAGAGCCCTCCAGTTGTTTACTGATACCAAAGTCACCCAGTTTGACCACACCTTCCTTGGTAAGGAATATGTTGGCTGTCTTTAGATCCCTGTATGTAAGGACCAAAAGTACACAGCCATCAGATGATGAGACAATCCTTGTTGGAACTTTACTAACTTGCCTGCTTTTTAATTACAAAAGTGGACTTGGGAAAACAAATTCAGGAATCATCCAGATTCAAGAAAGACCTAAACTTGTTTCTGTCAACAATTTTTTTTTCATCTAAAAACACAATTCTGCCAACCTCCCAACAATTTCCGGCCTCCAACAGGCCTCCAAAAGGATGACATTACTAAAATAAAAAGCTGCTACTGATACAAGAGTGCTAATTTTACAACTAATTTTGAAATTTCATCTATAATGTATGATCTCCCTCACTAATTACATGCTCATAAAAAAAGCTGACAGGCATACAACAAGTGCATAGGAATAATACATGTATTCAAAATTGTATCAGACTTGTACCTGTGAAGGATGTTGTTGACATGAATATACTTCAAAGCAGACAGCATCTGTTGAAAAATCAATAGGATCTCTCTTTCTTCCAAATCTTTTTCCAGTCTTGACAAGTACTGAGCCAGGGTCCTACAAGGAAAATTACAGAGGCCAGAGTATAAGAAGAAAATTCAAAGAAGAAGAAGCTGCCAATAAATCATTCAATAATAATGATTGGGTGGTATGGTGGTCATATGTACAGCGCACTGAAGTGCAGCCAGGAAGGTTCAGCTTCCAATCCTGGGCCAAGTAGCTCTCCTGCACTCTCCAGTGTGACACTGGGGGGGGGGAGAGAAGAAAGATTACAAGCAACCTGCAATAGACTGACATCCATCCACGAGGAGAAGCAATTACTCTTCTCCCTTCTCCTACTATTCATACTATAAAAGGTTAATAACTTATAACCAACCATATAAGTCTCTAATTATTAGGGGAGATTTTGGGAGGTATGCATTAAAATTGTATGCAAAATATATTAAATAAAAGCTGTGTGTTGTATGCTGTATGCTGCTTAAATGTACAAAATATATTAAATAAAAGCCATGTGATTAAGAACTGTGTGGATGCTGCAGAACTCACCCTCCATCAGCATACTCCATTTCAATCATGAGTGTGCCATCCACTTCAAAACTGTCATAGTAGCTGATGATGTTAGGATGCAAACTAAGCTTGGACAACACTTTGGCCTGTGAAAATGTAAAAATATTTAGTAATAACTAGTGAAATTATGACAATAATATGCTAAAAGCAAGTAAACATTCTCAAGGCACTTAACTTATCTGTGCATTTTATTTCTAGTAAGCAAAGATAATGAAAATAATTCAATATCTGTACCAGTAAAGTTAACCCTTTAACTTCCATGAGTGACCAAGACAGAATTTTTCCATACAATATCACTACAATATCAACCAGATATTTAAGTGACGAGAATAAAGAAAAATATCAGTTTGGGAATAATTACTTGATCCAATACTAAATTCTCTGAACTAACATTATAAAAATTGTATGATTGACAGTAAGGAGAATTACAAATTCGATCTGGGAGATAAAAGGGTAAGAATGTACAATTCTTTTTTATGATCACCAAGTGCAGCTCTTATGGCTCAATTCCAATTTTGTTCCCTTGACATATTTACCAGCAGTTCTAACATTTTGCAGTCACTGTGTTTTTTAAAATAATTTCTCAGAAAGATGCTAGCACACTATTGTTAAACTAACACCCAGATTGTAATGGTTCTGTGTCACAAAGCTACATATAATGAACATAATAAGAATGATCTTAGCACCTCAAGCAGTAAAACGTTCATTTTAATCAAGCAAAGTGGGCTTAAAATAGTAAGCACAAAAGCTGTAGATGGAGACAAACCTCATTCATAGCCATCTGCCTCTCAGTTGCTGTTAAATCATGCAGAGATATTTCCTTCAGGATGACAAGTGAGTCATCATCCTTTTTTCTATAAAGCACAGCTGCACCATATGCTCCTAAAAATTTCAAACAAAGGTATATGTTACACCTTCCAACTCAAAACATTTCAAAGCCTCAACAAAATGTCCACTACTTTAATAAAATCTTCAACAAATGACATAAATTCTTCAACAAATGACATAAACTAAAATATTAAAGCAAAGGTAACAATTGGAGCAAAATGAACATGCTTGAAAACTGTTGGAACCTGTCTAAAGTCCTTGAATACTCTTCAAAATTTTGGTATTGTGGATGTGAAATTCACTTGCATTTGTCTTAGGAAAAGTTTGCATCGTAACAAGTGATTTGACCTTTTCCTACTGTTCTAATCCTTTCAAAGTTGCTTATGTCTTGCTGCTGTACACCAGACCATCCTCGCATCTTTTCTTGTTTGAAGTATAGTTCCCCAGGATGTAAGTTACTATATAACAGACAAAGATGGCTTTTTAGTGCTAGATAGTGCTAGATATGTGCATAAATAAAATCACAACAAAAGTAAAAATTTATACAGACAGCATATAATAATGTTAATACTGTTTGTTAATTTTACTCATGGTTCAAAATATTTAATGTTTCACTTGAGTTTTCTTTATTGTGCGCATAAAAAAAATTTGATGGCCACAAATTATAGCAAGGACTTTTTGTCAAAATGTCTCAGATATGATTTCAGTTGTACAAGTCATGTAGATACAGATTTCAAACCAAACAGATCCAGTGAAATATTAATCTACCAAGATGATAGATACAAACTAAAGTATGTTAAATCAGTGATAATGAAACTAGGCAGAAAAGCTTCCTTACTTTAACTCATCCCCTTTGATCCTGAAATCTGTACCCATGGTCTCCTTAGTCATCCCTATTGCAACCTGAAAACAATATACAACAGTGTAATCCACATTTGATCAAGGTTTTCATTCCAGATGTAACAATAAGAGACAAGTGTAAAAGTAAAGACATCTAATAAGATGTTTTGGTGTGCAATATTGTGGAATATTTTCAATGAGTTGTGCCATATTTTGACAAGCCTGCAGTGCAAGTCAAAATACAAATGAGATAAAATATTCAGTGATATTACACACCAAAATATCTCGTAAGTTTTTTATTATCCCACTACTTTTTTAATCTACAATTTAAATAGGGATAGAAAAGTGAAACAAATAATGAAGAGGTTTCTGACACTTCTTATTAAGTAATGCTTGCATAGGATCCCACATAAATTAATCAATTGTCCATTCATCTAGTAACTACACAATATTGCAGGATATTTGTACTCGGTTTGTGAGTTTCTTTTTCTCTACTTGGTTGAGCTGGATAATTAATCCAATTAATCATAAAAGTCACAATTCCCAAAAACAACAAATATATATATTTAGGACAAATATCTGTGGTAGAGACAATGTCTAAAGTAAAAAACTCCACTTTGGAAATGCCACTGTTGTTTTCTTTAGGATGAGTGGTTGTTGCTATTATGGTTATCATGATCAATTCTGTGAATAGTGGATTTGGCTGGTTAGACTTAGTATGATTAGCTGCTTCAACTGTCCCATTAGAGGCGTCCAATTACAGCCAACTGTCCAATTACACTGTTTGATTACAACTGTATAGAATGATTAGTGAAAATAAAGCAGCTAATGCACCAATCACATTTGAGGAAGTTGTAAAGTTTAACCTTTAACTACCACTGGTAGCCAAGACAGAATTTCTCTTTACAATATCATTAAAATATCAAACAGTCAAGTGAGGAGATAAAGGAAAATTTCAGTGAGGGGATTATAAGTTGATCCAATACCAAATTCTCTACACTAGCATAATAATAACTGTATAGAAAATGTTAAGGAGAATTACTAATAAGGATGGGGGAGTAAAAGGGTTAAGATTAATACTCAAAATTTTTATTTTAAAATTTCACATTCAGGAATACTTTGGATAAAGATGATGATGACCTTTATTTAAACACCATAATATTCTACACCACAACCTTATGGGGTCATATGAAAAAAAAGGAAAATTACGTGTTGTGTAAATACCACTTAAATTTGAAAATAGAAAGGGATATATATATTATAACTTCTAAGTGAAAACAATATCAGGATACACAAGGAGAAACTGAACGTATGTCAAATTTGAATTCCTTACAATAGCCTGTGTTGAGTAAGCATTTTTTCAGATTATTGAGACTCAAGAATCCAACTTCTTGTTCATAGGAGTAAATAGTGTTCCATAACACAGCGCCGTGATATTTAAACAAGTCTTTCAAGTATCTTGTTTAGAGCCTGGGTACTGTTAAAAGGTCGCATCCCCTCAGAGAGTAACCATTTGAGCAACCTTTAGGATGTTTTTAGACAGTGATTTGGGGAGAGTGGCTTTATAGCCTTTGTAAAAAAGCTAAATTTAGGAACTGACATATCAGGCAAGACATTTTGAATCCTCAAAAAATTTGGTCTTTGAAAGGAAGTCATGTCAGTCAGTTCCAAATAATAAACAGGTTACTACATCTGCTGATTATCCTCCATTAAGCCTTTTATTTAGCCTTTTTACACCTATCCCAAGCACTAAAATAGAAAAGGAGGTTAACTTACTTGTGTTAAGCCTTCCAGCATCTCCACAATTTCTTTTGCATCACTGCTGTGAGAGAGCGGACAAGCAAGGAAGTCCAGACGGGCACCAGGTGAATCAACATCCAAACAAAGTTTGACAATTTCCACGAAGAAATTCTGCAATTCTTTAAGTTCTTTGACAGCATGCAGTGAAATTACCTTGGTAAAAATATTATATTGTGTAATTATCATAGATCCACTGAGCATACAATTAAAATTTAAGCTATGGTCACAAGTACTGCTATTTCAGCCATTAGAAGTTGTTATGATCACCACATGTTAGTTTCCAAATTCCTCATAAATTAAATAAAAACATATTTTCAATATCACGTTCATTGAGAATATTCCCATTTCGGATAAAAATAGCATGATACACTCCCACACATTGATCAAAATAAAATAAATAACATCATGACTTCTTACCGAGTGTCTTTCAGATCGTGTTGAAAATGTTTTTTTTTTTTTTCAATACCCTCAAAACAGATAAACAGACGAGCAAGACATTAGTTTGAGAGAGCAATTTCAGCTGTCATTAGAATATTAGCTGAGTTCTTCAAAACCCCAGCAAACTTCATTACCATTTTGATAACGCTTCCGGTGAGCTCAATACATAACTAATAAAAATAACGTTTCGCTTTTTGTATCAGTTATTTTTCTTAATCCTCTTTTGGAGAGGGATTGGCATTTTTTAATTCAAAAAGATACAAAATAAAGATTTCGACTGAAAACAGCTCGTGTTTGACATGATTTTTAAATATAATCAAGAAAATTGTATCATTTCTCGTTACCTGATCGTCGTTTGCACAGATGAACATATTGCTTCCCTGTCCGTGAGCCATGAAAGCAATGCTTTCAGCTTTTCGTCCAGCTAAAATATGTTGAGCTTGAGTTAGAAGTGATTCAAGCGTTGAACTGTCATATTTGTAGGGAACGAACAAAACAGATGATCGAGCAGCCGAGTTAAGAACGGTGGAATGCCGCACTTTAGAACTCAAGAACACAACTCGCCAAGCTGGTGGAGAAATAGCGCTGTTGGACCGACTGTGGTTTGTACCATCCTGTCTATCGGAAAGCGTGTTTTCTGCATCATTCTGAGTTTCATTCTCATTTTGTGCCTCCTTTGGACTTGAAGCCATTCCTTGTCTCACATCATAGAGACTCGAAGGAAGTCTGCATAAAGTTTCTATTCGAGATTGGTCGCATGATCGTGGTTTTGGATCTCACAGTCCAAAGACACTATCCCAATGGTATTTCTCTTCAGCTGATCAATATGAACTCCCTACCGGTCCTTGAAACTCGTAAAAAATCAAAGAAGATCTTCCTTTAGGTCATTATTGGAAAAACAATATTTTTTTGCCAAAGTTTCACTTTAGATCCGTCGACAAGTCAAGATGGCCGGAAAGGGGCAAGCCAGATACTCACGAACCGTCTAGTAGATCAATATAGCACTGATCAGCTCGTCATCATCATTTCCCAACATTATACAATATACAAACGATTACACAGTTTGACAGTGGCCAACAACTCAAACACTTTTCAATATGTATGTTGTTTTGTTGTAAGTGACTGCCACCGGCCATCAAAACAATTAATTTTCGCTCCAAGACTACCAGCACGTTCGTATGATTTGTTCATCGTCGAACAAGATCGTGAAATTCTCGGAAAGATTCGGAAAACGTTCTTTTCGTCCGAAGCTTGTTGACCGTTCGTGACGCGTCTTGAGGTTGCATTGAGCTCGTGCTAACTTGAATTAAAGGTCACGTTAAGTCTCTTTCTCGAAAGGAAAGCTTGATAATAGGAGAGAATATCAATGTAGGAAATTCTAATTACAATCATTCTGCAGCTCCGCGGTCAGGTTGTATGGTGTGAGAACACACTGGTGCGAGATTTGACTGTCATCAAACTACATGAATGCAGGACTTGCAGGTGTCAAAAATTGTATATTTCAAGTTCTAGAACTTTCCATTTCTTCGGTGCAAAAAAAAAAATGTGGAAAATCTGGACAAGAGATTCCATTAACAGATAATTTTCGTTCAACACGTCACGTACGCAGAACTTGCAGAGCAGTCCGTTGAACCAGACTCAACCTAAATACACCTCGAAGATTACGAAAAGTTCAACAATTGGTCTTCAAACCTACAGCCTTGTAACGATCCTCCAATCTCATAGGTACCATCAAGATGTTTGCATTTCTTTAACTGCGGCTGGATTGGTAGATAATTTTTCGTCTTCATCAAGTGAGTAGATTGCTCATTTGGAATCTACAGAGCACGCGAGATTCCACCGCAAATGAACGAGCTATGGATTCGAACATTGTCCTTGTTTTCATAGGTAAGGCTTAAATGTGTGACTTTTAATACTCGTACGTGCGTTTCTTTGATAATCCCGATAATTAACTGCAGCTGAACACGTACAAATCAACTTTTATTCATGAGGGACCGATTCCAGACAAATTTTACAATTAAGGGAAAATTCTATTTAGACTTCGCACAATAACATGGGTGCGAAATGAAAATTACACAAGTGTGAAATTAAAATTGGATTGTCTCTAAGTCCTATGTGTTATCATTAAAACTACGAGGCATTAGTGATAGCATTGTTTTTCTTAATACGCCACTCTCTCAAACAAAATTAACCGTGACCTGAGAAGTACAGCACATATATCTGATGAATGCATTTTCCACTTATTCTAATGCATACATCAAAAGTTAAGTAGTCAGAGGAAATGAAACAAGTACAGACAAAGACTTGAGCATTATACTAATGATCTTGTCATGATTATGACCCTGGTATATTGGTTTCCTTTATATATTGGTATATTGGCAACTCCTTTATGTTTGTGTAATCATTATGATGATAGTTATGCCAACAATGATTTTTAAAGCTGTGAAACTTGTGTATTAGTTAGATAACGATTTATTATTTACATTTTATTTTTCAGGAATTCATCTTGTTCTTCATGCATTTTGTGTCAGGGAAGGTAAGCTAGTTAAAATTTTAGTATTTTAGCTAAATTATATCAAACATGACTGATTGATTGGTCATGTTGACCAAATATTTTGGCAGGCTAACCCTTCCTTGCATTCACAGGCTCTTGCAAATTGCAGAAATTGATTATTAAGTGTGCACTTAATTACCCACTCTCTATGTAAACATCCTTGAAACAATCAAAGCTTCAGTTCAGATATGGACCTCTTCAGGACCAGAAAGCACTTCCTTTTTAGAGCTGAATTAATGAATTCAAGACCGTACAGTCAATATACAATAGCATGTGAAGTTGACATGATTTCCCAGTCTCTGCGGCAGAAGTTGGGTTATCATGTTGAGTTCAAAGTCTGTCTAGTTTCCAAGCCCCTCAAACATATGGTGTTTTCAAAATTTTTCAAACTCAAAGAGAAGTGTCTTCTTTTACAGAATTTTTGATAAATTTACAATAAAACAATTACTGACTTTGATTTTTGCATGATATATGAATCATCAACCTTGTATCTGTGTTATCAGCCTTAGCTTTGGCTTCAGCCAATAACTCAGACCTCTGCATTGATAATTCATGATATCATGCTCAACCTCATCTAGTAATTGCTTATTATCATGTATAGCAATTGAAATGTGAAGCATGTACTAATAAACTCTCAATATTTGATTTGCAATGTTCTCCAACTTCTAGCCGTAATGCATTTCCTCATAAACTGTTAAGAGAATTTGGTGTTGTATTAAAATTGAAAATCCTCCAACCAGTTATTGATTTTCTGCTCTCATTAACTTTTTGGTGGAGCATATTAACTGCATGTTAATAACTTTTGAAGTGGAAGGATTATCAAAGGCAAAGCTTGGTGCTATGGCAGAGATTTGAACGAAGGCTAAAAAAAGTTAAGATAGCCCAGGGCAAATGTGAAATCTTATTTCAGATCTGAAAGTTTTTAAAGAAAATTCAGCATAGAAAAAAGGATAGAGCATATTTTCTAAGAAAAGCTTATGAACAAATGGATAAAGAAGCCTGGATTAAAATTTAACCCAAGGTTAGCACTAATTGGCTTATCAAACAACTAGGTCCAAAACAAGGAGGTTTGATGTAAAACTATCTCTTGTCAGGTGAAAAGCATGATAGTACACTAGTGTATTTTAGTTTCTTTGAATGTACTTGGAAAAATACAAATTTAAGAATGTACATTTTACTCAACTTTTTTTTATTTAGTTTTAGGGGAATGTGGAGGTCATAGGGATACTTCCTCAGGGACCATTGAATCTCCTAATTATCCAAATGGGTACCCTGTGGAACAGAACTGTATCTGGACTGTAGCTGTTGGAGGTTCTGTGAAAAACATTAAATTGTCATTCAGGTAAGGTTGCACTGTTAATGTAGTAAGTAATATGAATTATGAAAGGGATTTTTAACAGAAAAGGGGTTGGAGGGAATGTAAGTATGTTTGTTTACTTTCAAAGAGTATGGTGTATCAATAAGAATAGCCAACAAGCCTTGTCAGTTGCTCCGGAAGCTTTCACAGGCTACTTTTAAATGGTTGTGAATATATGGAAGTTATATATTTGAACTGTGGTTAAAGATGTGAATATGAAAGCGATCTTTGCAGTAATGAACACTACTTAAGTTATGCCTTCTTTTTACTACTACTTAAGTAGTGGTTCATTACTGCGAAGATCGCTTTCATATTCACACTACTTTTAAAATTTGTATCAACAAGATGCCTTGTAAAAGACATACACTGGTTTCAGAGAAACGTCAGTTATGCTTGTATCCCTGGACATAAAATAATGTATTTTGCAAAACCTTTCAATTTTTAATTTAGTGTAAACAACTGAGTAGAAAATGTAAATTAGCCATCATAGAGGGTAAAAAAGCTGACGTTTCGAGCGTTAGCCCTTCGTCAATTGCTCTGACAAAGGGCTAACACTCAAAATGTCAGCTTTTTTACCCTTTACGGTGGCTAATTTACATTTTCAACTCAATTGTTTACACTAAATTACCTGCTATACTCTCCCACCGACACAGCACCACAGTTTCTTTACAAACTTACCCCTTTATTCATCTTTCAATTTTTATTTTCCATCATCCATGTTTGGGAACTTAGAGAGTTGATGTGATTTAATAGCCTTCAAAGGTAATGGCAAATGGATTATTGTTTTCTGGTTAATTCTTTTTTTAACCCTTCAGCCCTTAAGAGTGACTAGCATCTAATTTCTCCTTACAATATCACCCCTGAATCAAACATGGAAGTCATGAGAATAGAGGAGATGATCACCAACTAAAGCAGCCCTTGATTGTTAAACAAATTCTCCTTGCCAGCCTCTTTGGAAATGTATGGAGAACAGTAAGGAGAATATGCATACTGATGTTAGGGTGTAAAGGGTTAAATCAATTCAGTCCTAAGCTAACTTGAAGATGTTCCTTTTTGGACAGTTCTTTTGACCTTCAGCCCAGATCTGCTGATGGGGAATGTACAGATTATGTTGCAGTTTTCCGTAAACAGTTGAAAAAGGAAGCAGGAGTTGTTCCTGAGGCAAGGATCTGTGGAGGCGCCCGACCAGACTCTATGCAGATAGAAGAGTCATCAGTGACAGTGCAGTTTGTTTCTGACTCAATAACTGGTTTCTATTCAGGCTTTTCTCTCCATTATGAAACCCACTTCAAAGAGAGTAAGTTGTTATGAAGCTGTCTTGTGGTTTTATCTTGAAACTGTAAAAAAAAGCCATGGGCTGCCCTAAAGATACATGTATGAATAAATTCAATTCATAAGATCTTGCAAGACCCTTAAATGCCCTCAATGATATTAATAATAATAATAATAATAATAATAATAATAATAGTAATAATAATAATAACTTTAATAATAACTATAATAATAATAATACCTTTATTTAGCGCTCGTATCCTCTGCTCTGGGAGATATGGGAGAAAGACGAATCCTGAGAAATGCTGCAGTTCATATCAGTTTTGGACCAATTTTATGTAATTTTAACACATTACAGCACCATATATACCTTATAAGACTGGCATTTTGATGTGAAGTATGGCAGCATATTTTTACAAGTTGTGTTGTATTTTGATAAGCCTGTAGGAACCCCTTTGTTTGTGTTGCTTATCAAGGTGGGGTAAATTACAACACTGTTAAAATTTGGGGCCCACTAAAATTGCTACATATTTGCTACCAGTCTATGCCAACTACTTTTAACTAAAGATAAGTAAAATTCATTGCCTTCTAGGTTCTTCTGTTTCCCAAGCCACTGCTGGCATTGTTGCTGCTGTCTTCTGTGCAATAGTCTTTATTGGAGTTGGTATGCTGCGCTGCATTATGTTGAGAGGATGCAACTGTGGTGGTAGAGATCTGAGAGACAATAATCAAAACCGACAGGTGATTGGTCACAGTGAATCATATACATATCAAGGGGATTTTCCTCCTTCTTACAGCACAGGTATGTTCCACATCACTTAATTGCAACAGAGAAATACAACTCTGCTTTTTATCATCAATCAATTGAACTTGTCTAGCTCTCATTATCCTCCAAGCAAGGTTCAAGAAAAGATACAAAACTGTTGACCAGGAGGGCTGTTCGCAGCTTTTACCTTCTCATTTCTTTCTTTCATCATTTTGATGATAAAAATGTATAAAAAAATTAATAAAAAAGTGGCATATTAAGTGTTTGATGAAAGTAGTGAAGTAACCACTGAGATGTTGAAGATGCAGTATTTGTTCTCATTTACTTTGATCACAGTTTAACACAGACAGAAAATAGTGACAGTCCAGGGGAATCTGGAAATCCTGTGTGATTTTGCATTTTCTCTGGGAGTATTAAATTTGTGAATAGCTTCTCTCATTATTTCCTAAGATTTCAGCCAAACCACTCTTCTGAATCTCTTGGAAAGTTACCAACAATATTTATTTATAATAAATACATTTTATTGTATTGAAGAAGAAGTAAGGCAAGCCTGAGGAAGTCTTTGTAAAAATCTTGTTAAATTTGTTGTTCTCTTTTTTGATCAGTGGATACTGGGTTTTTTTCTGATGTTTGCATGGTTACTCCAAGATGCAAGGATTTTCAAATGGAAATCTTAGGCTTTTGTTAGCACATAGTTTAGATAACTATGAATAACCTGGATTTTCTGGAAAACTGGCTCCTTTAACATTTGTGTTAAATTTGTTATTGCATTGCTAGTCATGCATCATCCAGAGAGATATCCCACACCAGAATCCAGCCCCCAGGTTGGGGCACAGAACAGTAACATACCACCACATCAGAACCTGAATGGAAGAACATTTTCTGTTGGATCAAGCAGCAGCTCTGATGAGGATGATGAGGATTTTCCTCCCCCACCCTACCCAGGCAATGTCACTCAAAGAGCTGATGGTGATGTTGATGTCAATGATGTAAATACAAATAATTCAACAGAAAATGGACCAAACACTGTTAGCAATAATGATGAAATGAATACAAATATCACTGAAGAACACTCAAGTTATCCTGAAGCTACAACTGTTGATGTGGCTGATGAAGATACAAATAGTGCATCATGTGATGAACCCAACATTGTTAGCAATGATGATGAAGTGACTGTGAATTTGAATGAAGAGCAATCAAGGGAAGATAGTGTTAATTCTCATGAGGTTCCTCCTTCAGAGGTTGGAGTAGAGCAGAGTTCCTCGACAGCTGGAACTGAAGATATTGTGTTGGATGTAGACACAACAGCACACAGCAGCCAACAAGAAGGCAATAGAGAAAACTGTGAAACATCACAAACTGGTGAAATACTTGAAGAGTTAGAAGTTTTTGTTTGAAAATCAACCAACTCCAAATTTGTGGCTTCTAATTTACTGGGCATTCCTCACATCTAAAATTTAGATGATAAAAGTTACTTAATCTTCCTTCAGTTTCTCTTAACACGTAGGGTACTTCACACTCCTTCATAAGGATAGTCCTATTCTTACTATTTAGATAGCAAAGAAGCCTCTAATCAACTAAGCCTTCACTTAAGTAATGGAAGATATACTTTTATATTTGAAAGCTCAACCCAAAAATTCTTTAGTTGTTGTCATAACTCAAAATATGAAGTCACTCTGAGTTGTCTTTTAATTTTTTTTTTTTTTAAGCCTTTAGTTATAGCTCTTGGATTTATTTCATAAATGTCTATCCCTTTCAATGATTTACAGTAAAACTGAATGAACTTTTGATTTCATTCCACTTTGCAATTATCCTATTTCCTATGAATGGTGTCTTGGTTAGGAGTTTGTGTGGAGCAACTTAAGAAAGTACATGGAAATAAAATGCAGCAAATTTTCAAATTGTATTCTTGTGTAAGAATTGTAAGAATCTTGACACGGAGATGTGCCAGTACATTTGAAAATTGTTCAAAGTAGGTTGATCCCTTGACTCCCAAGATCTGTATGTTAATTCTAGCCTATATGTGCTACACATTATCTTCTAAAGTAGTTATGAGAATTTGGTGTTCTTAGATCAAAAGAACAACTTCTACCTTATAAGTGTGAGTTTCTCACTAGCTGTTTGCTGGGTACTGTTTGGTTATTACAGGGAGAAGTTATATGTTAATAATTTCTGGAAGTTCAAGGGTTTACAGCACACAGTAGGTAGGGAGAAGGAAGTCACGTACCATGCACAAAGAATGTTGTCATGACAAACCTGCAAAGTTGCATTTAATGACAAACTTTAATATAGGTTTTGAAATTGGTATAAATAGCTGTGAAATGTAGTATCCAGTGACAAAACAATTTAATTATGCATATTCATTTGAATGATTTGACATATTTATGCAAACGGTATTACTTGAGAGAATAAAATATATGATTTATTCTGCATAGCGCACTCAAAAAGGGAAGGTCAGGGAACCTAAGAACCACAAAGAAAAACCCTATTTCTACCTTTATTTACCTGTTCTATAGGTAAGCAATACAAAATTGTTAATATTTAATAGAGATGGCAATCAAAGCAAAATCTGTAGATCCATAGAAAAATGTATTAATATTGATAAAATGTATTTACCAGTACCATCAAGTGTGTTCATCTTATTTAATCTTGTCTGTTCACGGCTGTTTTATAAATCGCTTGCAAGGTTTTTTCTTTTGGAGAGAGGAGAATGGATCTTTTAGCGAACCTTAAGAGATAAAATGGCAAAGAACATGAAAATGAGGACTCCCGTCAGAGTTATGTGACAGGAGCGTTTCGTTGGCTTAAGAACGCCTAGTAACAAATTCATTTTATCCATATCTATTCATTCTCCTTTGCAGCTTTTGTTCGGTCGCGTCATGCAACGAACTCACTTCCTGTGAGAGCGCTGTTGTGTGGAAAGACTGAACATCCAGCGCTATTTAAGGAGACTACCTTACGTGACAGCGTGTTCTTCCCACATCCCAAGTGGGCTATTACGCCGGTAAACCAAAAGAAATTGCAGTCTATTGCTTTTAAAAAATAAACTTACATTGTTTCAATATTCTATTGGTTCACCGGTGTAAAAAACGATGGGTTTTTTTGGCCAATCGGGGCGCTCCTAGTCTCTACGTTAATTCATAAAAGATGTCATTCTCAGCTTGCAAAACTTGATCTTTGCGCATACCCTACGTAAACTTGACCGCTGTAGTTCTCTAGTACGGAACTCGTGCAGCAGTGTTAAACATCAGAGATCAAAATCCTCACCGCAGACAATGCAAACCTAATCAGGTTCTTTCACAATGATCTGTGCAACAGTTTTGACCATATTTCAAAAGGCGAAAATGAATATTTATCAAATGTTGATAGGTGGGGTGACCCACACAAGGAGTGTAAAATGTTCACATTTCAGAATATTTAGCGTTGTAAATCGACCATATTTGGTTTCCCAAACTATTCCGTATAACGTATTAAGTCAACGGTTCCTTGCGAAACCAAACACCGCGTAACACAACGCGTGACGCTTTCATTAATAAATAGATATGTGTCCGAGAATTAATCTTTCGTTTTTTTCGAGATGTGAGCTTGGGACTCAACTCCTTAATTGCAAGCGCAACAACAACCTCAAGAAACCTCACCCCTCACCCCTCACCCCTCACCCCTCTGTAAGATTGCATGTAAACGCGTTTTACTTTTCGACCACAGCAAGGCGGGTTACCTCACCTACCTGGGGTCCCCCACCTCCATGTAAACAGGTTCTTAATAACACCTTACTCTTTGTAAAATTTTTCTTGTTCAGTGCACCATTTCACGTGTGAGTGAAAGAATTCCAATCGTGAAATATATAGAAATCCCAAGAGACACTCGAAGCAATTGTTAACGTTCATGGTACATGTGGCTCGTTGGTCTGTGGAAGCTTCCCGGCGAAAGTTAAGTTCAATTTCTTTTACTCCTCTTCGTTGATGAGGTATCTGCTTTAACTTTAATTCTCGCTTCGTTTTGCCATATTTCAATTTCCATATCTTATCTTGCTGCAGGCAACGACAGTGAGCTGTAAAAAAGCGGCCGAGTTGCAGGAACGAATGCAGACGAACAGAGGAATATCCTGAGGAACAGAAACCACGGTTCTCCTCTTTAATGAAATGGAGAAAAAGGTCACCACTGCCTTAGCGAGGATTCAAAACAAGGGCAATATTGTTGTTTCTGCTGGACAGCCATCCACCACTAAAGTCAACTAACTCAGATAAGTTAATCAATGGTTACTAAGCGTATGTCTCCATCATGTCTTGTAGCGGTACGAGGCAAGGAGTCATTTTTCAGCCTTCGCTTGCTTTATGAAGAATTTACATGGGTGACGACAAATTTTGCGAAAGTAAATTATTTTTTCACATTTTAGCGCTCCTAGTTTCGTGTTTTCATTACCTGTTCAATGAAACGAAACGAGGTCAGGCGGGGATACCGGTTGAATGCTTCGGGTGATGGTCATTGTTTTATGGTACATCGTATTCAGCTTGTCAAACACGACTTATCTGGATTATGCTTTATTTTATAGTTCTGTAATTAAATCTAAGCTGTGTTATCTTTAGCAGTAATATTCATCTCCTAAGATTCTTTGGGTTAGCCAAGGAATGATCAATAAAGTTTGCTGGGATAGTAAATAGCTACGATTTAGTATGTTAATGCAGAAGTAATACAGTGGACAAAAAAAGGAATAGAGCCCTTTAAGCCCTTTACACTGAAGCCTTGGCAAAGAGTATCTCCTCAGAGGTGAGCGGTCACTTCGCCCACGTGTCAACACACACACGTGTCCACGGTCAATTTGACTTACTTACGTGGTGCTCTCTTGGGTGCGAATCTCTACATAGCTAGCTAAAGGTTACTTTACAGTAAAACCCACTACTAAAACGTAAAAAAATAGAAATAAAAAAAATGGGAGAAAGAAACAGTGCGAACTAACTTGGAAATGTATTTATTCAAATTAAATTGTATTAACAAATTACATATTACTGGTAAAAGATGTGAAAAGATACAGGAGACATGATACTTCAGTAATGACAAGAACAATGGTAATAAAGACAAAACAGTCGTTGTGACAATAATTCAAGTAAGGCTGATTGTGACAGACACAATGATAATGATGATAATGCAACGATTACGATGAAAACAAACGATTATACCAAATGGCTTACATTTCTTTTTTTCCACGTCCCTGCTCAACTCGTCAACACTGCTCCATTCCCCTACTTTTTGTCAGTCACTTGTCTGCATGTTTTGTCTCCTTGTCGACGTCTCAGGTCAGCTCTTCCTCATTTATGGTTAACTCGTCAACTTCTTTGGTCAACTTGTCAACGCCTCTCATCAACTCGTCATCATCTTTGGTCAACTCGTCAACATCTTTGGTCAACTCGTCAACATCTTTGCTCAACTCGTCAACATCTTTGCTCAACTCGTCAACATCTTTGCTCAACTCGTCAACATCTTTGCTCGATGCCCTTACTTTTTTGATCACTCGTCCGCTTCCTTGGTCATCTCGCCAACTTTTATGGTCTACTAATCAACGGCTCTCGTCAATTCGTCTCCATCCTTGGTCACCTCGCCTTCATCTTTGGTCACCTTACCTCCATCTTTGGACCTTAAGTCGTCTTGCCTACATCTAAGTCACCTCGCCAACATCTTTGGTCACCTTGCGTACATCTTCGGTCAACTCTAACTTTTTGTGACAATTCATTGGCGTCTTTGATAAACTAGCCTTCACCTTAAGTAAACTCGCATCTACTTTTTAACCAGCCTACCTTAATGACTTGTTATGTTTCTTTTGATGTAAATAGTCTCTCAGGAAACAGCTAACGTCAGGGTCCATTTCAACACACCGCACCGATGACGCCTCAGTGAAATCTTCGGAAGAGCAACCATATTTCAATTTTTTTCAGACAAAAATAGAATAAAATAACTGTAAGTAGCAAATAAACAACGACAAATTTGACGTTTACTTGACTTACTGTAGTTCCATCCCTCTGGCAAGACTTTACAATGCTAGATCATTAAAATTTGAAAAAATAACAAATAATGGTAAAACAATCTTTCACTTGCACACTGCGCCAAATTCATCATCTTAACTAATACTGTGAAGAAGATGAGTTGACCCGAACGTAGGTGCGTTGACACGTCGGTGAAGTGACGGTTTACCTGATGAGGGACTCTTTCAGTGGCTTGATTAAAGTTTCAGACGGTCTTCTTCAATAAGCTGAAAATAAAAGTTTTTGGTAGACCCAAATTTGATGAGAGTTTTAGAACTTCGTGTTTGGGAAGCTGATGATGATTTAACTGTAAAAAATTAGACCCAACCGGAGAGCTCTTTGGCCTCTGTTCTACCTCTTGAAGCGACGGAGTTTTAGTTTTTGTTTATTTGTTTTGAAATCACGGCCTTTTATAATTGTTTTTGTCGCTCTTGCAACCATAATAAGGATCAGCATGAAAAATTTCTTACCTCTTAAGTTAAAATTTATTAGAATTGCAAGCATGACTAAGATCGGTCCCATATAAGTTTGTACTAGTCGGCCTAAGTGATTTGTTCATTGCTTGACATCATAAACATGATTGTTGTTTTGTTTGTTTCATTTAGAAATGATCGTGACTCCAATACAAAGTAAGTGAAATCGCGCACAAGTTGTAATTCCAAGCACCTGGCAAATCCTCTTTTTTCTTACCAGGTAAGTCAGTAATACTTCGTCTCTCTGGTTAATTGAAGTAAACAGATGCCAAATTCAGAAATGAATATTCTGTTTTACGCTTTACCACTGCAGTGCTTCTTGATGGATTGTGCAACAACTTGCATCAAAGAAGTCGATCTTGTGGCGCAGTTGCTAAAAGAAGGCTCGAGGAAATAAATACACTTGCGCCTTGTTGCCTGAGAAGTCCCAGAATCTGAAACAAAACTACGGCTCACTCAGCGTGATTAGGAAAATTTAGCTTCATTTTATTAAACAAAACACTTTGTTCAGATCTGTTCTTTAAAATTTGTTTTCATAGTGAACCCAGATGCCTGCAGAAAACTCAGCCGTTGGCTATCAGTGTGTTGCTAGATGTCTTGGCTGCAACCGAGTTAACTTTTGAAGACATCCTTTTCTTCAGATAAGTACATTATGTAATTTTTTGTTACATTTTGGTATGTTCTGTCAGACTTCACTGTAAGCAGTTCAGCGTGATCGCAATGTTATCTCCTTTCGATAAGATCGATTTATTGTTAATTAATATTCATTAACTGTCTAGAGAGATTATCAACATCCTTCTCATTCAGATTATATTCTTCTGCCAAAATTTTGGAGCAATTGATTTGATAAACACAAAGTACGATTTAAGCCACACGTGATATACTAAACATTAGTCCAAGACTTTACTTAAAGGGAAACTGCTCTCTCTTTTTTTCTTTTTCCAGCTACTATATCGTTGGTAATAACCTCACAGAAGGCAATCTCGGTGACTTTTGGAAATTCTTCAATGTTCCACCATTAGGAAATTTTTTTAGTTTTAAGTAGAAACTGATGTGTTTATCTGTACGTGTTCTATAGCGAACAACAGCTGTTTGAGTTTTGCAGCATGGGTCTAAACACCACAACAGACAGAGGCCTGTTTTGGGACCAGACAGTTTATTAATTGTATATATCCTACGTAAATAACACACTAAACTATAACATAA